ATTACTCTAGCTATTAGCTACCTTCTGAGCTCCCTATGAAGTATCGGCCTTTATTTCTTCATAACCGACTATATCGTCGTCTATTATATATAGCGTTAGACCGTTCTTATAATTTTTTATACGATATCTAGATTTTCCATATCCATAGTATAGATTGTTTTTCTTACGTTTCTCTCGCTCTGACTATAGTAATCTACGAGACCTATCGTTCCTAACCTTAGGTTATCCTCCTCATACTTTCTAGTGAGTAGAACTACCGCATTAGATCATATCTAAGTCTATTAGTTCTCCGTAGTATTATTTATTCTTATAAGTCGTACCCCCTATAAAAGTCCCTTTTCTTTCCATCTAGCGTTTATATAACTAGTTATTAGTCTCGATAGAGAGTTTAATAAGCGATTTATACTCGTTAGGATAATCTATCCCTATCCTATCTTTAACTGAATCCTTTAGCCCCTAATAATAGGCTAAGGCGAAAGCTTTATCTTCCTAATCTAGTTTCGAAGCATAGCGTTAGAATATAGCGTAATATCGCGTAGCGGATCCTATCTACTTAAGTTAATAGATCCTCTAGGCTATTAACTATTCCTCTCCTAGTATCCTAAAGATCTATCTGATTCTTTCTTCAAAAACTAAGAAGTTTCTAAAGATTTCATTTATCTCTAGGCTTCACTACGCTAGTGTAGAGCTAAGGTAATCCCCTATAATGAGTTTAAACTACTCGAACGCTAACCTACGGAGCTAGAGTCCTATAAATAAAACTTTTTCTACGTAGGTGGAGTATTTAGTACGTTATAAGGTAAATACTACCTTTAACTATATAAGATATATACTAAGTTTACTTCTATCTCTATAGTACTATTTAACCTTAAGGTCGTCCTTTATCTTTCCGGCCTCCATATTATTAATAGTTAAAGTAGTAATACTTATAGTAGAGGTATTAGGTTATTAAGTGAGTCTAGGCTCGGGCGACTTAGGGTTAGAGCTACTAGATATCATTATTAAGTCCGCTACTATCTAAGTAGGTAGTTAATGTATTATGAGCTACTATATAATACGTAAGGTGTTCATAGGTAAACCTATAGTAATTTACTTAGTGATATAGTAGGGAGGGACGCTATAGCTAAGACTGGAAACTAAGTGTATAGTATGTAGACCTATACGTATAGTAGATGATCGTGAGGAACTTAATTCTATATAACTATTATTAACTACGAGGAGAACTATATAGCTAAGTATAGCTATATACTACTTAGGATATATATTTAATATGTTACTCTATTAGATATGTTAAATATGTCAACATGTTTCTGAGCCTATCTAGGTATATTACTCTATTGCCCCGCTGGGTTATGCTAACATGTTTGCTAAGATACTGGCGTCTGACATGTTCTCCTCGGTCGACCTTCCTCCTTGTCTTTCCCCTTGGCCTCCCATATGGTCGGTTCGTAACACTCTGGTCGTATGTAAGGCCGTTCTCTAACAGTTTGCTAGCTAGTTATAGAACTCTTTCCAAACTCTCATAATATAGTAGTCTAAGATAGTTTATTAGTGGAATAGAAGTTCGTAGAATAAAAGTTTATATTCCGCGCTAAGACCCTATTTATATATAGAATGACGGTCACTCTAGACTGAAATAACGTTAGGCCATCGCCGTATCTACGTATACTGAATGAGTCCGGTGCCCTACTGGCTTAGGAGCTCTAGGGTCTTATGTACCCCTTTCTAGGGACGAAAGTCGCGTGGTGAGGCTCCACTTTGTGATCGTTGAGGAACGTAGGCTACAACCTAGATCATTGCCGCCCTACCGTATTTCTTGTCGCTGTTGAAAGTAGGCTGGACTCCTCCCGGGCTCCGGGTATGGAAAAGTATAACCATAACTTAGTGTATCATCGATCAGATTCTTCGTCAGGCTCAGCTCTCCATAGCTGCCATAATTTAGTAGGCGTATCGTACCGTGGGCTATCTGAATTAGGTACCGGGAGGTGGTCTCTGTGAGATATCGCGATCACAATCAGGCTAAGTTCAAGGTCGAGGGTCTCTATGGGAGTACGTCAGATGGAGTAGTGTCGAGTGCTGATCTTTTTTGGGTAGAAATATTGTGTCTCTTTACCTTTCTAAGTGGTTATTCGGTCTAAATCTGGAAAGTGGCTTGAACAGGCGACAAGAATTCGAAAGCCAACCCGGTAGGACTCTAAGGTTCCACAGCTAGTTTCCTGCCTCGAATTCAAACCAACCCGTTCAAACGACTACTGGTCTGAGCCATTCAATGTCCTGGAGGCAGAGAACGCAGATAGCGATGGCGGAAGGCGCCAAGGCCGTGTGGTAATCGTTGGGTCGGACTTGATTCAGATACCTTGACCCAGACGGGGCAAACACCCATATCGTTCGAGGTAAGCAAGGCAAGTATCCTTAAATTGCAAGAGGAGAACCGGGTGGGCACTCCGGAGATAGCGTGTTACCTATTTGATTTGAATACCCGTTTCGGACAGTTACCCAGAAAGGTAAAGTGCTTGAAAGGTGTTCTCGCTCTTACCAAGAATTTTTGCGTGGGAGAAGCTTCTCACAGGCTCATCCCTGGCTGCGATGAGTAGCTTACGGCCTGATACTGGCCCACCTGGGATTTCATAGCTAGAGTATAGGCGATCCAGCGATGGCAAGAGCCTTCAAGCGGAGAGGAAATTCAAAACGGGGGAATAGTGTTTCGCCTATAATCTTTGAAGAAGGACCGGAGATATCTCCCAGTACGTGTGGCCGTAGCACAGGTAGGTCGTGGCGTATAAAGGGCTAACCTTGCTCTTCTGGAGAAACACTAAAGCGTTCTCCACCAAATTGGCCTCTAGGCGTGGATTCTCACGGTTTTTCGGAGTGGACATCTCATATTCGTTCATATTAATACCGGGCGATAGAATACTTCTCATCCTCTAACCTCAGGCAGTGAGGTTCCCTTGTCTTGAGAACGGCCGATTAAAAAAATCAGAGATTCTAGTATACGCCTATCACTTCGACTACTAAGCCGATAATCTCGACCCTCGAGATTAGCATCCCTTCATTACGATGTCGAAAACCACCCAACATAATGGTTCCTCACCTTCCCTCTACTCATCCGCATACGTCCCCTCTGAACGCTACGGATCCGTATTAGACACCGATGTGGTCGTGGTTGGCGCGGGACTTAGCGGACTCCAGGCCGCGACTGACGTCCAGGCCACTGGATTTTCCTGCGTCGTTCTCGAGGCTAAAGACCGCGTCGGCGGCAAAACATTCACCACCACAGTCGAGAATGGACCAGGATCGCTGGATCTCGGCGCGGCGTGGATCAACGACAAAACGCACGACCGGATGTATGCGCTCTTCAACAAGTTTGGCTGCGAGCCTATCATCCAGCGGATGGAAGGGAACGAAGTTTTCCGAATGAGCTCTAAAGACCGTTCCTACCATACGCGGTGGCCTGCGCTGCCGGCGGTGGAGGAGACGCAGCGGGCTATGTTTGAGGAGCTCGGCGCGGATATGGACGCAAATTGTCAGTCAGTCAACCTCCACGACTCGACAGCGAATGGCCACATCGAAGACATTTCGCTTGGGGAGTATTTCCGGTCTAAAGGAGCGCACGGGTTTGCGCTGGGATTCTGGACTGCTTGGATCCATGATTTGACTGGAACTGATCCCGATGATATTGGGTTGGTGTACTGGCTGGATTTTGTGAAAAGCGCGGGTGGGATCGAGAGTCTATTGAGTGATGGGCCTGACGGGGCTCAGTATATGACAAACCGACATGGTAAGATTGCTTCTCCCCAACATTAGGTCCTATCTCCTATCGGCCACTGACGAGCTTCGCGGACGTGCACAGGAAACCAAACCGTATCGAAGTGTCTAGCAGCGAACCTCAAACCAGCCAGCGTCTATCTAAACTGTCCCGTTAACGGTATCACTCAGACCAGTACAGGAGCAATCGTTGAGACGTTACCCGGTAGGGTCTTTCGAGCGCGCAAAGTTCTGATCTCAGTCCCGACGCCACTGTACCGCCACATTCGATTCTCTCCGCAACTACCGGCCGACAAGCAAGAGTACGTGGACTCGGTGCATCTCGGTCCCTACTGTAAATGCGTCTTGATCTACGCCGACCCCTGGTGGCGTGCAGTAGGATTCAACGGTTCTTTCATCGACTTGTCCGGACCTGTAGTGTTTTCACGAGATGTGTCATCCGATGCTGACGGTATGTTCGCCATTTCATGCCTCATCGGTGGTCGGTACGCCAACGAGTGGTCTCGGCTACCAGTCTCTCGACGCGTCCGGGCGGTTAAGGAGCAACTAGCGACCATGGTGGGTCCTGAACACGCCCCAAAGGTCTACGATACCATCCAGACCATTGAAAAGGCTTGGGCGAAGGAATCTTTTATTGAGGGCGTGCCTTGTCCTATGCCAGCGCCTGGTGGAATCTGGCCTCGGCTGGGAAATGCTCTACGTCGACCTTGGGGCAGCCTGTATTTCATTGGAACGGAGACGGCTATCGAGTGGAAGGGATATATGGAGGGCGCAGTCCGTGCCGGAGAGCGGGGCGCCGCTGAAGTGATTCGGGATCTTCAGTCTGCAGCGGGGGCCAGATTGCAATCCGCCCTGTGAAATTGTGGACTAATCTTCGCCGTCATTATCGCGTTCAATGCCTTAAGGAGTTGTGTAATGTGGCATTTCCATTATGCCGTTGACAGCATGACATGGTTCAACTATAGATTCATCTCTATCGAAATTTGGCCAATTCTCGCCCACTTCAGTTCGGTTCTCCATGCATCCAGCTCAATAGAATCCCCCTTGCCTACCGCATCATATCCACATCTCAAATACGGGAACGCATCCTCATCCCCCTTTGCATCTTCCTGTTCAAAAGCCTGCTCCACACGTTCCCCGTCACCTTCGCAGCATCATTATCATAATCATTCCAGCCCACACAAGATCACCAATCAATACTCCCGACAGAGAACACACCTCCACCGCCCACAGCTTCAAATTAAGACCATATCTGATCTAATCTCACGCGTCTGACTACCTAGAGTATTCCGGATCGGAAAGCCCACATCCTCGATGAAGATACCAAAGTCATCCGAATGGCCCGTCGAAGTCGCCAGGACCACCGTGCCAGCGGGAGTGCCATTGGCGACGTCGTACTTGTCGAATTCATCCCGCTGGCGCCGCCTCCGAAGCCGGCGATGCCGATCAGATCGGCAACTACACCGTCGAAGATCCAAGCGTAGGCTTTGTTTTTGCTGGCGGCTGTACGGCAATATGGTACGCCTGGGCCGAGGCCTTCGCCGGCACTGCCTACGTCGACGAGCACGTTCGCTGCTCGTCCACGCGAACGCCACAGCGTGCCCCGCTGGCCATTAGTGCTGAAGTGCCGCTCTCCTCCAGGGAGTGTGCATGTGCGGATCCCTTGGGCTCCTCGACGGACTTCCAGACTCCCTTGAAATAGATCCTGTGGACTTGCATTATTTTCGCTGGTGGCTACCCCCAGTGCGCACGCCGAGTAGAATCCATTCCCTCCGGCTTAGAAAAGACTTCCGCCCCGGCGAAGGTGAGACGTGTCGGGGATAAACGATTCAAGCGTCGGATGCTCAGGGTGACATCCCGTGATCAGCACATCATACTGGTCGAGACAGAGCCTATCATCCGCGTTCTCAAGCTGCGAGATGTGGAGATCGTGATCCGTGAGGACATCGAAGGGTATTCCTAAACGCTCCAGGAGACCGATCATAAGAAGGTAGGCGTTGAACTCGCGTGGGCGGTGGGGGGCCCAGTGGATGTAATCGTCCCCCATGTCCAGTAATGGCCGTCGAGGTGATGAATTAACGACACCGGACCCATCGCGGTGGACGTCGTACATAGACAAGCCGAGATCAGTACGTCTCACCATGCGATCAAATTGTCAATCCTTTCGTACAGCAAATTCGTGGCTTGGATGCTCCAGCTTGGAGGATTTCGACTGGTCGTACATACGCTCATTTGCATACGCGAGGTAGGTAAAGGTGGGCAGGACAAACCCAGTCCTCGGTCGCCTCACTCCATTAGGTGGCGCTCGGGAGGGGTGCACAAAGAAGATAACATCATCCCTCGCCAGGCCGTTGACTACCTCGACACGGACGGAGTACGCTCCCGACTGGCTACAGAGGGAATCTGGATGCGAAAATCCGTCTGCCAGCCGGCATCGTCAAAATCGTTCCCGTGGAAATGAACGGCTCCATAGCCGTAGCAAGCCTTGGTCCAATCTCCCTCGCTCCCATCCCATTCAGGGTCCGTCAATGCTCGTGTCGGACTATTGACCGCGCATCCGAGTGCGCTCCTACCACTGGTGTCAAATATGGTATTTGAGTGGACGTCACGCGCAAAGTCGTACTGGATAGTGACCATCTCCCCAGCGCCGTCATCACCGGAGGAATCCCGGATTGCCGAGTTGGCAATGTTGCCGTTAAAGAACGCACATATTTCGGGAGTCGAGTCACTCGCAGACCTCGCATCCATTGCTGCAAACATTGGAGGCGCTATCTTTCCCTGCTCAACTTGGCAACGGAGACGATGACCGGTCATCTTGAACGAACTCTGGACTGGTGTCTGAACGGATCATATTCGTATAGAGTCGTCGACCTCGAGGTTCTCCGAGCGTTATAAAGACAGGATGTCTCACATTCGTTGCGTTAACTTTCCGGGATACGAGACTGTAGCAGAGAAATACAGCCTTTCGGCGGAGGTCTGTATCCCGGCTGGAGCTTGGCTGGTCGTAACCTCAGGCCATGTTGGCCTGAACGATGATATGAATATGAAGGTCAACCTCCGCGAGCAACATTTGCTCGCGTTCAAGGTACGTCTCCCGGAAAAGTTTTCCACGGAGATAGTGACACCGGTCAAGATCTAGAACGTGGAACGGTCGATCCACGCATGCGATCCAAGTTTGACCGCTGACCAGATCTGGGCTCAGTCTACCAAGTGACATCTTATCACGTTGGCGGCGTGGATGAAAGTGTCACGGATCTGCTGGTTTCCGTGGCCAAAGAGTACATGGGGGCCCATCGCCCTGCATGGGCGGCGGTCGGAGTTGAAACTCTCGCGTTAGGCATATTCGAAATGAGTGCGTCCGCAGCGTTGCCCGGCGGGAGAGAGGCTGGAAATCTCAGTACCCAATATCTGAAATGAGTCCTAAGGATCATGGGCCAGGATGGCAATCAGCCAAAACAAATTCGGACCTGGAGCGAGTTCTGAGATTCTTTGCGACTCTTTTCGTCCACGACCTGACCCCACCATACTTGCTCAGGGCCATGAGTAGCTTGAGCCGTCCACACTTCTTCCAGTAGGGGAATCATGCCACCAAACATATAGTATCCAGTTCGATCGTGCCAGGCGGAACAGAGTTCTCTGATAGTATTCCGCGCGTCGGGATCATGCATCTCGCAACCTGCGAAGAATAAAGGAAGCAAGGCCTGCCTAGCAACGAACTGATCGTCACGGCATGCGCAGGCATGATCCAAAATAGTCCTGGCGCGGTGAATCACCCGGCCAGGAGTTCTATCGCCGGGCTTCCACCGGAAGACGCGGTAGATGTAGAGGAGGAGCCCGTTGCGCCATGCCTCAGAACAGTGTATTTGATCCATATCTTTATGCACGTTCTCTTCATCGTCGAACGCTGTGTCAGAGGGATTATGACTCCAGGTTTCAAGGGACTGTTCGATCTCTAAGACGAGGCTGTCGTCGAAGGAAACCCAGCGCATAGACGAGGACTTCTGCTTTTCTTCTGCCAGATGTGCTAGCTGAACCAGTGGGACCACGAGGCTGCGTGGGCAGCCACATAGTCCAAAATACGTAAAAAATCGGTCGTCCGCGCAGGCGAGAACTGATTCAAAATATTCGTAGGGAAAGATGCATGGGGTTCTGTTGACTAAGCTGAGCACTGCATCCCACCTAGAAATTGAGTTTTTAGTTTGGATATACTCGGAGCGGTGATATAGCTGTTTTAGTCAACCCACCAGGTAAGAAGTGCAACTTGAACCGCAGCACGAGGGTTTCTCGTCCAGGCTTCCACGCCACCACTTAATTGCACGACATTATAAGCGCCAGTGAGGTGTGTCGTCCAGCTGCCGAGTAGAGAATATGCTTCCTGAGGTGCTCCTGAGCTAATTTGCGATGAGAGCGTGGGGGAAGGCAGCTTACATCCAGAGAGAATAAAGTAATAATCGTGTCAAGCAATGAGGCTGCGATTTGGTTGACGTTATCATTATTGAGGGCTTGACGGAACAACTGAAGGGCAATTTGACCGTGATTTAGTACCGTCTCTGAAAGCTGATGTCGGCCGCTGCTGCTGAGCGACGAATGGTCCGTGTGGTGACATGCCAATGCGAGCACGGCGTGTAGGAGATATCCAGACTTTTGTAAGGCGTTCATACGAGACCGAAAGGGGTTCGCCGGCATGTCCAAAGTCAACGGGATAAGGCAGAACTCATTGTTGTCTGGCGATATTCAACATGATTAGTCCCGAAAGGTTCAAATAGTTGGGAAACATTACATCTCTCGAAAATAGGTTCCAGCCACTCAAACTGCCCGGTATATAGAGGACGAGGGGGAATTGTTTGGAGAAAATGGTACGACAAAGTCCGTATATCCTTGGAAGCCGCAGCAAAAGGTCGATGTGAATCATAGAGCTCTAGGCCTGTGACGGTCTCAAATCCATCTTGACAATCGGCGAGCTCGTCGACCGTTGACTCGCAGTCGAACACTAAGTCAGAAGGTATTCCAACTTGGCTCTGATTTTCAACGTGATTGGGATCGAGATGGAACTCTGGTTCGTTGATTGGTGAGTTCGGGTAGGAAGGCAGGATGGTCGTGTTGAATGACGTTAGCTCATCGAGGTCCAAAGGCGCTGCCACAATAGGTATCTCATTGTCTAAATAGGTTTCTTCTGCACCTTCCTCACCGAGGTCGTAGGGCTCCGCCATACTGGTGTCTTCTCTGTACATGTAAATGGCTTCTGCACCTGGGTCTGCTCGAGCGTTCATCATATTCGATTCGCTACCAGGCATACCCACCTCTGGAAGACGAGAATTGCTAGCAGTAGGTTTATCATTGGACGACGGACTTTGCTGTGGCCTGCTGGTTGCTTGTGAGAGTCTTCGAAGGGCTTGCCGCACGCGAGTTTCGCCATACTCTTGAGATGATTCCACGAGATGCTCACTGATGAATTCCAATTGACGCGGGCCCGAAGCGCCGTCATAACCCCTCCATCTAGACCTGCGTGCAATTTGCCTCTTGACTGGCTTCTTTTGGAGGGAGAATCCTGGCTGCCAGGAGAGTTGTACTGCAAATCCACCGCAGGTGTTGCCCGACTTCTCACAGTTCCCACAGCGCGGACTGGCACGGTCGCATTTCCACCGACGGGCCACACAGGTATGACAATCATTCCTTGCAGATTTTGGTGGACGACCTCTGCGAGGTGCGGAGGGCTGAGGTTCCATTGCAACGCAGGACAAGGAACCGAGAGGTTACGATCATCGGGTGGTAGGACAACTCATCGAGCCTCGAGCGCGGTAAGGGGCAGGAATACATAGGTAGAGAGTCTAGGCACCTTTCTCCGTCCGAATATCAACAAGGGTCTAGGCCTTCGCCGTTGAAAGGCTTTGAGTCTGTAGAGTAGATAGTGTTTATTGAACATTTAACTAGGGCGCGGGCAAGCACGTCCTCGGACTCCTTGTCTGCGCACTGTGACTGATAGGGTTGCCAAGGGCCGGGAAATCTGCTCGCGCCTCACCCCCGATTCGGAGAGGGGTAATGCCGCCCTGAGCTCACCCATGTCTCACCGGTCGTGGGGGCTAAGAATGTTTGGTGCCTCGGCACGGGCTGTGCAAAGCCGACCTCGCTTATCTTTGGTGGAGATTCATAGTAACAGCTGTAATTGGCCCACTGAGGCTCTAATTGTCTACGAGTAGCTACTTGATTAGAGTAACGCATCACGGCGAAACACATTCTTAGCAAAATTTGTTTTCATCTGTACGATATTATAATATTTCAACATTTTGTCAGACTGGACAGGACGCACCGTGCCCATCGTGTACACCATCTACCACAAGCTAGAGAGCGACAATCGAATTCAGCCACTGAATACGTCTGTGTCGAGGACATCGCGAACTACCTCCGACTTTTGCTCGAGTAGACTGACCTTGTCCTTCGATCTGCACATTGCTGATGCTCCATATCAGAATGAACTACCTAATCCGCTACCGCACTTCATGGACAGAATGCTAAGGAGGATTACAGTAATGATCTACTCTCGAGAATCTGGCCAAACGAGTAATGGTATGACGGCACGGCACGGAGGCGGTATGGAGGGTGCTCCAAAAGTCTATGGATTGCACTATACGAAAAGATTAAGCTAGAGAGCGAGAAGGACGAGCCTAGAGGCGAGGACTGAGCCGGAGAGTGCACCCAGAACGAGGCTACACTAGCACTAATCTAATGGTCGCCTATCTAGTGCCTATTGGTAGCTCAATTGTGCCTGGGGTTGTTGTCGAGGGTACCTTGACGGCCTGTCTGTGACACATCGCGCTACTCCCCGCCCTGGAAACAATCTAGAGATTGTGCTCCGTACTTTAATGAGTACTTTACTTAAAAAGATCTCTTCGCCCAGTCGATCTAGCTACATTTATGTATCTCCCATATCAACGCCAATTAGACTGTGTACGTGAGTAGGTAGGGACACATTACATTGACAAGCCTAGCGTTGTCCAGGCACCGCCGTCTGCCTCGCAAAATCGAGTACCGTAGTTCCACTTTGGCCCTTTAGTGATGCCGTCGTAACCGTGATGGAAGCTGGTTCATCAATGGCAATCATCTTCCCATCTTCGCTAGGTGAGCAACAGCAAGGCGTTTCGACACCGTCCTTTCAAATCTTTCTTGTGGAGGGACTAGTGAGATACGGTGCATGTTCTGGACAACCGCAAAAGCAGTTCTAGCGATATCTGAAAATGAAAGACACTCTACCACTGCTCGTCAGGCCTCCATACTTTAAGCGTGAGGTGCCTCCGCTAGCCTTGCGAGTGTGTTAGGTGATCTGCCCCTTGCGTTGTGCATGCTCACAGCGATCCAACTTTAGCTAAAACTGTACCGAGATGCTTATTCCTCAACTGAGCTAGACATGCGACCTCAATTGAGCTAGCCATACGACCATAACCTAGTTAAGCGGTAGATGTGAGAAGTTTTGTAGCAGCTTGAATTACGCTCATTCCTCATCGACATGCGCCCAAAAGTTCCTGTTATCCCTTCACTAAATTATCTGCATTCCAGTAACTGGGGGTTTTCCCCAGAAATCGACTATAACTGGAAGATTGTCCAACATATGCTTGCGAAGTGCTTTTCTTCGTCCATTGCATCATTGTCAAAGGAGTGTATCTCCGTCCATTCGTTTGAAGTATTTTGAGGTTTATTTGCGATTATGCATTCACACTCGTTTGTCAACTACCTTCCTATCCTGCTCGCTTTCATTGTTGCTGCCGTTGCCGCACCCGGACCAGGCTTGCCTCCCAAATACCCCACGAAATGCTTCACATCGATCGTCATGAAGCCGTCCCGAGGCCCTCAGACTAAATGGTCAGCATTGACTACCTCTTGCATCTCGACCAATACAGTGACTAGCACCATCACTCCCAGCACGACCTCAACGATCACGGACACTACCACTGTGACTTCGACGGCATCAACGTCTACCTTTACCGCGACTGAAACAATAACCTCAACGTTAACTGACACTTCCGTGACTACCTCGGTCTCAACTTCCACCTCAACTACGGAGACCGTCTCGACATCACTTATTACAACGTCACTTAGTTTCTTGCCAGTTGAAATAACGGTCCCGGGTGCATCTTTTGACCAAGACAGTGGCTCGATTAAGAGAGATGTGAGTTTTGGTGTCGATATCAGTGCGAATATCGCTGTACCGAAGCGTGGTTTTAACCCTGCCAATCCTGGCGGCCGTGGTGATGTGTCGTGCTATGAATATCATAGCAGTTGCTCTACCACCACAACAACCTTCACGACAACAGCTTCGACAAGAAAGTTCAGCACAACAATCACGAGCACGTCGACATTTACGACAACACCGGGTGAGTAGTATTGATTATACAGGTAGCCCTCATCCGAGCTAATCGTCATCTTTATAGGAGTAAGCACCACAGTTACGAGTACCGATACTACGACAACTACCTCGATCAGTACAGAAACGTCTACTACAGTCACTATCGTTACATCTTTCACTTCGACCACTTCGGCCTATGCCGCTTGTGTAAGATATAGCTAGCACATATATGAAAGCATTACCATTAATATCTTCAACAGGCAACCAATAACCAGGCCAACTCCGTCAATTCTCGCGCGGTCAGCGGTTTCTTTGGGAATGGCTCAGGTCAGGAGACAGATGCTACCAACGAGTATGACTGTTGCGTCTCAGCCATCATCAATCCCGATGGGGCCCTCTGGGCGTGGTCCTTTGACACTCAAACGTGTCTCATAGCTATTGGCACTTGTACTGAAGGCCAGGGCTCGAACGGTGTAGGAAACACCATTGAATTTAGCCGTGACCCGACCCACACTACACCTGCATATGGTGTTGGGAATGCTAACTGTGGACGGTGGGATTCTATTATACTCGACTGAATATCGTTGAAGAGCTGAGGGACGAGTAAGATAGTCTGTATAATCTCATAGCCTCTATCGCAGCCAGCAAACAGTAGTAATTCATTGAGCGTTCCCTCATTGCATCTTTAACCTCCTGAAGAGAAGTATGGCCTCAGTGCGATGGCCGATAGTTTGGATAATGAGTGTATGGCATAGAGGTGATATATAGCCATGCATTCTCGAAGCGCCACACGAGGCGAAAGTGCCGGTATCATGGGTGATAGTACGTCTTTGTCTTGCCTATAAATATACTGACCCGAAGGTGGGCTAGGATAAGTCTAAGTGTTTCCTTGTCGTGCGTGGCAAGAGGGCAGAGTAAACGGAAAGGATATAAAGGGTAGCAAAAGAATCCATCCTACCTATAGCTCCGCTTCAAGTGCGGCGTAGTGCCTACAAGGTGCTAAAGATGAGCCTGGTTTGTAACCCTGACATGGCCATATGGTTAGGGATATCATTTCGGAAAACTAACTATCGGGGGCGGTGACAGGATATGACTATGCCGGCAGTAGGCGCTTGGACAGAGGCTAACGGAAATTATGCTTCCCACGCTCTTCAAGCCGTGCTTGGACAACTCCCAGTATTGCCGATACTACTCGACAACCAAGAAGTCGAAGTCCTGCCGTTGACTTTACGGCAACAGGTGTACGTGAATGGAACTCTCGGGCTACACCTGATTGTGCGAACTGCATGAGGTCGTCGAGACTTGCCGCGGCCTCTTCAGGGTGGTCATAAGAACTCGATCCTGATCCTTCCAGTCTTATCTCCGTCATTTGGAAGTGTTCGTCTTCCAATTCGGGTTTTTGGCCGCAGTTGTTGAATCTGTAGACATGAATCCGGCTTCTGGTACTTCCCCCATCGATCATGATTACATATTGAACGAGTGGCTTCCTAAGGTCGTGCGGTACTATACATTTTGCTGTGGGTAGCGTGTTTCCGACCGTGGAAAATGAATAGCGGTGCCGACTATTTCAGTCAGGACTGGATCGTTATCAAGGATATTTGGTTGAGTATGATCAGGCCCGACATCCACAACGGCCACGATACAGAATATCTTGATGAACAATATTCGGAGACTCGACGTCCTCGAGACACTTCGAATTGGTCTTATCATCGAGAGATCATATGTTTGAAAACGTCTGGTGCTGTGCAGACTATAGCGGTCCAATGACTGGTTCGAACCCAGTTCAATTGGAAAAATGAGACCGGAAAGAATTCTGTTGGACTCCATGATAGGCAACCGGTGTCTCCAGCCTCCTGGTACCGCTCACACGTGTCCTCGTTAGCATACGTCGGCGCTTCTTCACTTGCGCATCCAAACTGTAGAGCTGGCGCCGGGAAGGTAAATGGGCGCCAACCACGACCAATACACTGGTCCAATTTTACCATCATATACGTATACAACAAAGATACATTTGCGAGGAGAATCCAACAGTGAATCTGCTCGTAGACTCAGGAGAAACAAACTTCGACGACCCGATCGATCGAAGCTTAACCCTGAAGCCCATACCGTATCTAGAACCTTACCACTTTAGGTAATTACCGCTTTAGGGAAGCTAAATAATAAAGTGCGCACAGATATTGCACGGACGAGGCTGATTGTTCGAGGGCCTTCAGACCCTTAGCTTTGAGCGATGCGGCTCGCCATGGACTAGTATTTCAAAGCGGCCCCCTAGCACAGATATCTCAGATGGATGTTGTGTCAAAGAGAATTCACCCTCCCAAAGGCGGCCCAAGGCCCCTCTCCCACGTTGGCGTACACACAGCTGCTACTAACGACTGTCCACTCTGACTCAGGTATCATAATACCACCTGGGGTAGAATGGACGTTGAAAGTAAAGCGAGCGTGTATAACAATGCTGATGACCGCGAGCTCGAGGCTCAGGGGTATCAATGTGCGATGCCGCGAAAATTCTCTTTGTTGTCACTTCTATCACTTTCCTTCGCCCTCACTGCGAGCTGGAATGGTTTCGGAAGCGCTATTGGTACGGGTCTCGGGGAATTTGGGTCTGCCGGGGTCCTGTGGACGCTCCTCATTGCAGCCGCTATGGGCTGGATCGTGTCGCTGGGCATGGCAGAGCTGGCGTCTGCTTATCCCAACTCGGGAGCGCAGTACTACTGGTCTTTTCGAGTTGCGACACCAGCATGGGCTCGTTTTGCGTCTTATATGTAAGGTTCCCCTTCGCACATGATGTATCGATAGCTGTTCACTGCTCACACCTTTCGCTTTAGCCCTGCTTGCGTCAGCACGGCTGGCTGGTGGCTTGGGAACGCCAGTGTAGCCAATTTCATTGCGGCGATGATATTGGCAATGGTGAAGATATCCATTCCAGACTATGTCATTCACCCATGGCATCAGTGGCTCCTTTACGCTGTGATACTCTGGCTCGCCGTGGCGATCAATGTCTTCGGAAGCCGGTTTGTCCCGTTGTTCTCCAAATTTATACGTGAGTTTGCTGTTCGCTTTGGATACCCGGGCGTCTCGGTGAGGATTTTGACTGTGGCATGAGTGCAGTGTACTTTTCGCTCACGTCTCTTACCGCAACTATTATCACCATCTTGGTCTGCGCAGCCCCCAATTTCCAAAAGGCTTCCTGGGTATTTGGAGATATCACCGATGCTTCAGGATGGGATACCAAGGGGCTCCTGTTCCTGCTGTGTCTCTTGAATAATGCACATGGGTTCATGGGTACTGATGCTGGTGCACACCTGTCAGGGGAGATTCCAAACCCCATGGTCAATGTCCCCAAGGCTATAGTTATGCCGGTGATAATCGGGTTGATTACGAGTAAGTTTTCCCAGCTTGTCTCATGCCGCGAGCCATAGAGTGCTTACAGTATACTACGTAGCATGGCCATTTGCTCTTGCTTGTTTGTTCGTCATTGTGGATGTCGAACGAGTTATTGCTCCGCCGAGTGGCCTCCCATTGATAGAGATATTCTATCAAGCAACAGGCAGTAAAGCTGCAACGATAGTGCTCTTGGCAGCTTTCGCATTCTGCATGCTTGGCTGTGCCACTGCCAATGTTGCTGGATCGAGTCGTCAGATCTGGGCAGCTTCGAGAGATAACACATTCCCAGGTTCTCTTTGGTGGTCTCAAGTGTCTCCTCGTTTCCAGATGCCTCTGAATGTGGCGGTTCTCTCGGGGTTGGTACCAATGGTAGGTTCAACCAAGGTCTGGAATGACTGACTATGTTTCAACGCTGACGAATTCTGTGTCCCTTCCAGATGTATGGCCTGATTTTCCTCGGATCGTCTACCACCTTTGCATCCATGGTTGGTGCCAATATTGTCTTCATGATGACTTCCTATGTAATTCCTCAAGAAATATTCGTATGGCGGGGTCGAGGAGTCCTCCCCGAAAGGCATCTCAATTTGGGGAAATGGGGAGCGGTCGTCAACGCAGTAGCGTGTGCATGGCGTATTTTCTTGGACGTAATGGCTTGCATACCTATCACAAGTCCAAAAACAGTCACGAACATGAACTGGGCGAGGTAAGTGAAGCCATACCCGTAGACTCTTGATTCCCCGAAACATGAACTACCGTGTTTCTGATGAGTTGAACAGTGTCGTGATCGTTGGCATCACAGCATATGTTCTCATTGCTTGGTATTTGTGGCAACGCGATGTGTATACGGGTCCTAAAGTCAATGTTCAGCTCCAGAACACTATTCACCATGAAATCCTCCATCACCGAAGTCATGAGGAGCAGGCGGCCGTTGTTGGTGTCGAGCTGGACAAATCGAGCAAGGAATATGGCCAGAAGTCTGTCAAAGGTGATTGAGGATACTCAGAACTTTCGCTTTAGGGATAGAGAACCTTTCCTTCTAATGGTCTCTCTTTCCTTCCTAGAGGTCTGTCTGACCCCTCAAGCCCTCTCAATCACCTCATCCCGATATCTCCTCTCCCCCTGGAGATATCGCCATCGACATATGTGTTACGAACACGACCCCATAGGCAACCATGAGTACACCTATAAAAGAAGGAGAGTGTTACGAACAAAACTTCATTGGCAGCCAAGGGCCAGCCCCAGAAGGAAAAAACAACGCCGTTATATGTTGAACATGTAACGAGTCTCCCACATAAGCCCTTGAACTTCTATAGTTTCCTTCGTAGTCAACTTGGTTCGCCCAGTAGTCGAATTCCTCTGGTAATACGCTTTACGTAAAGATCTATATACTACCATTTTGGTTTTCCGTCTTAGCTATATCTATCCTACTACTATATTATTAAGTAAACAACCTCGGTTTTGCTCGTTGACACCTCACGTGTTGTAAAGCGGCCAATAATATAATAAAGAATTCTTCGGGGGTGGCTTAGCCTTAAAGGGGTGAAGATGTATAGAGAGACACTAGCCTAAAGAAAGGATAAGTATGTCAAGACTAAATTTGTTCTGGGGGCTATTCTCTTGGATATCGTCTGGAGTTACAGATATGGTGGTAACTGTGCCCGCCACTCTGGGAGATCTTTCAGGACTTAGTAGACTCGAGTCAAGAGGCTCAGATACTGATCATCTCGATGCAAACAATACACTGACCGAATCACGCGATTTCATGATGTGCTAAGGCAACGCTTGCCTCCTGGTCGTTGCTAGCAAAAATGTTATTTGTCAATGCGTGACGCACTAGCGAGTCACTCGACCCATCATGCGAATGTGGGTCGACCTCGATCTCGTCGTCTTGTACGGCGGCCGGATGGCTCAACAACGCTGCCCACATCCGGTCAAGGCTGTACGCAGTCTAGAACAGCTTCTACTTGTGTTCACCTGTGGCTGGTTCTGAGAGATGAGTACCTGTTCTACTCAGACGCAGACCTGTCACGATCACCGAGCGCATCGCCATTCTGGCAAACATATAGGCACTATGGTGGCGATTGACCTCCAATGAACAGAAATACTGAGTTACGAATGTTAACAGGTGACAGAAGGCTCCCCGTCGCTGGAGTTAACTATGAGAAGTAGTAGAATCTCAGCGTGATTTGTCTCAGGGCGTTCCCCATGTGACCGAGGATTTTAGACGCTTTGGCGCAGCTTGCCATGCTCGGACAGGCTTGAACCCCCGAATTTCTCACGTAGAGTCCTCCAATGGCAAACGGTGCCCAATACTTAGAACTCGGAGGACCGTGGTCCAGATTCAGGGTCGACAACGTCATGGTCCAGAGTCCCCATCACCGTATCCTGGCCGACAATGTAGTAGCGGCGATTGGTGGATTTCAACGATGCCTCGGCGAGGAAACTCGCTCGAGAAAGACTCCACCAGGGCCAGCTAATGTTTCGTTGGTGGTATAGCTTAGGCGCAAAATATGATGGCACGGGTGTTTGCGGATCCGATGATTTGACGAAACTGAGTCGTGAATGCTCGTCTGCCGCTTCACCAATAAGGATGGGAGACTGAGAAATCAGTTTGTTGTCGTCAAACCAAGGAGTGTTATCCAAGGAGGAATTCATCTCGCGGTTTTCATGCTCAGTAGTTACCGGCGAGGTGTTGGAGACGGAGAATGTTGGATGATAGGCTATCTTGTGCCTCTTGATCTAATCGCACAAACCACCAATGAAGCCAAAGAGCTTTAGTCCTTCTTGCGGTAGTCAAGGTTGGCTTCGGCCGAACTCACCGACCTTTCAATCACTTTGGATATGTGAAAACGGTTCTTGTATCGGCTTCTTGTAGTTCTGACATGGCTATACCCCCGAGCACTTGACTTTCATTGCACGGCAACCGAGGTACCTGCATTCTACGCTCACAGTTGTAAGCATCCCGCCTTCTCTTCCCAGGAATAAGTTCACACCCAGTAATCACGCTGTGACTTTCCGTTAGAGTAATCCAGGCATCTAGTTGATGCATGCCAAAACTGGAGACAATGGCTGCACAGAGCAGGGGAGGGGAATGGGAAGAGGGAGCGAGGGAAGGGCAACCCCAGGCGACGGTCACACGACTTTTCCAGCGACTTAACGGACCAAAAGTGCCCCAAACTCACCCCTTAAGCGATCCCTAGGTGTCCATTTGGGTAGTCGGCGAAGATGTTGGATCACCAATTTCTGATTGGGTGTTTAGCTATTACGGCCGCGACGGCTCCTCCGCGCCCTTCAGGCTTGTCGTCCATTTCTGGCTAACTCGGTCAACGCTGACAACCAACCGTGACAAACGAACAGGATAATGACAATGGAACGCTTTCAACCTTCATCTTGGCCGAGGGATACACCTGGCAAACCGAAGACGAGGTATCTAAAGTTGCTCGCCTGCTCTGACACAAAATTGTTAAGTCGACTTATTGAAAGACAGCAATATTGCCACTGGCATAATACAACATCGCCGAAGGTACGATAACACATTGGGGTTATGGAGACTATAATCACTTTAGCATTGGGGATTACGAAACGGAACACATTCTCAGAAACCATAATATTAAAATTGAATTTTGAGGGTTCTGGCCATTGAAATCCACTTCTAGACTATGACATTCGGACTCTAAGCACCTTAAATTGTGAGCGGATATATAAAACCGGGCTCAGGTTCATTACCAAGACTGGGACACTCCAGACCCTCCAAGTCATCACCCGCGAGACCACACACCTCGATCTTTATTTGACTCTTAGTTTCGACCCTACGGCACTCGCGATTTTGTACACCCAAAGCCCTAGCCTCGATATGGGATCAACCGGAGCTGAAGCTAGCGGCCCTACCGCCTTCATCGATGTTGACACTTTAAGAACGAGATTTGTTCAGGCGATGTCGTCGATGTACCGAAAAGAAGTCCCTCTGTACGGCGATCTGATTGAGATCGTGCGACGTATCAATACCCACGTGCTTCAGAGCGGCTCTCTCAGTGAGGGAGATGTTGATTCGGCAGCCTTCAGGACAGACCCTGACAGATTGTTACTTGAGCGACACGGTGCCATCCGTCTCGGTACCCCGTTCGAGCTTCGGACGGTACGGAGGATGTTCAATATTTTGGGGATGCACCCCGTCGGATATTATGATTTATCGGTATGTGGCTTGCCTATGCATGCCACATGCTTTCGACCCACAGAAGTCTCAAGCCTTGACCGCAATGCCTTCCGCGTCTTCACCACTCTGTTACGGCCCGAGCTGCTGGAATCAGAGAAGACACGTCTGCTCTCGCTTTCCCTGCTCAACAAGAGAAATATCTTTCCCGATAGGCTTCTCGAACTCCTAGACACTGCTGACGCCCAAGGAGGCAGAGTCACAGAGGACCAAGCAATTGTCTTTCTGTCAGAAGGGTTGGAGCCGTTCAGCTGGCAGTCGGTCGCAGCAGCCACGTTGGATGAATATCAATTGTTGAAATCTCAACATCCTATCTTGGCGGACATTGCCTCCTTCCAGAGCGCTCATATTAATCACCTCACGCCCCGAACACTCGACATCTCCGCCGTTCAGTTGGCAATGAAGACGGCTGGCATAAGGACCAAGGCACGCATTGAAGGCCCACCTTTGCGAAAATGTCCCATTCTGTTGCGGCAGACGAGTTTTCTTGCTCTGGAAGAGCCTGTCAAGTTCAGGCAGGCAGACCCAGATGCACAGATAGCTTGCAACGGGGATCCAATCTTGATCGAGGGCAGCCACGCAGCTCGCTTCGGTGAGATCGAGCAGAGGGGTGCTGCTGTGACTCGGAAAGGTCAGGCGCTCTATGACAGGCTTTTGCGTGAAAGCATGGAAAAGACTGCTGGCGCAGATCCCCAAAAAGCTGATGAGATAACTGCAGAGATATTCGAGGCTTATCCTGATACGTGGGCAGAACTTAGGGAGCAGAACTTGATTTACTGCGAGTTCCAGCGACAGAGTAACGGTGACCCAGTCCGTCATCAATCTAACAGGCAAAAAAGGCCACCGTTGTTGCAGCAGTTGATCACGGATAAGGTCGTGGAGGTTCTTCCTGTGATATACGAAGACTTCCTCCCCTTCTCTGCTGCCGGTATTTTTCAATCAAACCTCCGGGCGAAGAATGAAGGGGATAACTCATCAGATTTCAAGCAGTCTTCTCCAGACCTGAAAGGATTCGAAGATTCGCTGGGAAGCCAAGTATTGGACCACTATGCACTGTACTTCCGGGTGCAACAGCGGAGTTTGGAGACGCTCGCTATTGACTTGGGCTTGACGGTGGCCGAGCTGATGGAAACCGATTCGTGCAATCATGGTGTATAGAACGCCCAAGGTTATCCGCTTTTTTCATTGGAGCCTTCTTCTGCAGGCTGGTTGAAATGATCTAGACCTTGCCCAAAAGCTGACCGAACCTGTCTGATCAGTTCCAGGTATGGGCGTGGAATAGAATAAGTTCTTGCCGCTAATCTATTGAGTGGGTCGACTGTCTATCCCATGGTTGGTCTATATATTAACAGCATCTAACTTATTCAAAAGTCGCTGCCTCATTGTGACATCCAGCTCACCGATGGTCATCTGTATATACATATCGAACAAATTGTATGAGCGGGATGCGTCCTCTTGTGTGGATGGCCTCTCTCGGTAGTATTGCATGGTTGGCGGGAATGGCCCGAGCTAGCTCCAGCGACTTTTATCCTTAACCATATAGAGGTCGAGAACTCAAAAATATATTTGCTAGTCCAATTATTGCGAAGCTCTTTGTGGATTCTATTGATTCTGTGAGTATGGTGTTATCAAGCATAATATCATTATCTATGTGCGAATGATAACTTCTTTTGGAATCCATCGTCCTACGAAAAGGGTTTGAATATTTGATACCCATTCGCCGCAATCTCTTGCAAATACTTCCTGAACGGCCCGATCCCTCCTAACCAAACCAAGACTGAAGGTGTCTTGCCAGGCACATTCTTACCCAATATCCAGTTATCGAGCTTAGGGAAGAGGGTGGCGTTGGCTGCCGAGTCACACTTCCGGACCCATGCGTCCACCGCTGACGGCAATACCTCGATCACGGGCCCGCGCGAGGTGATTGCAGCGACAGCGCCGTTTGCTGAGTTGCTAGCGTGCTCTTTGTTACTCTTCTCGGCCTGCTGTATAACGTCGATAACGAATTCGATCTGAGCTTCGAGGACGGGAGGGCCGTTGCCAAAGGGACTGCTGGGACCGAAGAGCATAAACATATTGGGAAAGTCGGGTACAAAGATCCCTAGAAGTGACGTTGGACTCCCGTTCTTATCCCAGTGTTCCTTTAGACTTTTACCACCACGTCCCTTGATAGTGGTCCGGGTCCAGTTTCCGTCCACGGCGTCGAAGCCAGTGGCGAAGATGAGGACATCCAGATCGTGGTGTGTGCCATCCTGCATGAGGATGCCTTTATCAGTGATGGCCTTTACTGGATTCTCTGACAAGAGAACGATATCAACGTTCGGCCTGTTGAACTGTTCAAAGTATCCACTGTCGCAGATCGGGCGACGGGCAAAAATTTCGGTCGGAGTTAGCTTCCTCGCTTTCTCTGGGTCTTTGACAGTCTCTTTGATCTTCTTGCGGAGGAATTTGCAGGCTTCCTCGTTCGCCTCCTCAGAGATAATAATGTCGCTAAATGTTCCAAACATGAAGCGGAAGCCGTTGCCCTTTTGCCACGCGTCTTCGAAGATTCGTTCTCTCTCCTCTGGAGACACACTCATAGTCAAGCGCGTGCTTTCTGGAAGGCCAACACCCATAGCACTATTGCGCACACATTCCCAGATCTCGTCGTACCGAGTGTTGATATCGGCTCGTTCTTCTTTGGTCAAGGGCCCATTGCCGCTGGGGACACTATATTGCGGCCGTCTTTGGAAAGAGGTGAGGGACTTCACCTCTGGACCAAGAGCGGTAATCACTTGGACGCCAGTCGATCCGTTTCCTATCACGCCGACGCGTTTATCCGTGAAGTCATGAGTCTGTGGCCATTTTCTAGGAGAGAAGATAGAAATCAGACTTTCAGTTGACAAGGTGGGTCATAAAGGGAGATATGAGGCTTACCCAGTATGATACATTTCTCCCTTGAACGATTCTAAGCCGGGAATGTCTGGATAATTGATTCTGGATAGGATACCTAAAGCTGTGACTAAGTAGCGAACAGTGTAGATATCTCCAGTCGAGGTCTGGACTACCCAATGATTGCCGTCCTCGTAGTACTGGGCGCGTTTAAGCTCGGTGTTGAACTGCATGTGCTTGCGTAGATCGTGGCGCTCGACCACATGCTGCAGATATTTCAGCACTTCTGGCTGATGGACATAGTGATTCTTCCAGGGGTATGTCGTCAGGTCCTCCTTGTCCCAGCTATATCGATAGACTGAGATTGACGTTGTATCAGTTTTGTGCGCCCTTGGAAAAGATTATGGTTACGGGTTGGCCCAAACATACCCATTGAATAAGAGTCTGACATGGCTCCAGGATACTGATTCCACCACCACGTACCCCCTACGTCCTCTGCCATGTCAATGAGCTTCGTGCTGAGCCCAAGCCTGACAAGTCTGTAAAGTTGGTAGATGCCCCCGAAGCCAGCGCCTACCACCAGGGCTTCGAGATGTGATTGTTTCATAGTGGCACGTGGTGACTTGTGCATAGACACTTAGTGGCTCGTTGAGTGCAGTCCTTGACACTCTGCCCGAGGGCTGAGATAACACATTATATATACCATATGTTCACAGCATGAATCGTTCAATATCTTTGAATACCCTTTCTGTTCTAGTATGCCAATTCTGGTTAAGCTACCGCGACAAGGCTCCCCCGGGGGGGGGGGGGGGTGGTTCCGTACCCCCCAGTCCTCCCGCCCGCATAATCAAGGTTAACGTGAGCTAGAAACCGGACATAAAGTATAAACCTCCAGAGGAGACCAAAGCCGCCTATTTCGACCAGTAGGCCGCCGCTGCGGTCAGATGTAGCCTAAGCTGATCGTATGAAATGTCACACTATTGCGAGACCAGTAGCTAGCCAGGAAGAGAACGGTCAGAAAAGCCTTAGTAATTAACCCTTCAAGTACATATCTGTACCTTTTCGAGAAGAGAATTAGTCGGAGAATGACACTTGACATACTCAAGGTCATGGACAGTCAGAGATAGTTGACTAACTCGAGAATGTCTGTGCGTACCATACTGTGCACTATATTCCGTATAATATCAACCCCTGGGGTTCGTCTAGCCTTTCCCAAACGATCTCACAGCCGCCAGTTTTATGGGACTGTGTTCCAATATTCAGCCTCGCCACTTAGCTTTACCCACCTACTGACCTCCATGCTATTTGAATTGTGACGTCCGTTCCTCGTTCTTGCCCCCGGACTGTAACGAAAGAGACAGCGCCAAGTCTCAGCACACCACCGTGACCGCGGTCGTAACTACGACTTATGGCTTCGGCGTGGCTGATCTTTGGCCATTTTGAATCATATTATCAATCAAAGGATCCGCAGGATATCGGAAGCGAAGAGCTCCAGATTCCGGAAGCGGCGAGTTTAAGATTTCGGAAGCGGAAACCGCTGTGGCCTCCTCAATCCTTCAAAGCTGACGTTGATATGTGTCGCTTCCGTGAACCATTCGCAAGTTGGCCGTCGTAGATGTCGAGTGTCATTTCCCATAATCAACTCGAGCTTGAATGTCGCCATGGCATCTTGTCGGTACATCTGATGAACTACCGTTGCAGCTTTTGCCACAAACGGTGTGAAATACTTGCAGGCCTCAGCGGCGACCATGGCACCCGTCATCATCTCCGCTTAATCTAGAGGGTCGGCGCACCAATATTCTCCCGGCCTACCCTGACCCAGAGACAGCAAAGGCTCACCCAATCGTGGCCAACTTCATCTGAAGGCCCCTATGCGGATCTGCTCCGAATCGTATTTTTGCTGTACAATCCCCGCTTAAGATGACTTTGTGGGGTTTTCCCCTCATTCTCCAGGCTACTAATTTCTTGTGCTTGCACACGCTGCTTATCTCTACTATACGCAGTCCAGCTGGTCTGCGAATAAATGACAGAAAAACTACCTATATGAGTGTTGGCCGCTTTTCGCAGGGCTTGCTATTCGATTTAGAGAGCTGCATCATCATCATCATCATCATCATCATCATCATCATCATCATCGTCCAAATACCAAAATGAATCGAGAAGACAAAAGAGTCCGAAATCGCCTGTCGCAGAAAGCATTTCGAGCGCGACAGGCAATGCGGATCAAAGAATTGGAGCAGAGACTCGAAAGTCGCCCGGGCTCGGAAAGCGAGCGTGTTTCAAAACTGGAGGAGTGCAACAAACTTCTGCGGGAGCGGCTGTTTGACAATCACAAGAAGATGGAAAGCCTACAGGTCTCTCTCCAGGCTCTTATCGACTCTACGGCCAAATACCTTGATTTGATGGTAAGCCACAGGGACAGCAAAACGTGGAAGATGGGCCAGCGACGGCATAAAAATTCTCCCTTTGTCCGCGACTGACCAATTTGCATCACAGATTAATGAGGATACTTCTTCTTCCCTGGAGGACATCTCAACCTCAAACAATGCATCTTCACCAACGCCACAAGATCGCATGTTCCACTATCATGAGCCTGCCGCCATGAGCGCAGTGCAATGCCCAACGACTGCGGAAAACTTTGCATGCCAGAACCTGTTCGACCTAGACCACGGCTTCGCCCAGACCCATGAGATCGATACAGATTGGCTTAACAACTCGGTATACTTCAATGGAAGTTTCCTCGAGTCTCGGCAAGACTCAGATATTTCCGCTAATCAACAGGCGAGTGGACCGTCGAATACAAGAGATCAACTTCAAACTTCACTCGTGCTTCCCAGTGGGAAGGCTACGATTCCGAAGCAGAATCCCTTGAACGACCCTCTCTCTCAGCTTCCTCTATCCTTCACCATAGCGCAATTCTCCCCGACGTCTTATGCTGGCACGTCTCAAAGCGGCCCTATCCTGTTCACTTCCCCGCAAGGCCAGCTGCACGCCACTAGTTCAATGCTGTCAAACCATATCAATTCAATGGAGTTTTTCCTCAAATTGAACATGTCAAATTTTCGCCTGCCAACCAATCGAGGGGCTCCCTCGCATCTTGATGGGTGAGTGATGAGATTATAATCTCATCTCCAGGCAACAGACGCCAGAGCTGACCCATGCCTCAAGTAGTCATCTAACAGCCGCAGTATCGCTGATATTTTCGACTTTCGTAACCATGTCGTGGCAAACCATGACAGCCTGGCACGCCTATTTAAGAGTGCAGCCTGATCTGACTGGCCTCATGGAATGGCGGGTCAATCCTAACCCAGACACCCTTTCTAAGATACCACCCTATTACCGGCCAACACAGTTGCAACTTTCGGTCAACTACCCTGCGGTAATCGACTGGATGCCGTGGCCATCAATCCGTGATGCACTCATAACTTACCATTCCGCGAATCCAAGATTGGATGATCTCATTTTCGAGATAGCGTCTAGTTACGTTATGGAGATAGACTTGTCTAAGTTGGTGGCAGGCTTTCCACCAACGCCGGGTTATGTCTCTGTCTGGGACTTAGTGCAGGCGATCTCCCCTGAAACTATATGTGCCGCTTTACCGGCTCTTGCGAGTTGCTCGGAGTGGGAGTGTTCGATACACGACGGTGCGTCCGCTAACAAGGCTTGGAATGAGTCTCGTGACGAGACCAACGAGCCAACAACACTCGAAAGCTCACTTCCTGCCTCCAGCACAAGGGCTCTGTTCGAATCAAAGGGGCTCGCCTTCCAGGCTTTCAAGCTGTTGGGAATGGACAATGGACCCCATCAATACAAGCTAGGACCCGCTTTCTTTGCAAGGCACCCCGAACTCTACGAGCCCAGTGCGAACATCATGGCCGCCGGCGTGTTTCTCCATCCTGGTCGTCGCTGGTCGCTGGCACATCCCCAACCGTTAGATAACAGCATCTTGGCTCGATACAGAGAAGTGACATCGTGGACGTTGAATCCACACCCGCGGTCCTGTCCCCAAACAGACACGGCTTGGCTAGGATAATTCATATCCATACTTCTTGGACATCAACAAAATTCATGAACATCTCGAGGGATCTCGCCAAATGTGGGGGCTCATGGAAGCTAAACCATACAAGGTGTGGAATCCAAAGGGTGGAATTGATGTTTTGTGATAGGCACGCTATCAGGAAGCCAGTCTGCACGTACCTGGTATCTGTAAAAGAATTCTCCTAACCTTTGTTCAGCATCGTTAGTGGGCATTCCCCCATTCGTGACTCGGAAGTGTACAAGTTCTTGCAGAGGACAGTGTCATATATATCCAAAGGAGTCCAGACGTTGCTAGACCCTACCAATTTAAGAGAACCTTAAGTTGAGTCCTTTTCTGTGTCCTGGTATACGGGTCATGCTCATATGTACTCATGCAGTCGAGCGCTTTGTCCCGGAAGCGAGACCTATGGGCCTCCGAACTCTTGGTCATCATTCAAAGTACCACACGGGGAGGAGTGGACAACTGTTGAATGTCTGTCTGTCTTGAAAACTAGAAGCTATCGTAGTGGCAAACAGCCTCGACGGGCTCCTGAGCAAGCAATCTTGCAATAGGAACCGGTCGCATACGAAGCTCGGTTGACAGACCGTTTCGTTTCTGACAGATTAATTGAATTGCCCTCGATTTTCGGCTGCGGCCCCGGATCCTAAAATGATCCGACTCAATTCAAGCTCGAGATACTTCCCGTATAAGTTTGATTAATGAAGGGATGCCAAAGAAGTTTAATCTCACAGTGTCTGTTGAGGTGGCAGCACAGTCAGTTAGGTCACTAGCCAAGCATTTAGTAATGAAAGCATGACTGAATACTTGTGGGTCTTTCTATACCCCAGACCAAATAAGCGTCCCACCCTTATAGCTCCCCTATTCGTTTGGCATTTTATCCGGAGGAGCAAAATGCAAGTATCGGCGCCTTTGGGCCCTGAACGGCCAGGCTTCTATAGATAAAGGGCTACATCAGCAAGGACTCCGGTAAACCTCTGGAATATTAGAATACGCGACCACCGCCATCAGAACTCCAGGAGTTTCGTGTTAGCCAGAATGGATCATCGTCAGCAAACCAGTTTCCAGCGGCTCGAGCTCGAGCACGCCCAGCGCGATGCTGGCGCGCTAGAGGACATCGAAAATTCCAACGCCCTCACCACCGACCAGTCAGAGTTCTCCAGAGGCTATGTATTGAGAATGCTGGCCGCCATCGCCTCAATTGGGATGGGTACGAATGCTGCATACTGGGGCTTTAGTCCCCCTGCAGCAATTCTCACCTACATCAACGAGGATATTGGTTGGTTTAGGACAACGACCAAACGTGATGAATCTAATTCGGAGGCAGGACCTAGTGACAATGCGAGCCTATTTCCGATCATCTGGACACTTGCCTGTGGCATTTCTATCATTTTTTTCGGTCGTTTCTCCGACAAATTCGGCCGAAGATGATTCATGATCGGTGCCTCGCTGATTGGGTGTGTCGGGGGGATAATAGCCTGCCTGGCTCGGAATATGGATACACTTGTCGCCGCAAATGTGAGGGATTGCAACACGGTCAGTGATCGAAGTCTTGTACGTTGACTTTGGCAGGTTTTCCTTGGCCTTTCTGGCGGCGTCCACACCTGCTACGCCCTGACTGTGGGCGAGATTTGTCCAAACAAATTCAAGTTGGCGGGCAGTGCTTTTGTCACTATTCCGTGTATTCTGAGCACGGGCTTTGGCGCCTACATATGTGAGCTCCCCATGTTCTTCGACGATCTTGGCCCATGTTGATTCCTCGCAGCCTCGAGACTGGCCCACACAGGCGCTGGGTGGAGGTGGTGCTACTACTCGTATCTCATGATGATGAGCTGCGCAGCAATCATGCAGTATCACTTCTACAAGCCTCCATCGTTCAAACAGCTACATGGTGGGAGGCGGACACTCAAGGAAGAATTTCGGCGAATTGACTTTGTCGGCGGTTTTCTTCTCACCGCTGGACTCGTGATGTTCTTGCTGGGTATTTCATGGGGTGGTCAACCAATTCCTTGGACATCACCACGCATCCTGTGCCTCATTGTCATTGGCGCAGTGCTGATTGTTGCGTTTGTTTTTTGGGGTCAGACTCTTTTCCTGAAGAAACACAAAGCACGTGGAACTGACGGCTCTGAACAGAAATATATTCTACCACGCCGAATCCACTCGTCCCCATGTACTTCTTTCGAGATCTCAGAGGATTTACCTGTTTGGTAATCATCTGTTCGGTCTCTGGGGCCTCATATGTTGCGCCGACTGTCGTCTGGCCGTCGCGTGAGTATTTTCTTTTCACAGTGAGTTGCGCCTGACATTTTTGCTAACTGCCCCTCGTTTTACAGAAGTTGCGGCCGTGTACGGCGTCAGGACTACTAATTGGCAGGAAAACGCCTGGTTGAACACAACCGTTTCTTTTGGCATTATTGGTGGAATTTGGTTCTGGGGACCCATGGTTTCTGTGGTCAAACATGTTCGCATCCAATTACTCGTCCTGGCTACGATGACGTGTGCCTTCAACGGTGCCCTTGCATCCAGCAACCGGGATAACAAGCAACAGAGTGCAGCGTTTTCTTTCTTGGCCACACTGCCAGATGGTATCATGGAACTTATGCCGGTTGCGCTTGCACAAATGGACGCCAATGACGCTGACCTTGGGACTGTTTTTGGTATAATTAGAAACATGTCCTAGAAGTGAACCTTACACTGACATCTCACTAGGAATCGTTTTCCTTTTCAGGACAGTTTGTGGCAGCATATTCACCACAATTTATCTGGCCATCCTACAGAACAAACTCTTATTTGCGATTGCTCAGCGCGTTCCGGCCGCCGCTGAAGCTGCGGGATTGCCAGCTTCATCTCTAAAGGATGTCTTGACCGCTGCGAGTGTAGGGACGGCTGCTGCGTTGGACAAAGTCCCCGGGATGAACCCAGCCATTGCTACTCAGATAATGGACGCGCTAGTGGAGGCAAGAGTGTGGTCCTACAAGTTTATCTATCTTGCATCGATTCCCATCAATTTCTGCGCAGTGGTTGCTGCTTTCTTTATCAAGGACTACGATCCACTGCTCAGCTCGCATGTTCCACGGCAGATCTACGCACATGGTGAAGGCGTCAAAAAGTCTCAGGAAAAGGGGACTATCGACATCGAGGATAGCTCAGGAGAGCGGGATGGGGAGAAAAGTCAGACGGTGGAAATTGATGACGCGGCTGCTGCACCTGCCCATCCTGCGAGTGACATGCGTGAGACAAAGAATTGATCAACGCCCCAAGGTGGTCGGACTTTGGAAGAATGCGGGCCGCGGTGGATGGAAGATGTGTGTTTCGGGGTTGGGGGTCATTTGCAGGTATCCTGGACGCAATTTCGAGCACAAGCAATGTAGTGATTTCTCAAGTCTTCGCTTCAACTACAGACCCTGTAGATTAAAAGCGCTAATGAAAGGCCCAAACCATGTAAATGAAAGACAGAGTCCGTGCATGCGATTCAAGTAGAGTCGCTTGAATGGACCATCATGATACGGAGATTTTATCCTGCAATATCCCATACCTCGATTCCGACCTGAGGACTCCGGCAGGGTAGTGATTGAAGTTCATAGCCGGGACTTGCGCTCAACTCTCGCAGACGAGTACGGGTGACGAATATCGCGAACAGCACCAGCATGAGTCAGAGTTTTTTGAGACGGTACCTACAGAGACGGGACCAGCATGGTGGGAGACTTAACTCACAAGGGTTCGCTGCAAAGCTAACAGTCAGAAAAGTATGACCGCCAAGCAGGTATGATCCTTTTACAGAGTAGGCTTGGGGACCATGGGCTGGGCGTTATGGACTATTTACGAACCCCCTTCGCACATGCTCCAGAAGAAAAAGGCAGAGTAAGTCTAAAACCGGCAGCAAAGACAAATAAACATGGAACGCATCTCATTACAAGGCAAAGTGATCGCAGTGACAGGAGGGTCCTCAGGCATAGGTTTGGGCATCGTTCTGAAATTGCTCCTACTCAAAGCCAAGGTCGCTGTGGCAGATCTGTCGCCAAAGCCACAAGAACTCGACGGCAATCCCGATGTTCTGTTCACAATGGTCGATGTGACTTCTCGACAGCAGGTTCACGACTGGATCCAGGAGATCGTGGGCCGATTCGGGAGGTTGGACGGCATGTGTGCCAACGCGGGAATCTGTCCAATCGAGGTCGGCGTCGCCAGCGACCAGATCTATCGCTCGATCATGGATGTTTGCGTCTCAGGCGTGTGGAATTGTGGCACGGAAGCGTATTGGCAGTTTCAGAAACAAGGAGGCGGTGGTGCAATTGTCAATACCGCCAGCGCCGCGGGTTTACGAGGGGTAAGAAATATGGCTGTGTACTGCAGTGCTAAGCACGCAGTAGTGGGCATGACCAGAAGCTGGGCGTTGGATTGGGCTCCGGTGAGCATCAGGGTGAATGCACTTGCTCCAGGTACGATCGCTTTTTCATTTCCATTTTCATGGACACTACCGCTCGTTTAGCGGTATTGATGATACGGAAAAGCTGATGCCTCATCTCCTCAGGACTCACCGAATCAGCAATCACGCGGGGACTAATTGATAACCATGGTGATGTCGCAAAAGCCATGATGGCCAGTGTCCCCATGGGAAGGATGGGCACACCCGCCGAGATGGCTGACAGTGTGGTATTTCTTCTCGGTGACACCGCTTCGAATATCACAGGGACTGTTCTTAGCTGCGATGGGGGGATGATAAGCTGAACTGGTGGTGTGAGGAGTCAGAAGGGTCGCCACAGCAGAGATGACCGCGGAGGGATCTGCTATCGGCTTGAGCGGATCCTCGTAAGTTTCTTTGCAGTACTTTGCAGTTCAGGGAGTCAGGTAAAATGGTCATCGAACTCTCGGTAGTAGATATCCAATAAACTTCTAACTTTCAATGAGTTCCCTTCCTTATTTGGTTCAAGTAGGGTTCAATATTGGAGTGTTTATGGTCAACTTAGGCAGTAGACGCCCATTAAACCAAAAGCGATGGAAGAACGGTGTAACGCATTTTAGCTTTCGAACATTTCCTTGTCTCATTCAAGCCCCGCATCACCATGATCTCGCAGACGCAGGTTCATCTGGGAGGAAAGGGATCTCGTTGGTGGATAGCGGATTGTCCGAAATTTGTGGTCGTTTCCTAGACCCATTCGCAGGTCTCCTGCGCAATTCTGTAAGACTCTCGGTCAAGTTGGTCGATCTTTGAATCTTCACTTCTGATCCTGAAGGGTCTTGTAAATGATATGATCTACCCATTCTCCTTCCCAGATCGGCCCCAGTCGGACATCGTCGGTTTCTTGTGACTCTTTTCGAAACGATCCGAAAGAACTCCAAAAGCCTCGTTTGCAGGATCTGTATCCTTTTCAGGGGTCGCACTGTTTCGGCCCAAGTTACAAGAATTAGCAGTCTTTTTGGAGGTGGTAGTGCAGACGCTGATCGTAGTATTGATTTGCTTGTTCAAAAATAACAACAAGAGGAAGTCTGAGAAAGTGGCAGATATATGATACAAGACTTCGATGAATTGGAGCAACTCCAGACACTAGGGGATCGTCATGAAAGCTACAAATACTACTATTCGTCTTGAGCTAACAGATCGGAGAAGGTTCGATTTTGGTGGACAGCAGTAATCGCGAGGGTTACGAGAGGGCAACAAGTGACTTGAGTGATTGTTCAATGAACCGCGCCGTGGAACAGTATGTTGGACTGGACGATAGACGTGGAGACGCCCGACTATCTCTGCTCACATATAGTAACAGCAGCAAAAAAGGACAGATAAGAAGTCTGTTCTAGCACCAAGGCCACAGCCGTGAAGTCGTGATACCGTCCTTAAAGAAGAGTGTGGCATAGGACTCGACGAAGGGCGCATCGCAGACCATTCAACCACGCCAGAAAGACTGCAGTACTGTGGCCCTAGATCATGTCCGATCATGTCGAGCACAATAGGCTATGCCTCGCATCGATGGCTCAAATGCCGCGACAGGAAGACTATATTCATACCATATGGTCATAAAATCGCATTTTGCTCTCGGCGACCCAAGAAACGTTGTCATATCGTACCAATTGTTGACGATCTGCCTATAAATTTTTAGCTATAGCTCGCTAAAGAGCGTCCGATCGAACGGCAGCGCGCCTAGTGCCAGGAGGTAATCTGCGTGGCAGGGTTCCGGAGATGCCTTCTGGTGCCATTGCTATTTGTATATAAACGATCGGGGTACTTCTTGAGAACGGACACAGATAGGTGGAGAAGACCATGCCATTGCTCAAGCGTTGCTAGTTCAACACTAACCTGTTCGATTGCACCAAGGAGCGCGAGAAAAGCGCGCTACTGCGTGGCATGGAGAATGGCCGGCCATAAGTCTGTCGCTGTCACGCCCGGGTGGTGGCTAGAGGACCAGCTTCCATGCGCACAAGCACCAACAACAAGGAACCGTCGACTAATGCTTGATCGACCCGGATCGAACACTAGTAAGACAGTGGTTCTCATCAACCAACCAGTCTCACGCACGGGACAATTATCCTCACCCAGGCTATCTTTTCCAGGGACGCGAAAGACTCCCATACTTTCCTTGCAGACATATGCACCGACCTCGGTGTCTACCAGCACAGAAAGACCTTGTTGTGGGTGGCGTTCCCGAGACTGTGGTAGTGAGCGGCTCGACCCAAAGCCAGTCACAGTCATTGACAACTCTATACACTGAACGGCTTCTTGATCTCGGCTGCGGTGCCGGCAATGCCCCTCTGCTCGTCCGGGTTGAGTTCAATCCCGAACCAAGCCTTGAGGCCTTGAACCCGTTCCTTCTCCGACTTCGCATCTAGTACAACTTCCTTTAGCCCTTCTCCAAGTCTCCTCTCAAAGACCGTTCCCGAGAGGATCACTGTCCCTGTGGCTTTCGTCCTTGTTTCCTCGTCCACAAGAATCCGCACCAGGACGAGACGGTGGGTAAACCAGCTGGCTGGGTCCTGGCTTGTGCGGTAGTTAATGATTTCGAAGTCCATGGGAAGCCATTCCAGGTCAGCAAAGCAGTAGCCGCTTTGCCATTCTTGGTGGGTCTTATTGCGCGTTTCGAGGACCCAGAGCTTTTGGGACTGATCTGTGTTTGAGGCAATGGGGCGGTGCACAAGGCGGACCTCTGCACCGGGGACAGAGTTATAAGGTTTCGGTTTGGCGTGATCAAGTGGGATCGGATGGACGGGCGAGGTACTGCCAAAGCCGACGTCGACCTGCATTGGGGTGTTAGGAGGCTCCTCGTGCATTATCCGCCAGCATGGCTGTTGGGTGGAAGGGCAATGAATAATATTACCAGATATTTCTGATTTTCAATTATCACGATAATGACCTCGTGTTGCCTGTTGACACGATAATATCCGTTAGACTTCCAGCACCCTAAAGACCAGCGGCGAGAGAGCGATGTGACACACATACCATCCGGCAAACCCGTCAGGATCGACCGAGTCCCCGCTTAAGGCGAGGCTGACCCTTGCGCCAGTGACATACAGCCGAAAGCCCAAGGATCTTAGGATGGTGCTGAAAAAGGCGTTGTTTTCCATACAATAGCCGCCCAACCCTCGCTCGACGAGCTTGTGATATAACGCTTCATGGTCGAGCGACAGGGCGCGGTGCCAAGAGTAATGCAGCGCGATGTTCCCCCATGGATTAAAGGCCATCTGGCGAAGCTGCAGGGTTGAAAGTGCCGCGAGGGGATCTTCCTTGATCTCAGACTCGAGCGTCGCAAGCGTGTAGTCCTTTGATGGGGCGATCCATTTCGATACGTATGTGGCGAGTTGTTCGCGGGTGTAGGTTGGCCGAGATGACGAAAGGGAGGCGGTCTCAAGGCCTGTTGTTGCGTCTTCACCCATGGTGCCTGTTCTCTAGTAGTTCGTGTTTCTGCACTTTGGGCTTGGTCTGCGGTAAGTATCGGAACCTCGGCAACGATTATAGCCCTATTCTTCTCCTGTCGAGCGTAAATATCCCCTCGCGCGGTTATAGGAAGGTCAGCGTCGCAGGTCGCAGGTTATGTAGCAAAAGAAGACCAAGTTGAATACCAAAATGGGCAATTTGTCTCACTGGGAGCTAGGCCTGTCGACAATGAAAGATATGAAAGGGGGAGAGATCGAACCGACCCTATCGGTGCCATGATTGACGAACTATAAGCAGCGATGATGGGCAGTGTGGTTGTAAGCGAATTCGATACGCGCGGAGATGTACGATTGCGATTTATCATGGAATTTGAGCCGTTGACCGTAGCTTGTACGGAGATGGATTTTGTCCCGACTAGTCTGCGTAGAGGGGTGATTGGAGAAGGAGGGGCTGCTGGAGGGTGAGAGTTCCGTATCCCGGGTGTAGAAGGACACCAGCGATAATCTTTGGCAACAAGGTGGCTGGCAGTGGCCGACGAGCTGGAAGTGAGAGAGAAGTGAGAGGAATGCATAAATGTGTACAAGTGGATGCTGAGTATTGCGCCTGCCGAATACCTCTAGAATATGGAGCCTGAGAGATGAAACATCACATCCGGGACAGTAAAACTCGTCGTCGATGAGAAATTTCGGCACCAGTCTCATTTATTCCTTCGTCTTCTTGAAAGAGGAAACATGTACAAACACGCACCGTGCTTGTAAGGGAGTAGTGCAGGACCCAAGAGAGGCGAGACACCAAGCGAACAAATCGGGCTCTTCCATTTCATCTTTCTCAGCTCCTTCTCAGCAGTTGATCGATGAACTGGCCCGGTGGTGCTGGTGGCCCTTGATGGGTGCCTCGTGGGTGGCATGGCCGCCGCATGCACCCCTCCAATTAGCCTGTTTCTCGCTTCTAAAGAGATGAATTCCAGAACAGCCATCGTTGCCCACTATTACTCTTGTCCTTCGTCACCTTGTTCCTGCTCAGTCATCTCTGATCAGGCCATGTTCTTGTACATACAACTCAATCGAGAGCCCAAACCCCCATGATGCCACACTCGCTCCCCTCAAGTTGATCGACATCCCCATCGCTATCAGTTGCCACAAAGCTGCGACCCAGCTGTACAACCCCACAATCCGTTGCCACGCTACGGCATCTGGGTCCTGATCCTGATCCTGACCCTGACCCTGACCCTGATCTGATCCTCATTGACCTCCCGGATGCAACTTTCTTGTGCCTCCGACAGCTCGCTGTCCTCCCGTCGATAACGCCCACCTCTAGCCATGAAAGACACTCTGCGCAAGAAGGCCGCCAAAACCAGTTCAGGCAGCGAGTTCGACGTGGCTTCGCAGCTGGATGTCACCTCTCAGTCCAGTGAATCCGTCTCGCCAAATCCATGGGCTAGTGAGGCCTCTTCCACCCTGAACGGTGAAGACATTTCCCGCCAGATATCCAAGGCTTCTAGGACTCCGGACACCACGTCTCCCATACGGAGCATCATGTCTACTACCACCAAGGAAGAAGAATCTGGATCGCCCCCTGCTTCCATCCAGCGACTGGATATTCCTGCCGCTGGCGACACCGCTGCCCTTGACGATTCTGGCAAACCCACTCGCCGAAGAAAGACCGTCACCAAAACTCCTCACACATTCGAGCTCGAGGCTGATCTAACTCCTGTTAAACAAAAAGAACAGATGCCTGCCTCTGCAGCAGAGCAGCCTCCACCCAAATCGGACGTTCAAACGCCCGCACCCAAAAAGAAGAAACGAGTGTCGCAAGTCGCGCCTCCGGACGCCACGCCCAATCCTACCGTCATGGTCAATTCAGTACCGTCCACTGATGCTGCGACTCCCCTATCATCACCAAAATCGCCTTCCTCCGTTGTGCCTGTATCCACCTCGAACCAGGCCCCAGCTCCCTCAGCCACGACTTCTTCGTCTCTCAAACCAAATGCCTCATCAACAATCGCGCCCGTAAACCCATTCACGACACGAACTAAGAAATCCCAGTCTATGTCCTCTGTCCCTCAAGTCTTCGCGTCTAATCCGTGCCGTTTTACACCGCCACCCCTGCCGAAAGAATCCTTTCATGGCAAAGTGATCGTCCTCTCCAATGGCGCCAGTCAAACAGGTCAGTCTCTGATACGCCAATTCCACACGGCTGGCTGTCGGGTGATTTTTGGCGACACGAATAGCGACCAGGCTCGCAAGTTTATCTCCTCGCTTGGCCCGCCGCACGTAGTTCACTTCAACAAATGCGACCTGACTAAGTACTCTGACATGCTGGACCTGTTTAAGCTCGCGATCACTATGTATGGACGTGTCGACCACGCCATCTTCGGGGTGGGTGACGACGGGGGGCAAGCATGCACCGTGGGTGCGGGCGAAAAGGGCTGGTTTGAAGATCGCCCCGGGATCAACAAGACGGCCAAGATGGCTTACGACGAGGTAGCAACAGAGCCCACCGGTTTGGGAGATATCATCACGGCGAGCATTCGATTTGCGCGAATTGCACTGGCATATCTGAAATATTCGCCCAAGTCCAAGAGCAGCAGCAAGAAGGGCATTGTGAATCCTTATTCGAGACCGCAGCCAGAAGCCCCTGCCTCGCCGGGTATGAACGACCGCAGTCTGACCTTCCTCACGTCCGCGGCTGCGTTCAAGGAAACTCCGCAGCTGCCCATTTATCAAGTGACGCAGCATTCGATCCTGGGGCTCGTGCGCAGTCTCTGGACAAATATCGACCCGGACCCCGAGCGCGATGGCGTGCGCATCAACGCGGTCGTCACGAACGTCATGGTGCCGCGCGCCGTCGCCCAGTCAGGCGGTCGGAGCATGTCCGTGCAGCTCCCGCCCGATCGGCCCGAGGACATTGCGCGTGTGGTCGTCGGCGTGGTCGCCACGAACGCGTCCACGCCGGACATTAACGGCGGAGACTCCTCGAGCGGGAGCGGCATTGCCAGCGGCGGCGGCGTGTGGTACGAAAAAGGCCACGAGAGGGGAATGCGCGAGAAGTACCTCCACGGCAGGGTCATCTATGCCGTGGGCACCGAGGGCTGGGACGTCCAAGAGGGCATGAGCCGCAGTGAGGCCATCTGGCTTGGTCAGAAGCCCGCCGAGGCTCTGAATCGCAGCATGGCTGGGTTGAGCCTGGACGGACAGAGTACGTGGATCCTGGATATGGTCTGATCCGAGAAGGTCCTGAGAGCGTAAGTAGTTGTTGTCAGATCTGACATTAGTGGCAGTGCTGTCCGTGCGTTTACTAGCTTTTGTTAGCTCGTCGTCTGGTTCTACAAGTGCCTCAAGAGAAACGGAACTACATGGGAAAAGGCATAGTGGTCTATGCAATAAAAGGTGGATCGGTCCGGTTGCTAGCATTACGAGTACCGTCTGATTGCGATGCGTTGCATGTTCCCCATCCACTTTCTGCGGGGACATATGGATTGGAACAGAGTGCATTAAGAAACGGCGATCTATCTCGTCGTTGGGTAACCTGCATCTCCTCCATCTCCCTCCAGATGTATAGCCCGTGAGCTGGCTTGCCGTCAGTCCAATGCCTAGGGGGAGGGGCCATTTATCGACTCGAGCGCAACGACATCCAGCCACGAACAAGCCAACTACATGACCAACTCGGGCTTTTCTTTCCTCTTTATCTGCCCGGTCGTGGTGCCTGCGGCCCTGCCATCTTCCGCGCTCTCCTCGCTAGTACTTCTTCTCCCTTTCTTATTTCCTCTTTCGCGTGTCCGCCGACTCCTCCTCCGGCTCTTACGCCCTTTCCTCCCACCCTCGCCCCCATCACTATCCGGATCGCTGCCGGTCCCAGTGTCGTAGGGACTCTGATCACCTCCACCCTCCTCCCACCCCAACATCTTCTCCCGTCTCCTGGCCTCCTTGCGCTCCTCCGCCGCCTTGACCTTACCCTTCCACCGCCAGAAGAAATAAATGGCCAGTACGACGGCCGTAAGCCCGAGGCTGACAAGCCAGAAGATCCAGATGTAGCTGCTCACTCGGGGCGGGGACGTCGTCAGGTCGAAAAAGTTCATGGACACAATGGCAGCCACGAATGTAGCGGGAAGGAAGATCATCTGCAGGAACGACATGGTCTTGTTGGAGTCGGCATCCTCGCGATTCGATTCGTTGTCGCGCAGCGAAATTTTGCCCTTGATCTATCTCTCCCACGCAGTACGCACGTACGTGGGAAGAAATTAGCGAATTTGAAATTGCTGCAAAGTAGAGCAGCTCAGGGCTGCCGCTTGCATGATGTAATGGTGTAGGTAATGGCACGTAGAGAAGCCCCGAAAGAAAAGAACATGGAGCACTAACCAAGGGCTAGACTGGCGGGAACGTCTGGTCAAGATGGTGGGGAAAACAAAAGACAGACAGCAAAGAATAAATGCTTACAAAATCTAATGCATCCCTTGTCCTCGCTTGCAAGTACTGGCACGTCGATATGTTGTTGTCGATCAAATGCGAAATGTTCATCAGCTTCTCCTCCATATGTGGATTCGTCTGGTGTACATAGGCCCTGTACGAAGTCACGGTGCCGTCGTCTCTGCCTACCCTGCTGTCCCACTCACGCAGGAAAATCTTCTGCTCGAGAAACTCCATGGTCTCGAGCAGGAACTTTGCCAGCGACTGCAGGAATTCAAGGTCACGGCGGATATACTGCAGCTGGGTGGTGATGATGTCGAAGTGCTGGAGCGAGCCGATTTGAGCGTCGCGCGACAGGAACTCAAAATGCCCAACTTCGACGCACAGCCGGTTGACCTCCCAAGCCGCGTGGTCAAAGAAGATGTTGAGCAGGATCACTGGCACGTGGAGCGGGTGCAGGTACCAGTGCTGCGACGCCTTCAAGAGCCGGCGCGAGACGTCCCCGATTGCCCAGTCTGTGAGCCCGTCGAGCAGGCAGCGACTTTTCCCGTCACGTAGGGAGTGCGACATGGCAAAGGACCACAGGAATGGGTCGTCGCGTCGCGGGTTGTACGTCGACTTCAGCGACCGCCGGGATGCGGTGCCCCCGCCCTTTGTATTTGTCAGGTATTTTGCTCGTCGAGCTGGGCGGAGGACGAACGGAAAATGGATCACCACTCCTGAACACGGTTGATTTCAGCCTTTTCTGTTGTCATTTTATACAAAACTGGGGTGAGTTTCTTGACCTGAAGCGCGCGTACATACCCATTCGAACTGCCCTGGGTGGCTCTATGTCAAAGTTCCATACCGTCTTGCGCTGAAAATTGCCCACTTCGCGCGCATTTAGCCTCATCCAGGTGTATTCGCGATTGAGATCCCATTGACGGACCAGCTCCTGCACATCTGCGGCCAGGAACGGGAGATAATTGATCTGTCGATCGCCCGGGGGTCCCGTGTCATCGTGCTTGGCCGTCTGATTGCCTCCAAGCGCCGGGCGCGTGCACAAGAGTCGAAGAGCAAGACGACTCCCGCGAGGTATCGCTGGGTGATACGCCTCAAACAGATCCTGGGGTAGTCGCCGCGACACTGGGTAGCTTCGATCCACAATCTGCGCGCCTCGACCGGCCGTTTCCCATATGTCAACTGTCTTGGCCTCGAAGAAGGAGTAGCGATCCGTCTTGTTTGGGTCCTTGTAGGCAGTGTTCTCGTCGTCGATGGTCGCGAGGAGAGACACGCGAATGGGGTCCACTACGAACTCGTCCACGCCGTCGTGGACGGGCTCCGTTGACTCGCTCATCTTTCCTATCTGGCCGGTTTAATCGAAGCCGGCGACTGAAGCCAGATGCAGCAATAAGTGAACCTTTTTCATCTGAAAGAGAGCGTCCGCGGTGCGGGGCTCATCAGCGGCCGAGTATCACTGCAGAGAACGTCCGTCTCGAGAGGAGAGACGGTGAGATCATCCTTTAAAAGCCTCCTCCTAATACCCTAGCTGCACCACCTTGAGACGGCTTCGCCGCCAAAATCAAATTTGCGCCTGAAAAGCCCAGTCTCAGCTGGTCCAGAGTTGCTCGACGCAAGCCACAAACGAGACCCTGGCCCGCGGGGCAACAGCGTCACGGCCACATTGTTCTCAGTTGTTCAGCTTCTTGCTATCGCGTAGCAGTCGGGCCAATCAATGCGGCAAGGAAGCAGTAACGAGCAGTTGCACCATGCACAACCGTTGTTCTAGGCCATCATTGGTGTCCTTGGACAGGAGCCTGAAGCAGCGGGCGAGGACGGAGAGTTTTGGGCTAATGGTTGATAGTGCCCCAGTAGGCTTGGTGCCATCACCGAAGCTTGGTCGACAGTCGAAAGTCATGCCGATCACACACGTCGGCCTCAAATGGAAGGTGTTGGCAGAGAATTAAATTGCGCCTGATAGCAGTCCTCTGCACCAATGCCACGATACCTTTCTTAATCTACCTCGTATACATTGAGACAAAGCCTTCCATCAAGGGCCCTTTCTGTGTCAATGCATTTAAATGTTAGAGGCATGGTTGGGCCGTTTAGATGGAAGACAGAAATGGGACGAAGATTAGAATCATCAAATAATTCGTCTGTCACAAAGCTAGGCAACCTCAGGTTTTATGGGCATTTTTGCCTGGGACAGAGAAGATTGGAAAAACTAGATCGAAACAAATACCCTGCGCGTTGGCCTGCTAAAAAGTACAGTATATTGTTTGGTGGAAGGGGAAAGTCATTCATATCATCCCTCTAATATTGACAAATCTTGAAAAAGCCACAGCTTTGAGTGGTGTATTCCTAACCATGGTCCGGTCGCCGCCATATCACAATCACTTCGCTCCAGTGCAGCCGCTCGTTCGGGTGGCGGGATCTCAAAATCCAGAGGTCTGGAGGTGCGTCGTGACTCGATCAAAGCCTGTGCAGAATAAACTTTCCTCCGAAGCTTGAAAAGTAGCACAGATCTCCATTGGCGATTCTGTGAAGCCTTGGAGGCATTCGAGGTGTCTTTCAAGGTTGAGAATCACTCCAGACTTTGCGTGAAGTTTTGTTTTCCGGCGCAACTGAAAACTTCCCCATTTCTGAAACGTTGATAATTGAGGGATGATTATGTGCCTATATGAACTGACCGTAACCGAAATTCAACTGCTAAACGCTCACGTCAAGGTCGGCCCACGAAATTCTTTAATCCTCTTCAGTCCGTTGAGGAATGCTCGTTCGGAGGTAGATGATTTTTCCATGTGTCATATGGTGCGCATTGGGTATACCCAGTAGGTGCTCGGACACCACGGATGGAGCTACCTCCATCGGCTCTCTGAAGGGTTTTGTGCCTGCAGTGGATGACATGGTCATAAGAAATCAACTCAGTAATGAGGGGCTGTTGATTCCTCATCGACCGGACCAGCTTTTCCCAGGCGTAGATGCAGTGGGTCACATGGTAGTCTTGCGCGACATAGACTGCATCATGTTCGCCTTTTCTCATTTCCTCCAAAGTGTAGGCGTAGCTCGCAGAAGGATCAGCATACCAGGTCCAATTGCCAACCTCGAGGAAGCGGTTTGAAAGAGATTCGTCGAAACACGCCGCTGGGGTCCAGAGTTGCATCATCACGTCAAAGACGCAGCCATGTTCTCTGGCCTCTTCGGGGGTATATCCGCAGTTTTGGATTTCATCCTTTGACGAGGTCGAGTCATCAGAACCCTCGGTGGATTTTATCGAGTCGTCACCGACGAGAGGGGTGGGTGTTGAAGCAGCGGAGGTACTGGCGACAACTGCGGTTGCGCTGGTGGTAGACGCCGAGAGAGCGTCGGATGTGGAGGTAGAGGAGTGTGAAACAAATACAGAAGAAATCAGGGAGAAGATGGCGACTATGATGGCGATGAAAAGAGTGCCGGTCGCAACAGAAAGACAGAGGGACTGCTTGCCCCAGCCTGCTCTTGACTGACTCTTTTCGGAGAGCGGGAAGGATTCGTCGTTGGTGGAAACAGAGCGGTAGTGGTTGTTGAGGCCCATTGTTGCGACGCAGGCCAGTTGCCGGAAGTCCTTCGAGTGCAGGGTTCTGCTGATCGGCGCCGGTGAGATTGCGAGAGGTCGGGGGAATGGCCAGTTCAAAGGGATGGAAATGAAAACAAAAAGGAGATAAAGAAAGAAAAACGAATGTGAATGCTGCTGATGCAACGTGATACAGAAGAAGATTGTCAGTGACAAATTAACCAGAGGGGCCAAGGGAAGAGGATGTACTTTGAGGACGTTGGGTTGGAGGGGAGGGCAAGTGTTTTCATACTCTAGTCGCGTAGAGGGAGCCACGAGCTGAGGGTTCAACGGGAGCCCATCTCGATCCCAAGACGGAGCATTGCATCAGGTCGACCTGAGAATCAGGAAATCAGGGGCAACAACGCCGAGCCACCATCTCCAAAGTTTAACTAACAAGTAATAAAATCCAGGTGATGGCGTGAGGCACTGGAGGGTGGCAACCTCCCGAGGTCCCCAAGTCTAAGGGGGAAGTGGCCCTGTTGGCCGCCCCCAAAACGACCATTGGCAATGGTGCAATAGCACGCAACAGCCCACAAGAGCCTGGCTAATAATGGGCTCTAATCCGCCACACTCGCTTGTTCTGTGCTCACACGGGGAAAATCACGAGATCGAAATTGCTGTATCGATTAAAATTCCCACTTTCCTTGCTCTGGTCTTCATCCACTCTCACCTGACCGTGTCTCTGAATCGTCTCTGTGCAAGACAACTCGATGGGTGGTATTCTAACATCATCCTACCCGTCAGCGTACTTGTAGAGTGCTGATGCAGTTCTCACACACAGAGCGAAAAATCAACTCAGCCTCAAACCTGACCTATCAAGACTGGAATCACAGAGATTGCCCAACTTGCTCACTAACCGAGTCTCCCGTCGCCTGTCGCCAACTGGTTGGCGTCATATTCTGCTCAGACAAGTACTCCGTACAAGAGCCAAGTCCCTATTTACTGCGTACTAATTATCCCTCTCTTCTTTACTACCATATTACCTCATAAAAAGGAGAGAGTGTGAGAACAATGCCACCCCAACCCTCACTTCCAATCCAACTGGAGCATATCTTCATCTTCCTCTGATGTGTACATACCTACCAAGTACATACCTTCTAGAATCCAGGCATCCAACATTTCCTTCTCCCGATCCGCCTGTTCCTCCTGTACTTTTGCTCCTCGTCATTAGGCTGCACAATTCCCTTCCCACCGACTCGGCAAATGGGCATGATTCGAGTATAGATTCTGGCCACAGCTTGTTTAAGCCTCAGTTTGCAACCCCGCTAGTCCCCATTCGCACAGTCCAATCCGCAGGCAGAAACCAAAAAGGCCAATCGTATTCGTAGCCTCAACCAATCATGCGATCTTTGCAATGCGTCCATCAGTTGATGGCTGAGGCATCAATGCCTTGCTCGCGGTCGTCGCGAAGCATATATGTTTCGTGATTCCGGCCTTGAAAATGCTCTCCAGCTATGCTAATCCTAGAGTACTCATACAGTGCCGCTACAGCGAATAGCTTCGCAACCTTTGCGCTTGCCACCTTGACAACCTCCGCTTTGTCCTCAAGTCAACGCGCCGTACAAATTCTCTGTGTCTTGCTAGCTACTGACAAGATCATACCATGGGAAAACTCAGGACTCCGACGTCTCCCCCTAATGGCGGCGCATCGAGCACATTCCCACGCATGGATCCTCCACCTCCCTACGAAGAGTCCTCTCGTTCCTCCTCAGCGCATAGCAACGACCGACTACAGCGGGACGAACCTCCTCAGTCGCAAACTCAAGCTCAACAAGAGGCGCCACAACCGCAGCCAGACCAGCAACAGGCTGTGTCCGCGGCAAATGAGCCCAGTCAAAAAAGAGAGGTCGAGGAAGGCTGTTGCACATTTGGAAATGGTGCCTCTGGATGTATGGTTGTTGGAGACCATGCTGAAGGATGTTTAAATTACGGCGATGACACCAGTGGATGGTACGAAGCCCGGTGACTTCGATTCGTTCGGCTTCCGTGGACGTGCCGCAAGCCATTGGCGCGAAATGTTTGCGTGATTCGATGCACAAAACGCTGACATCTTCCTCACAGTCTAAACTACAAGTCAAGAGATGGATGTTTGTTATGGAAGGCAACTGGCGGGGGGTGAGCGATTGTCCTTGCAAGACCCGTCTTCACAGGCGACCTCCAGCCAGCACGTACTAACCATCGAACACCAGGTGCCTCAATTTCAACACGAACAAACAAGGATGTTGCCAATTCGGCTGATACTATAGGCTGTCGGCAAGACGAGATTTGATGAGATTCAGGCGGCTATGTCAGATTTGTTGGTGCTTGCGGGATATCCATGACATTGGAATAGCTTGGTGTTGCGGAGTTTCTGTCAGGTCCGAATGTGATACCACTTTGTTGGGTTCCAATGCGAATATTAGTTCTTCGCAAATTGGGGGTCATCCATTCAGTCAAATTTTACATTTGGTATTACGAAATTTGACGACGGTTTGTTCTTCCGTTCTCCCGTGCTCAGGCAAGCTGAACACACAAGGAGGGTTAGAGAACCAAGGAAACCAGACCAACAAGGCCAACCTCTCGATATAGAGGGCAATGAAGCAACGAACTTGAATCATGTATGGGAAGATGGCTCATGCCTTATCTACAAACCATCATTAGGTACTAGATGGGTTAGGAGCACAGGGGCCAACAACCTAATAGAACCCTGATCAATCGGCTCAAGGCCTGCAAACTTACAGTCCTACATCTGGCCGGGTTTCAATTGGTACTCGTGTTGCCAGTGAGACATTCCAAACAACCAACTCCTTTTTGCGTATCATTTCTCCTTATACGGTATAATACGACTCTAGAAAATGAGCTCACTCTCTTCGGGGTATTTCAAGCCTGACATTTCGCGTAGTGTGTCCATGACTGTCATGACTTGGATGGTTTCTTCCAGTGGCATTGTAGAACTTTCCAACTTCCCTCCAGCAATATCACGAGCGACATTGTCTACTTCCCACCCCATCCCATAGCCCTAGAATTTACAGTCAGCTTGAATACAGAGCATTACTCTTGAGAAATGCCTCTTACAGTGATTGGGAATGTGTATGTAGTTTTGAGGTTATCTTGGTGAACTGTGAACTCGGTTGGCCGATAGCACGGAGCCGGAATGGTGATCGTTCCCTGGGTGCCCATGATTTTGGTGGCAGGACCAACAGCACCATCTTCCCGACGGTCCGTGTTGCTAGTCAAGGATGTCGAAGCCACAGCGATTGCTAGAGGATTTAGGATTTAGCGCTGGTCAATCATCTGAGAGTCGACTTACCATCAGGCCATGTTAGAACCGCTGTGGAATGGATATCAAACCCACGTTTGTCAAGTATCATATTGCCAGAAACTGCCGGTGCCAGTTTTTCGCTACCGCCTTTCCAGTTGTAGAGTGGGAGGAAGCACCATAACAGGGAGTAGTGACCTGTAGAAAGGATGCGCCGATCTGATCAGCTCTGCATGATTACAGTAAGGATTAGCCAGGAAGTTTTTCAACTTACCCAGATCAAGGAACCCGCCAGCTCCTTGATATGGGTCAACGAAACGGCTTGTAGCTGGCGTAGATGCATCGATAAGATCTCGGCCATGGTCTGAAAATACACGCTGAACACTTCCGATCTGGCCGCTGGTGACGATTTGGCGCAGCTTATCAACGAGCGGAAAGAATCGAGTCCATGAACCTTCCATCAGATATCTGCTCTTCTCGCTCGCAAGCTGAGCGAGGGCCCTTGCTTGTGCGGCATTCATGGTGAAAGGCTTTTCGCACAAGACATGTTTCCCCGCCAGCAGGCACTGTTTGACATGCCGGTAGTGATGTGAGTGTGGGCTAGATGAAAACGTAGGCAGTTAGTAACACTAATACACTATTCATTTATTTCAATTTTGATGGATCTTCAGGGGCAGCTGACGTTGTAATGTAAACGACATCTATTGTCTCATCGCGGAGGAAATCTTCATATGTACCATAGCAATGAGCATTTTTCAGGCCGGTGACATTCACAAAATCTTGTGCTTTCTGGATCGATGTCTGGCTACCAACGGCAACAATTTGATGAGTGACATCGCTAACGCCCCTTGTGACTGGACCAATGCACATATCCTATATCTGTCGTCAGAATACGCTCAAGTCTCTGTTCTTGGCTCCACGTACCTGGGCGAACTGCTTGGCAATAACCCCTGTACCTAGACGAGGGTTAAACCGGGTTTACTCTGTTTTCTGGCAGCGTGGCCTACCTAGGATTCCCCATCTAGTATGAATGTGGTGTTGAGCCATGTTTTCCGGAGGTTCTTTGAAAAGTGTCAAGCACCCACGAACACGCACAAGCCCAGTATTAGTCCGCGTCACAACTTTCTTATGAACTTCATTCAGACCAGATCTCGTTCGCCGATTCTCATCCGAGTAGGAGCTGAAGCCGTCTGCTGTTGTTCTTCCGCTCGTTTGCCGCATTTCCACCCGTGGAATCCATTCACAAATGGCCCAGGTTCCATACCTCATCAAAGGCAGGATGAATATGTTACTTTATTGCTGAGGATGATGAAGCAATAATCCATGTAACTCGAGACCTTCGGGCAACCAGCCATCGCTGACGGAATGGGTTTACGTCAGGTGGTTTTTGTGTCCGGTGCTGCCCGTGGTATCGGTAAGGCGATTGCCCTACGGCTCGCTCGAGATGGATTCAATGTTGCCGTTAACGATATCAAGAAGAATATCACTGCTTTGGAGGCTACAGCGGCAGAGATCCGAGCTTTAGGTACGAGAACACAAGTGGATATTTTCTTCACTACGAACACAATTCTCAACTAACTCCGCAAGCAGGACGCGAAAGCTCTGTGACACCAGCAGATGTTTCCAAAAGGACTGAAGTTACCGAGGCGTTTGAAAAGTCGGCCAGGGACCTTGGTCAGCTGAATGTCCGTGGCACAATCATTTACTGGGTGGCCCAGCTCATGCGAATTCCAGGTTCTTGTCGCCAACGCCGGTGTCTGCAAGATTAAGCCACTGGTAGATGTCTCGACCGAGGAATGGGAGGATGAAATGGCCATCAACCTTACAGGTAAGACACGAGGTTTAGCATTGAGACATTCGTGCGAGTGCCAACATTTGCAGGCATGTTTCATCAATTCCAGCTGGCTGCTAGACAGATGATCAGGCAAGGCACTGGCGGCAAAATCATCGCCGCCGCTTCAATGGTAGCACACAAGTCTGTTCCTTTGATGGGTGGGTACTCGGCTTCCAAATGGGGCGTCAGAGGCCTCTCTGTAAGTGAAAGACCCAATTACTCTCTGGCGATGCCCGAACGGGTAGCTAAAAGGTATATAGCAAGCAGCAGCACAGGAGCTGGCTCCTTATGGGATATCTGTGAACAACTACTGCCCTGGAATGGTGGACACTCCAATGTGGGCCTCGGTTGACGGAGCACTGAGAAAGTATTACGGGGGAGAGCCAGGTGAACATAAACGGAAATTTGAATCGTCAATCTTGGTTGGAAGATTGAGCCAACCAGACGACATTGCCAAATTTGTTTCTTATCTGGCAAGCAAGGACTGTGACTACATCACAGGCCAGAGTATGTTGATAGACGGCGGTTGCTACCTTACATGACCTAATCTAGGTTTTTATGGTCCATGATTGTTGTCAGGTTCAGGAAACTCGGTCAGTCTTTCAAGGTTGGAGCGAAAACGACTGTGCACTTCGACGCATTGAAAACACTGTCAAAGTAAACTGACGCCCTTGGCAGGGGTGGATAGCTTTGGAGTTGTTTACACGCCAATCTGAAGTTTTGTGGTCAAATAGATTATCCACTTTTCCGCATGGGTATCCGCCATACAATTTCCAGGCTGTACGTGCTCGTGTTCGTTTGAAGGAGAGCCGACCAGGCCAAACCTGAAGTGACGCAGGTTGAATAGGTGCCTGGTGGTTTTGGAGCACCTCCTATTCAAAGGAAAAGTGTATCATGTATACCAAGCAGTTGTCTAGTGCGACAAGGTGATTGGAGTGGAGGTTGAGGTGGACAATACAATGTGCCGCGCCAAAGGGGGTCCTGTGGGCAGGGCTGATAAAATCCCCTTTGTATCACTTCGTAATTTGTAGCTTGAGGAAATCAAGAAGAGAACCTGTAGCATCATGTCTAGTACAATTGAATTCCCCCTTAAAGCTCAACCGTTCTATCGACAACTGACTGAAATATCTCGCTTTAGTGCCCTGGCAACCTTGTCTGTTCACGCACAAAAGATAGAACACGCCAGTCGCTGAGCCCTACCACTCCGGCATCAGCTAACCAGCCGCCAATTGCAAATGTGTGGACCTGCCCGGGAGCAAAATAACACTCAATAGCTTCATCCCCGAGCCTCTTTTTGACAGCCTTTGCCCACTTCTCAGAGTCAGCAAACAGCACCTCGGCACGTCCGGCGGATAGGAATTGCTTAGGCAGGTCTGGAATTGGATCTCGCCACAGGGGAGACACTCTTGGATCAGCAGCTGTTTTGATGGTGGTCCCCATGTACATCTCTATTGCCCCAATCCGACATTCTTCGCTGTCAAACGTGGTAAGCCAGTCAGTCGGTTGGTTAGGTGAATTTCCGGATGTTGAGCGCGTTAGATCGAGCCAGGGAGAAAACATTATCAATCCACTTGGTGAAGGATGGCCGCGTTGAATCAGTTCATAGCACGTCGTGATGGCCAGGTTCCCTGTGGGCAATCAGCTTCCCCGATCCACGAGGCTGATGGATTGCATACCTCCAGCAGAATCTCCTGCGATGATGATCTGCGAAGGCTGCAATCCATCCTTTATTAAGTAAAGGTACGCAGCGCACATGGCTTCGAGCGCGCCTGGATAAGGTTTAGTGGTCGACAATGCTTGCATTACATTTAGTTATCCCAGATCACCGACTTGAGTGGATGATGGGACTCACGGTACTCAACTGCCAGGATCCTTAGATCAAGGGACATCTCCTCATATGCCTTGTTCACCCAGCGCAGGTAAGTGTCGTGGTACTGACGAGCCTCCCCGGCATAAAACCCCCCTCCATGAGCATGAAGCCAGACAGCATCAGCACCCTTTAAAGTCGATTTTCCAAAGACTGGGGACATCTGGCTCGTGTACAAAAATCCGTGGAAGCCATGCTTCCGATCTTTCTGCGTTTCAGTTGCTGCGACATCGGGTGGGAAAAGTATTGCGGTACGTGGGTCTATGTTTCTCGGTCGAGCAAGTAGCAAGTGCCAGTTATGAGCCAATAACGGTGCAAAAACCGCAGTTGCCATTGCGAGCCATATGGAAGTTGTCGGTGTGGGATCATAGTAAGGTGTGCTCTTCTTGACGCATGCGAGAAGCACGCGCAGTGGCAGACGCCAACATATCTCGAAGAGCGCACGCAGCGTCCCTATCGGGTTGTTGATGACGGCTGAAACGTGAATGTGAGACATTGGAATGCAGTGTCTGGCTGCCACTATGTCGTTGTCTTTGGGCCAGTAAAGCAATAGGCCATTTTTCTTGACTGATATAGCTGTGTGTAAGGCAGTCGGAAACCCGCGGAAAACACAGCCGACGACAAACAGATGACTGTAAGTTTGGTCTGGTCTGTTCGATACGCCGTAAGAGTAGTATTGTGCCACACTCGGCAAGATAACTCCTGAGAGCCCTCCCTTTGCTATTCCGCTACCACCCAGGCCAGTATCTGACCCTATGGTCGCAGAAGATAGCCCATATGACTCTGCCTACTTCCAGGAAGTGGATTTGCAGCAAGCTCACCCGGAGTCGGAGAAGATTGTATGTAAACATCTGAAGGGAAAAGGGCCGGAGTTGCAGGCCATCCCCTCTCTCCTCTTGCATTTCGACCACGCCATTTGATACCCATTTCACGACCTCCAATCATATCCACGACGAAATTGAAAATTGGGAGATCTTTATAGAAGCCGGCGATTCCTCGTCACGACTTTCACACACTGGGTAAAAGTTAAATTCCAGGACCGAGATGACTTCGAATTTTTCGGACTCTTTGTGAGAGAGCAAAAGCGGTCGATAAGATGCAATTGGATCTCGGTAACTCAACTTACAAGTCTGCTATTGGGGTACGCCGGTGGTCTATATCATGATACAGCCGCCGTCTATCAAAATACTCTGACCGGTCATATAATCCGACTCATTACTCGCTAGGTATGAGACAAACTTGGCCACATCTTCTGGATAACTTGGCCTTCCTAGTGCCACCTCGCTTTCGAATTTCTTGCGGTTCTCTCCAGGTGCCCCTCCATAATATTTCTGGAACAGACTGTCCATGGATCCCCACATATTAGTGTCTACGTACCCCGGACAATAGGCGTTGACAATGATGCCGTACTTGGCCAGTTCCCGCGCCGCTGATTGCTGGGAGGCAGTAAGAATCCAGTCCATATCAGAACTAGGGTTACATACCGTTAAGCCTCGCACTCCAAACTTCGATGCAGAGTATCCTGACATCAAAGGTATTCCGCGATGAGCAGCCATAGAGGCGGTTCCAAGAATCTTGCCACCCTTTCCTATGGCAATATCAGTTGTTGTAATGATTAATGTATTCTGAAAGCGAGTCTTCTCACCTTGTTTGATCATTTGTCTTGCTGCAGCTGCATACTGATGGAAAACTCCTGAAAACTCATGAGTTGAGGTTAATGGCTTTCGGGGTATTGCAGCCCAAACCTGTCAAGTTGACGTTGACTTCTCGAGTCCACTCTTCAGAGGTGAGCTCTGTGAGTGGCTTGACTTGAACCATGCCAGCATTGGCCACCATAACCTGGAATCAAAGGGGAAAGATCAATTTGCTGAAGACGCAAGTGGTTTTGGATGGCAGAAGCGGAAAGAATACATCAAGGCTCCCTAAAGACGAAGCAGTCGTCTGTACTGCCTCATCCACCTCCTTCTGAACTGTCACATCTACTGGCACAACAAGCGCTTCTCGACCTGAGACGATTGTAAGTATTGCACTGATCACGGACTGCCTCCGCAAAACTTGAGCATACCAAGTTCTCGCACAGCCTTTGCAACCTCTTCAATAGCATTCTCTGCACTCTTCCTGTCGCTCAAGGCAATATTGAAGCCATCTCGAGCAAGCCTCAAAGAAATGGCCTTCCCTATGCCTCCAGCTGCCCCTGAAATGAAAGCAACCTTGGTGAAAGTGGCTCCTGCTTGGTTGAGTGCTATAGAGCCCATGGTGGCAGTCAGTCCTGAAACAAGGTGATTGTCGAGGAAGAGACTTGGTTCTTCACACAACGTAGATATTTGCTTTGTCGGTGCCTCTGTCGGTCTTGGATGCTGTCAACTCCGTTCTGAGAATTATGCCACTCCTTTTTTCCCCTCAAGCTCTGTTGTGCCTCTCTACCGGCTACGCGGCAGTGCGGAAAATGTGTCTGGAAGTCGTAGCGGTTGCGGTAAAGCGGTCGATTGGCCATTGGTTATAGGCGGCGAGCAGAAATGGATCCACAATTTGGACGAAGAATTGTTTATAAGGTTTCTACCTGTCCGGCGGGATGCGTCCTTCCCCAGATTTTCCCCACAGGCCAGTTTAGTTCCCTTCACGCTTTCAGAAGAATATTCCCCAAGCATCAACTACATAATGAGACTGCCAAAGACGTACAACACGTACTTTGTGGCGGTGATCGCCACCTTTGGAGGCATGCTGTAAGTGTGGCATGCATTGATCTTCTATTGCCTAGCTTCCTGACCGTCGAAATAGATTCGGATTTGATATTTCGTCAATGTCGGCCATCATCGGCACCACACAGTACGTGAACTACTTCAACAATCCTCACAGTGTCCTGCAAGGAGCGATCGGAAGCTCCTTGGCAGCTGGGTCGATCGTTGGTGCTGTCATCGCTGGGCCTTTGTCAGACAAAGTCGGCCGTCGCGACTCGATTCTCTATTCCTGTCTGTTCTGGCTTGTTGGAACAACTGTTCAAGCCTCCGTAAACGGCGTGGGGATGCTGATCTCTGGCCGTATACTGAACGGCGTCTGTGTGGGTGTCACCTCCTCTCAGGTGCCAGTCTACTTGGCCGAAATTGCGAAGAAAGACAAACGGGGCTCCATCATCATTATACAACAGCTTGCCATCGAAGTTGGAGTATTAGTCATGTACTTCATTGGTTATGGAGCCTCTCATATCAAAGGTGCAACCTCATTCCGCGTGGCTTGGGGTCTTCAGCTTCTCCCCGCCGCTGTTTTACTCGCCGGGCTGCCTTTCCTTCCCAGATCCCCTAGATGGCTGGCGAAAGTTGGTCGTCTCGAGGAAGCAATCGACGTACTGGCTAAGATACAAGCAAACGGCAACCCTCAAGATCCTTTGGTTCTCGCCGAATGGCAGGAAATCACTACTACCCTCAATGCTGAGCGTGAAGCGCTTAGGGGTTGGCGCAAGTTCATTAAAAACGGCATGTGGCGTCGGTCAGTGGCAGGCATCTCAGCACAAGCATGGCAACAACTGAGCGGGGCCAATGTTTTGGTATACTACGTTGTCTATGTCTTTCAAATGGCCAATCTCACTGGAAACATCAACCTCATATCCTCCGGAGTCCAGTATGCGCTGCTGGTCATCTTCACAGCCGTCACCTTCTTTACAGTGGACAAAATCGGAAGACGCCCTCTGTTGGTTCTCGGTGCCCTTGGTATGGGAATATGTCATTTTGTGGTCGGAGGAGTCCTGGGCACCTATGGCACATATCTCCCCAACGGTCTCGACGGGAATTTGAGTGTCAAAATCTCCGTCTCCGGGGCGGCAAGTCACGCAGTGATTGCATTTTCATACCTTATGATCATCATTTATGCATTGACACTCGCTCCAGTCTGCTGGGTTTATGCCGCCGAGGTATGGTCTCTCGAGACGCGTGCGATAGGGATGGCGTTGGCAGTGGTCGCGAATTGGGCTTTCAACTTTGCAATTGGCCTGTTCGTGCCCCCTGCCTTTGCCAATATTACCTGGAAAACCTTCATTGTATTTGGGACATTGTGCTTTGCGGGAGCTATTCACATGTTCTTCACATATCCCGAGACAGGAAAGAAGACCATTGAGGAAGTTGAAGAGCTCTTCCAGAAAGGAGCGACTGCACCTTGGAAGACAAAGGTGGGCCACTCTCATCTTGATTCAAGGATTATTGAGCTTCAAGAAGCCAAGGTTGGAGAAACTGTGCAGATTGAGAATGCGGGAGACGTGAAGGACCCAATTGGAGTGTAGAGATTGCGAGATTCGATGGAGTTAGATATTGAAACGGGTCTTTTTCGAAAAGTCTCGGGCAGATAGCTTGAAACTCCAGCGAGTTAAGAATATGACAGTCCTATTACCATCTTCAATCATTATCTCAATATAAATCCCTAGTCGTACGCCTACTCACCGAGTGGGATGTTGTTCGATTGAACCGACCAGTGGGAATGACCGCGGCAGCAACTTGTTCACACGACGGATTATTCTACGCCCATTGGAACCATACATGATAAGATATTTGGTGGCTCGAGTCATCAGCGTTCGTAATGTTATTCGGAAAATGCGCTTGAAAGTGTTGGCATGCTTGGTACTAACCCAGAAATGATCATCGGCTTGGTCACTTCAAATGCGAAGAATGGGTTGCACTATGAAAGGACTGAGTGTTCCTAGACTTCTTGAATCCCAGATTCCATGGAGTCTATGTGGACACTGAATTAATAAGCCAGATAGAAAATCTACATTATAGCATATCCATTCTATTGATCATTTTTGTTTCGCGAGCACACCCGAGCCCAAAGTTGCAGTAGCCAGGATGCCTGAGGAAATTAGTGTTGCAATCAAAGCTTTGTGCTGCTCTGCTTTCATCAATAGATACCTCCATCGCCATTGTGGCTGGCTGCCCTGTATTCATGGTCAGCCTGTTCTGAATCTGGCTGAATTTCGGCAACAAGCCCTACCTTCAAAATATAGTCCTGGAACCTTGGAGAGTAGAGCTTCCACCAGAAAGAGCGGACGTAGCCTGGGAAGCTGGTGCAGTTTCGTCCATTTTCGTCCAAGGTCCAGTTTGTGCATCCGGCGTGCCAAACACTGTCTTTGAGCTTCTGCTGGATCCCGTTACAGTCATAGTCTTCTGCACTCCTCTTGACCACAACAGTTTGGGCTTGTCCGGTGAGGATGGGTTCCATGAAAGTCTTGCATACGTACTCGGCTTGTACCTCGAGCGTATAGATGACCGAGTTATGTGCTGGGCTGGCATTTGGCCCGAATAATATAGCGAAGTTGGGGAATCCAGAAACGGTGGTTCCCATATATGCCTGGCAGCCTTTGGTCTCTTTCCAGTGCTCCGTCAGTGTCTTGTTGTCTTGACCGATGACGGTCATTGGCGAAAGATATTGCTGTGTGTAAAACCCGGTCGCGTAGACAATCACATCAAAAGGCTGGTGTGTGCCATCTTCTGTCAGGATACCTGTTTCGTCAATGGCGCTGATATTCTCCGACCAGAGAGCCACATTGTCCCTGTGCAGCGAATCTAGATAGCCCGGATCCAGTACGCGTCGCTTGCAGCCAACAGGATAATCTGGCATGATAACGTCGAGGTATCGTTTCGGCGTCTTCTTGATCATATACTCCCGAGCCTCCTTTTCGCTTGAAGCTCGAAGGAACTCAGATCTCGGGTTCTTTACGTATTCCAAGAATAAAGCGTCAACGGCCAAATAGGTTCTGAATCGATTCCACCGCATCCATCCGGGAATGGTCCTGTAGAGCCACTTTGAAAATGCAGAATATGGTTGATTTGGCTGTTGGCCATGTCAGCATATACCATCAAAGTCCCTACAAGGTCAGTTCTTCCTTACACGATCGAACAGCCACTGCTTGCTGCGTGCAAAGTGCGTAACTTGTTTAGCCCGTGGTGCAATCGCTGGTATAATTTGGCAACCGCTGCAGCCATTCCCAACCACAGCAACTCTCTTGTCGGCAAGGCTCACATTCCAGTCCCAAGCTCCCGAATGCCAGGATCTGCCTTTGAACGTGTCCATTCCTGGAATGTCTGGGTACTTTGGTCTGCTGAATATACCGCAGGCTGAAATGACCAAGTTGAATCGTCGTTTATATTGATACCCTGTCTCATTTTTGAATTCAACCTCCCACAAGCCCAGCTTCTCTATCCAGACTGCGCCGACAACAGCCGTGGAGAGTGTCAAATGTCCTCGAAGGCTAAACCTATCGATCACGTTATTCAGGTCTATTTGTACCGGTTATCAGAATCATCAATATTATCGGCAGGGCTGATTGCTCTTACACTCCAAGATTTCTCCTTGCTCGCATAGAGGTCTCGACCAGTCCGGATTCAACGCGAATGAAAAGGAATAGAAATGGCTTGGAACGTCGCAACCTGGACGAAAATTAACACTCGCAGTCACGCATAGTTTGCAATAAACATACCACACCCAGGGTAGGAGTTTCGAAACCAGGTGCCACCCGCTCCAGCATTCTCATCAACTATCACGAAATCATCACACTTCACTTTGTGCTTCAGGTTATATGCCATGGCGATTCCGCCAGGGCCTGCGCCAATGATGCAGGCGGCAGTAGGTGCTTCCATAACGGACTGTGCTGATTTCTCCTGAACGCAGCAGATACTTTCTCATGAACTTTTCGCAAAGAAAGGGCTTGAAAGTCTTGCCCGTCTAAATATCTATATACGCTTGCCCGTAACTTAGTATCAGATATGGGCTCAGCCTTGCGCCCCAGTATCAAACGCTTTTCCGAATCAGCCGCTTTCCCGCAACGCGTGTCTCCTGGGCCCGCAAAATTCATGCCAGTGTCCACCGATACTCGATTAGATGTCTTTCGACCGCAGAGAACGTCAAATCACGCTGTGGCTACCAGTGTCCCGCTGCCAGGCGAGTCTACGTCATATCACCCGAACTTGGGAATAGAAATAATAGATTTTCTGTTGCAAAATCTGAACACGTACGTTAGATCTACCAGGCAGTACCTTCCTTCTGGACTCCGCTTTTACTCCCACGAGAAATCTCTGCTCCAGGGTACAAACTACCGGAAGAAATATGAACGGTCACACAGTTGAAGCCCACGTGTCGAAACAGGGTTCGCCTCTCGCCGTCCGATATCACGGAAACAAGGATGTTCGGGTCGAGAAAATGCCGTTAGAGAATCAACTCCGAGAGGGACAGATCCGTCTGTCGCCTGCCTGGTGCGGTATCTGTGGCACCGACGTGCACGAGTATCTAAATGGTCCTGTGTTCCCACCGACGGCGGATGCTCCCACTCCCCTTACGGGAGACACATTGCCCATCACATTAGGGCACGAGTTCTCGGGCACAGTGACACAGGTGCATCCATCGGTCAAGTCCTTGAAGGCCGGGGACAAAGTCGCGGTTGAGGGCCTTCTCACCGACGATACCTGCTACGCCTGCTCTATTCACAAGCGCAACATCTGTGACAAGTCAGCTTTCCTTGGCCTCTCGGCCAACCCTGGCGGCCTTTGCGAAAGCATTGCGATTCCTGCATCAGCTTGCCATAAACTTCCAAATGATATTTCGTTGGAGTTTGGCGCACTCGTCGAGCCCTTGTCTGTTGCCTGGCACGCAGTCTCGAACTCTGGAATCAAACCGGGACAGTCGGCGTTGGTCCTTGGGGCGGGCCCCATTGGTCTAGCCGTAATTCTTTGTTTGAAGGCCAAAGGAGTCAGCAAGATTCTTGCCTCGGAGCCTTGTGAGGCGAGATACGAGAATGCCGCCACTCTTGGTGCGATCCGCACAATTAATCCCACATCTGTGGATGTTGTCGCAGAAGCCAAAGCCTTTTGTGAGAGGTATGTCAAGCTTGAATCTGTCACTGCCTACTGAAAGGGGCGCGGAACCTGATTGTAAGTCAGTATTGGCCCAGATTTTGCATTTGACGCCTCTGGCGTCCAAGCAACCATCACGGACGGCATCAAAGCCGTACGGAAATACGGGACCTATTATAATATTGCATTATGGGGAAAACCTGTGAGTGTTCGTCTGGCTTTGGTCCATGGGATGCTGACAAGCGAAAACAGGCAACAATCGATGTAAACGAGCTTCTCTTCAATGGCAAAACAATCAAATCTGATTTATCCTACGCTCGTGGAGACTACGAGTCTGTCATCAAGGCGATCTCTACCGGAGAGATATCGAGGGCACATCTTGAGCTTCTGATTACGGCGAAGATTGACATGGAGGACTTTGTTGAGAAGGGCATTCAAGAACTTATCAATTTCAAGGACAAGCACATCAAAATCCTGGTCCGAGTCGACAAGAGCCAATCGCTTGACCTTTGAAAACGCAGGTTGGGTTGGGCAGAGAGCTGGGACTAGTGTTGTGCTCTCGGGAGCAATGCGAGAATTCACCTCTTCTCGTTCAATTACTCCAACAGAGCAATCTGGTGTGTCCGTTCTATTTCGAAGCCTTTTTGCCGTTTTTCCGGTTTTCCGACATAGTGGTCTGAGGTATTCCTGAATTGGCCTGGCGTGCCTAACGAGGCGGGGTCCAGCTGCTTGTACTCGGTACCGAGTAAATCGGAGTGTCGGCATCCAATGCCGTCCTTTACCGTCACGCAGCAAGCGAGCTATCACCCCGCAATGCAATGGCCGGTTCAAGCTGGCTCTTGCCAAGGGTACGATCCCGGCCACGGGGCCCCAGGCGTTGTTGGAGTATCGTTGTCGTTTAATTGCAGGGCCTGGACTTCGTGATAGAGAACACAAGTACCTCCTAAGAATCCTCTTTGTGTTATCGCTGGGTTTCCACCCTTGACCCTTGGCCATTGTTCGAGCGCGCTGTCTATTTCTGGCCTCGAGGCACCTGCAGGAACAAGATCTGACGCCGGACCTAGGCTCTGCGATGGCAGCTGAAAGTGGCGCAGAACTACCAGCTGAAACAAGAAAGCGAAGTCGAAATACCAAACGTTCCAGTCTCGCCTGTACCGCTTGCAAACGCTCGAAGCGCAGGTGCGATATCGAGCAGCAATTCCTCGAATCCGATGCCTGCACGAACTGCCAGGGGCGAGGGGAGCCTTGCGAAGTGCGTTTTGGCGAAGACAAAAGACGCCGACGAGCCGCCCCTGGCAATGGAGATATCATCAGTCGTGTCGATGTCCTAGAAAAGCTCTTTGCTATGCAAGCTGGAGCTGTTACGCAATGTCGACAATCTCCAGAGAAGCCTATCAGTCCGGTCTCAAGCGGACAATCAGGGCTTCAGACCCTTCCGCCTCTATCTATTCTACGCAATCATGGCATCCAGAGTGATGATACTCGTGCGGAATCGTTGAAATTGCGATCTGCAGAAGACTTGCCTACTGGGAGAAGTGTTGAATCTTGTGCAAATAAGGCCTATTCGCCGCCACAGTCCAGAGGTGAACATTTCCCCATGGAGGCACAGCTGCAGACAATGAACCCTTTTCTGCAGTCCAAAGGACATCCAGATACCTCTCCAAGTGCGGCTGCACCAACCCCCAGCGGAAGTAGCAACTTGGACACGTCAAGCACATTAATGGGGAGAGTAATTGCAAGGGAGAGTGAGTTAGACGGTCAAGAAAACCAAGGTTCGGAGTTCTTCGGATCAACGAGCATATATCACCTGTCCAGTGCTTCCCAAACAAGCTGCATTTCTGGTGGCTTGCCTCTGGCAGTCGGGGAAGAGAAAAGGTCCTGGGCTTTTGAGGATGAACCAGAATTGGACCCGAGCAATGAACCGGAGCTGATTGTCTCTCACCTCCTTGATCTTTTCTGGAACTGGCAAGCAATCCATCGTGAGTTCGCAAAAGCTGTCCCATGGCATCCTCGATTTTATGGGAGTCATGGTTGTTGTAACGACGCAGTCTTTGACCTATTTACAGTTCAAGTCTTCCATCGAGAATTGTTTCTTGCCGAAAAGAAGTTGTTTGACACGGAAAGACCTCGGAGAAGATATGTCTTCTTCAGCCCTTCGCTCCTTTATGCTATCATGGCACTAGGAGCAATGATGAGTCCAGACAGAGGTGTCAAGTACCAGAGTACCAAGGTCGGCGGAGTAGCTGGAGACATTTACTTTGAGAAGGCTCGGAAGCTGTTCGATCAGGAGATGGCGGAGCCAACCATCACAACCGTGCAAACGGCGCTCGCATTAGGGTCCCGATACGGCTCAAAGGGACACAGCGCGCTTGGGTGGATATACAGCGGCAAGTCAAGAGTAAATGAGGTTGAGATCACATCTAATGTGGATATTAGGCATCGCCATCCGAATGGCTATCCAAATTGGCCTCCACATCGACTGCCAAAAGAATGTTGCTTGCAAACAGATGTCCCCTGAAATTGCAGAAGTGCGGAAGTTGGTCTTCTGGGGCTGCTATATTCAAGACAAGTAAGCAGGTCATGAAATCCATGACGATCAAACGCCCAATCTGACATTCTGGATTGGATTTGACTTCTCTGAACTAGGCTTTGGAGTGCATACACCGGCCGCCCATCATTCATCATGGACTGGAACATTACCGTCGCACTACCTGAGGAAGATTCGCGGCTTCGTGGTGCCGGCCCTCATTCACAAGACGTTCAGGAGGCGGTGCACCGCCAGATCCTTCTCCTTACCAGAAAATGTTCCGCCATCCTCACCGAGCTCTATTCACGCAAAAACGAGTGCGATCCCGAAAATCTACGAAAAGCTGCCAGTGAAATCCACTTGGACTTGCTCACATGGCACAAGGATTTGCCGGAAACATTGAAGTGGCCAAACGACGACGGAACACCGACCTCGCCTCATGTCCTCGTCATGTAGTAAGTATTCGAGATCTCTGACACAAGCAAAATAGGCAAGCTTACCCGTCACTCTGCAGCATGCAGTTCTACTTCACCATGTTGCTCTTACATCGGCCATTCATTGATCTAGACGAAGTCGTTGCCACCATTCCTCATCTCTCCGAGGGACAGCCGAGTGCAACAACAATATGCACTCTTGCGGCCACCAATATCGCGAAACTCGCCCGAGATTACTCGTTGTTCTACTCATTAAGCCAGATCGCTAGCCCGGCAATCCACTTCATCTTTATTGCAGCCACGATACACATGATCAATCATAAAATCTCACCGGGAAACAACCACGACTATCTCTTTCAAGGCTGTCTGGCCAGCTTGTTGGAAATCGGCAGCGCTTACCCCATGAGTCACAAAGCGGCTGCTGTCTTACAAGAGCTCGCAGGTCGACTGCAGCCCCACGGTCCAGTCGCTGAGGGACTTGATAGATCAACGAATAATGACACGTCGTCGGAACCTCCTGTACAGGGCTCTGGTAAGGGGATTACACGACCTCTTGATCCTACAACGGCACCAGCAGGGAGGACGACGGACAGTGGCCTCTATGATACCTCCCCGCCTCTTATAAATCCATCATCATCGGGCCTGGACATGTCTTTTGCGACGGCCGGCGAGCCCCGAAACTTTGACTGGTCAACCTACAACTCCCCGATCACGCTGCCTACGAATCTGAGTATTTTTGACGTTGAGGCCTTTGACTACTCCGGAGGCGCCACTACCACGTTTCCATCGCAGTTTGGATATGCATCTGACCCAACCAACATCATGGGCGGAAATGGCGCATCGATAACTAGGCCTCCATTTACGACCGTCTTTCCCGCTACCAACAACCACGACACTTTGCCCAGTGCAACCTTCTTTGATAATTTTTACGGCACATCGTTTGGGTTGAACTACTAGCACAATGAACGGACGATATGCGGCAGGACTCTGGGAATTTGGAGCACGTCACGTGCCAATGGGCGAGCTTAATTTCTAAAATATATTGGTACATAACCATGACTTTCATTCACGGCTCCTGGGCAGAATTATGCCGCCCTTCTATCCCGCTGTCTTCTGCAAGACACGACTCATAGCAACAACAGATAGCCAGTGAGCGAATCAGTGAGCGATTGCGGCCAAAATTGCACCATTTCCGTGTCTTCCGCTTTGCTTCGTTGGCTATTTGGTAGTGTAATATAGACCGTGAGCTTGCACATCGTTAGTGTAAGGCATCATATGCAGATGGGGAACTATTTTTCTCTGTTGAGTGACATTACCCGACTTGCGTTCTGGGAGGTTTAACCCGGCTGCAATCAAGAAACGGCCGCATAGAGTGAGAAACAAAATTGACCTCATATCTTCCTTACATCATTCAATCTCAGGAGGGAGCGTGTAGAACTTTGCCAGGGTAGTGAAGGATTTGCGAAGAATATCTGCTTCATCCTTCAGGTTGAGTTCAGTCTCGCCAGTCAATCTCCGTTCCCAAAATCTATGGATGCAAACCGCCCATCTCCCCAGTGTAGCTGACATGAGAAGTGTGGGCTGACGCCTTTTCTCCGTCGTTGATATTTCCAACAACTTGAGTCTCGCCGATAGATGTTTCAGGGAGAGCTTGAAATCTGGTCTTTCTCAATCGTAGGTACGGAGGCATCGATTTTCTTTCCATTTGATGGTCACCCACGAACATCATGTCAACCTGTTCGAGAGTCTTGCCCGCAGTCTCGACGTAAAAGAACCAGACCATGACCACATTGACGAAGTTGAAGATGGCGAAAATAATGTACAGCCAGAAGCCGATGTTTTTGAGGCCGATCGGCGTGATCAGGACAACGACGTAGTTGAGGGACCAGTTCGTACAGATGGATAGAGGGAAAAATCTGGCTCGATATTTGAGACTTGATATCTCGGCGGGGTATAAGAACGGGATGGACTGCCAGGCGAATGCAAATACCATGAAGTAGAGGTAAACCATTGTCACCACGAGGATTCCAGCCCATTTGGCATCGCCGCCAGTCCCGAGAGCAATGCCAGCGACGAGGAAGGTCAGGAATTGGCCGATTCCGCCGATGATTAAGAGCTTGCGGCGGCCCCATTTCTCAATGACCAGCATCGATGCCAGGTTCGCGAAAAGCCATCCGAAGCCTAAGCAGGCTGCCAGGATACGGGCGATGACACTACCCAGTCCTAGGTTTTCGAATATGATGACGACATAGTACGCGATGATGTTGATTCCTCCGAGCTGCTGCATAAGCTGGCTGGAACATCCCAAGATGAGCCTATAGAGGTTCTGTCCTTCCCCATTCCACAGATCAGATAGCTTGGTCCGTTCAGCGGCTCGTTCCAGGCGAACCACTTCCTTGATCTCCTCAAATTGGGCCAGAAGTTGGGGAGAGTCGGGTTGCTCGTCCATGAGTTGACATAGAACGTCCTGGGCTTCAGAGAGTCTACCTTTGCTTGCAAGCCAACGTGGACTGTCCGGAAGCCACGGTAGGCAGATGAAAATTGGAACGAGATAGAACATCTGGAAGGCGGTGGGAAATCTCTGTATCGGCGTCAGCCTTATCCCATTCAAGCATACAGGAGATGTAGAATATCAAATCCACAAACCCATTGGATTCCACCCTTGGTGAAGCTAAAACCGAAAGTGACGAACTGCGCCACCAACCAGCCCACATCAAGGATGAAGAGCTCACCCAACAGAGCCCGACCACGGGACTGCGGTCGGCTCGTTTCTGCGTGGTAGACGGGCGACACTGAGGTGTTCAATCCTAGAACGCAATATCATGGTCAACACTGGGACGTCATCGAGAATCATGCCGGTGTCTACCGTTGCCAACGCCACCGATAATCCTTCCGGCGATAAGCATGCCCAGATTCACTGACGCAGTTTGGATTGTGGCACCAATAATAATGATCGAAGAGCCGAGGAGCTGGCGAAACAGTATCAGTGATGCCTCTCCGGACTGAGAAGAACAAATCAAGGAGTGGCAGAAAGTACCAATGTGTTCCTGTGCCCCAGCTTCGAGGCTACCAGAAATGCGCCAACGGCACCGACTAAACATCCAATATCGTACAAAGCGGCTGTCTGGCCGGTCATAGTTGCACTAGGGTGATGAAATTGTTCAAGAAATGCATCACCGCTAGCTACACCGCCGTAGAGGGCTTGGTCATAGCCGAAGAGTGAGAATGAGCAGCCACAGATGACTGTGACCATCAGCCGCAGAGGGCGGCCACGGAGGCGTTCAATGCCGAGCATAATGTTCGGGATAAACCAAGGAGGAGATCGAGTTTAGGGGAGATATCTTTTCTTTGCAGGCGAATATCTAGTCAAAGGGCAGCCTGCGTTATACAAGTGCTGGAAGATGCAAGATTTCTGGGGTGGCCCACCGAAGCTATATACACCATACGATGTGCTTGCTCTTATTCCCCAGCGTGGCTCGACACCCCCTTACTACAACAACGCAAGGCTAGCCTTAACTTAACTTGACAGTCAAAGGCGGAGGCGGCTTGGGGTCGTCCTGGGGTTTCTGGGGCCTAGGCATTGGCGCTCAACGCCCAGCCAGGTCTCGCTTTTCCGACGATTTTCCGTTGCTTTTCCGCAGTACCGAATCTGCTCGTTATGCCAACCGACAAGGTCATGTTCTAGGAGCAGAGGATGGCGAAGAAAGTTTTGGTCATTAAAAACGTTCCCAAGAAACTGGATGACAGGGCCAGGGCCACGTGCAAAGCCTGCTCAGCCTTACTTATGTTCGTTGCAATCAGCTCGGGGCAATCAGCAAGGCTGAGGACACGGGCACGTTACGACCCGAAAAGGCAAGAGGTGATTTGGCGACAGGGCAGACTGCAGCAAGGTTAGGCATATCACCATTGTATCACAACAACATTTCGCGGATACCTAGGATATAGATGCCCTCACTCTGTTGGGCTTCCTGTGCAGTCAACTGAGTTCTTAATCATACACTTTTGTATGTTGATAAGTTCCACCCCAGTACATTGACCTTCTCCGTATTCAGCACTCTCGTCCATTGTTACCCCTGTCGCTATCCTCCGTAGGGAACTCGTGTCTTCTGACAGGCTTCCACCTGAGCGATTCATAAGTTGAAACTCTCGTGGAAATAGTTGTCTGGAGAACCCGGCCACCACACAGCGCCCCCGGAGCCCCGGTGCCCCCCGGTCCCCGGATCGCAACCTTGGGTTTGTATCATCCTCCACGGGCTAAATCAGGCATTTATTGTCAGGTATCTCGATTCAACATCCTCTGATCTAGCGCACTCTGTAGACCAGTACGGCCACAATTTAAATTAGTAGCCATTGCTGCACCCTCATGTCCGAGGCATGTCGCAAATACACTAAATTCAATGCGACGAGGTCAAGGAGTACCATCTGAGCCAAACGTTGCGGATTCTCGTGGTTTTGTCAAGTTTCAATAGCATTTGATTGAGCAATAGTTACGCTCAAACATGCAAACCATTCCGATTATCCTAATTGCTTGGGTCTCCGGTGTTGCGACTCATATCTTCCACTTTCATCGCCGTGAACGCCATCTTCATCCCCAGAGGTACCTGCAAGCCTGTTTCATCCTCTTCCTCGTGGGCATAGCCGCCGTAAAGCATGTCAGAGATAATTCTACAATGGCAGTTGCCGTGCAAGAGACGGGAAAGATTTTGGGCTCGTACATTGCTGGGATCTACCTCAGCTTGATTATTTTCAGACTTCTCTTGAACCCTCTAAACAAATTTCCGGGTCGTCCTCTTTCAAGGCTCAGTGCACTTGATCACAGCTTCCGCATCGGCAAAGACAAAGACATGTTCCTAAAACTATATCAATCTCACACAGAATTAGGCAAGTTTGTACGGACGGGTCCACACGACCTATCTGTCACGCATCCAGATGTCGTCCGTGTGGCATTGTCGACTCAGGCGGTTTGCGGAAAGGCGGCGTGGTACGAAGTTGAATCGCCAGCATACTCTTTACATTCGACGCGAGTGCGGTCGCAGCATGACAGGCGTCGCCGAATCTGGAGTCCTGCATTCAGCGACAAGGCTCTGCGAGGGTATGAGAAGAGAGTTCACAGATATAATGAATGCCTTATACTACAGATTGACTCATTCTCTGGTAAGTGTATGCACCTTTGATCCCTCATCAATGTGTACTTATGCAAACTTGCAGGACAACCGGTCGATATGTCCAAGTGGTTCAACTACTGGAGCTTCGATGTCATGGGAGATCTGGCATTTGGAAGATCATTCAACATGATGGAATCCGCAGGAGAACATTGGGCGATCAAACTTTTGAACAGCTCCCAAGATGGCATTGGGCTTGCTTTGCCGCCCTGGATTGGTCGCCTATGCTGGCACATTGCTCCGCTGAGATCAACATATGATCGATTTCACAAATTCTGTGCCTCCGAGATAGAAGACCGCATCCTTTTACAGGGGAAACAAGGAGATCCAGACATCACACATTATCTCATCGAAGACTTAAATGCCAAAGATGCTGAAGGACAAAAGGCTGCCCTGCCACTGCTCTATCTCGACAGCAAGCTAATCATTGTTGCCGGAAGTGACACAACAGCCGCAACATTGACATTCTTATTCTATCACCTTGCGATCGAACCAGGTATAGTCTCTCGCCTCAGGGAAGAGTTGGAGCCGTTTTGTCGCGACGCTAGCAACATCGAACATCAGCACGTTCAGTCTGCACCACTTCTTAATGCTTGTATCAACGAAACCCTCAGGCTACATCCTCCTGTCCCAAGTGGGCTCTATCGGAAAACTCCTCCTGAGGGGGTCTACATTGGTGACGAGTGGATTCCTGGAAACACAACGATTCAAATACACCTGTATTCCATGGCCCGTGGTAAGCTTTTCTAATAACTTCACCCTTTCAAATTCTCCACGACAGGGTAAAGATTGAAAGGTTGACTGACTATATTTTTGCTCCAGACGAGTCCAATTTTGCAATGGCGGAGCAGTTCATTCCAGAGAGGTTTACCTCCAGGCCAGAGCTTGTCAAGAACAAAGACGCATTTGCCCCATTTTCGATTGGTCCATATGCCTGCATAGGCAAGAATCTAGCATACATGGAGATCAGGTTGCTAGCTGCTCAGCTGATCACAAAATTCGATGTAGCCCTGGCACCGAGCGAGGATGGTACAGCTCTTTTGAACTCTGTGGACCATTTCACCATCGGCTTGAAGCCGATCAATATGATATTGAGCCGAAGAAAGTCGGTCGCGCGAGAGAGATGAAAATAGTCCTTCAACGAGGCTCTGGTGTTCGGTCCAATAGAGCACTCGCAATATGAGTCCTCGGCAGGGATAGGTGCGCGAGAGATGCTGTTACAGTATCTGCTTGACTTTGACGGCCTCACGAACGTCATTTCCCACGCACTGAGGCTTTTTTTTTGGAAATTGATCTTTCGGTAGATCTGGGACTATCTGACTGTTTAAAGCGATAGAGTCTTAAGGGGGGCTCCATCTAGGCAGAGTGAGGACTATCCAGAGCGTCACTGGTTGATATGGCTTAAGAGATATATACAGTGAATTCTATAGAGTCCTAGTGAGACTCTAACTTGCCTGGAATATAATATGAAGTAATTATCGAAAGGGCCACTAAAGTACTTCCGAGGCCTTCGGCTAAGGGCTTTGCGGGATAGCTGTTACATCTCCTTGGCAACCCCCTCAGTCACATTACTTTCTGTTTTGACGACAAAGCAGCTGAATCTCCATTAATGCTGGCAATGGAGGCTGGTGCCTCATTCGAAGTCGCTGGGTCCGTAAGCCACATTGACAGCGCTGGATCCCTCCAAGATGAGCCGAGCCCGCATACACCGAAACAATCTTCGCCTCGCGAGAAACAATGCTCAGTGTGTGGGAAACGGTTTGGTCGCTTGTATGAACACCTGCTTGGTCGCTGAGAAGGCAACTCACAAGCCACCCTGATTGCAGTTACACTCTTCGCCGACATGCGCAAACACACGACAGCCACCGACCTCCTCCCCCACCAAGAAAGAAGGCTTGTCTCGTCTGCCGAAGGTCCGTAGTTGGAGCGATTCCCTATCAGATGCGATGACTTACTAAGGCTTCTCGTTCTAGGCTGAAGATTCGGTGCTTGGGAGAATATCCAACCTGTTCCTCATGCCTCCGGCGACGTGTCCCTTGTTCGTATGAAGCAGACGTTGTTTCAAGAGCGAGCCGTAACAGCCCTGATGCGACGTGGAGTCATATTGCAGACACCCAGTCAAATGTCCCGCCAATATCGCAAGAGGCAACCATGCCAGAGATGCTTTCTGCTGCAATCCAAGAAGACGAGGCTGGCTCCAGTGGCTCTTATGTATTCCCTGAGGTGTTTCCCGACCTTTCCCAGTTAGAGCCGTGCTCTGGCCCGGACATGCTCTCTCTTCTAGACTGGAATTATCCCGACAGCTTCGATGATTTCAATATGACCTGTTGGCCAGGTACTGGATGGTTTCCTCCGACCGAGCCTCCAAATTTTCATTTCGGCGACCTATCTCCTTCGGGCCGATCTGTTTCGCAACCACAGCCAGTCGAAGCTATCGCATCTCCGAAAGACGATCCACTACACAAGCATCTACGAATTCCAGGAGGTTCTCGAAACCCGGATGAAGAGGAGCATTATCCTATGTTATGGCCTGCAACCCAGCCTAAGCATCTAACCCTACTGCGTCTCGGTCCTTCAAAGAGCTCGAACTCTCTTTCCAGTTATATCGGATTGCCTAGCATCGGCTCCCGTGGTGCCTCCATACTGCAAGATATCTTGAAAGCTCCTTTTGAGCAATCCATCTGGCCAGCTGCCTCAATTCCTTCTTTTCCCGCACCCCAACAGCTCGATCACTGTATTGATCTTTATTTTGCACATTTTGACAAGGTAATCCTGGTGAAAAGTATTCTTTTGCCGTGTCTGACGCACAGGCTGAATAGTGGTTACCGATAATTCATCAGCCGTCATTCGACCCCGCCAAAGAACCGGTGCTTACACTCGTTCTGATCATGATTGGAGCATGCTACACGGACTTTGAAGGGGCATCAGCATTCTCGATCGCCCTTTCAGAATTTATTCGAAGACTGCTTGTCTTCATGGTCAGTATCAGGCCCATTATACAGGGCGAAGCTGAGGTCCTTCATATCAGGCTGAGCATGACCCTCGATTCGTGAGAACCGAGTATTATATCTCTGCGCAGCTGCTGAATTCCATTTTTGGGTTTGCCAGTGGCAGCCAACGTCTATATGAACTTGCCGAGTCAAGTCGTGGTGCTCTTGTCAACCATGCTCGATGCATGGGGTTGTTCGATCCACATCATGCTCCCCAGAAAGGCAACGACCATTCTGACACCCAAAGTCGATGGGAGAGCTGGATCTGTGCAGAGCGAGCTTCGAGAATAGGCTGGGCTGTTTTTGTAGGTCTCGGTCGAAGTGATCTACTTGTGGAATGTCTCTGACGCAGGACCATCACAGACTTATGACGCTTCTTCAGCCGGGATGCGCAATGCCCGACCTTACATTCTCCTGAATGAACTCAAGTTGGACCTCCCCTGCCTTACGCAACATTGGAAGGCAGCTTCGAAACAAGCTTGGGCTGCGATTCATCCATGGAGAGAGCAATGCCCCCGAACAGACTCGTTTCAGAGTTGTATCTCTCGTGTCGTCGAGCACCCAGCCAGCGCACATTCCGCGTACGATGACAATTATGTTCGATTCATCATCCTAACAGTTTTGACACGAATGGTTTGGGACAACAAAGAAGCTACTACCCATCAGGCGGCGATGCACCTCAGCACATATGACGCTCTTCTCAAGGGAAGGGCCGAGCTCCTCCAGATTCTCGACGACTTTGCGTCGCCGACAACTGGCTATTATCCCAGTGCTACTACCGAGCCTAGCAACGAGTTCACAGTCCAGCATTGGCTACAAGTCGGTATCGCTCATGGGCTCGCTGAAGGGGTCGTTATTTGTGACTTGTTCGGCATCATGCTTTGGCAGGACGAGTCCCGTGCGATTCCTGCACGGAACCGGATCTTGCGGTGGTGCAGGGAGAACCCAAGAAACCCCCGCGCTCTCTTGTACACGTGCGCACAGGGGCTCACGATCACCAGGTTATATCCATGCAATCATCCACAAGAGGCTTACAATATCTTCCACTGTGGGCTCATTTGTTTCGTGGTGTCGACATTACTATTAGCGGATTATCAGACGATGTCGAACCGCGAAACTCCTGGTGGTACATTGCCTGTCTGCAAGCTCGATTGGCAAGGCGCTCCAGATGGACCAGAAGTATTGGCAATTCGAGACTGGATCGAGAATGGCACCCCCTCTCGGGTGCGCATGCATGGAGTTCCGGAAGTATTCTCAGTACCGGGCCCGAGGCAAATCTTGCAACAAACAGCGGATGTGCTCAGCAACGTGTCCGTCTGGGGCATTAAGCACATCCTCCTGAACGCCGTACGGGGGCTATTGCACGGTTGAGAGAAGGTGGGGAAACACAAGTCGACCCCCTGGATTCTTTATCAACGAGATGCGGTCACGAGGGTCATTTGCGAGAGGATCAATGTGCTTCACTCGGATAAAAAAACACCGCCACCTATGATTCGAAGCTGGAATAAGTGAATATATCAGCCAGAATTTTGTGTACATCCATCCTGATATCCCGCTTCCAGCGACACCCAGGCAAGGAGAATATATGTGCCTGGGCCCACGGCTATTTCTTGTTCGACAACGAGATTCGATACCAAGGCACACTCAAACTAAGCCGCTCGGTCAACATGAGAGATGGCACCTTTGTCCTGTCCAATGACGTTTACCATTTCACTCCCTACCGAGATGCCTCGCACAGTCTTTGTCGTGACATAGTTCTTGAATTCCCAAGCCGGTACTTTCTGTATAAGGGTGTCAGCGCTGAACCTTGCCCATTGGGAAAATCGCTCACATTCATGAACATCTCGTCAATCTCCTCAAGAGTCCGGTCTTTGGTTTCTGGGAGGAAGAAGAAAGCAAAGATGAAGGCCAATAGCTCGGTTCCACCAAAGATGAATCCAACCTTGGTTCCCAGCATCACGTAGGCGTCACTCAGCAAGTAAGGCATACCGACCGAGATGAGTACGTTGAAGCTCCAACCGACAGAAGTGGCCAGGGCCAAGGTCTTGGACCTTAGCTTGGTCGACGGCAATTCTCCGATGAGAACAAACGCCACAGGGCCCCAGGACGCACCATAGGAAAAATTGAAGATGCACACAAAGGCGACCAAGGACTTGGCAGCCGCATGAGTGCCTGGCGTGGCAACGCCGATGATGGCGAAGGCGAACATGCAGAAAGTCTGTACGACTGTGCCGACAATGAGGATCTTTCGGCGTCCCACGTACTTTATCAGTACGAAAGAGGTCAGGGAGCCGGCAATACCACACATGGAGGAAATCACATTCGTGGTGAACGGATCTGTTACACCGGAGAGAGAGAAGAATAGAGTTCCATATCTGTCAAAGGTGTGTCAGCTGGGCGGATTCACGAATGGAGAAAAGCGATACTGACCCAGCGATGAAGGCGACACCGGAAAACTCTTGACCCAGAAGAGCAGCTATGGCCAACAGAGTCCTCCGCAAGTCAGTCCCTTGGAAGCAGTGGATCCAGCTGGAGGAGCCTTCCAGTTGTCTCTCGATCTCTAACATGCCGACAATATCGTCGACTTCAGCGTCGATATCTTCTTCAGGCCAGGTTGGCCCTCTCACTTGGCACATTGACTTGCGGGCCTGTGCATTCTTGCCATGCGAAGCGTACCATCCTTTGACTCGGTCAGACTGTCGAGATTCTTGGCCACCAGGGACCTCAGGCAGATGAGAATCAGGGCAAAGGCGGAAGATTCAGACTTACTGGGTGTCTCGGGAATCCAATAAATAAAGATAAGCAGGATAAGCGGCGGGATAAACTCCGTCATCAAAGAGCCTCTCCAGGCCCAGCTGGTCGTCAACTCACTCGTGCCTTTAACGATACAAGCACCAACAAATTGGGCAAGATTGGTGATGGCCCCGTATAAGAGAGTGATCAGGCCCCGCATTTTGACAGGCGACGTTTCCGCCCAGTATGCGATGACAAAATTCGCAGCCAATCCCACTGCCAACCCAAGAATGACTTTGCCCACGATGACAAAGGCGTAACTTGTCGCCGCAGAGTTAAGTATGAGTCCGATAACATACAGCAACGCCGCCAATGTAAGGCCGATTTTGCGACCATAACGGGTGCCTACAGTCCCAGCGAAAATGGCAGAAACACAAGCCGCGCCTAGTGTCGTGCCTGTGAGGCCAGAGATCTGGGGCGCCGTCAGGGCCTTGGTTCCGGTCGCCGAGTTGTATTCTCCGAAGTCCTGGTTATATCTATAACATCATGTCAGCCGGAAATGGGAACTTATTGGCTCTTGTGCCCAGCAGTTCCAGGGTGTTCATACTCGGTCATGGCCAGGAATCCTGAAGTCTGGGCAACTCCCATGCCATAGATGACCGCCAATGTCGCAGGAACAAGGCAATACCGTATGAGTCTCGCATTGCTGCGTTTATACCGGTTTGAATTTACCTCATCCATGAAGACCGAGTTGGAACCACGATGGAAGCCTTGGTGCTGCGAGGTGTTGCTTGCTATAGTTCCTTCTCCGAAGTGGGAATTTCTCGGATATGTATCAGTGGGATGCGCCTGCGATGTAATATTTATGGCTTCTTCTGTCTTGATGTGTGGTCTTCTCAAAGAACCCCCCACACCGACCATGGAGGAGGACCTGCGGAGTCTGGGGAGTCTGGGGGAGTCTGGGGCTGCTGGTGCTAGAGAGAACCTCTACCAATCGTATCTCGAGCCTTTGAGAGCCGAGGCTGGCTGTGGCATGTCGAGGCCTCCATCAGCACATAGCACCCCGATCTCCGGGCCCACTTGTGCTCTGGACTTGACCTAGTTAGGGAGCAAGTCTCGTTACTTGGTACTCCTTTTTGTCCGATTTGAAGCTGGAACCCTAGAGATCCAAGGCGTGAGCACCGAGTCCCTGTCGAAGATTGGCTGTGCGAGGCTGACCAGCACTGGAGTATGCAAGAGCCCAATCACCTCCGTGTCCCGGGCATGAAGAGTGCCAACCACCTCCGATCACTTGGTGAAGGGTTGCGCACGCACCCCTTGGGCCGGGAAAAAGGGTGCCTTCCGTCAACATCTGCGTGTGAATGACAATCCACGATACTCAGCAGAACTTGAAAATAAAAAAGCGCAGGTTGCTGTATGCCGACCACTCTATGTTATTCACCTTTGCACATTGCCGTCTGATCATTGAGGACCAGTGACTCTGGGCCCATTTCCACAATGTCGACACAAAAAGTACCCGTCAGCTCGGGGAGCTTGGCCAATTCTGCCAATTCCATGCCATCATCTCTTCCTTTTGATGTTAGCGCACTCCCGAAGCTCAACAAAGAGCAAGCAGGCCATATTCGGCACTACCACAACCTGGCCAGCATGCCGGACAACTGCTGGAACCACATGTGGTCGGAGGACTACCTTCAAGAGTCTATGGATGCATACCGATACCAGCTTGCTACCCTCGTCTATGGAGCTGGGGTCGCCCATTTCCACCGCCTGCCGGCACTGCGCTCGGTCTTCAAACCTCTCTTGCGCCGTTTCATCCAGAAAATGCTCTTGCGAGACGTATGGGGCTACTGGTGGAACACCTCTCAGGGCGGCAAAGTTTTGAACCCTGACCAAGTCAGCCCTCGCGCACAGTGGGCGGACCCTGTGGTGCGCGAGAACATCATGTACAGCGGGCATCTTCTGCTTATGGTCAGCTTATACGCCATGCTGTTCGACGACGACGAATACGAGAGACCCGGCTCTATCGCTTTTGAATGGGATCCGCAGTTCTGGGGAACTCCGAAGAGGTATGAATACTCCACCAAGTCGTTGCAAGACGTCATTATCGCCGAAATGGAAAAGAACCAATGGCTCGGAGTCTGCTGCGAGCCGAATGTGGTTTTTGTCATCTGCAACCAGTTCCCTTTGGTTGCGATCCGATACAATGACGTGCGAAACGGAACCTATATCTTTGACGACATCAAGCCCAAGTTTCTCGCCGCCTGGGCAAAGAAAAAGGGCATGTTGGGACCAAACGGCCAGATCATCCATATGTGGATGGTGCAGCAGGATGACATCGTGGCCGCTTCCAGCGTCGTCGGGTCTGCCTGGTGCGGAGCATACATGAATGCCTGGCACTCGGATTTTGTCTATGACCTTTTCGAAAAGCAGAGGCAAGGACACCTCACCAAAATCAATGGCCAGGTGCGCCTGCAAAGTTTCTGGGTGGCCAAGGAGATCCTGAAGCTTTCTACGCGGGACCCGGCCAAACACCACCCGGACAATGCTACCACGGTCACCGAAGCTACCCGAATTGTGAAGGAGAAAAACCCCAAAGTGGATCACAACGTCGCCAAAGCTCCCGGCGTGGGTATGGTCTTGCAGTGGCTCAGCGAACTGGGAAAAGAAGAATATCTGTTCCCCTTGCTGGAGTATATCGACCGGGAAATGCACCCGAGGTGGGAAGATGGCGGCTTGTTCTATGAGAGGCGCAATGACTTTCAGCCGGCCACCGCCATATGCATGGACCCATACTCTAGTAATGCTGGAATTGCCTATGGCCGCCTCAACGTCCACAATGGTCAGAAGGAGATGTTTGAGCGCCCATGGACCAAGGAGATACTTGCCCGGAGACCCTACGTCGATAATGTCGACCTCTCACAGGGTGTGGATTTCTTGAGAGGCCAATGGTCACCGGAGGATGCCGCGTTGGTGGTTACTCTCAAGTCATGGGATGGCCAGGATCATAAGATCACACCCACATTCAACAATCTCTCTCAAGGGACTTGGGGACTCTACATTAATGGCCATCTTCAGAGGGTTGAAGATGTAACGGATGGATCCGGCAGTGTGGCTATGGCTGTTCGAGTTCCCGCAACAGAGGAGGTCGATCTCGTGCTCCTTCGCGGCAAAGCACGAGCCTCAAAGATCTAGTCTTTAAATATATATCCGCGTTTATAACATGGGTCACACAAGCGCCATTGTAGAAATAGTGCAAGATATAATCACTCCAAAGTCTAGCTATTCGCAGTGATTCAATATACCCCTTACCCTTCCTCACCTTGCTTTATCCTGCAGCCCCATGAATTAGACGTAGTCGAATGGTTCTCTGCATCATACAGACGACTTAATGCTTGAGAAGACAAGGACCTTTTCCAAAACCGAGGTTCTGGTACCATTTATCCTCTCCAGTCTGTCACGTGCATCAGGCCGAAGATCATACAAGTCAACGGCACTTGGTTACTCCGTATCTCCGTATCTTTGCACCTATTTCAACCTTCTTGCATTACCCCGATTTCGAGAGACCCAGGTCAGGCCCGCGGCGTGTCGCTCGGGGAGTGTGCTCAGGGAGAACTTCAGTAGTGCCTAGTCAATGGCTGGGTTGGAGATTACGTTAAGGCGGGCTTCGCTCACTCTGCAATTAAGTATTTTCGTTCTCGAGTAGTCTGGGTACGGGTAAAGACGAATAAGTATGTATGTAAGCTGAGACTAGTTCCTTTGCTCGATACATCGTGTCGGAATTCCCCTCACACCGGGAGCGAAGGGTTCCAAGAGGACAAGTCGGACAGTCACATTTGGACGTTGGGCTGTAATCTGTCCATTGGACGAATTCATTGGCTTATAAAGATCAATGTCAACCTGACGCCAACTTCTTCATCGCTAGGTTGTTGATAAACATACTTCTCCCTCGACCAACACTATTATCACCTGTATCTCGTACCGTCATCGTCGATGGAATTCTGAGGAGAACGCGACAACAATATGGCTTCGTCTTCATACGACTATATCATCGTCGGAGGCGGGGTCGCCGGCCTTGTCCTGGCGTCTCGACTCTCGAAACTCCTACCGCCATCCGACATGAAGCAGATACTCGTCCTCGAAGCAGGTACCGATCCTTCGGCCACCGATTCCATCCTCACAAGCCAAGCCGCGCATCTCGCTCGCGAGTCTGTTCATTCGTATCAACTCTCCATCTCGCCCAATCGGCACCTCAATGGACGTGGCGCAACTGTGCCGGTCGGCAAAGCGCTAGGCGGAAGTGCTGCGATCAACGGAGGTGCATGGACAAGGGGACCCAAGAGCGACTATGACCTTTGGGCTAAGATGGTGGGCGACGGCAGCTGGGGGTATGATGCGCTATTGCCCTACATGAGGAGGGTCGAGAGTATGGTTCTGCCAGAGAATATTGAGAAGGATGAAATCCAGCATGGATACGATGGGCCCTTGAAGCTCACCCCGATACGATCACTGTGGCCAGCAAGGAAGTATCCACTCAGGGAGTCTGTCCAGAAGATGTGGGAGGAAGCCGGGGTCAAGTACATCCCTGATGGCAATTCGGGTCACCAGAATGGACTGGTTGAATTTGTCGAGGTCTGGGTCAACAGCGCTAGACAGCTGCCGAGCAAGATATTCGATTTGACAAAGGTGGATGTTCGGACCATGAGTACGGTGCAGCGAGTCACTTTTGGCACAATCGAAGGACAAGACCAACCCGTTGCTAATGGCGTTGATCTGGTGGGCGGGCAGCATTTCGTCGCGAATAAGGAGGTCATTGTCTGCGCCGGGGCATACCATACACCCCAAGTCCTCATGCTCTCCGGGATAGGTGACCCTGCTGAGTTGGCAAAGCACGGCATAGAGACCATAACCTCGAATCTCGAGGTTGGCAGAAACCTTACAGATCACTTGGCCGTGGGGATCACCTGGAAACTAAAACATCCTGAAAAGGGTTTGTCCATCGGATCGCCTCTGTTCATCGACCCGTCATATTTCTCCGGCTGGCCAATGGATTTCATCGAGTTCGGACCATTAGACGAACCGGCAAAACTGGAACCTTGGATCAACACTCCAGAAGAGAGAGCTTTGGTTCTCAGACCAGATGCATCGCATATGGAAATTGTCACACTCTACGTGGCCCTGGGGAAGAGACTCACGGGTATTGACGCGCCACTTGACGGGAACTATATTAGCACCATCGCTGGCTATCTGACGCCCACATCTAGAGGTTCCGTCACCCTGAGGTCAGCGAGCATCGAGGATGCTCCGGCGATCGACATGAATTTCTTCGATACGGATGCGGATAAGGTTGGTCTCCGAGAGGCGCTCCGGAAAGCGGCATCAGTCCACCTTGACACCGAGGCTGGGAAATCCTTCGTGTCCCATGAAGTTACCCCAGAAGGGTATGCATGTATCACCAAAGATACGATGGACGAGGAAATAGACAAGCGCATTGCCGACTTTGGATATAGTTTCGATCACCCGATGGGTAGCTGTGCGATGGGGAAAGCTGTAGACAGCCATTGTCGTGTGATGGGCGTCAAATCCTTGAGGGTTGTCGATGCCAGTGTTTTTCCGATCCCCATGGCGTGTCATCCTCAGTCTGTGGTTTATGTGACGGCTGAGAGGGTTGCGGATTGGATCAGTCAGGGGGATCAATAGAACTTCCTGAACGATACGGGAGAGAAGGCCATGATTTACGCTTGGCTCGTGGATTCTCAGGCTCTTAATCCACTGGCTTTAGAACAGCAGATGAACAATGGATCTCAAGAGTACCGAGCACATAGTTCAGATTGCTCTCACTGTGGACTCTGATATTGGTCCCCCGGGGGCAAAATCCGATGTGGGACGGCTCGTCGCACCTAGCGCCGGTGACTGTGCCGCTGGAGGCGGTGGGACTGTTGTTGGCGGGCTCGTTGATGTTCGCGGCGTAGTGTTCGGATTGGAAGGGGTTGAACCCCTGACCCACAGGTCAGGATAATTGATTTCGGCATCAGTTCGTGCTTGGTTATAAGCCACCCTGATCTGTTCCATGACTGTATAAACGTCATCATGGCGATTTGGGTTCCGGAAGTTCGCTTCAGCGTCGTCGAGTTGATCTACGATCTTTGCGAGATCGTTGCGGAATTGTCGGGCACGATTCGGCTGGTTGCGACTCTTGAAATAGGTCATCAGACCTGCGATCACGGTGTTGGTGGCGCCGAGGAAGATGGTGGCGGTCCGAGCCCTCCTGTCGTTGAAGGCGCCCAGCACGGTAAGGGAAGCCGCAATGAGGATCTGGAAGAAAAGGAGCGAGTTCGACGTCACGGCAACAAACCAGTATTGGTAGGTATGCCAGCGGTACGCGTCTGTCACGCGTTTTCGCAAGGACGTATATGCTTGGCCATCTAGTAGGCAGTCAGTACAGCTTCATAAAAGGGATGGACCCTGTGTCCTCGGGCGTACCTGTGCCGGCGAGCTCTCCAAAGAACGTAGGCACGATTGGGTGCTGAGGAAGCTGATTACTGGGCGGTGGTATCGTTACAGTGTGATCCCCAGCAGGAGGTGGGCGAGGCGCAGTTGGTGACGGTACTTGGCTAGGCTCTCCTTTCTCATCTATTGTCGCAGGAATCTTTGGGTCCATTGTGAACAGCGAAGGTCTCGTTGACGATGCTGCCCAAGAGCGAATGCGCAACAGGACTGCGAGTTGAGATGCGAGAGCCAGACATTTTCCAAGCAAGGCTCCGTCGGCATTATTAGTGAACTTGGGGAGTGGCAGGTAAAGCTCAAATTGGATGAAGTGTCGGAGCCCAAGCGATGGCTGTAGGTGTTTCCGATTTCGACAGCACCAATAGCCTCAAGACAGGTAAGCTAGATCCTCCTGGTGTAACGGCCAATCAAGGGATATTGCAGAGATGACCAGCCTTCTGTGGTGTTCTCGTTTGTGATGAGTGTTGATGAAATATCGAAAAGGGGAAGGCTGGGATGGAGGATCCAGCGCGTTAGGCAGCCCTGGCCACTGAGCACAGACACAGGCTGGGCTGGTGAGGCACCAATGAGCGCCCACCAACGGGCGACGGGGTTTCGCTAACGCTCCGAGGTACTCGTCAAACGGTCTCCGGGGCGTCGGGCTTTGATTGCGCTCCCAGGCCCCCGGCGCCAATGCCAATTCAACCGTGCTCACTCGCTGTATGTTTCGGCCGCTAACTTCAAGTAACCTGTCGAGTCGGAAAATCTCCGTGTCCGCCTATGACGCCCAACTTGTTCACCCAACTCCCTCACACTTGTCAACTGCGGTCTACCAACTTCCTCGTACTCGTATGCGTGCCGCACCACCTCAACACCTCCCGACAATGGCTGCAGAATCTAGCTGTGTCGAGGGCCCGATCCCAATTCTAAAGATCAAAATCATTCTCCGTCAAACAGGGCAACCGAGAGCACCATGAGCACATATAAAGGTAGGTGAAGGAGGGCGCCTGGCGCGCCTTACTCGCTACTTTGCAGCCACAGGTCTCGCATTGACGGTGTATTCACCTTGCAAGTCGATCCCTTGCCCCTCTCCAAGTCTCTACCCCAGCAGGATCGTTCACAATGAGCACCAAAACCGAATCAGAAAACATCGCCCTCGTGCGTCGCATGGTCACCGAAGTCCAACAGAACGGTAACTTCGACATCATTGACGAATCCATCCATCCAGACTGGATAGACCACACCCACCGCCCTGGTACTGCTGGAGATCGCGAGGCTGTAAAAAACATCATGCGTGGTCTGCACAAAGCTCTCTTGGACATCAAAGTGGACATCATTCACTGTGTCTGCACCGGCGATGTCGTGGCCACCAACAAAATCATCCGTGGAAGGCAGGTTGGCGAGCTTTTCGGCCAGCCCGCATCAGATCAGATGATTGAGTTTCGGGTCATGGATTTTGTGCGTGTGCAGGATGGGAAGCTGATTGAGCATTGGGGTTCCCTTGGTCAGATCAAACCGATATCAGACGGAGCTTGAGTCTACACGACTATGCAGACCTGGATAGTACATGTATCATTGATGGGCGGCACGCAGACTTGCCCATGGTCATTCTATTCAGGGCTTTGCCAACAGTTTTGGATGCATGCAAGCATCAGCAGGTGGAAAGGGACGGCAAGACGGACAAGTCAAAGGCGAAGACAGAGCCACATGATCAATAGTTGATGATTTTCTTGAAATGCCTTTTCAGGGCTTGTAAAGGATCCTTTTTTCCCTCCATGCTTTCCATAGTCCATGCAATTGGCCGTTTACCTTGATTCCGGCTGGACGACACACTTGGATTAAGATCCTCTTCAGCCTAGAACGGCCACTTAGCTTGCTCAGCAAATTCCCTCCACGAAACCTTTTTCGAGCCAGGAACCAAGTATTTGTCGCTCTCAGCCTGGGTCTTCTCGGTTCCTTTGCCGTAGTAGCTCCAGTCTCGGATCAGCATCATATTTTGTGCCAACTCCTCTGCAATCTTGTTCCCGATTTTCGCAGCGGACTCGACAGTAGCGGGTTGTTCGACAAATTTGATCTCTTTGCCCTTGAGCTTCGAGAGCGTGTCCACAATTTCCTGAGGGTGCACCCACTCGCCGACACCATGGACATAGACTCCATTGGCCGCCGACCCAGCTTCGAGGAGGCCCACCGTGAACAACCCCGTGTCGCTCTGAATGTCGATCAAAGGCACCCATGTATTCTGAGGATTCCACGGTAGAGTAAGCGTGAGCACCCCAGTCTGTTCATCTGGCTTGATTTGAGTCTTGAGGTTGGACATGAAATACCCCGGCATGTAGTACGAAACCATCATGTCGCCTTTGACCTGCTCCGCATATTCTGCCACTTCAGCCTTGGATTCGAAGTGCTCGACTTTGGTAAGCTCGCCGTGAGTCAACTTAGTCACATGTGGCAAGGTCGACCAAACCAAGTGCTTGACGCCGGCGGCCTTGCACGCATCGACGATATTCTTGCCTTGCTTAATCTCGGCATCTTTGGACTGCGTCTCCCAATAATTTGTGACAGCAAACACACCATATGAACCAGCGACAGCAGCTTTAACGCTTTCGATATCGTTGATGTCGGCTTTGGCTAGTTCGGCGCCCTTGGACGCAAGAGCTTGCGCTGCTGGCTTGGATGTGTCGCGAGTAATGGCGCGAACCTTGTACTTGGAAGACAAGCTAGGGTTATTGAAAATAGCAGAGGCCGTGCTGCCACCTTGGTTGCCCGTAGCTCCAAAGACAGTAATGATTTTCTGGGCCATTTTGAAGGTATTCTTGAAAGCCAGTTTCGGGTTTTACACGCTGTAGATGACGTTTTAGTTCCTCTGACAGATGTATTATGCTATCGAATGAACCGAGAGATTGTCTGGAGTGATGTTTGTGTTCCTTGGACAAAGAGTCTTGCCTGGGCAAACCAACCTGCTCTTATATAGGCAAATCCCTTGGAAAGAATTCATGCAAAAGCTTTTCTTTCAACGGTCCCGACCACTTCGTTACATTAGGTAACCATGTCTTTGCCATTTTCGGGCGTCAAGGGAGGGTCTGAGGAGTGAGTGTTAGTCATGTCCTCGCGCTTCGGCCTTCGCTGACGATCAGGAAAGAGGGCAGGTTGGAGGGGTCGATCTGGTCGGTAGCCGAGACTGTGAGCAAACCGATTCGTCCGCCACAAGAGAATCGCAAGAATTGCATGTGGTTCGAGGACCCTCGCACCTGGGGCTTTGTGACGCTACCGGACAAGGAGCACGAGGAAGCTGATCAGCTTGTGGCAGAGCTGACCAATTCCTTAGACATGGTTGTTCATGTCGGCTTCTGGCTAAGCCGAAGCATGTCTACCTGCACTTTCTGCGCCTTGGCTGATGACGCAACTGCGCTTGGAGGCCTTTCCAGCTTCAAGAACATCTTCCCCGTCACTTGTTCATCCGATCATCGCTTTGTCTTGCATTCAAGCCCCTCGACCGGTTGCACTCACGCCGATTCCGAACCCCGCTGATCAATCTGATCACCAACACAGGCCCTGGCATTGACCTCGACTGGCGAGGGGTTTTCTTGATAGGAGTCTTGGATGGAACATGCATATCTTTGATGTACACAGTCAAGCAATCGGCGAGGTCCCAGTTTGCCTATAACGACCATGCTTTTCTCCGAAGAGACTTTTCCGCACGACGACACGGCAAAGGACGAGTCCGACAAATAGACCTATGTTCACATTACGGGGAACACCTTCTCTAGAATCCTCATGTTATGCCTCTATCTAATTAGATATTCCGTAATAAGACCTTATTATTTAGACCGAAGACTGGGTGCTAACTGAGTGCTTGAGAACCAGAAACTTGATTCTTGGCTTGGACTTCGGATGAAAGGCAAAAGGACTGACTGTTTTCATACCATTAGGTTTGTCAAATGAAGCCTGTGTTTCTGGAGGGGAGCTGTCCGCCGAATCCCAAGATAGTGGCTGCCGTAGCAACAACCCAGTTTTCCAAATCGGGCGACCCACAACAACGCCAAGAGGTGAGCGACAACCTCAAAGTCACTCTGCATCAGCACTGCGGCATGATTGACTCCAGCGACCGTAAAGTTGACCTGCAAAAGTAAACCCAGCTGCCGCAATACCGACTCTCGCTCGTCATCATGGACAACTCGACCAAGATGGCACCACAAACCTCTCTGTTCCAGGTCTATTTGCGCCTTCGCCCACCATTCCAACTCTCGCAGTCAAGGCCTGAACCGTGGCTCATCGTGGAGCCACCGAGCGCGGTAGCCGAACGCGACGAAAATGTGGGCAATTCATTCTCGAGCCACATCACCCTACAACCTCCAAACGACTCGAGAAAGCGCGCGATCGAGAGATTTGGATTCACGAAGGTATTCCAAGAAGAGGCGGCACAGTTAGACATATTCGACGAGTCTGGGGTGGCAGACACGATAAAGAGTGTGCTGCAGACCGGAAGAGATGGTCTTGTTGCCACACTGGGAGTTACTGGTAGTGGGAAGGTGAGAGCGCCTTGTGTCGAGACCAGTTCTCCGTCGCCACTGACCGATAATAGAGCCACACAATCCTTGGATCCAAGTCTCAGCGGGGACTCACGCAGATGACTCTCGACGTTCTCTTCAGATCAATTGGCGAGAATATACGTCGACCGCATCACCCAGATCTCCCCACGGATACCAGTCTCCTCTCATCTCTTCAAGCGTCTGATCCCACTGAAGCCCAGATCTGGTCGGCAACCACCTTCCTCGAGTCAATCTACGGCGACGGCGACCGAGCCAGATTATCACGAGCCCAGACACCTATGTCACGCGCTCAAACTCCCATGATGGTAGGCATTGACAAGAATGGGCTTCCCGGCTCATTTCCCGCACCTTCCCGAACCCGCACAAATACCAGCACTGTTCAAAACCCATTGCCGTTGGCATTTATACCAGACCACTTCACAGGTAGTGCTCTGTCAACCGTGCAGTTGCTGTCGAGTATCCCAGACACGGTTTCTTTGCTCGAGAAGGAACCCTGGCGCCCGCCATCCAAAGTTCCATTTTTAAGTCGTTTGAAAAGCTTGAAGTCCCCTGCTAAATCTATGGCATTTAAGGAATCTATCGGCCACCCCGTCCGAAGGCCTCCTCCGCCTCGACCGTCCACATTCCCACAGAATCCTGATGTAGGAGCCTATACAGTGGACATCGAACAGCAAGCCGAGTACGTTGTCCTTGTATCAATGTACGAAGTATACAACGATCGTATTTTTGACCTGCTGTCGAATCCCACGTCGCCTAATGCACCACCCACGTCGACACGGCAAGGAGCAGCTTTGCAGAAGGGCTTACTGCGGCGTCCATTACTGTTCAAGAATACCGAAATGTCGCCAGAAATGAAAGTGGTTGCTGGGCTCCGGAAAGTTGTGTGCGGAAGCTATGATGAAGCAATGATGGTCTTGGAAACGGGCCTTACCGAAAGAAGAGTGGCAGGAACTGGAAGCAACAGTGTCAGCTCCAGGAGTCATGGCTTCTTTTGCATCGAAGTGAAAAAGCGAATGAGACCAAATTACAATGATGGGTATCTGATGGCCTCCCAACCTCCCTGGACCGGCGGAACCATGACCATCTGTGATCTGGCCGGGTCCGAACGCGCTCGCAATGCCAAAACCACCGGATCGACGCTGGCGGAAGCAGGAAAGATTAACGAAAGCTTGATGTACCTCGGGCAGTGTCTTCAGGTCATCAATGACTGCCAACAGGAAGGAAGCAAGCCCATCGTTCCCTTTCGACAGTGCAAGCTCACGGAGCTTCTCTTTTCCAATTCCTTTCCGTCCTCAAACCATGCCGCCATATGCAGACCACCACAAAAGGGCGTGATGATTGTCACTGCTGATCCTTTGGGAGACTTCAATGCCACGAGTCAGATTCTGAGATATGCGGCTATGGCTCGAGAGGTCACCGTTCCAAGGGTTCCTAGTGTGACTAGCACGATTTTGGCTGGGACTCAGAGCAAGATATCACAAACGGGTCGGTGCACTCCGAACGATGTTGCAAATGCGTATTTTATCACGAAAGAACTGGATCAGGCAACCCATGAGGCGGCAAGACTGGCTGAAGAATGCGATTTCCTGGCTGTCAAACTCGCGGAGGAAGAAATCAAACGCACGGAGGCAGAACTGAAGCTGCAGGCAGCGGAAGAGAAGCTCGCTGTCAAGGAGCAAGAAGTTCGCGAGGAATGCTGGGCAGAGATGGAAGAACGGCTGGATGAAGAGAGAGAAAGATGGAGAACTGCATGGGAGCAAGAGAGACTGCGAGGAGAGGCGTACGTGGACGGCAAGCTCGAAATTCTCGAGAAAACGGCAAAGATCACGATTCACGAGGATGCTTCCAGTGATGGGAGGATCGAAGAGCTTGAGCGAGAAAACGAATGCCTCCGTGCCAAGTTGCGAGCTGTGCAACAAGAGCTCCAAACAAAAAGTCCGACAAAGAAGTCTCGAAGCGCGGCCACGTCCCGGTCCCCTGTCAAGGGCTTGGTTTTGCAAGAGTCGTCCAACGCCAACATTGCGACCAACCCTTTTCTAGCTTCACTAAGGGCGTCAACCAAAGATCGAGACAGCGAGGCGACACTCAAGCCCAGGAAGAGCGACGATGGGCTGGACATATGTGATGTTTCGCCACGGAAGCTATCGTTGAGGAGCTCAAGTGCAACCAGGGTCTCAGTGCTGGAAGACTCACAACCTGCAGTTCCAGCTGTCAAGAAGCAGCGCAAATTGACGACGCGCAAGTGGGATCTCGGTGATCCGGATGACATTTGAATTAGATACCACGGGGGCATTCATGTCCATTAGGCGCTTGACAGAATAGCTCAAGACGCTATCGAGTTGTGTTACTCAGTATTGGAGAGTGGTGTAATATTCGTCCACGCCTTTGTCACCCCCCAGCATGGCACTCAGTCATTTTGGCGACTTTAGAGCCAGTGCGTACACCGCACATGAGACAAATGGGCGTCAGAGGCATAGAAAGTGTCAGAAGTCTCAAGAAGCGGATTGGGCTTATTTCGCCAACAGGAAAACTACTCGAGCGTGAGGCGCGCGTGAGATGAGGAAGGCAGATGAGAAGTGGAACGGGAGATGGTCAAACACCAACCACCCGGATTATATCTTGGAGCGAGCCTTATGATGTCGTAGTACCGAGTCTTAGTAGTGGTTTAGGCACCTCGCGGGCCGCAGCGGGGCGCGGTGCAAGGTTCAAGGTCGCAGGCCGCGAAGCTAAACCAAGTGGACAGACGTGGCTGGGATCTCAATCTTCCATCACGTTAGAAAAAAGAGTGAGCGCACCGCACCACACCCAGCACCAACCTCTGCCTTCTTCTCCCGTTTCTTTTCTGAACCAAGCAACTTTCTGTGGCTTCCTGCTTGCTTTGGCTTGTATTCCTGCAATAGTCGCTCGTTCTGGTTCCAGACTCCTGCTCTTCTTTCGACATCCGATACGGATTTCTATCCTTCACCGCACTTATTCCGCGAGTCTCCATTGGTGCCCGCAATCAGCTGAATTTCCACCTCCCACAGCCTTCGTGAGACGCCCGTGCAGGTTGGGCAGCACGCACGAGACAGGCAGGCAAGAGAAAGAAAATATATAAGCAGCAACAAAAACCGCAAAAGAGGAGGACAGGATTTTGCGGTTGGTGTTGAGAGCACTCGCAATTCATTCTCGATCTCCCCCAGCGGAGGGGCCGAGCTCAATCAATGGCGCCGACGTCCTACATCCGCAGTGTCAGCGCCTCGAGTGAACACTTACGATCCGTGGTTTCCCGCTCCGTGTCCTCGACCTTCGAGACGGTCTCCCCAAAGCAGTCGGTCACCACTTCCAGAACTTCCATCGCGTCCTTCTTCGCACTTGTCCTTAGAGAGGTGCTGCAATTCTCAAGACGCACGCTCCTCACCTCGACGTCGCCATCCAAACCGTCCCGCCGCGAGCTCGTGCAGCCTATCTTCCTTCAACCCTCCACCGGTCTCGAGAAACGACAGAATGCCGTCCTCGCAATTCCCACCACTTATGCAGGCCTCAACTCCGGCCCCGCCCCCGGCGCCTTGGTCGGCATTGTCCTCGGCTCTGTCGGTGGCTTCATCCTTATATTATATATAATTCTCTCACTATTTCGCCTGTCAGGTTGGGGAGGCGGCCGTGAGGTCGTGACAGAGGAAGTCATCCGGCATCACCGAAGAAGGCCCTCCCGAAGCAGTCCGAGCAGCAGAAGCCATAGCCAGCCCATGAGCCACGTCAGCAACCACAGGTCGAGTAGGGTGGTAGAAGAGACGGTGGTGGTTGAGGAACATTTTGGCCCGTCCAGTGTCGAGGAGGACATTGTTGAGGTCATTGAAGAGCACTCGCCCGAACGCTCGCCGCCTAGGAAAGGCAGTCGCAGAAGTGGCTTTAGGACTGTGGATCCAGCGGAGTTTGGAGGAGGAGGAAGGCCGATGAGGAAGGTTTCAAGACGATAATGAAAGAGTGCAGAGATATGCTGTTTGTTGCGAGACCTTTTATTGCTGTCTGACCTACCTATAATGAAGCGATGGAGTTGGTTGGTATGTGCGGAATTGTCGCTCCTACGGGAATGGAGTATCTATCTGTACCTGGCGAGCATCACGGCCGAAGGACAGGCCTGGGATTGCTAGAGAACAAGTTGTCTGGACTGTGAACAAGACTACGACCTCGATATCGGATCGAATCATCTAGCCAATCATATCTTGCCATCCTTTCTGTGTCAATGAAGCGGGTTGGTCCCTCCCCTTCAGTCCTCTACGCACTTTTATACACTTTCCAATGAAGGCGGTGGCCTCCGCTGAGCCATGTCCGGTCGGTGTCACGTATCCACGTTCAATATGCCCCCTTTGGAGCAGGAATGCATTGAGTCTACAGAGTATAGATGTCTGGTGAGTGGCCGTCAAACGAGGGAGCATGTTTTGGCCACCGTCGCAGCAGCAATTCACTTGCTCTGAGGGCTTGCGAACCGACCGGAGCATGGAAATACACATCTAATCATGCACAGTCTACCGGGTTATGTATTGTAACTTTGTGGAAGTAGATGATCAATTCCGGAATGTTTTGTTGCCCGGACGAGCTTCTTTCCTCAATCCCAGCGCTTCTTGTGCTTAACACGCAGCAACCTCTCTGCATTCCCGTGCGCAATCATTTCCAACTGCTCTACCGAAACCAGGCCGCTCTGTTCCAGCTCCTCCATAAACTTCAAGCCGTCCTCGTTGCGGGCGAAAGGATAGTCCACGCTGTACAGCACGTGGTCGAGCTTGGTGTTTTTCAGAATGCAGGCCATGGGGTTGACGCTCCAGTCGCCGCTCGTGGTGATCCAGATGTTCTCGTCCCACACGGTCTTGAAGTCCCTCTGGCGCGTACCCCAGCGCGGCGACAGCTGCATGATGCGCTCGAGCATGAAGGGCAGCATCTCGCCCATGTGGCCGATGATGATTTTGAGCCGGGGCAGCCGGTCGAACAGGCCCGCCGCGAAAAGGCGCAGCACGTGCACGGCCACGTCGGAATGCCATCCGAATGCCGACGAGGAGAGAGAGATCGATGCAGCGCGGGGGATGTTGTCTCCCGTATAAAGCAGCGACATCAGGTCCTGGGTGGGCCACGTCGGGTGTAAGTAGATGGGCACGTCGAGGTCTTGGGCGGCTTGGAACATGGGCAAATAGGCTGACCCATCAAAGTACGTGCCATCCGCAGCGTGGTTTTCAATTAGGGCGCCGACGAAGTCGAGCTCCTTGACGCAGCGGGTCAGTTCAGCGGCACATTCTGCGGGCTGCGAGACTGGCAGGACCGCAAAGCCCGCGAAGCGGTCTGGGTTGTTCTTCACTGCCTCGGCGAGCTGGTCGTTGGCAGACCGGCATTGGGACGCCGACATGGTGCCAGGGGCGTGGGAGACAATCTGCAACGACACCTTCCCGACATCCATGGACTTCAGACGGAGATCGCCTACATCGGCGAGTTTGTCGATCAAGCCGGGGATATGCTTGAGCTGTTCTGAGTAGGAATCCGCGGAACCCGCCAGGACAGCTTGGGAGAAGAAATGCTCTTCCAGAGCAATCAGTGGAGGGACCATGGCTGATGTCGCTGCCCTCCCACGGGAGAGTAAGTGCGAGATGTGAAGTCGGAGACGCACACAGCGGATGTTTCTTCAAATCGAGTGCAAGCAGGTGCTGTGAAGATCTCCAACAAGCCTTCGAAGGAGATGGATGAACTCACCGTGGATTATATGCCGGATCATGGTCGATCATGTCGGAGTTGGCCTGAGGCCGATGGAGTCAGACGCGGGGTCTGGAGAGAGGCGAAGATGCCAAAACGAGTAGCTGGCCTTGGTTTGCATATGACTGCGTTCTCTTTTCCGTGTCGGCTGGCCTTTTGGCGCGAATCTTGAATCAAAGGATGGTACCCGGTAGATATCAGTATAGCCATAATGAACGGGATGGATGCGGCGGACGTCCGTCCCAAAAACCAAGATGGCCAGCCACACCAAACCTAACAACAGCTGGACAGCAGAACGCGCCGCGGGATCACGACTGCGCCGTGTGGCGGGCGGATGAATCCGAGTCCGACAAGTCCAGTGAGCTCTCCATCTCCAGGCACCGGTCTGCCAGATCTCTGCTCCGTGGCACATCAAGTTCATCGGGCTTCAGAGACTCAGGAGGCTCAAGATGGTGTCGATCCAAAAGCTGCCCTCGCTGCTTCCAGACGAGCCTAAAGACCATCACATCGGCAACCCACCCAAAGCCTTCCGAAACCCGTGGCCGTCATTCAATCCCAGCCACCACAGTCTGGGGAACATCGTCAAAGTTCGCTTTGGCAAAGATCGCCCAACGTTTGTGCCAGTTCCCAATGACCGCTCGGAGCTGGTACCTGTTCAGCGAGTCGACTTTTCCACGCCTCACCCAGGGCCCAAGGTGACCTGGATCGGCCATGCTAGTTTTCTGGTGCAGACCGGCAAGGAGGATTCCGCGCTACGGGGCATCAACATCCTCTGTGACCCGGTGTTTTCGGAGAGGACCTCTCCATTCACATGGTTTGGCCCTAAAAGATATACACCCACCCCGTGTACTTTGGAGGAGTTGCTTGATGCTGTCGAGATCGACCTGGTCGTCATCAGCCACAACCATTACGATCACGCCGACGCAGAGACTCTAAAGGCGATTTGGGCCCGGAGAAGATCAAAAGTCCATTTTCTGGTGGGACTGCACAATTCGCGTTGGCTGACGGCAATCGGGATCGATCGCTCGTCCATTACCGAGCTGGATTGGTGGGAGGGAGTCGACATTGAGGTCAATGGGATTGGAAAGGCTCGGATCACATGTACGCCCACACAGCACTTCTCGCGACGAAGCATATGGGACTCAAACCACGATCTGTGGTGTTCGTATGCGATTCAAGACCTGCAGGGCTCCGGCAAAAGGATCTACTTTGCTGGCGACACCGCCTATCGATCCATCCATTCCATGAACTTGTCCCGCGAGGAAGAAGACGCACAGCCTGCGTGTCCAGCTTTCAAGCAGATTGGTGATCTGCTGGGCCCGTTCGACCTGTCCCTCTTGCCCATTGGGCTGTGTGAACCAAGGGACTTCATGTCCAACGTCCATGCCAACTCGTGGGACTCGATCCGAATACATCAAGATGTGAAAAGCAGGAGATCGATCGGGATGCACTGGGGGACAGTTCGTGGCGGCCTGTCTCAGTATTACGAAGATGTCCGCACGCCGATGAAGCACTGGAAGATGGCTGCTGAAGAGGCGGGCTTGAAATGGGGAGAGGAGATTGGTGTTTTGGACATTGGGGAGACGTTGGTGTTGGACTGAGCCGTCAGTCTTCTGCTCTCTCGAGGAGTGTTTCGACCATGTTCCATTCAATGGCAGCGACTGTAGGAAATTACCTAGTGTCTCTCACTAAAGAGAATGTTCGTCTAGGCAACAGTATTTTTTGCAACGAACAAGAGCAATCTTCTATACTACCACCAAGCGACGCCCTGAGATCAGCTCTATCCACTGTTTCAGCCGGAGTGGCCGCTGCTTCCTGCATTGCCCCAGCTTTAACGCCGGGGGCTTGCAGCAGTGGTGCCCACCCTCCGCCCGCCACTCGCATTGAGCCCCCTGTCGCCCCCCAGCGAAAAGTATTGGTGCCATTGCCGTAAGCAGTGATGGCCTCGGTGACAAAGCCCCCGCCGATGCTGGGAATCAAGCTCAACGCTAATGCACGATACTGACAAGTCGGCGTGGATTGGCTGCCAGTTTTTTCGCCTGAGTCCTTTCCATCATCCTTACTCATAGTTCATGTGAGAGCGCATCATATCATGCGCCTTTGCATCTCTATGCCCTGTTGACGAGGCGACGATGGATCCAGCCCCGATGCGCCAGGATGATCGGTGCCTGCGCATTCGGTGTCCTGCGACATATCAAAACCCTGGCACGGAGTCACCCCGGAACCAAACAGAAGCATGGGTGCAAGGGGGTTTCTCCTAAAGTCAATGCAGGGTCGATCTCCTGATGTGTTCTATCTCCGGCGACGCGCATTACCTGTCACCAGAATACGAAGTATGAGGAATCCGTCATCCAGGATCATGTCCCACACACCTGCAAAGTCTTTGACATATAAGCACGAAGCGCCCTTGAACTGCAAGGACATTTTGCAATCTGCCCGCCCATTCTGCATTTCTTCCTGCGTCTTCCTCGGCGACACCGCACATCTACTTCATCAAACCCCGCCTCCAGAGTAGTGATTGGCATCTCTCTTCACCAGACGGTCAATACCCAACAGTCCTTATCCCTCTAACCTCGTCGCCGAAATGCTGTACAAACTGCGCGCCCTGTGGTCCCAATCTTTTGGACTGCCCGCGCCAACTCTCACAGAGAAGAACCTCCCCGATCAAACAGGCAAGGTCTATCTTATCACTGGAAGCAATACTGGGGTTGGATATCAAGTTGCCAGCATCCTCTACGCTCACAACGCCAAAGTCTACGTCGCCGCGCGCACAGAGTCAAAGGCTCTAGCCGCCATCGACTCCATCAAGGAACAACATCCTAAGTCCCAAGGCAAGCTCGAATACTTGCATCTGGACTTGTCCGACTTGAGCACTATCAAAGCCAGTGCCGAGGATTTTCTGTCTCGCGAAGACAAGCTGCATTGGCTGGATAACAATGCTGGCGTGATGATCCCTCCGCAGGGGTCCAAGGGCGCCCAGGGCATGGATCTGACATACCAAACAAACATCCTTGGCCCGTTCCTATTCACGAAACTACTCCTCCCCATCCTCAAGCGCACCGCAGCGGACGAACCCAAGGGCACCGTGAGGGTCAGCTGGGCGGGCAGCCTAGCTGTAGTTCTACAGAGTCCCACGAACGGGGTGCGCTGGAAGAAGGGTGCAGATGGGAAAGAGACATTGGATGATGCGAACAGCAATACATTTACATATGGCGTGAGCAAAGCCGCAAATTATTTCTTCGGGACCGAGTTTGGGAAACGATATGGTGTCAAAGATGGAGTTCTTCACAGTGTGAGTAACCACTTGCTTCCTTCCTGCCCTTTGTTGCCTGTCAGTATCGTTACCTCGATATATCTGCAGACAAGGACTTACCAGTCCGGCTGCAGTCATACAACCCTGGCAACCTTGCATCCGACCTCCAACGACACGCCAACGACCAATACCCCGCCTGGGCGCGATGGCTTCTGCAAAAATTGCTCCTGAACCCCGTAATCTTCGGCGCATATACCGAGATCTATGCCGGTCTATCCCCGGACTTGACTTTGGACAAAGATCAAGGCGGTTATATCATTCCCTGGGGTCGCAGAGGCTCGGTCCGCTCGGATTTGATTGCGGAGGCGACGAAGGAGAACGGAGAGGCCAAGAAGCTGTTTGACTGGTGTGACGAGGTGACGAAAGAGTTTGCATAGGTCAACTCGGTGCTCTCGTGGTCTTCCTTGCCTTGGGAAGTGCCTCACAGAACAAGAGACGCACCCTTTCTGGACATGTCTAGCTGTTCTGAGTGGGACAGAGAGGTTTCGATGGCTGTTTGAGGATCCGGTGCATCGGAGAGAGAGGTTCTGGACACAAGGCATGGGGTGCTGCCTCTATCGTTCGCACTGACAAGTAAGTTCAGGTGTCAGCGTGTGGAGTTGGACTTTGGACGGGGTTGTTTTGCAACTGTTGAGGAGGAAAATATGGGCACGGCAATATATCTTGTTTGTTGATTCATTGGCAATTACACATCGTATAATTGAACTTAATTCACAGCCTTCTCAGACTCTCAGACGATGCTTCTGGAGTCTTTTCGGGGAAGGAGATTGCAGCGCTACTAACAATAGAAGCAGCATCAGGAAGATCCTCCCATGACTACCTAGTATCTCAGCCTCGCGCAACACGCAAACTGAGAAAATTTGGTCATTACAAACCTTGGCTGCCTTGTCTGCCACCTTGAGGCTCGGTCCTCCTGCCTCTCTTTCTTCTTTCAGGCAGCCTGTCTCGCATTGATATTGCTTTCTTACTTGAGTAACAACTAATGAGTGAGCGGCGACGAGAAAAAAAGACAGAAACTCCCTCCTGTCGGTACCGGATTTCGCGGGACGTGGCTTGGAACTACTGTTCAGCCCGCCAATCTTCACGATAACGAGACCCTGTCCTAACTACGTCTAAAGCTGAATAGCCTCGGGATATAAGATGCATGTTTCGAGCCCAATACTCACGCCGCTCGAAAAGGACTAGGAAGTCATGCAGGCTGGCTATCACTACAGGCTTTGGAAGAATATGTCGTTGCCATGGGCAAGTGCCGACCACCCGTACCCTGGTGGACAAACACCGCTGGACCGAAAACGAGGACCGACATGACGCATCTCCACCGATGTCAGCCGGCGAGCTTTTGAAGTGAGAGCCCAAAAATCTTGACGCAGGGTTACACTTCACCCTGACTATCGCTCGCCTAGGGAGGCACGGCAAAAGGTTGCATTCCGAATTGAAAGCAAAGGACGAGCTCTGTCACCTGCGACCCCGGACCTCAGACCACTGACATGAGTCTGTCTAGACCCATTGCCATGGTCAAACATGCTCGCCGGGAGAAAAATCGTCGCTTGAATCCCTAGCCTCGTTCCGGGTCGACAATGAGCCGCGATATCGCATGCGCCCATCTCTTCCCCGCAAAACCCGGGGTAATAACGCCCCGCAAAAAAATGCATCTTACAAACGCTAGTCAGACCAGCTGCCCTACACAGTGGTCTAGCCAGGCGGTGGTGGGTTTCCAAGATATTACTGTGGTGAATGCCCTTGGAGATTCTCGTCCTTCAGAATCACTGCTTCTCTCGATAGACGTGAACCCATCATCATGGCTGACAGTCGGTACACCTTGGGCATCGCCCTGTTTGCCTCCATTGGCACATTTTTATACGTATGCCACTATTCTCCAGTTCGTCGCCAACCAGCTAACGGGGATTGTGACGACAGGGCTATGACACCGGCATCGTGTCGACCAGTAAGTGAACTCGATACCCTTAGACACTCCATGATGACTGACAGAGAACGCAGCAATTGCTCACCAGAGCTGGGTTGACTACATGAACCATCCAGATCCTGGTCTTGTTGGAGCTGTAAGGAACGAGCACCAAGCCCAGCAGAGGGGCGCTGTCGAATACATGCTGACGGGCTTCAGGTCGGCGCGATCTACATCGCTGGCGAGGCATTTGGTGCGGTCATGCAAATTCTTATCGCCGACAAGTTGGGTCGAATCGGTTTCATGGAGCTGCTGTGTGTGATTGTCACTATTGGGTGCATTATCCAAACAGCAGCTGTCAACATTGGGATGCTGCTTGCTGGACGCATTTTGACAGGCATTGCAGTTGGGTAAGGAGAAATCTGTGATACTCAGCCGGGCTGTTCAACCGGAAACTGACACTTTGCTTCTCCAACAGCGCCCTTTGTGCCACCGTCCCAATCTATCTGTCCGAAATCAGCAGTCCCAAGTCGCGCGGTTTAATCGGTGGTCTCTCCGGCGTCGGTCTATCCTGCGGTATCATGGTGTCCAACTGGGTTGGATTCGCATGCAACTATGCCCCCTACGGTTCCCTGCAGTGGCGGCTTCCTTTGGGCCTCCAGATCCCATGGGGAATCATCATGTTTATCGGCCTGGTGACCTTTATGCCAAACTCGCCTCGTTACCTGCTTCGAAGGGGTAAAGTTGAGGAAGCACGCATGGCGTTTATCAAGATCCGCAGTGACTTGCATTCCCACGAGGTTGTTCAGGAGTTCGGCCTCATGAGATCTCAAATCGAGTTCGAGATGGAGCGACAACTCCCTTCTTTTGGGCAAGCATTCAAGCTCTATCGCCGTCGCGTTCTTGTGTATGTTGCCTCCTGCAGCACGAGTTTTCGTACAGGCACTGATTGAACGGTTAGGTCCATCGCGGTCCAGGTCCTGACAGCCGTGACCGGTGTCAATGTCATCCAGGTATGTTTCTTCTCATAGTCGTGCTGGTTTAGACTCAGTTACTGACTCAGGGGTCTAGTACTATCAAAGTAAGCAGCCACCAGCTCGATACTCAGCACGTAGACTTACATGCGTATAGCGACCCTTTACAAATCTCTGGGTATTCAAAGCCAGACTGTCCTGGCACTGACCGCGGTCTGGGGAACATGCGCCTTCCTGTCGAGCGCCATCTCCATTGGGTTTCTTCCGGACAGATTGGGCCGGCGGAGGTGAGTATCCTCCTCGACGAACTCAGGTCAGTTCGTCGGCTAAATCTCATTAGGATGCTTCTTATCGGTGTCGCCTGGACAATCGTCACCGAGATCTATGCCGCTGTCATGCAGCGCGAATTCCAAGACACAAACAACCGTGTCGGCAAGGGCTTCGCCATTCTCGGCATCTACGTGTTTACAGTTGGCTACTGTAAGACTCTGCCCTGATGCTTCCCAAATAACACAATGTCTACTAACTTCGGGATCAGACAGCTTGATCAACCCAGTAACGTGGATCTACGGCGCTGAAGTGCTTCCTGTTTCTCTACGCAATAAGTTCATGGGTGTTGCTGCGACGGCGCACTATGTCGTCAACGTTGCTGGTCTGTACCTCCCCTAGAGCGATTGTTCTGCGCTGACATATACGATACAGTGACGGAGGCTGGACCTAGCGCCTTCAAGAACATCCGGGAGAACTATTACTATGTGTTTGTGGGTTGCTGTACTGTGTACCTGGGCATCATTTACCTCTGGTTCCCGTAAGTAACATGCCAGATTGCGCCAGCAGAGGCAGCCTTGCTGACGAATATCCAGGGAAACCAAGCAGAAGACTCTCGAAGAGATCGCAGCGGCATTTGGAGACCATGTTGTTCAGGTCGAGGAACGCGACGCCCTGGCCGAAGAGGCAGCGTTGGCGGCCAAGGTTGAGGAAGCCAAATCTAGCAGCACAGCGCATGTTGAGATCAAAGCGTAGTGCTGTCTGATGGTTGAGCTGGAGCACAAGTATTGATCAAAGTGGAAAGCGCTTTGTTAGGGTCTGGAGTACATAGTCATAGTGCCGCGCCGACGTGGAGCCTGGAGAAAGGAGACTGAACGGAACAAATGCTTCGTGCGAAGGCTCTAGGTCTCGGCACTATCCAGTGAACAGAGATCGGTCTGGTCTGCTTATGTTCTCCTTCACTGTAAATGGTCAATCCAGCATTGCCAGCCTGAGTACCTCCGGTGCATCAGGAGAAAATCCGGGCGAGTCAACTGCCTTTGCCTCCGCAGCGGCCCACAGCCCGGCATTTTCCTTTTCCACGACCTCGTGAATGATACACCGATCACAAGCAGGGGGATCTATGGGCGTCGGCAACGGATAACACGACGCGCCCATCCGACTTCGGGGGAGCCTGGACGTGATTGTTATCATGAGGGCTTTGAAGCATTTCAAAAAACCTGCATATCTTCCATCTCTGACAAACCTCAGGCCCTAGACCTACGCATCTAAACCCCCCTTCTTCGACTTCCAAGGAAAAGCAACATGACGATGACGACGACGAACGGTGTCAACGGCACGCACGGCCCGGCTCCCACTTCTGGCGCAGCCAAACTGAAGGCAAACCGCGCGAAGGCCATCGTGGATGCGGCGTACGCGGGCAAATACGCCATCCCCGCCGTGTGCTGCTACAATCTGGAGGCGGTGCTGGCGACGGTACGGGCGGCGGAGGCGAAGCGGTCGCCGGCGCTGATCCAGCTGTTCCCCTGGTCGATCGAGTTCGCGGACGGCCTGTTGCTGCACGCGGCGGCTGAGGCAGCGGACAAGGCGACGGTGCCCATCGGCGTGCACATGGACCACGCGCAGTCACCAGAGGTGATTCGGCGGTCGGCGGACCTGGGAGGCTACGACGGCATCATGGTGGACATGAGCCACTACGACAAGAAGGACAACATGCGCCTCAGCCGCGAGCTGGTCGAGTACTGCAACGCGCGCGGGATCATCACCGAGTGCGAGCCCGGCCGGATCAACGGCAGCGAGGACGGCATCGCGGACACCGAGGGCATGGAGGAGATCCTGACCACGCCCGAGCAGGCCGAGGAGTTCGTCGCTCTGGGCATTGACTGGCTGGCCCCAGCCTTTGGCAACGTCCATGGCCCCTACGGACCCAAGGGCCCCCTGCTCGACTTCCCTCGCCTCGAGCGCATCCACAAGCAGGTCGGCGACCGCGTCCGCCTGGTCCTCCACGGCGCCCACGAAGACTACTTCGGCGAGGACCTCCTGCGCAAGTGCATCTCCTATGGCATGGCCAAGGTCAACATCAACGGGCCCGTCGCCGCTGCGTGGTTAAAGGTTCAGGGAGAGCTGACGGGCAAAGTGCCCATCACAAAGATCATAGAGGAGCAGACGAACGCCATGCAGGCCGTGGTAGAGTACCACATGGACTGGTTGATGTCCACGGGCAAGGCTTAGGTAGTAGCTGGGTTCTTACTTTGTGTCCATCTCAAAAGATAGAGCGGCCAAGGGTTCAGGATCGAGCAGGGCCGACCTGTTAATAGACTTTCAGGGAATCAAGTTGTCTAGACGCCCTTTTGAAGTGTTCAATCTTGTATTAGACCGTACTCGCAGACTCTTCTTTCATGGTCTCTACATAGTCCTGAACAGACTGCACAAAGGACGTATCCTGCTTCATCCCCAACGACAGACCCAGGCTATTGTCAAAGTCGTCCGCCCAGGAGTACAACAGCGACTGCAGCTCAGGCACCTCTTCTTCATGCACGAAAGCCAACTTGTCCCTTCCCCCAACTTCTTCCAGAGCATCCAACATGTCTTGCACTGTGACCGCAAAGCCTGGGACGTTGACTGCTCTTCGATGCGGTGCGAGCGCGTCGCGAGGCAGCCGCAGAGTGACCAGGACGTTGTACACCAGTGTCTTGGGCGAGCACATCCAATGCCGCCAGGCGCGGTCTTTGAGGGGTATCTTACACACCTGGCCATTCAACGGTTCTCGAATGATGCCTGACAAGAACGCTGAGACGGCGGGACTCGGTTTGCCGGGCCGCACAGAGATGGTAGGGAAGCGCAGCGAGAAGCCGTTGATCATGCCCCGGCGTGTGAAGTCGTTGATGAGCGTCTCGCAGATGACCTTTTGACAGCCGTAGGACATCTCGGGGGTGGGGATGTCGGCCTCGGTGACGCCCTTCTTGGGCACGGGGCTGCCATAGACGGCCTCGCTGGATGCGTAGATGACTCGCACCCCGGGACACTTCCTCGCCAGGCTGAGCAGTATCGAGCGCGTCGCATCGACGTTGGCGCGGTATCCGAGCTCAAAGTCGGCTTCCGCGGCCGAGGACATGACACCGTGCAGAAGAATGGCAGCGTCGAGACTGTCGGGGACGATGTTGGCAGACGCGTCCGCCAGGTCTGCTTTCAGCGTCCTTGCATGCTGCGGATATTTGGCACCGCGAGGCACTGGCGGCTCAAAAATGTCGACGAGGACGAGTTCGTTCGCTTCATCCTCGAGGAGTGCCTTGGACACAATCTGCCCGATATACCCTCCTGCCCCGGATATGAAAATGCGCATTTTGTCAATGTGTTTGCTGTGGCAAATGTCTGTTCTTCTGATGGGAAAAAGGGAGATTCAACAAAGTCTATGAGACATACTCCAATCTGGACGCGTTACTTAAGGTCCATAACATCTTGCCAGGGGAACAAGCCCTCCGTCGGCTTTACCTACGCTACCTGTGGCGCCGTGCTATCTCGAACCTAGCTTGCTCTCGCGCTGGACCTCTCGAACACCCTCCGCAGTAGCGCAGCTTGACGGAATATGGTCTCCTCAGCAAGTCCAGGATTGTCGCATGTTACACAGAGGTGCTCTGCCTCTCCATCTGCCGAAGATCACTGCCCCCTGTTTGGTCCATTAGTGGCTTCCGGGGAAAGGCCGAGGCTGTCAATCCCTTTAGTTGCTGACATCCGCGACGATGATATCCCGCGCGGAGCGAAGAGGAAGGGTGGCGAGATACAATCGAACTTACGCGGGACAAACATGCGCCGGGGGCAAAAAGCCACCCAAAATACCCTGGATGAGGCCGTCAACAGGCTTCCCAGGGCCTCTTCGCCGATTTATATACGGAGTACAAACGTGCGAGTTTAAGGGTGGATAGTTGGCATCGAATCCATTACCGCTGAGTATCTTTTCGTCGTCCAAGCGTACATCCCACCACCATGGCTACTGAAACCGTTACTGCTTCTACTCGGGTCTACAGCCCATTCAGGTAAGCTTCGAGGCACTCCCTATCCATCCCTAATGTTCCCCCCATAGTGCTAAGCAACATCGATAGATTGATCGCTTCTGAGGGAGACTGGCTCGACCAGCTAGAATCTCAAGGCTATGCTGTCGTGAAAGGTGCTGTTCCCCCTGAGCGCGCCCAGTATTATCAGCAGAAAGCCATCGAATGGCTCCAGACCTTTGATCCGGCTCTGGACCCGAACGACCCGTCGACGTGGAAGAAGGAGAAGCTTCCGGTGCAGACTGAGAGAAATACCTACGAGCACTATTCCGTCGTCCACGAGAAGTTCATGTGGGAGGCTCGCCAGGAGCCTGGTGTTGTCGATGCCTTCGCTAGGATCTGGGGCACGCACGAACTGCTGGTCTCGTTTGATTCTCTGAACGTCACCCTGCCCAACCTCAAGACACCCCGTGCCCCGTGGCCGCATATTGACCAGGCCCCTCGCAAGCGTGGGCTCCATTGCATCCAGGGCATCATCAACCTGAGCCACGCCGGTCCCGAAGACGGCTCTCTGGTTGTTATCCCCGGCTCATCCAAGCTCGTTGAGGAGTTCTTCGACACAAAGACCGACCCCTCCACTTGGGAATGGAGGGACAACCGCTATTTCGACGACAAGGACATGGAATTCTTTACCAGCCGCGGGCTGAAGCCAATGAAGGTTCTCGCAGAGCCCGGCGATCTCATCCTCTGGGACTCGCGCACCATCCACTGGGGCGGGGAGCCTACGGAGAAGAGCAACACTACTAGAGCAGTTATCTACGCTGCCTACGCCCCGGCTAAGCTGGCATCCAAGGACGCCCTTGAGGAGAAGGAGCGTGTCTTCAGCGCTTGGGGAGCCACTACGCACTGGCCGCATGACAATATCAAGTTGAGAGACCTCCAAGCGAGGCTGCCAGATGGGACGCCGGATCCTCGACACCGTTCTGAGCCGCTAGAAAAGCCCGAGGTCACGGACAAGGTGCTACGACTGGCAGGAGTGAAAGCGTACTGATTGTCAGAGCTCCCGAGTCGAGTCAAAGCCCACAAGTACATTTGGGTAGCTTTTAACGAGCATCTGGTAGCCAGTCTGTGTCGAATAGTTTTCTCACCTGGAGTAATCTGTATCATAAAAAAACTAGTCCACTCACGTTCATTAAAGTAGCGAAAGTACTTCGCACGAGATAGCTTCAAGGCACCGAATGCCTACTCACTCCAAGCAGCATCTAGTTTGTTGATGTCGGTGGCGGTTGGTGAACGTAGCATTAACTATTGTGTGGCTTTGGGTGCCAAGTTTCGGGGCATCAGCAGATCTGATCAATTCTTGCACCTCCAGCAAACACCAACCAGCGGCATTTTTCCGTCTTGATTCTCGCGACACGCGAACTCGCACCTCTGGTTTCTCACACTCGGCCCGTCAGTTGCTGCTTTTCCCTCGCCCCAGTCAAAAGGAATGTAGTTCGATCATGTCCACGGATGGGCAAGACACGGCGGATGGCGACATACTCGGGTCGCCCAGCAAACGCCCCAGGACCTTGTCCAAAGCGTACGTTGTATATTGCTTCCCACGTTTTCTACTAGTTGTGCCGGGTGTCGGCTGATATTCGCGCCCAATAGCTGCGAGACCTGCAAGCAGAAAAAGACAAGATGCGACAGCTCTCGTCCGCACTGTGGCACATGTCGCCGAACGGGTAAGACCAACCCCCCGCGTACGACGCTCGCTTGAACTGGAGCACTGATCTTTGTGCTATAGGAACCGCTTGCATCTACCGAGAGAAAGGACAACCTGGCCTGCGTCCCGGCTATGGCAAGGCTATCGAGCAGCGCCTCAGCCTCCTGGAAAACAACATGGAGAAGATAAATCAGTCGATCCAAGACGTGCTGAATCACGTCCGCCCCGACATCGCCGCCCAGTCTACTGTGCTCGAAGCTCCCGCTCGTGATGCAGGACCATCAGGAAGAAACAATGGTCCTGACGCGCAAATGTGGCAGCCGTCACAGCAACTCCCCGAAATGCCTTACTTCCCGGCCAGTCCGCTGATGGAACGTCTCCCTGCTCCGTTGAGTCTGCCGCCCCTGGATCTAGCCGAGAGGGGCCTGCCGCCTGGACCAGTGCTGCAGGAACTCGTGGAGCTGTTCTTCGAACTCGTCCATCCATACATTCCCCTGTTCTGCAAGCAGAACTTTACAGCCAACATGTTCACGCCAGAGCGCCAGATCCTTCTGCACGGCATCGTGGTGGCGTCCTTTCGGTTTTGGAGGAAACAGGTTCCCTCTGCCGAAGAGCGAGACAGTTACGTGAAGACGTCTCGCGAGCAGGTGTTGCTGAAGACCATCGACAACTGTACCTTGGTTTCCACTCAAGCACTCGCTCTCTTGGCATTGGATGCCATCGGCCAAGGCCCTGGCCCAAGAACGTTGAACTTGACAGCCATGTTGGTGACCGCGGCGCACCAGCTGGGCCTGGGCAAGAGTGCTTCCCCGACGACGCCAGAGACGAACACTCCGCTGGTCAGGAATGAAGACCCCGACGATGGGATGGACTCGTCGAGCATCGCAGTGGAGGAGAAGCGGCGCCTGTTCTGGACCATCTACAGTCTGGACCGCTTCTCCAGCGTCTCCCACGGACAGTCCGGCGGCATCGACACGAAGACCGTCAAGATGCCCTACCCGTCCAGTGACGAGGACTGGGGCCAGACGATGACCCCAGAGTGGTTCCAAGCCGGAGTGCAGGCGAAGCCCGCCCATGGCCACTGCCCTGCCAGTCTCTGGCACCACAACATCGATTTGCTCGCCTTGCTGGATCGCTCAAACCAGCTCCTCATCCAGCCGGTCAACCTGTCGCTTCCGGCTCACTGCCAGGAATGGCAGAGCATCTTTCGGCGGCTGGACATTACCATGTCGACGTGGTTTGAGAATCTACCCAAGGAGGTCCGCGAGCGACCAGCCGCGTTTGATCCCATGTGGTTCATGCTGCATGCCACCTTTCACCTGTAAGTTCTTGCCGTTGTCCAATCTCATCCTATATGCCTTCGACTCTAAAACTCTTGTATTTAGCATCAACATTCGAATGTATACGGTCGCTGCATTTCCGTCTACCACGTCACCCTATCTGCGACCGTCTTCTTCAGCGCGCGGGCGTTGCCGCCAGGCTATCAGAACGGTGGCGTCACTGGCCAGCTCGCTACAGGCACAAGAACTCGACCGGCTGCACCCGATGTTTGCCTTCGTGGTCTGGGTGGCCGCAAGGAGTCTCATCATTCTCTGGACGACGGGCTATGAAAACGCATACGGCTCCACGCCGACGGACCTTGAGCCCCTCCTCAACGTGCTGCGACAGATGGCCACCCGCTGGCTGTGCGCCCAGCGATACGCCGACATCATCCAGCTGATCCTGGACACAAAGAACAACCCCGGCGGACCCACAGGGCTCGAGATCTTCAACGACACGCGCCGCACCTCCTACGGACTCCAAAACCTGCTGGGGACGCTGGTGGTCCACCGGGTGCCCGATGTGTTTCCCAATCCCTTTGACTTTCTTGACATTCCCCTCCTCGACGTGGGCGACTTGACGGCTCCCAGGATGGGAGTGTTTGGTGCCGAAAACGACGGCGAGTGGTTGTGACAGGGGACGACCACAGCGCCACTAATTTTCTCCTACGATTCTGACCGACCCTTTCACTCGGCAGCAGTGTCATAGATTGGCAGCCAGGTGCGCCTGTTCGGGGACCACGGTGTTCAGAGTCCCTTTCTCCAGCGCCGCCCGCACATTGCCAATCGTGCATTCTTCCATCTTTGTCTTGGTCTGCCGGACTAGTCAGCAGACAGGTCGAATGGGTCACGATGAAATGCAGAAGAAGACCTACCTCGACGGTGGATGTGCCCATGTGGGGGAGCAGGCAGACATGCGGGTTGGACACCAGCCCCGGATGGATGTTGGGCTCCTGTTGGTACACGTCCAACCCGACCGAGAGGACGCGGCCGGAATTGATCGCCTCGACCAGTGCCTCTTCGTCCATGACGCCACCTCTCGCGGTGTTGACGATGATGATACCTTTCTTCATCTTGTTGAACTCGTTGGTCGAGATGATGTTTCGTGTCTTTGGCTAGAAGGGGGTCAGAAATCAGCATGGAACTGGTGCCAGATGGGGGGGCATGCGGATTTGCCAATTCAAGACGTACATTCAGGGGAAGATTCAGACTCAACACGTCGCTGCGAGCGAGTAGGTCGTCGAAGCCGACATACTCGGCGCCATCGGCCATCGTTTCATCGCCCGGCTTGGTCCGGTTGTGGTAGAGGATCTTCATGCCAAAGACCTCGGCCTTGCGCTTGAGATTGCGGCCGATGCCGCCTAGGCCCAGGATGCCCAGGGTCTTGCCCTGCGGGTCGTGGCCGAGCGGCGGGGGCGGGACGGGGGACTTCCATACTCCGGCGCGGATGGCGAGGATGCCGTTGTTGAAGCCGCGCAGGGCGGCGAGGATGAGGAACATGGCCGTGTCGGCGGTGGCGTCGTCGACGACCTTAGGGCAATGGGACACGAGGATGCCGCGCGCCGTGCAGGCGGGGACGTCGATGCTGTCGTAGCCCGCGCCGTTGTGGCAGATGAAGCGGACGGTGCTGGGCAGCGCCGCGATCAGCTCCGCGTCATACCGCCCCGTGGCGGCGAAGCTGGACGGCGCGCGGTCGCAGATCGCCACCACCCCGTCGTGCGCGCCGCGAATGCACTCGTCGATGAACTCGGCCCGGCTGCGGGCGCGCGAGGTGACCAGCTCGGCGATCGGGGAGAGGCCGTTCCACGTCTCCTGAGCGCTGTGCGAGGGGGTGTGCCGGGGTCAGCACCAGATCGAGCCTTGGGAGCGCTTTGCTGAAGCCAAAAAAAATCACTTTACAAAGCAAGCTAGGCATTCACTTGGATCAATTCGGGGAAGGAGGGGAAGTGCTGCCAGACTGGCAGACCAGGTTGCGTAAGGCATAGGGCATGGGGTCAAGGGGTTGAACCTACTGGTCAAGCTTGCCCAGCAACAAGGCCTTGGGCTTGGTCCCCATGGCTGGCTCAGGACGCGATCAATCGATCTGTGTGTGTATGTGGGCTGTGGGTACTGATAGATATAGGTACTAGGTATGTATGTATGGTATGTATGGGACTTTGCCTCCCTATGCCTCTGTAGATACCTAGGCAGGCACCTGTGTGATATCAAAGGGTACCTAGCTAGGTATTGTATGAAGTTGGCCGGCCTTGCCTGAGTCGTCTTTTCGAAATCAAGTCTCTCGCCAAACAAAAAAAGGCGCCCCGATGCCGGTGCCCGGAGCCGGCTCGTTGAAAGGCCGTGTAGTAATACAGCCATCTTCCGGCGCATTGTTGGCCCGCAACGGGTTCTTTTCCCCCAGAGCGTATCCCCCCAATGTCCAGCCAGCGATGCAGACATGGGCAGTTCCCACGAACACTATCTAGGTAAGTACCTGCACACATATGGACCTCCGCACTTCCTTCCCCCGGGGACCTCTACTGGCCCGCAGAAACCCACCAGAGTACATCATGAAACAGTAGAGCCGCTGCAGGGAAGTGTGTTTGAATCCTGGACACGCGTAGGGAGTAAGGAATATTGTAGTCGTAGTGAGACCAAGGCTCAGAGCCCCTTCTCGCCCCGAGACCTGAACATTGTCGGGACCCCAAAAACAGCATGTACAGAGCGCCTCGTAAGAGCTCATTACTGTTCATGAAGGCAGGGAACTGGTCTCCTCCGTACACAGCGCGCCGACACCCTTCACGGCATGAACATCAAAACATCGCAAGCATTCCCTTCTACTCGTACATGATCGTTTCTCGTTACAGCACACCCAAAAACCGATGGCATCTAATGGCTTTCCCACACTTGCTGGCCCATGGAGATCAACCGATTGAACAGCTCGTCCCTTTCCTTGATAGCCATCGCACGGTACACCGACCCATCCTTGGCCACGATCTCAATTCCATCCTTCACCTCCCTCTCCGTCGCCCACCCGACCACGATCTTACCCTTCCACCCGAGCCCACCGACTTTCTTCACCTCCGCGATATCCGTGATGGACACTGCCCAATCGGGGTCGCGAGGCATACTCTCCACAGTTTCGTCGTCGTCAAGATGTGTCGTGAAATATACGCACGGTGAGGCCGGTCTCCTGCCACTCGGCGGCGAAACGGAGCTGTCAATGTACACGGCACCCTTCCGACCGTGGTATCTCGCCCGGAATGCCACAGGCCCCTCCCTCGGCTTGCGTTTCATCTCTGCCCGTGATGGAAGCACGCCCAACTTCTCCTTCGCATTGCCGGAACCCATGGTAGCTCGAACAGCGTCTGTAGTCAGCTTGGTCTCTACTGCGCCGGCCGTGCTAGTCTTAAATGCAGACAGTATCTTGGCGCCGAAACCGCCCTTCTTCTTCTTAGGTTCTTGCATTTCCGTAGCTTCGGTGCCGCTGGGTTGGTCAACGGTAATGACATCTTCGATCTCCGAGTGCGACGCATCTAAGCCTCCCTCAGTAATAGCATCTTTGTCGATCTCGGCTGGCTTGTCTGGTGGCGGTTCAGAGGACTTTGGTGGTGGCGGTAATGGAGCGCGGTTGGCCTCGCCAATGCGCAGTAAAGTGACGGTAAGCTGGGCATTGGTTGGTACGCCCTTGAGGAGAGTGTTGCGGATCTCGAGGTATTTCGGCCAGTCTGGGATCTTCTCGTTCAACAATTGAATGCCTTGTCTAATCAAGGGGTCGGAGAAAAAGCCAAACCCGGCGAAGAATGTCGATCCTTTCATAACCCACTGGGCAGGAGTGATCAGAGAGATCAGAAGAATTGGCACGAAGATTGCGCCCAGCTGGAGACGATTCTTCTGGGAAAAGGGCGGAGTGGGCGACAAGGCGTTGGCGAGACGCTCCCACATGTCAGAGGCCTCTCCGATGCCACGCATGATCGGGCGGACTTGTTTCCACACAGCATCCTCCATGGGTTTCTTGGTCTTGTCCTGGACAGCATCCGGGTCGCCGCCTTGAGCAGACGAAGAAGCATCTGCCGCGGCTGTAGCGATCTTGGTTGGGTCGGGCATTCCTTTATCCAAGGTCTTGCTACCGCCCTGTTCATCCGGGCTTGCTTGGTCATGCCGGCCAGCAGCGCTCGAGATGGCTACAGAGGCAATGCCGGAGACCAAGTTACTAGCCTCCTGCTCAACAGCCTCGCCCTTGTATTTCTCGGGTGCTCCAGTGACACTGTCATGGCTGCCCAACACACCGGCCTTTGGTTTCTGGACTCCACCTGACTTATGGCTGACCAGTGCAAGAGGTGCAGGAGGGAACAAGATACTCCGAGACCGCGGGACAGTGATGAGGACGATAACCATGGCGACCAGAGTGGGCACGATGAAGTCGAATATCCAAGCCACAAAGTAAACAGCGGCGAAGCAAGCGGTCCGACGGGGTTCGCGCCATGATCTCAATCTTGCAATGTGCTTCCCAAAGGCAATCAGCCCGACAATGACGGTCATGTACAGACGTTCAATGTTTGAGCGGAGTTTGTCGGGGGAGAATTCCTCGTCGTCGGCAGAGTTGAGGTCCAATCCTCCGGGAGGTGCCTGAGGGATGGCTTTGACATGGTACATTTGCTAGCAGTGCGGTAAGCGTATGTTCCACAAAATTGGGAGGCTTTGAGATACTTGCCTTGTTGAATCTCCTGATCAGCGTCCACAGCTCGTCATTGGGAAGGCCTCCGACCAAGTTATCTACACCCACAGCGTTGGCTTGCCATCCCAGATTCGTTGTTCTGTCCTCCTTACCGGCCCTCTGGACAGCGCCCTGGACTTCATGATCTCCCGTGGCTCCCGTGGCTAGTTGGTGGCTTGTGGTGGTGTTCTGAGCCAGGGGAGCGTTCGAAGTCACTGCAGGAGGTTTCGTGGCTTGGGTGATTCTCTGGCGGAACTCTGAATCAGGCTTCTCCTCTGCTGGAGGAGTGTCGCCGCCATCGCGGAAGACATACCCTGGGGTGGGCATGTTGCAGGTGGGTTTGGAGAGCAGGACACGAAGGGAGCAGTTGGGACAAGGAGACTCGGTGTGAAGAAGGAGAGCGATCTTGGGCCATCGAGCAGAACCAAGAGTAGACGAACGCAGTGGTGATGAATGCTCAGGTTCGGTCATACGTCATGGGTGATGGGCGCTGGACGCGCCTCTTACCAAGTTGCATACTTTGTACTTTTCCCATCCTCCAGCCCATGGCAACCTTCTTCCCCGCCGTGGCCACCAATCGATTCCCATCGCCAATCGTCTGGTCTAGTCGTCGTCGGCTCACTTGGCCCAACGAGAGGTTGTACTTGACCATGAGCGGTAACTACGGATGGCCACCAGCCCCGCTTTCAGGTCTCTCTTCCTTGTTCCTTGTCATGCTCTTTACTAGAACGAGCTTAGATACCCACCTAGACAGATATTTGGACACGGAAAGAGAAGGACGCTAATGACGACGCTCCTGTACAGCATGTCAGATATACCATTATTATGTCCTTGTTCCGTTTATCAAAGATCCTCATTGTACTATCTTGAGCTCGAGCATATCACAGCCCGATGACGTCCTGGGTCCATATCGTGTAAGATGCCCGGGGTGTATATGTCCCTGTTGCCTCGTATCTCATATCCAAGCTCTTTACCAACGCCAATGGCACCGCCCACTATGTCCTGCCCAGTCCCAAATCCTCGCCATTCATCCCAGACTTTGTCGGCCTTTTTATGCAACTGAATAATATGTTTCGTGTAACGGCCCTGCCTGTGCCATCGTATATGGTTTGCCATGCACGTATTTACTCCTCATCGGTTCCTCGTCAATCGCACAGTGAATCTGCCCGTCTCTTCCTCTAAACCATCCCAGTCCATATCTTTTGTTGATGTTTTTCAGCCTCTTTTCCATCGCCTTGTTGTTCAGCCTCTCGGTATCCACGAAATCCGTAAGCATGTTACTGGCGTAGATGAAGGCCAACACCGCCGCAATCGTGGACGGCTCTCGAGGCAGGAAAGGGTGTCGCCGTCGAAGATATACCAGCGAGGTCGTGAAAATAACAAAAAGCAAGATAAACACGGAGAGAATGAGCGAGGTCCAGAAGGAAACGAACGTCTCGTCGCCGTTGGATCGGTCTTCGCCATGACTTCCCACGTGCATAAAGTCCTCCGAATTGACCGAGAAAGAACTCACAGTCACCGTCAAAATATCCAAAAGCACCGAGGCCACTCCCACCAGTGCCAAGAGATAGTGGCGATTCAAGAGAGCTTTGAAAGGCATGATCCCATACACAGTCGCTTGGTAATCCAGGGTCAGGCTGTTTTCAGGTCGGGCGTTTCCGCGGGAAAGCTGATAGAAGGGTTCCATGAGTCGAACATCAGATTCAAACGTGCTGAAGAACAACTTCAAGCCTGTGGCGATGAGAATCGGAAGCCACGGTGCAGCGTTCGGCACCACCCTGGCCTTGGTCAACGTGATGATGGGGATCGATACAAGACAGAAGACCATAAAGGCAAGGAACGGAATGCCCGCTCTCATCTGCAGCATCAACGGATGTGGGCTGGTGAGCTTTCTCTCGCTGTCCTGCGGCGGCTCACTCTTCGAGCTCCATTCACCCTGCCAGATGGAAGACTTATAGAGCACGTATCGTCGATGCGCCAATCGTTTGTGGATCTTGGCGCAGTTGGCTTCGTCCAGTCCGGCGAAATCCTGCAGAATATGCGACTTGGTGGCCATGGAGGCAATTCCAGCGACGCCTTTCGGATCGCTGAGTAGTCCAGACTTGCGCCGCAACTGGATGAACAGAATGATGAGCACGATTGCCACAAACACATAGCTCGCCGACAAGGCCCGAGACCAGGCAGGCGAGATCCGTACCCAATAATGCTTCTCGCCACCAGGACACCCGTTTTCATTACATCCTGGATCATGATTCGTGGCAAATGTGATGGAGGGGTTTTGTAGGGCAGGTGAGACCATCGAGGCCACTATGTTGCCCGTGGTTGAGAAGAACACAGCCCATTGCCGGAGTCTGAACGCCTTGAAAGGCACGAAATATTGGAACATGGTCAGATGATCCAGATTCAGGGAGGCAGCTGCTGGGGCACCTCGAGGTCGGGATAGCTGATAGAATGGTTCGAGACGGCGGATGTCGAAATCCATGATTGAGAACAGGACGGCGTAGACAATGGTGATCATCGTGGGAAGATCTGCGGCTTGTTAGTAGAGGAGCATGTTCATTGGCCCTGTTCACTCACACTTCCACGCAAAGAAGTCCCAAGTAGAGATCTCAGCCACAGCATTGAAGGCAAGGATACCACTATGTTCTCGGACAGACTTGAAGGATCTCTGGCACAAGTATTCCTGAAACCCCGCTAGCCCCAACGCAAGGCCTATCAAGGACCAAATGTACCAGCTCCGCATTGACCATGGTTTCCAGTTGGGGATGTCCGGGTCATCGGGGAAGAAATAACTCTTGGTCTCCTGAGGCAAGACGCTTTGCCTCATGGACATGGTCTCGAACGTGCGACTCTGACGGTTCTCCGGGTTTCCACCGTCCAGGGTACTCAAATCAACCATTTCTTCGACCTCGACGATCATGTTCTTCCTGTGTGCAAGGTCCTGGCCCAAGTCGCGCACGGTCTTACTCCGATCGATGCCCGAGCTGTCAGCGTTGCGCATTCCTCCCGTTCCTCTTCGCACTATCTGCGTCGGATCGCGTCTGAGTTGCACGCCCACGCCTTTCATTCCGTCACCGACCGACGCACGCTTTTGAACGAACGAGCGAAAATCCGGTTTCCCACTACTTTTCGACGCGCTCACGTACTCGGTTTCCTCGTCTTGGAGTCGCGCGGTGTCGGGGTTTGATAAGTCGGTCAGCTCCCAGCCCATGCCCTCCAACGACGAGAGATCTACTATCGCTGCTTGAGCATCCTCACCATCGTCCAACGTCGCATACTCCCGCCCTTGAGAACGTTTGGTAGATCGGAATGTGCCTCGTGACATGGGATTGATTTTGGTGGTCAATCGCCGAAGCACTGACGAAGCAGCGGATTGCCCTGCGCTAAATCGATGAGCCTTGATGGGCGTGGCTGGTTCTACCATGTCGTACGATTCATCTCGCATGCTTTCCGTCTCGTCTATCGACTTCAATCGCTCGTCTCCAGAATGGCCCCGTGAATGGCGTCGATAGTAAGGAGCGGATTGCGTCTTACCAATGGTGACGCTGATTCCAGGCGAACCTTTCCCGCTAAGCAGCTCAACATTGTCCTGGATTGACGTGTGTTGCAAAGGCATTGAGCCTAGATCATACTGTTCGTGGTCCATTCTGACGATTGTGAAACCTCAGCTGTGATGCGGTGTGTAGAATGGACTGTGGTCAGCTGTGGTCCAAAATTGTTTCGATGAACGACATTGATGAGGACATGCTTGGATATCTCGGTTCAATTCCTCGTAAAAGTCGCAACACAGATCCTTTGGTATAGATCTGTAGCTGATTGTTCGGTGTTGACAAAGTATCCCGACCCAAGTCTAGGGCACTCCCTGATGCGACAGTCACACAGGCTCGTTTGGCAGGAGATTATCTGGACAGCCAAGTGATGGCGGTATCAAAACCCGTAGTGAAAGCCCAGGTGTCAGCAGTACTTTCTGCGGCGTTGATCCTTTTAGCGACCCAGAAGATGTTGCTATTATCAATCGTCGACTAGGCGCAGATAAGCAACTGGAGTCGGGGAAATTGGGACGCGCCTGTTGCAGCACGAGCTAGACTTGGTCCCGTAAGGCTGGCGTTGGGCGTATGCAAGAGTAGAACGCCTCACGACGAGAATGGGTGGGAAGCCACCTCACTTACCCATCAAAAGGATCAGCAGCGCATGGCGCAAGATGCACAATTGTTCCGACAACCACGAAAGACGGAGAAAAGGAAAATGATCAGGATTGTGAGACGTCCCAGCGATAAGGAGGCGAGCGTTTTCAGCTCGTCTTGGAGGATGCATGATTCTGGTCGTCGTGGAACGAACCACGCGGCGCTACGCGGGCTCGACGGGGTGAAGAGCAGCAAAAGGACCAGGGGGACACTGGGATTTGGCCATTGACTTTCTGGGCGCCACGGTTGGGGTCCAGATTTTGCATATGGCGCCATGCTCGACGCCCGTTGGACGGGTCGTTAGGAGATGTTCCCCAAGAGGGTTCGCCCTGTAAGGCCCATGTCCTGCTCGACCCGTCCTTATTTGTCACATCCAACGGCGTTGAACACACCAGGGAGCTTCCGGACTGGGAGGCATCTAATTGTCCGACAACCGCCAGCACCGTCAGCACAGCCTGCACCCTATCCGGAGCTGTAGCTGTCTGCATGTGTTTGTTACTCCCATCAAGAGGCCTTATTAACCCTAGAGCCGCACTTGACAGGTCCACGTTTCCTGACTGCGGGAGTTGGGGTCCAAAAGCCTCCGATCCCTATACATCGGCCACAATCCGACAGTATCCCTTCGCTGATGGCAAAGCGATCCTCCTTGTCCGGTATATTTCCTGGTCTTGCCAACAAGTGTCTTAGTATATCTGACAGAGCCGAGACCTGTGGCGGCAGAACCCCTACACAAGCGGGAAAAGGGTTGCAGAGTGCCGTTTTCACTCGTTGTTTGGCGATGTTTCATCCTTCAAAAAGGAGGTCGTTCAGGATTGTCCGTGGGTTGGCGCGTCTTCATTGGTTAAATGGTATCATCCTTCATTCTCTTTGCAAAATCACCATCAAGCCCATGATTCCCAGCATGACCGTCTTCAACCAAGGGTGCTCGCTCAGCATGATGGTCACGTATCCCACCGCTGGCACGTATCCGCGAACGCTCCCAATGATATCCTCTTTCCTGTCCAGATAACTCTGGCCCCGCGCGTAGAGCTCCGTGTCGTCGGCCACGTTGTTGTCGCCTTTGGTGAGGAGTTTCGGGGACGCTTTCGAGAGGTTACTGCTGAGACCACGCGTTAGTTGAAAGAACTCGACTTCGGAGCCAAAACAGATGTGTGTACCTTTTGTCCGCCTCGACGGGCGCTGCAGCTGCGTGGCTTCGGACGACGCGATGAACAATAGGAATGTCCTTGCCCTTCACGTTGTAGACGACGATTTCTCCCACCTCGGCCGTTTTGTCTCGGTTCCAAAGGAACAGTAAATCACCTCTTTGAAATGCAGGCTCCATTGATCCACTCAGTACCACCACAATGGGCGAGGGCGAGTCTGCAATAACGGACAGAGACTTCCATAGCATGAAAGCAGTCGACAGAACCAGGGCGAAATTCAGTACCTGCGACAGTGATTGCCGAGGGTTGGAAAGGTATGGAGCGAGAAAGGGTAGCATGGTGGCGGAGTGCTCGATGTCAAGTCTAGGAGGGAGGTTCAGAACGAGAGGGTCAACATCTAGTTACGTAGACAGGTGGTTTCCAATGAACGAGTTCAACGGGACAATGGTATCTTCGTGCGCAGGTACAGGAAACTGGAACTGACTGGTGACTGCGGCTCAAAGACCAGGTGGCAGAAGTTCGGGCATTAATCCCTCCGGGGTTGACCCGTAGCCCAAAATCCCAAACACTGAATATGCGAGCCCGCAGTAGGTGCGTGCAGGTATCACCTCTTGGACATATTGCGTCTGGCCGATAATGACAAGACAAATTCTACAACTGGTCGCGAGCGACCCCCAGATTGCGGTCATACTCTAGCAACCTTCAGATGGTAAGGGCAGAGTGCGGAGTACCAGATTCTGCAACCCAGTCCTCACAGTCATCACAATGAGCCAAAATTGCAACTCAATAACAAACTCGATACTGTGCTCAAAGGGAGCAACTCGATTTTGCCCAAACCCAGCCCATCAATCGGTTCGCAATGTCACTGGCGTAGCAATTCGTAGAGTATCCCCCCTCGTCCAGGTTACCGTCCTCTGCGATTGACCCAGTGTTGTATTGTCGGGCAGCCCGATAGTATGCTTCCGCGTCCTGTCCGCCGACTTGATTCAGTATGCCAGCGAGGCCATCCCCACTCAAAGTCCCAGCCACACCATCAAGGACCATGCCGGTGATCTCAGAAGCGGGACACGGTGTCTGAATGTTCCCATTTGCATTGCAAGAGAACTCGCCATCATGAGCCTGCATCAACCCCGGGTTGGGCACGCCGTTATCGGTCGTTCGGACTCGAACGCAGCCATTGGATTCTTGAAGGAGGATTGCCAGGATGAAGCGGTGGTCGACGTTGGTTTGAGAAGATGCAGACTGGATTGCGTCCCAGATCTGGGTGATTTCTTCGTCGCTGTTGTCGGGCCCATTATCTGATCCTAGATTGACACACGACACCCGCATAAAGTTTTCGTTCGCAACAAACCTGTTCGGATATCAGTCGAGCCGAGACGGTATGTTCTCTTATCCTCACATATCCTCAAACGAGATCCACTGCGCCATCTCCGGCCAGCCAGATGATGCTGAGCCGTCGCCAGAATAGGTTCGGTAGGCGTCGCTGCCTGCACCAGCGCCATCGTAGACATCGGCTGGACTGTTGGCAGCGCCCAAAGCAAACACTTGGTTTGATGCACGAGGGAAGACAGGAGTAGGATGGACAACACCGAGCAGGGTGGCTGCGCACAGAAGCTGCAAAATGCGTCAGCTGGAAGCAAAAGGCCTTCTGAGAACTGCTCAGCTCACATTCAGGTACATTGTTGCAGACCGCTTTGACTCTTACTTGCCAACCACAAACAGAAGACACGGGAATAGTGCTCGATGCTTTCTTTGGTGCAGTCACCTCCTGTTCTTCGCGGAAGCTCGGTGGTTGCAAAGTTGATGATACAACCAAACCCAACATTTGTCCTCTGAAGGCTCGCAAGTTTCAATGCCACGCAACGTCTCCGCCCCGGATATCAGCACACCCTTCTCCCAACAGCTTTACCGAGGTGTGCGAATTCATGGTGGATGTCAGTCCAATGTTGCGACCGCCGTGGTAGCATCTAATGTTCCTACAACCTGCCAACCTCAGGCAAAGAAAATTGGTTGCTCACCTCGCAACGCCCTATATCGGTTTGTTGCAGCCTCCAATCGAACAGCACCTTTGACAAGAAACGGCCAGTCATCTGCAAAGCCCTGGGTGACCTCCCAACTCTCCGTGACATCCGGTTCACCCCAAAGCACACACCCATGTTTCAGAGCAAGGTCAATCTCATGCCAGGTATGCCTGCCGGCAAGCGCCATACATAATCTCCCCTCTAGTGGGTGTTTCTGGACATACCAATGATCTATGGCATTGTCTCTCACAACGGAGTCTGGAAAGATATCAAAGCATGGGTGGTGCGACACCGTTTGTTGTAGGTATGTCGGCTGAAAGTCCGGTGCCAAGGTAGAAGTGTCAATTTTCCCAGTGATAAAAGGACTATCAGAGGCCCAAGAGGCCATGAAGTGCATTTCCATGTTCAATGCCCTGATGTTCTTTGCAAGTCCGCGGAAGACATTGTAATACATCAGGTTGAGGAGCTGATCTTCCGGGCTAGGTATGAAAGTGTGATAGCGTATGCCAACAGCGTGAATGATGCTTTCTTCGAAAACGACCGGGTCTGAATCTCTCGCCGAGATGTCCTCATCAAGAACTTCCGTGCCTACAGGACCGATATGCAGCATCGTCTCCTCGAATCTTCGACACCACGACTGCACGGGCTTGAGGTTAAGATGTTCACTCGACGTCTTTACCGACCCGAAAGACACGGTGATGTTGTGTCGTGTAGAGAGCTTCCCAGCAGCAGATACCAGGGAGCTCAAAGTGATGGGTCCATTTGACATCACGCTGTCTTTCGCTTCGAGGGTAAAGACGCCGACACCAGGTAGTCTGGACCATCGATGACGGCTGTTTTCTTGTTCAATGCCGGCCTCAGTCATGGTTCTCTTCCGAAGTAGCTTCTGTTCAGTCTGGCGTTTCCCTGCGCGCTTTCATTAGCCCAAGAAGTCCACACCGGACTCAGGTAACAAACTGTAGGCCCGTCTGTTTAATCGGTTTTGTAATCGGCGTCGTTCTTTGATATCCGTCTTGCCAGCCCACAACTCATCTACGTTTCGTGCCTCCGGGTGGCCCATTAGGGTGACATCAAAGATGCCGTGATCATTTATGTGGTCCATAGCTGTCACCTCCTCACACCCTCTCCGCTATTTTGCCAAATGTAGGCGTCCGCAGGACGGTTATCGAGGCAGTCGAATGGAACTTTTCCGGCAAAGGGGGGCTTTCTATCTTGTAAAGAGCGCTTGGTTTATCTGTAAATTTCCATCACTCGGGAGACAAGGCAAGATCTTGAACGATGGACGGAGGACGAACTTCAGGTCGTAGTGGATGGTATATCTGCCAAGTTTACTGATTACTATTCAATCGATTGGCTGACACGAGTGGCCGCGGAGGAACGCATGGCGAAAATACGCTGACGCATCAATATTGGTCACATATAGCCGGGGGGGCACTCCAAGTCTGGGGTTTGATACTGTAGGCAGGCCCTGTCACCACCGTTTGAACCCTCGTAGCATCATCGTGGGCTGAGCGCAGGTTCTGAGGGTCAGAGGAGTCAGAGTCCAGGACGTAAGACGAGACGTAATCCCGAGAACTCTTGACGGTAGCTAGTGATGAGACTGTCTCGTGAACGGAATCATGGCTCTTTTGGACTTAGGCGGATACGGGTCAGATAAGTCGAAGACCTTGGGAATCGTGTTTTGAGCAACGTGAAGAGGACAGGAACAAATTGAGAACTTTTTCATCTTGTCAGGAGAAGTTGGCTCAATCGACGGCATTGATTTGGAGACTCCTGTCGGCGCCTCCTGCGGGCGCTTTCAAATGACAGAGAATGACAACTGGAACTAAATAATCGAGTAGACTTCGAACACTCTTCAGTTTCTTCCATCAGTTCCTGCGGGATGAACAACCTGCCAAATCTCTCAAGCTCACAGAGAGGGATATTCTTCCAAAACAACCTAGGTACAGCCACAGGTCTGAATGGCGTACACGTGATCTTAAATGTCGTGGGTTCCGAGGCCCTACCCGAAATGTCACTTGAATATCTTGACCTTGAGTAGGTCTGCCAGGCCCAGTTTGCTGAGAAAGGTCTCCCTCACCAAGTCGCGGACGCCGTTGACGATGGTTGCGCCCCCTCCGTCGTACTCAACATGCACCCTGAATGGCCGTTTGCCATGTTCTGTATCAACCACGCGCCGAACCGCTTCTGCAACGGCTCCAGGATCAGCATCCGGGGAAACAATCTTGTCATGACCTTGGGCGCTGATCTGATCCCACCCTCTCAGAGCGCCTTCCATATACTCTTTTTCGACTGCTGTATCCCCCGCCTTCATCGCAGTGGCGAAGTGATTGGTGCCTTTTGTGAAAACGCCGGGCACGATTATGGACGTTTCAATGCCGAACTGAGTCAGCTCCACGGCATAGGTCTGTGCGAGGGAGTCCTGGGCAGCCTTGGCCGCAAAATATGGTGCCAGGAACGGGGAACTCGGCCCGTGAGCGCTGCTGGACGACACCCACACAAGCAGCCCGGTTCCAGCCCGTCTCATATGCGGCAGGACGATTCGATTGATGCGCTGACAAGAAAGGCAGTTGACTTCGTACATCTCCATAAATTGTTCTGGCGTGTATGCCTCAGCTGGTCCAAAATTCATGTGTCCTGAACAGCTGTCAGAACTGGTCTTCCGCGAGTCGCTCCTCTCAAGGTATCTACCTGCCACTTACCAGCGTTGTGTACAACAACGTCTATCCTTCCCTCGTCGGCCATGATCTTGTCGACCGCCCTCCTGATCGAGTCATCCTTGACCACATTGAGCTGTATGCCTCGGAGCTGACAGCTGTTCTCTCTCGCGAAGTTTGCGGCATCCCTATACACCGGAGTTTTGTCGTCATTAGACTGCAGAAAGCCAGCATAAACCGTGTGGCCCGATCTTGCCAGTGCTCGAGCCGTCAAGGCTCCAAAACCGGAGCCTGCCCCGGTAACCAAGCTCACAAGGGGCCGCGCAGCCATTTTCTAGTATGTGTGTTTGAGGTCTCGGATTTGGCAAGGCAAATTTGTCTGGACGTGGGAGAAACTGAACACCGTGAAACATGTTTCTTATATCTGAGATATCTACAACATGGACCGTTCATACTGCGAAATGTCCTTGCATGTCGACTCCAAACATTTTCTGGACTTACCAACGCGGCCTTCGGAGATCTAGATCACCTCTCTGAGCGAGTCTCATGTACGAACGGAATAGAGTGAGCGCTCAATCGAAGACAAACAGCGCCGAGGCGTGCGGTATATTTCCAGAGGACAATTACATCAGTGGCGACTTTCTCAGCAGAAGATTGGCTGGTCCGACGCATACCCGGAGAAGGTCGTATGTCCTCATTCTGCCTCCAACAACCTGTCGGTGATTGCGGAGAAATGAGTTTCCCAAAACAGCACCTTTTCCTCAATTGGAAACGCTTTGTCCGCGTCGCTGGCCTTATGCCACGGCGCTAAGCATCCGGGAATGCTAAAGGCGACCGTCGAAACAGGAGGGAAGAAACAAGTCGCTTCACACGACGTCGGCCGGAGACGTCTTTCGATACCTATCGCCATGGTTGATCAGGACATTCTGCGAAAATGGCACAATGTCGTCTCGAACCTGGACTTACGAAAACTCGGCGATAGTCATGGCCCGGCAAGGACCAATGTCTATATCAAGGGGGTGGGAGAACCCCAATCTCGAGCAGTTCTGATTTCTATCCATATCAACAACAAAACTCCATGAGACAGTTTAGAGCAATCATCTCCAAACACAAATCCAACAAGACGTCATCTTCCCAGCAAGCCACTCCAAGCACGACACCCGCGACTCACCCACCAGCCACAACCAAACCCACCACCATGTCCTCCGCTCCTCTCTCAGGCAAGGTCGCCGTGATCACGGGTGGCACAAAAGGCATTGGCGCCAGCACAGCTACACTCCTAGTCCAACTCGGAGCCAAAGTCGTGGTCAACTACGGCCGCGACAGTGCCGCGGCGGAGAAAATCGTCTCGCAACTCGGCAGCGACAAGGCATACGCCGTACAAGCCGACGCCGGGACGGTCGCGGGCGTCGAACACTTGGTGAAAGCGACGGTCGACAAATTCGGGCAGATCGACATCCTGATCCCCAACGCGGGAATCCTGCCCATGAAGACGGTCGAGTCGTGCACGGAAGAGGACTTTGACCGGACCTTCAACCTCAACGTCAAAGGCCCCTTCTTCCTCGTGCAAAAGGCCCTGCCGCACATGGCGCCCGGCAGCAGCATCGTGCTCATCTCCACGACGCTGTGCCACGCCTCCACCGTCAACGGACCCTACACACTCTACTGCTCGACCAAGGGTGCCATCGAACAGCTGACCCGCCTCCTCTCCAAGGACCTGCTCGCCCGGAAAGGCATCCGGGTCAACGCGATCGCGCCGGGTCCCACGGCCACCGACCTCTTCCTCGAGGGCAAGAGCGAACAGGTGCTCAAGGTGCTGGCGGGCTTCCACCCGGCCAACCGGATCGGCAAGCCCGAGGAGATCGCCCAAGCGATCGCATTCCTCTGCGGCCAGGGCGCCGAGTGGGTGAGCGGACAGACTATCAGGGTGAACGGCGGTATGGCTTAGATGCTTTGGAGGACATTTTCTTAGTGTATAAAGCAGGAAGTCGCTAGAAGAGTCAAAAGAGCGGACTGGGCAAATGTTGAGATTCATCGGCTACAAGGCAAGCAAAATGGAAGCGGCAATGGCATTATCCCTGGATCTATATTTCGTTTGATATGTTCATGAATAGATTCCTCCATCTCAATTTGGTCAAGGTCCCACGGAAGTTCTTCGTTGCAGGCGGCACCGGTAAAGCCCCCAAGGCTGCGGCTCGGACAAGAGCTCTTTGTTTCTCATACCAACATGGGGCTGGACAAACGATAGGCTGCAGTCTGGAGTGGCCTGCCTGCCGCCCAGTCAATCTAGAGTCACAGCAATGGTAGACCACGACGAAGGGCAGACGGACAGGGTGGCGTGTTGGAGATATGCTGTAGACGCTGAAAACATGCGAGCGCGATGGGCATGTGATACTCGCAGCTCTGTTCAAGGAAAAAGAAATTGAAATGGCTATAATTAGGATCATACGCTAATCACCATTTGAATCCCACAAGATCGTTGACGGCTTCGCCCAATGCGCACCAGGGGCCGGCCCGCATGGAAGATGCTCATTCTCTCATTCAGTCATACCCAGTCGTAACCACTGCCGATTCCGATCGCCCGAAACAATACCGTGTCAAGTTCATCCTCGCTTTCCTGAGCCAGCCTGCTTCAGTGCAAAAGCGTCTCGAATCCTCTTGGCCTGCAATTCCTTCTCCCTCTCAAATTTCTGCTGGTTCGTCTCCGCCCGCTCTTTTCTCTCGCGCTCCCGCCGGGGATCGACCCCGGGTGGCGCAGCGCATATCGGGTTGACCTGAGGGCTAAGGGCAGTGGATGGGGGTTCGACGGTACTGCGGAGGATCGCGTCCCAGTGGTGGTCTCTGACTTCTCCTCGATTGCTGTCCGTTTCAGTGGCCGGAATTTGATCCACAATGTAGAATGTCTCAGGGAAGGTCTGCGTGCCATCATCGTAGTACCATCGCAAAGAAATGTTAGAAGTGGAGATATGACTCGTTCCAGTATGATCGGTCAAGGTGGTCGGTGCATTCGGGCGAATGGTACCGCGGGTGGCAACCGCCTTGCTCTTTGAAATGATGCTCTTCGACAATGTGCTATCGTGAAGCGCATGACACAGCTTGACGGGATGCTCCTGGCCCTCCGCGATGACGAAAATGCACACTTTCGAATTCAAAGCCTACTCTCAAGTGTCAGCGAGCGTGCGAATAGCATAAGATGTGCTTTGGTTAGGAGCAGAAAGGACGAATTGAAATCGTACCATTGGTGAAGTCCTGTCAGATGGACGAAACAACTGCGGACGACGAGCTTGCCACGAGCGATATGAAGTCTCGAGCTGATGGGAATCTTGCATAAGAGCGTTCGAGATCGGGCGATTGTGCCCTGTCGCCATGCCTCAAAATGGGCGGGTGGCCGAACAGTGAGGCGAGTACAGGGCAAACAAGCCGGTAGCTGAAACCGCGAAACAACTAGACAAACTTCGTGCCCAAGCCCGGATTGAAATGCCCATGTGTTGGCAACTTGGTATTGGAGGATGCTTCGTCTTTCATATACCCGGGAGAAGATGTGCTCATGTACATCTTGTGCCAACGGTACATCCTTGTCGACTGCAGCTTTCGAGTGATGACATTTTGCTGCACTCGGGCTTGCTAGTCACCTGGGACTGTCGGGGGTGACCATGAACGCTAGATTTGTCACTTTAGAATGCGGAGGTTGAGAACAAGCCACAAGAACAATTGACAGGTTGAACAAGACTTCTGAAGATACCAAACTGAATAGTCCATTCTCGGATCCGCTGTGGCGGCTTCCGCGATGTCCAGATGACCATATCCGTACAAAATTAACGTCGTTGGCCATTTGGCAATGTTTTGTTGACTGGGGACTTTACTCAACCAGCTGTGTAACAAATCCGTCTTCAGTAGCCCGTCACCCAAACACCTCCCTCGGTCCGAATCCAGATTTCGGGGGGGATTTTGTCATACGACCTCGCTTCAGAAGTCCGTGAGGAGGGAGTCCTTTCCCAGAAATTAAGGTCTGTGTCTCATCTTTTGGTGGTACATCCATGGGATTATTCTCTTCATAAGTAGAACGTCTGCGCTCGTGCTTGATCCGGTTGGTGTGCTTTTGTCGTGTGAAGATTGATTCGATGCCCCGGTGCCGTGATGCTTCAACTGCAAAACCCTTCACGAAAACCACCGTACTTTTTCGGATTTCCCTACTGTGAGCTCTCTTTTCTTCGGTTGAGCTCGACCAAAGCGATGAACTCATCCCAGTTCTCCTCGATCCATGGTCGACCAAGGATGCAGTCGAATTTTGCTTCGGATTCTGGTGGCAAAACATAAAACGGCGCTCGATATGATGGCGAACTCTGGTCCGCTTCGGATCTGTAACTCCGAAAATGCCACTGAAGGACGACAGTACTGCTGAGGTCGGTGTATCCACCAATTGAATGCACACGGCCATTGTATGGCTGTTTGTTCAGGTCCAATTCAGTGTGGGCCTCGTCAGAAATCAGATTGAAATCGGCACCAGTATCCAACAGTACTCGCCGCGGGGTGGTCGCCGATTGACGATGACCTAGCCGTGGATTCTTCTTCGGCTCCAGGTGGATGAACATAAGGACCACAAAGAGATTGAGACGCCTCCTTCTTTCTTCCACCAACATGACTTCTCCAAGGTATTTTGGAAGACCACTACCGTCATAATCTTCTGTCCTGCTCGGCTCTTCGGCCTCTGTTTGGAGCGGGCGCTTGATGATAGAATCTCGCGGCCGGTCAAGAATGGGCTTTTTGGCCATGGCTTTTGAGTCCGGAAAAGCCCGAAGTAAATTGGAAGCCCTTTTGGATGAATGCTTCCTCCAGCTGACTCGGGCCATCCTGTCTTTCACAAGGTCAGTAATTCTCTTGTTCAACTGGGGCAAATGGTGGTCTCCTCTTACTGGTAGGTCCCGTCACGGCTTTTCCCTCTCGCTCTAGCCCGCCGTCTCAAACTCCGCGGTTCATTCACGTTGCAAATGGATAGGTCCGAAGCCACCAGCACGGAAAAGAGCAGCAACAGAGACAGACAAGTCCGCCATCTTAAATACTACCAAGTGACAGTCAAGCCAGTTTGGGAATGGCATGATCTCCGCTTGGATCGTGTCGTTGTACAGGGTCGGGCCCGTCCTTCGGGCGAGCTGCAATATGGCAACATGTGACAAACTCCTCCAAACACGATGAGAACCCTTAGCCGGCATACAGGGCTGCAGCTGTGGGCCTCCGAATCCCTGAGACATGTCGACTTCTTGACAAAAAACAGGCGATTCCATGTGCAAAGCAAAACGGTTTTGGAGAGTTCGGGAGTACCTCCCAATATCGTGGATCAGTGTCACGACAGGAGGCGTGTCTTTGCAACAGTAGCACCGTGGTCTGGAGAATGGTAGAGACTGAATCGACGATTGCCAACGAAAGCACCAGCAACTATTTCGGGACCACATTCGGTAAGGGAAGTTGCAGCATTGGATTTTGCCGCACTGAGGGAGCCCGAGACCTTGTCAGACTTCTGACGGGCAACTATTGCGGTGCAAACTTTGTCTCAAATTTACAAATGGCCAAATATTCAGGGACTTCTGGTCTGTGGACCAAGATGGAGTGGTTCCTGGGTACATCATGAGATACATCGTAAACCAAGCCGGTAACTCATGGTAGGTGTGTCGTAAGAAACAAGCACGTGCTTTGAACGCCATTGCCACGTAGGTGAGATTGGTAATATGGGCGATCTTCGCGTAGTTTCCGAACGCAGGGACAGCCAGGCTCTCAATATGCAGCAGTTGCCAGGAAATCAACCAAATGGAGAGCTTCTGCAGAGTGGCATTGTCCGCCCATTCTCCTATTGGAAGCCTCCCGTTGGTGAACGCTGGAAGGCGAGAGCTCGGAGCCTGCCAATTCCTCTTGGGCAGCGATGCAGGTGGAAGCCCTTCGACGAGCGCCCCACAGAGGAGGAGACGCAGCTGCGTTGGACAAGTTAGTCTGTGAGTCCTCATTATAAGCAGACATCCGCCCGCTGTCCTCCCACAGAAGACATACCCCTGATCTTCATCATCTTCTCGGAAGCCGCCGACAAGATCGCTGCGTTACGACCATGACGGGGTACGGGGCTTTGGCATCAATGATGGCTAGCCATCAAAACATCGAAGCTTTCAGAAAATTCTCCAGCATGAACCTAGAGAATATTCTGCACATGCAAGCGGAGCTGCAACATCTCGAAGTGGTGATCAACGAGGTGAGGAAGATACCAGGGCTTAATAGCTTCGACCGGATATGGATCGATAACCCCGAGAGCATGTCCGAAGAGGACATACACCGGATCTTTGAGCGGTCAAGAACCCTGCTGGACCAGTATTGTAGGAAGCATGGCTCTAGAACCAATGATTGAGGATAGGGTCGCTGACACAGTGGGGCCAGATCGAGCTCTATTGAGAACGGCAAGAATCAACGCCTTGCAGCAACCGCGAAAAGACAACCTCGAGCTCCGCAGGCAGTGGTATGACGAAGAAAGCGGTGGCGACCAGTTCCTGTACGGTGTGGAAGCGGGCATCTTCCGAGATGCGAGCATCGACGAAGACCTGTTGACGCTAAACGAGAATATTGGAAGCAAAGACGCTCTTGCCAACTTTCTGAGCGAAAAGGTGGTGCCGCTATATCACCGGGTAGTAGGATATAAGCTTCACCGGTCTATGGCAGAGAAAGCGTTTGAGCGGACTTGGGAGTACAGGCCAGAAACGTTGGTGCAGGTTGGGAATACGATATGTATGCTGTTGTCAGCCGTGATTCCGGCACTGTCAATCCTGGTGTTGTTCAGTGTGAAGAGCATGGCTGCACGCCTGGTTGCAATCAGCATGATGAGCCTGGTGTTTTCATTGGTGATGAACGTGATTGCTCAGAGACGGGCCGACGTCTTCATGTCAACCACAGCATTTGCGGCAGTGCTGGTGGTGTTTGTAGGCTCAGCAAACGTGATGGGCGGTTGAAGGTGGATTGAAAGAGGTATACAAGGGAGAGGCAGAAAACCCCCGAGCCGTTGCACAGTGACACCTTTGACCCTGGCCACGGCTTGGTTCTGGCCATGTTATTATCGACCACTGTCACACTGGGGCTGTTGTGGGAGCTGGACAATGCAGTTGCGCGGGCTCAAATGCAATTGTTGGGGTGCAGGACGGGCAAAAGGACGACAGGTCATATTGAGCTGGGCCCTTCTCTTCAGTTTTTCCCTCGCAAAGCACACAAGTCAGCGCCAGCAGCTTCAGGTAGGGAAGTACGGAGTACGATAATGTGAATGGCAATCAACCGGAAAACGCTTCCGCGCAAGCACAAGCACTGGAGACGGGAGAGAGAACGGGGCGCTGATGATTCGGTCTGTCCGGTGAGGCAAAATGACGTTGAGCTGAAGGTTGAGGAAGTGAAGCGAGACAAGAGCCCGAGAGACCAAAAAGGAGAGTTGCAGGAAGAACCCAGAGGGCGCCAAGGCGATGGCCATGGGGCCCCTCGGTATCGCAGTTTCTTTGTTCCGGGAGATGGGGTCCTGGTCAGCCTTGGCGCCATTGATGGAGCTCGGGACAGGGAGACGGGGTCCAATTAGGGAGCAGTAGTAGCGAGCCTTTGCCCATCAGGAACTTCGGAAGCCCAGGGGAGGCCTAGTGAGCCCTACTCAAGAGGGTCACAGCCAGAGGGTGAGCACTGAGAAGAGAGCCGCAGCCGCAGCCGCACGGGGCAACTCCTCTGCCATCACCAGCATGCTGATTGTGCACTTCCCCAACCTCCCTGCCTGCTCGGACCTCCCAATTACCCACAGAAGCTCTCTTGCCCACCTCCTCTCCTCCCCTCGCCCTCGCCTGTCGCCCCTCGCCCTTCGCCCCTCGCTCTCTGGCTCTCGCGCACTTCCCAGCTCTTCTCCCTCCCACTTTTCTCTTGTGCTGCTTGCACTCCTGGCACTTCAGCCAAAATCTGCTTCTCCTCTTCTCCTCTCCTCCAGCCCTCTGGAGCTTCCCTCCTGGTCAAGCAAGGTCAAGCGGCACGCCAACCACTGGCCAACTGCTCTATGCACTATGATGCGCACACCTCGGGCTCTGTCTTTTCCCACCCCCCGACTGCCCTGAAGCCCGCCTCTTGCGTCCCCCGATTGCTCTCCTCTCCCCTCTGTTCGCTCCCCTGAGCTGCTGACTAGTGCAAACCTGGGACATGGACTCTGGGCCCTGACGTTTGCCCACAGCTCTCCCCCCCCAGCTCTCCCCCCCAGCGCCCTCCCAAGTTTCTCAGCCGTATTCCGCTCGCTCACCCCCTACCTCGACCACGCATCTCTTCTCCCTTTCTTTGTTCCCCCCATAGCTTGCTTTCACTTGTATTTCTATCCTTTTTCCGTCTCTCCTAGACCTCCTTCAATCTTGCCTCACCTACACGTCACATCCAAACATCCTCTACAACATGGCGCCCACCAGAAGCCGACCAGGCGACGAAGAAGAAGAAGAGCTCGAGCTCCCCGAGGACGACGAGGAAGAAGAAGAAGAAGAGTAAGTTTCATCTTGTCTGTCCTCGTTTCTTGATCGTTTCTGCTTGAACACCCACCACTCGAGGTGGAACCGACCGTCTGAAGCATCCTTCCCTCTCTGAATACCGTGTCCGGCCTGATCATTGTGCGCGGGCCATGGCACAGCCCAGCATGCATCATCTCCTCATCCTTGCTCTTCCCCTACACTTGTGTCACACATTTTGCTGGCATCGGCCCGGATAATCATTGAGTACTGATATCTTCCGTCCTGCGCAGATATGAAGACGACGACGACGAGGATGATGAAGATGGAGATGAGGAGGAAGAGGAAGAAGAAGATGTAGAGGGCGAAGAGGAGGAGGAGGAGGAACAAGGTAAGCCCTGACCTCACCTTGTTTTCAAGTAGTCTCTGCTACCGTCCAAACTCGATGGCTAATTCACCGTTGACACAGCCCCCCCTCCCAAAAAGCGAAAGGCCGAAGCCGAACCTGCCGAACCTGCACCCAAGAAGTCCAAGCCTGCCGCCCCGGAAGAGGAGGAGGACGATGAGGAGGAGGAAGATGGCGAGGATGCTCCCGAGGACGACGCCGACGAGCAAGACCAAGAAGAGGATGAGCCTGCGGTCAAGACCAAAGTTATTTCGGGCTCCGAGGGCAAACAGGCCGCGGCCACTGCCGAAACTGAGGAGCTCGACGACGAAGAATAGTCACCGACGGTTCTTGGTGGGTGGCTTCCTCTGGCAAAGCTGAAGTGGACGTTGGCAAGATGGATAGAACACGGCGAAAATTTCTCCAATGTAAAAGGGACAGTATCTCCAGCACCCACTGCCGCGGGGAAACTGCCCGTGTTGCAAGCCATCTGCTCGACCTACTCGCTGTCTCGCCTGTAAAATTTCCCCTCGTCTGTGTTCAAGTCGTCCCTACAAATGACTCTTGTGATGTTAAGCGTAAATTCTCCTGTCGCCATGGGTTTTCTCGGCTTTGCAGACTGCGAAATCGTTGGCGGCTTCAACTAGAGGTTGACAACGACTTCAGCAATAACGAATCGCCAGCCATTGAGAGCCACCAGCTTGCTTCTGCCTTCCTGTCTCGGCTCAGTCCATCCGGCTCGCCCGAATACCATGAAAGCTCCAAGCTCTTTCGACTTGCAGGCCGAAGTTGCTTCTCCCAAGGATTGCCCTCTCTCTTTCTATGTGTGGCCACCCCTGTGTAAACGAGTGCCGATCTGGGACGCTTGGCGGCAGTTTCTCGCAGGTGCACCCTGTTCGAAAGGCCCTCCCTCGGGAATAACCAGCCGGTGCTGCTGGTGGTGCCGGTTGCAAAGCACGGTGATGAGCGGGCGTAGCGGCCGCACGCGAATCGCTCGAGGATTCTCCCCTCGCAACACATGCCAGCCAAGAGTATAAGGATAATACCACCAACCAAGCAAAGATTGTCGGGGGTGTAGCCTTTGTCATCCTCGAGTTGCATTCGACACGCATCCTGCACCGTGTTTCGGCCTTTGGATGGATGGCTGAGAAACTTGATGGCCTTGGCCGACACAACGAGCACGGACGTCTGCCCGCGTGGACTTGTCTACCCGCGAAGCTTCCATCAGGTTGAGTCGAGATGTTCAGATGATGCCGCACAGCGCAAGATTACTTCATCGAGCACATTCTCAGCTGCCTCCATCGGCCGCTTTTCTCTTGGCCGTGTGTGGGCGAAGAATGGGCTCTAAAAGCCGAGACACGCCTGGGCGCCAGCTCTATGGTATAAAGGTCTTCACAAGGTCAACTTGTGAGAATATGCAACATCTAAGAATCGTGCGATAACAATCAACGACGCGTCAATCCAGCCTCCATCAGCCTATTGCTAACTACAACTCCGTGTGACCTCAATCGAGACTCAAAAGCATCTCGAGGACAATGACAAACTCCAAAGTCTGGTTCATCACCGGGTGCAGCAGTGGATTCGGTCGGGAACTCGCACTTGGTGCATTGAGACGGGGTGATAAAGTCATCGCAACCGCTCGCAATGCCAGCAAGCTTGATGACATCAAGACTGCCGGCGCTACGACGATGAGTTGGGATGTTACTGCGCCCTTGGAGGATCTCAAGAAGGCAGCTGAACAAGCGCATCAAGTTTACGGAAGATTCGACTATCTAATCAACAATGCGGGCTATAGCCAAGTCGGCGGATTGGAGGAACTCACGTAAGTCTTTCCTTGGTTCTGTTGCTTCGACAGGAATACTGACCCGGTGAAGACCGGAACAAACTCAAGCACAATTCGCCACCAATGTGTTTGGGCTATTGAACACTACCCGGGCCATTGTTCCGTATATGCGAGCACAACGGTCCGGAGTTGTGGCCAACTTCTCCAGTGTCGGTGCCTGGCGCGGTGTTGCGGGAGTTGGGCTATACTGTGCTTCCAAGTGGGCCGTCAGTGGTATCTCGGAAACTCTTTACTTTGAGCTGGCAGACTTCAACATCAAAGTCTGCACCGTCGAACCTGGATATTTCCGTTCCAACTTTCTCAACGCTGGCAATAAGCTGAAACGAGAGAATGAGATTGCGGACTACGAAGGAACAGCGGTGCGGAAGGGAGAGCAGTTGATGGATGAATATGACAACAAACAGCCAGGCGACATCAAGAAGGGAGTCAAGGTCCTCATCGATGTCCTGACCGGCGAGACTGGTAGGGACATCCCCATGAGGTTGGTACTCGGACCAGATGCGTACGGAACGATCAGGGCCAAGTGCGAGGAGACCATCAAAGGTCTGGACGAATGGAAAGAGCTGACTTGCTCGACCGATCTGGATGAGAAGTAAAGGACCAGGTCCAACCCGGGTGTCCAGCTATCACTTCGACTCTTCCTTGGATATTATTGAGTGACGGGTAAAGGCCAATGCTTGATTGGAGCAGTTGGCTTACTCACCACACCAACCCCTCCATCTCACAAATCTGTCCGCAACAATGGCTGCTGAAGTTCGTTTACCTGCAATCTTGATCGCTTTGTTCATTGACATCGGGCGTCTGCTGAGCCGGATGGTGGATTTCTAGCTGGAAGCCCATGGTTTGCGGGTGCAGTCGTCCTTTCATCAAGCACAGAAGCAGAACCAAATACGAGATCATCTTGCCATCGTGTCAAACGACGAGTTTATGCAAGAGAGGTCTTCGTTGGGAGTCGGTTACTCTTCCGTTCCTGTCTTGGGCCTGTTGGATCACTGACCCCCATGTCGACCTCTCTCGAGCCTCTGCTGTTGGCCATGTGGTCAATCCCTAGGTACATGTCACCCTCAAGTTCACACGTGGTCACCAGCTAGAATGTCTCTTGCTCTCAAGCGTCAGGCCATGTGCTTCACAAAATTCCTTTGGCATGTAAACTGCGACTTTTCATTGACCGAGACCTCGCGTTTATAATTGCCTTCATTTGCTTCCGCATATCAACGTGACGTGCCCGGGTTGAATATAACCGCCATGCAGCATGAACGAATGTTGTGCCCGTGTAAGCGCTGTAGCCATCGCAACTGGCAGCCTCGCTCAGAATCAGTGAGCTCACAGCAATATCATGCTAACATCAGATTCGCTGAAAACATGCCGGGGTCGGCAAGTGGGTCTCGGTAGGGGGCTACGTGGGCTTCGGCAGGACATCGATTAACACAGGGGACGGTGCTCGGCATGGCTCAAAGTCACACTCCTCCTGATCTTCGCGAAGATTCGAATACGGCGTATGTCCCCGTGACCGTCAAGGGTCCACGAGCAGCACAATTGGGACTGATCTGTATTGCCCTAACCTGATTAGGAAGGTTATCCGGCTAGTTTTTACACGCCGGCAAGTCAAACTGCCGTGCGACCGTTCCCACTAGATAGAACAATCAATCAATTCATGAAGTTAGTTCTACAATCTGGATGCGAGGGAGCGAGGCACTTCTCCGGCGTCTCCTCTGGCTACAGAATAGCAGCACGCGGAATTGTCGCCCGTAGTGTCTAGCCACGTTATCAGGCGGAATGTAGGAAGGAAATCCTTCCGGAACAGAAGGTCAACCCTCCTTCGGTGTGGGTGTACCCGTCTTTCACGTGTGCCTTGAGCATGCAGGTCATGGTACAGGGTTTGGTGGCCTACAAAGTATTGTGGACCTGCCACATCTTCGACACCAAGACACATTGACAGCACCCGAAAATGCGTGACGAATACGACTTCCTTGTCTGGTAAGGTTGACCGATCCCAAGAATTTGCTAAACAACTCTGACATTGCCCCAGTGGTGGCAGCACCTCTGGCTGTGTGATCGCAGGACGGCGCGCCGAAGCGGACGGCAGCCCGAAGACTCCCCTAGTCGAGGCAGGTCCGCAGAAGGAACACCTCGAAAACGTCCACATGGTCGGTGGCTGGTCCGAGAACTTCGACAGCGAGACCGACTGTAACTTAGTCACCACACCTATGGAAGGGGTCAACAACCGTCAAGTCAAGCTGAGCGGTGGAAGGTTTCTAGGGGGCTCGTCTGGGGTCAACGGCACCCTTTGCTTTCGCGGTGCTAAGCAAGACTACGATGACTGGAAGTGTGTGTACCTCTGACGAGGCGAGCAAGCTAAGGGGAGTCCTCGGTAGGACCTCGTGCAGACGATCAACAATATTTCCGCAGTGAGTGGACGAAAGCCCGCATCACTGCTCAGAGCTCGAGTGACCTGTGCTGGTAGTCTGAGAGGATTTCCCGAATTTCCAGCTCCTCGCTGTGGAAAGCTGTGCACGACGATATACTCGGTACTCGTAGGCGACCCCGTTGGCCTCGGATGCTGGACTACCCCAGATGTGGGGGCACAGGAGAAATCCTGTTGGTTCCCGCGAATCCTGGGTTCGGTAAGTGGGTCGAGAGCAACAAGGCTGCCGACCAAGCATTCCGATCCAATCTGCACCCGTCCCATGGCCCTGATAGTCGAGTCGGACGGAAAGAGTCACAACTCGCCACGCCTTTAAGCTGTTCTATCGCCCAGGTTAAACTCAGATGCAACAATCTAAACTCTTCGGGCTCAGCTGTGGCCCCGCGAGCATCCTTCGCTCGCGGTGCAGACTGCAAGACCAACTATTGACTCTGCCATCTGCCATCATATAAACTGGTAGACTACCTCCGCCTCTCAGTCCGAGTGTTCGCGACACCCCTTCCCTGTTCCTGTCCATTTATCCGCTGCAGATTCTAATCAACCTCATCACCATGGCGACAGGCGACGTTTCGCCCTCGTTCGACGACAGGACCGACTTTGAAAACGCCGACCGTGGCTTCATTGGCAAGCTGCATCCCTGTGTGATCAAGAACAGCGCCGGTCGCGTGGTTTGGGACAACGACCAGTATGACTTCTTGCAGGGAGAGTGCCCGCCGACGGCCAATCCGAAGCTTTGGCGTCAGGGACAGCTCTGCTCCAAACAGGGCTTGTTCAAAGTGACCGACGGCATTTACCAAGTCAGAGGCTTTGATATCTCCAACATGACCTTGGTGGAAGGCAAGACCGGAGTCGTTATCATCGATCCTCTCGTCTCGGTGGAATGTGCAGCAGCCGCTCTCGACCTGTACCGGAGATACCGTGGTCATCGGGAGGTCAAAGGGGTGATTTACTCGCATTCTCATATAGATCACTTTGGTGGAGCACCGGGAGTGCTCCCAGCAGACGAGCCCTGCGCCATTCCCATCATTGCACCCGTTGGTTTCATGGAAGAAGCCATGTCAGAAAATATCTATGCGGGTCCAGCAATGCGTATGCGTGCTGGGTATATGTTCGGTTCTCATCTGGTCAAAGGCCCGGAAGGACAAATTGGTACCGGCCTGGGCATGACGACCTCGAGTGGATTGAGTGTGCTGGTAACTCCGACGGTCTTGATTCAAGAGACTGGAGAGGAGCATGTTATTGACGGGGTGAGAATCGTCTTCCAGCTCGTTCCGGAAACAGAAGCACCTGCGGAGATCAACTTCTACTTCCCAGACCAGAAAGCCGTGTGTATCTCGGAATGCGCCACCCACGTTATGCATAACATTATCACCTTGCGGGGCGCCCTCGTTCGCGACGCAAAGGCGTGGTCTAAGTATCTCGACGAAACTATCTCGATCTTCTGTGAGCAGTCCGATGTCCTCTTCGCTGGACATCATTGGCCGACGTGGGGTCGCGAGAATATTGTGAAGATGGTCTCCGAGCAACGAGACTTGTACTCGTATCTCCACGATCAAACGGTCAGGATGATGAACACCGGTCTCACTGGCATCCAGATCGCCGAGAAGATTAAGCTACCCGCATCTTTACAAAAGGCATGGCATATTCAAGGGTTTTATGGCTCGGTAAGCCACAACGTCAAGGCCATCTATCAACGGTACCTGACTTGGTTTGATGGAAATCCGGCACATCTGTGGCAGCTTCCTCCAGAAGAGGAAGCCAAGAGATACATTAAGTGCTTCGGCGGTACAGAGGCGCTGGTCCGCAAAGCCCAAGAATACGCGAGCGAGGGCGATTTGCGTTTTGCTGCCACCCTCCTCGACCATGCGTTGTTTGCCGATCCGACGCCCAATGTCAAAGATGCCCTGGCGACAGTTTTCGAGAAGCTCGGCCATGGTGCGGAAAACGCAACGTGGCGGAATTTCTACTTGACCCGGGCCCAGGACCTCCGGAGCGTCGTGAGAGATGGAGGGGGAGCCATGTCCCGTATTCCAGCCATCAACTCTGCTTTGTCCATCGAGCAGTGGTTTGACTGTCTTTCTGTCCAGCTTGACGGCGCCGCGGCGGCGAACGAGAACATTGTGATAGATTTTCAAGTCCGCGATGAAGGACGGACTTGGCGACTCACATTGAATAACGGCGCTCTCACAAACCGCAGCAGGCCCCAGGGCCAATCCTTCCTTAACGCGGCAGACCTTAGCATGAGCCAGACGAAGAAGGAATTGTACGACGTCTTGCGAGGGGACCTCCGATCGATTCGCCAGAGGACTGGCGATTTGAAGTTGCTACAGAGAGTTTTGGCGCTGTCGTCGGTGCCGATCTCTCATGGCGCGGCGACAAGCCACCTGTAGAAGTCATCTGCTCCAAGCAGTAGTCATGAGTATTAGATATGACATATAGAAGCTTTCTGGTCGCCTTTTGTCGGCTAGAATCTCGGTCCACATGATAATTGTCCACGCTCAGTATACATCCATTCGAAGTCATCGACAATGAAGGGGAGCATACGCGTGGCGTTGGAGCCCTTTTCGATCATGGACTCGTCGAAAAGTCGCATTCTGGGGCACAAAGAGTCTGGGAATGGAAAGAGCTTGTGCACAATGGCAATATATAAGAGATCGATCGTCGAAGAACCCGTTTTGAGGCATGGACGACTGAGGAGTCCGCGTTCCTGACTTCTTGGCTGTTTTCACCTGATCAAGCGTGCATAGGAGGACAGCGGTCTGGGGTCATTTAAGCTGCTCTCTCAGGATAGAGATCAGGATGTCCAGTTCTTCTCCGCAGAGACTGTTCTCGTCGTACGAACTTCCCTCATAACGGATCTGAGGTATGCAAAAGACCCTCGCTAGCGACTTCGGATTAGCAAAGGGAAGACCAAGATCCGTACCTGATATGCAGCAAGCCGTATCTGTTGAACGGGGTTGGGATGTGTTTGGCCTCGCAGGTCTAGCATTCTGCCAGGATAGTTGCAAGCCGGATAGACGCAGAGCGTCGGAAATCTCATAGTCGGCAAGTTCAAGTGGCCGCATGTCGAAGTCCGTTGTCGTAACGCACATCGGTCGTCCATAGCATGCAGCGTCGAGCTTGTCTTGGGCCTGGAGCAAAGGTGTTTCGACAGCGGCAGATACATCTCGGCGGGATACTCACAAACAGGTGCCAGGGTATCCGGCGAAAAATCCCTGCATCCTGAATCTTGGTGCAGGTAGAATCTCTGTGAAGTCCCAATTGGAACAAGGGACGAACAGCGATCTCGATCCAGTACCACGTACAATCAAAACCGCAGTCGAGCGGCGACGTGACATGCCAATGTGTAACTAGGCACAGAGCTTTGAGCTTGACCAAATTATCCTTCTCGCAACCGGTATTGAGCAAAGCTTTCACTTTTGATGTACAGGTGCTCGCTGCTTCCCATCGGTCCAGTCGGTTTGAGATGACGGAACCTGCTTCGAACCAGGCATAGAGCTTGGAGCAGTAACGCAGAAGGCAAGATCTACTTTCCGAGCATGGCATTGGGTGCAGACGACTTGTGCCCGGTGTCGAGTGTTACGGCCTCGTCGCATCTTGGATCCACATGGAGAGATCTGATCAAGGGTTGGGGAGAGGGTGATGTGGACGTTGATAGTACAAGCGAGAGAGAAATACAAAACGTGGTGGCCCTGTGTGCATGACGGCGCAGAAAGCTTCCGACGACCTCACCATCGCTAGTCTCAATCATCTCACGACGACATGTGCCAGTCACAGATCAGATGGGATTGGAATTGGGTGTGTTCTCCAGACTTGCGCCTATACTTGTTCGACGCAGCCTCATTTAACGCAGGCCATCTGGTCTCAGTTGATGAAGCCGGCGGCGACAATAGATTTGGCTAAGAACGAGTTGGACAGTCACCGCCGGGAACCATTCAAGTGAGAGGCACGCTATCATATTCTTCCCGCATATACGTCCAGTGGTATCTTTCATTCGGGTGTGTATCAGGGCAGTAGCGACGGTCCCTTGATTGAGGAGTCTATTGCACAGTTGTTGACGTTGTCGAGTTCCTCACGGGGTTTCGTCTACGAAACGGCCGCCTAGCTCAGACCATGCCTTCAGCAGCGCTGTCTTCTCGTCTTCGGTGGCACATCCTCGAGGCCCTGCATCTTTGTCATGGCCTCAATCTCAATTTGCACCACTCCCTCCCACTCGGATTAGTCCAATCCCGACCAGAACCCGTGGGAAAGTAAAATCACAGAAGTGGCTCGGGCATGACATGACATGACACGAACATGGCCTTTCCCTCCGCTAGTTAGCCTACATCATTTCATCGACCCCAAACGTTTCCATCACTTTCATACCCTGCATAAGGCGGGGCCTGGTCCCCGATCCTCTCTACACGCTTACCACATCTGACCTCACGCGCACAGCGGTGATAAAAATAAAACCTCGGGCTCCCCCAACCAAAGCAAATCCCACACGAAAAGGCTCGATCCTACGAGTCCCCGAACTACGTATTCTTTGGCCCCCTTTAACCTGGCCTGGTTGTAATACCTAGCTGCCTGTAACGAGTAGCGTCTCCGTCCTTGGCCAGAGAATGCCCCGTTTGTTGAACTCCCCCTCCCACCCCTGGTCCGCTCACTCTACCTGCTTAAGAGGTTGCTCGAACTTGGTCTCCACCGTGGGGAATCCCGTCCGTGCGTCAAACTTGCGTTTCAGCGATTGATCCCAATGACAGGACCCCGTATTCTATTCCGCATTGAGCAAGAGTAACATGTCCTCTTTCGAGTCGTGGGGCCCCCATTCTCCTCTATGAAAATTCCCTATCCTACTGGCTTTGATTGCACCCAGGTTGATTGAGGACGCGTAAACTGGTCATCTTCCAGCGAAAACACCTGCCGGCCATCCACGGTTTCGTTGTTGACTATCCTGCCACCCGTTGAAGCGGGTCTCCGCCCCTTGCCTTCCCTCCTATTTCCCGCCTGGCATCCTCCCTGCCGTGGAGTCGAAAGTGGCATGCATATCCCCGGCCAAGCTAGCTACGTTATGTACCTACTCGTAGCTTGCCTGTCCATTTCAACTCCCGTTGACCTATCTTCCTACTTCCCCCCTGCCTCTACCTAAGGGAAGAGGGTCCCGTGTTCCCCGAAAGAAGAGACGTGGCCCAACGGTTCCAGGATAAATTACAAAAGGGGAGGGGAGGAATGCACACCACAGACGCAGTGCGCCAAGTACGGAGTACTAGGTAAGTACCTATTCGCACCTTCCGCATCGGGAAGACCAGCCATTTGGAATAACGATCCAAACCACCCAAATATAGCATTTTCCTTTTTACCCCACCCCACCTCTATTTGATAGGTAGGTCTATGTTCTTGGGAGCTAAACCGCTTCCAACGCAGGGGGGACTGGGATCTCACACTAAATCTGACCCTCCACCCATGACCCTGGACCTCGGATGGCCTTGCCTTGGATTTCCCGATCCGATAGCAGGGAAAAAGAGGAGAGAGCAGCGGCCCTTACAATATTACCTACAAGTAGACGTCATGCCCGCAATGGGTCGGCACGGGGATTGGCTCCCCAAGTACGGTAAGGTGTCAACTGTCATGGCCGTGGCGGCATCCAATACGAGATATCCCCTAGCCAACGAGGCTGCGACAATTACGGAGTACCCTACCCTCACTTACAGGGTGTTTAGTTATTGTGCTCGTATGTACTGGAGTGGTTGAGGGTGAGTCGAGGCCTTTCGCCCTGACGCTCCTTCGTTCTCGAACAAAAATCTCCCGTCATTCGGTTCGTATTCGTGAGCCATTATTGTCGTCAGCCATTATTGCCGTCCTGCCTCGCTTCAAGTCGGTATGTATCTAAATAGGGAAAACATTCACACGAACACTCCTCCTCTATCCATCATCACAGTCGTAGGCAGTCATCGTCACCACTCCCGAAACTGGAGCCTCCATTCCACCTCTCTCTCTCCCCAACGACCAGTGCAGCCCCTTTGGTCCGGACAATGGCCGCGAGCAATCCAGCCTGCAAGCCTCCCCCATCCACATCCATATCCACCCCTGCTTATGGCTTTTTGTTGCTAATAATAAAAGAATACACCTCCCATTCCCTCTGCCTAATAAACGCTTACCGAGGTCTGTTTGTACTTCGTGCGTCGAATTCCTGTTTCCCCCCGGTCCCTTGCCTTCCCCCCTTTTCCGTCTTCCCTTCCCCCCCCCCCCCCACATGACCTGCCGTTCGAATCGCGTTATGCCTCTGCATTTTGCATTGTGCATTGCATGGAGCTACTAGCCAGGGTTCAACCCACGCGGAACGGTAAGGCAACACGGCAAAAGGGCTGGCCCAACCAATCATGATATGTGCCAGTGTGCTGGAACGCACCACCGGTGACAGAGGTGGGCTACCGTCTAACGTCCCACAAAGGCTGCCATATATAGGTGGACGGCACGAATATGCATGAATATATCGCGCCGCTCTATCCCTCATCCCCCCCCCCCCCCCTAAAGCCTTGTTAGCGAGTTCATGCATGGGTTAGCGTGACTGTTTACCTTCTTCCATCACTTCTTCTAGCAGCCTTTTTCTTGGACCTCGTCGAACGGTCCTACGCCAATGAAATACTAGAAACGTAGATATCGCCTTTACCCCTTCGGCCATTCTGTCAGACAGAGTAATGATGCTTGCTTACCTATCATCGGAATGCTGATAGAGCCCCATTCACGCTCTTCTGCGTACGTCGTCTCCTCGTGGCTGAGTTCGGGGAATTCCTTTTTCTTCCGTCTTTCTAGTCTTCCCGACGGGAATGAAAGGGCATCTCACACCTCCTGCAATCTCTTTCCATATCAGCCCTCGTCTGGTAGCTTGTAACGTACAAGTAGTCCCGTACTCCACTTGTGCACCGGTGGCGAAAAAGAGTGCAGCCCAAGGCATCATCCAGCGCCATCGTGCAAAATCGCCACACGATCGTAAACCTTGCCCTGCACGTTCTAATGCAAGGTGAGCCCCTCCCGCAGCTGGCCGCTCGTCAACCCGCTCTCAGCGATTCCTGCTGCTAACGCAAGCCTTGCCTGACGAGGCTGAACGGTCGGAGAAGATCCCCACTGCGCCCATGTGAACCAGGGTCATTGCCGACAGGATGCACAACCATTGCAGCGCGCTATATTTCCCTATCTGCACCCCTTGAGCCTTTCCTTTCCCAACCCTTTCCTCCACATCCACAAAGGTGGCTCCACACTTGTAAAGGAGCTCTCGTGTTTGATTAGGAACGCAGACCCTGGTCAGCATAGGCTCGACCGTACCACGACCAGATCGGATAAGAGACCGAGCGCCGGGCGTGCATGCGTGTGTGCGTGTCTATCTCGACCTCGTATCCAGTGGAGGGGGTCCTAAAATTAGAACTCTACACATTCGCACTCAATTTCCACGACAAACCACGCGATGAGGCAGACCCTCCTCTTGGCCACCACGATTCCTGTATGCAAGCGAGAGGTGGACGGACGACAGGGAGCGGAGGATGCACATGCAGCAATGCAAGGCTCTGGGAATGACAAAGTTTCAGCATGCAGGGGAATAGGTGACGCGTTTCTCACGGTTTCTATTTTTTGCTCTCCCTCCCTCTCTCTCACAGTTTTCGGATTCGAGGGGAGGGACTGAGGATAGCGGTTGGATCGAGGGAGAACGGATGAGATGGAAGAAATGGGAAGATAGAACAGCAGGCCATCACGTGTAGTTTGCTGCTCAGCTCCTGTCGCTATGCCTCAACTTTCAGGAAGCGCAAAGACTTGAACAATTAACGGAATCTATGTATGTACTGCGTGTGAACAAAAACAACAACTGAACGTGGTTGGAATCAGTCCCGGGGCATCATAAGAGAAACGACCGTGTCAATGCTGAGCAAAATTCCCATTCCAAACGAAGCCTTCATGATGCGATGCCCCTCGCAAATTGCAACCCTTCCCTCCCGCTGCGTGAACTGTAGACGGATTCTTGAATAGTCACAGGGATAGCAATAGACTTTTTCCCTCTCACCATGTCCTTCCCAAGCTTTTCCCAGCAACTGTCTAGAACCCGCCAAAAAGAACTGCTCGTAAAGGCTCAAAAATCCAAACTGTCGTTTCATCGTCGCCTGTCGTTGCCCAATATGCGTAATGGGGGAGCAGCCGAATTGTCTGCACAAAGTGTGTTCGCTGGAAGAATTGTCGAAATAACGACGCCAAAAGCTTTGCCTCCCTCAATAATCTGTCCATTCTGCGTAAAAATCTGTTGAGAACTCGTATTGGATCCTTTGATGTTGACCGGCTAGTCACATATGGACTGACTGGCCTTCAAAAGTGTCCATAAAATTCCAATCAATATCTCCCGTACTCAACCTGGGATGTGGATCGAGATTGTAACCTAACAGTGCAGTCCTTGCATGAGGGTCGACTTCGTTGCTGCCAAAGCTGTGCTCAGAGCCTACCGGAAACTGTTGTCCAGGAAAAGCTGGCAAGAAGTCTTCCGATCCGTGAGCGGGTTCGGAGTAGAGGCTGCTTCTCATCCCTGATTGCCATTGCATGGGCGCGACGAAAGAGCCGGGTGTGTCAGGTTGTGAGTAGGCTCCATGCACCAAAGCCGGATTTGAAAGTGCTTGGAATGCAGTCGGCTGCGCGAGATCCATTTGATGACTCGTCGGGGTTGGAATACTGAATTTAGCGTTGGGCGGGGTTGATCCATTCGAATAAGTCCTCCTAACCTGACTTTGCTGGGCCTTCTGGCGATCCAAGGCGGCCTTCATTCTCTTTCGGATGATGGCGTTGCTGCGCTCCAAAGCGGGCATGGTACTTGAGGTCTTTTGCAAGACCTCCAAGAGGAAGCTCAATCCATTCTTCTGTGCTGCTACCGTGGGATCCTCGCCCGGTTGGTATTCTCTTTCAAAACGCAGGACGGCGATTGTTGCGGCAATGTAAACGCTGTAGGCATTGAGGTAGGAGACGTGATTAAGACCGAAAGTATTTGCTTGCAGCATGATCAAATCATGGATAGCACCTGTTGCTTGGATGCACATTTGCCATGAGCGCGCGGGTCCTGGTGCGCTCATGTCTCGTGCACCAAGCACAACCGGGCGGTGTAGAAGGATCACCGTGGTATGGTAAAGCAGATTCAGTGACATGATATGCACTGGCGGTGCTAGAGATGGCATTTGGTCGGGGTTGATTCGTAGATGAGGAGGCAAAGAGATAAGCCAGTCCCGTAGATCGCGCGAAATTCTCACAAAAGGTGCTTCGCTAGCTGCCTTGGCCTCTGCTGAATGATCTTCCTCTTCCATCTCACGACGAGCGGCCGCCTCAGAGGAATAGATGCTGTGCATCAGATCGTTGAGAATGACGCAAATCTTGCACAGCTGCCGGAAGCATGAGACCACATAGCCAGGACAAGGGGGGTAATTGGGGGCATTCGCGAGCTCAGGCGTGGGCGTCTCTCCGTAGTACGGGGCCCAGAGATCACTATCACTGTAGTCGTCCATGAATGTGAGGGGAATTTCCTCGGTCGCTGGGGTGAAACCGGGCATCCGCCCAAGATACAGCGACAGAATTTTATCCCAGGTGTAGCAACTCCAGAACAACCGCTTTCGAATTTCGATGTCTTCCGGTGTCAGGCTTTTCACGAATGCCTGAAGTTTATCGCTGGGGAGATGAATGCCCATGTCCAAGGCCATGCGAAACGCCACACCTGAGAATGTCCATGCTTGCGAAGATCTCCCAAACATGACTTCTCTGGCGGACTGTTGCAGGAGGGCCTGAATGGTTGGAATAGAGCTGTTCCTCAGCATGTCCATGCCCAAACCGAATCGCGCTTCGTCTGTCATTTTTTGCATGAACTCTCCGGCGCTCATCGAGCTTCCCATGGGGCTGTGCTGGCTCAGTACACTGTGATATTGGTCCTGGTAGACGTCGTGATTCAGAAATCTGGCACAATGAGCGTGTATGACCTAAAATCCCATCATTAATTCGCCCGAACCAAGTCGTCGAGAGGTTTTCGCCATACCTTCAGCAGGGATTCTGAAAAGTACGGTGGATCTTGAGCACCTGGAGTATTTAGATCCACCATTGCCATTCCTCTCGTAAATGCCGGCCTGTACACAAACAGAAACAAAGGATGTTGCCAGCACCAATGGTACTTGAGCAATTCATGTGAAATTTCCTTGGGGACATTTGTCTTTGCGGCGCCATTTGCGATTGCGAAAGGTTCAATCTGTCTCTGGTGAGTAGCATTTAGAATCAGATCGCGCTTCACACGCTGGTCTTCGTGAAGATTCCCGCTGTAATTGAGATGGGCTGTTATCGGCGGGTGATGGCGCTGACTTGAGGGTGGCTCATGGATGGGAGATGTTGAGTTGTGGAATGTTACACTTCCGGTGTCGTCCACGCTAATGTCGGCTTCCCACTTGACATGTCGATTTCGATGTGCCAGAGCTTGACCTGAACTTTGAGATCCGGCTGTTTCGCTGGCGGGTGATGCTGAGGGGAGCTTCTTGTCATCGTGAGACCCGGCCTGGCCCCATCCGTCAGATACCCCTGGTAGCAGAAGACAACAGAGAGGCTATTTCGTACCCTACTTAGCCAAACTTGGGTCTTGGCTTGTCGCAGTTGCGCTTTTAGTTCCTGGATTTCCTCCTCTAACGATCGCACGTATGCGAGTGAGGGCGGCTTGTCGTAGTGACAGTCGTCCTTGTATGCGATACACCTGCAAAGTGTATCAGAATGATTGATCGATGTGATGCACTATGGTCTTGGAGCAACTCACGTGGTGCATTTGGGTGTTTTCCCGTCGCATTTCGACTTTTCACAAGTTAGCGACTCATGCGAAATGCTTCCGGAGAAACAGCAATTGTCCGCTCCCTTGACGGGCTGGAGATTGACCAAGGGGGAGGTGGACGATCAATACCTTTCTTCTACGGCAGCCAGCGCACGTGGACTTGCGGTGTTTGGATTTTGGTTTTTGCTCGACTTCGGTAGGCATGTTTGGATGTAGACGGACAGGAAATTCGATGGGGTTTGTGAGAGTTGGAGGGCAGAGAAACGGTCCAAGAATCAAGTTGAGTTCATGATCAAAGCCTCGTAGGGCGATGAGGGACTTTGAATGGCTTTCTCCTCACGAGATCAGAATCAGAATTGGAGAGAGGTCCGTCAGCAAAAGTGCCACCCCTGTCCGGTGTCTGGAGAGCTAGGATATTTTTTCATACAGAGGGCGGGCATGGGAGGCAAGGTCTGGCTTAGCGTCATGCGAGGGCGATTGTCGGGGCAGCAGACCAAACGAGTCTGGATAGACAAGGGTCAAAAACTCTGCGGCATGGCGGATGAGCACTTAGGATGATACTAGCAAAGGCCTGTGCTGGGAAGGGAAAGTACCATCTGATGCTGAGTTACTGCTCTTTCTGGAACTGCAGACATGGCAAGCGGATGCCACATTTTTCTCGAAAATGAGTTCAGAGCGACCAGGGGGGTGGAAATGGTGGGTTGGAAGCTTAGGGGAACGGATAGCTAGTCGTAGGTCGGGGGTTAGTGGGTGATGGACGACGCAGGGCTGTGGTGGGATGACGAGTTCGGTCTGCCTCTCGCTCTCTCTCCAAAACGCTTCGTAGCTGCTGGACACTAGAAAGGGCAGAAGGTGATGGACCAGTCAAAACGGGGAAGCATCCAATGCTGGAGCTGCGTCGACATAGCCGAAGCCACAGCGAACACGCAACCTTCCGGCCGGGCACCAGCCCACAAGTCCACCAGCAGGGGGGCAACGAGGAAGCAGGTGAGCAGGGATGATGATCAGGATCTGAGGGAAGCCCGAGCCGTGTCGCAAGATGCGCCCAGCGCCGAGCAACACACCTCCCCAAAGCGTCAAGGTCAGAGGAGCTTGGACGCTAGACGCGTTGGACTGGGTTTTGGGGCAATTCACCTGCCGCTTTGACAAGCCTCGGGCTGATCAATAGGGACATGGGAATGTAAGGGAGCACTAGAACCATTAGTAGAGTGATTACGGGGATAACCAGGGCAGAGGGGGGGCATTAGAGCAGGGGATAGATCGGGTTCAATGACATGCGGTGCATTAGCGGGCATGGGGAATGTGCCAATGGCAACGAGCAGAGCAGCTTGGATTGAGCAAGTTTTCTTACTGAGAAGGGGGCTTAAAGAGAGAAGCCTTACTGGTACTTGTCTAGTTGACTATGTACTGCGTGCTGGTTACTCGAAGGCGTCCTCCCTATGAACAATGTCTTTAGGAGACCGTTAAGCAGGAAGGTACCTCGTGTACCTCAAAGAAACAACAACTCTGGCACACCTTTTGATCAACCCTTTGCTAACTCTGTCTTAACTCTCTCCAACACTATTATCAAATCACAACTACGTCAACAAAGGGAAGGTGGTGCGCTACAGGCTACAGGCTACAGGCCACAGGCTACAAGCTACAGGGCGTGAATCCAAGCCTAACGAGAGTTTCTTCTTTCTCCAAACGCTAACCATCAGCCCATTGAACCCTGAACGAACCAACCATCTGCGATTTGGGGCGCTGTCAACGGCTTTGACACGGACCGATCATCCCACGGCGCCGATTGCGATCACCACCGAGGCTGCTGCTCATGAATCAAAAACGTCCTCTGTCGACTTGCTGTTGAGATCTGAGGCACTACTTACTGCCAACGACGAACTCGAGACTGAATGTGGTTGATTATTGATGACCTTTCGGCCCTTTGTCATCAGACAATACTCTGTACAATCCAACACCTTTGTCATGTCCGGCCAACGTCTCAGACGGTAAGAAAAGACAAACAGCAGGTAGGGCTCGTTGCCACGTCGTCATGACAATTATCCCTGGGCAAGCATCAGTTTCACGAAACACGAGTCGGTCAGCGATAGGCTAGGGCAGCCAGGCTACATGCAAGGTCAAAACCCATGTTCGGTTAGGTCCAACCTCCTTCAACCGACGGGGAACCAACCTCTAAGATCGTTCTTTAGCCTTGTGCTCACCGAGGTCTGTATGGGCTGGTCACAAGTATTACAGCCTGCTCAGGTCCCACTGGTCGGCGCGCTCATACCTCGTAACTCGGAAGGCTTACGAGCATAAGGCAAGCGGAGTAATCGCAAAACTCTTCAGACGCCGGATCATCCGCCTGCATCAAACTTCCTTGGGCTTCCTTTTCCATACTTCCAGAAAACTGAACCTGGCCTTGGAGAAAAAGGCTGGTTACTGCTTGCTGCTTTTTCCCACTGGTGTTGCGGATCCGCACCGTCGATCTCTCTGAGCTATACTCTCTTCTGGTGAACGAATACGGAGTGCTGGTCCAATCACTCCTGCTGGTGCTGGGATTCTATCCCAAGTATAGCACTGGTCAGCACTTTATTCGACATAAGCACTATCTGCCTCCCGCTTGCTCCATGCCTGACAGCCCAACATCTGGTGAGTTGAACTCCCTGGCTTGCCACGAGGGGGCCGATTTTTCCAACCACGCACATTCGACAGGCACTGGCTTGAAGGGATCCAGTCAACTAATCCCGCCCATTGCAACTGTGTTCCCGTCGTCCACTAACCCCATTCTGGAGTTCTTTGCTCTGGAGAATCCCGGTCGATTTTCGAGCCCACCAGACCTCGGAATAGCACCAACAACGAGCAACCACGAAACCTGCCTCTCGCCCTCACCTCTGTCCCCCAGTTCCGACCTCGTTAGATAATAGACTTTCGGGTTATAGGCAAAACTATTTGCCAAATTTCGCCTCAAACGCAATGTCGGATATTCATTATCCAGCCTGACTAACCCTTCTATACCCAGTGTAGAGATGCCACCAACGGCGCTGATATCCTACGTACTAAGGGCACAACCGGGGAGCTGGAAACCAGCCTAACGTACCCTGGCACGTTTTTTGCAGTCTCCGACGTCAACAAAACATTTCGAGATTTCCACTCCGTCTCGATCTTCATCAACCAATTGTTTCATGTCAATCCCCAAGGACCAGCTATTTGATAGGCGCTCCGAACCGTCGTTCCACGGGGAGACCTCTGTGGGATGACCACCCCTTCCCTAGCACACGACGTCTGCATCTCTAAAATTGGCGCCTCTCGAAATTGGTTGAGAGCCCCGTTTGACGAAGCTCTGCACGCTAGATTCCCAACTTGGCATTCCCATGGACCATTGTGCAGAATGGCACGCGCAAGATGGTTCCCGGAATATTACAAATCAACAATTACCAGGCTCGTCAACTCTCTCACTCACTCTCCGTAATGGTGCTCAGCCTCCTGGCTTGCGAATGCCAACTGCTTGACCTGATTTTCTGCTTAGGGAAGAACGAGGACACGCCGATATTGGCCAATTGCGATGCCTGTGATTGCTCTGCGAGTGACGTCGAATCCGAGTCAGTTCGGAGAGAGTCAGACGAGTCGCACCAGTGCTCCGAGGTATTATTCTCTGTAGACTTCGAGACTTTTTGCAAAAGGCTAAGCCAACGACTCTCTCCACCAGGGTACACGGACCGCCCATGCACCAAAGTTCACAGCCGATATCCGGGGTCCTGCGAAGGATCGGTCTGCACATACAGCTAACACCATTGGCCTTAGTCATTCGGCTTTAGTGAACGCAGAATGTTGTGCCAAAGAGGCTAAATTGCCCCTCCTCATGCACAAAGCGACGTGACCAAAAGTACGTGCCGAGTGCAGGAAGGGATGTGCTGTGAGCCACTCACAGACCGGTCTATCGCCTCTAAATCCGAATGAGTGACAGATCACGTTTTCTTTTGGCAGTCGAGAGCAGCTGTTCCTGCGAGAGCCAAAGTGCTCTTTACATCCATCTTGGTGGGTATGCAATAGCCTCCTGCATCAAAAACGCGCCGATGAAGTCCAAAGATTGTGCTATCTCGACTCCCAATCTTCCTAGAAATCCTGTTTTGCTTTGGAGCCGATTCCGCTGCCTCCTGCACTGGACCTCCTAGACCGGTATTCCGATCAGAGTCGTGCACAGCAAGCAATTCCTCATGGCCATCCCGTTGATCGGCGGATTCTTGCAGCTGGAAACGCCGACTTCGACGCCGGCCTGGAATGCTCGATATGTCGTCCAGTTGCTCCAATCTCAGGTCTAATTTCTGCTGCCGTTCCAAGGCGAGGAGGGCAGAGCTCTTTCAACTCTTCGTTACCGTTGTGGAATTCTGTGGCCAGGTCTTTCGGCACAAAAGAAGCGACTGCCACCACAGGGTCGGGCCCATCACATTTACCCCGCGTAGAGAGGGTCTTGAAGATTCGACAATCCATGAGATCTAGGCCATTGTCTAGCTGGACACTCTCCCGTGAGACGCAATTCTCGCCTAGAGTGGTGCATCTCGAGTCCCCAAAGCAAGAAAGGTCTGTCGCGTCGTACACCGCCAGCCACAAGAGCGAATCGAAATCCCGGCTCTTATACCGCTGACCGAGAGGAAACTTCGAGCATCACGCGCAACGGCCCCTGGACCGTTTCATACCACTGATGGTGTCCCTCCAGGCTCAATGCCCCGTTTGGACTGCCTAGCACGATGGAGTACCCGCCAATAGAGAGGATATCGACGTGAGTCGGGCAGCGTATTGTTGCTTCTCTGCAGGTTCGTCCTGTGGAGGGGAGTCTGGTGACGGCATCAGTTTCTCTTGCTCCAAACTTCACAGGCGCGGGATTTGTCTTCACCCAGAATACCCTCTCATGTTGTTGCTCCTGGAACACCTCATCGTCGTTGCATTGCAGTCAAAGCTGCCGCCGGAGCTGATTAGGCCTCTGTTAGCCCGCCGGGGAGTGGCCGGTCAGGTGCTCTTCGCAGGGCAAAGGGCTCGAAAGACTGGGTACCAAGTAGACTGTAGACATGTGCTCCCAGGTACATAAGTCCCGCTGGATCCTCCTGGCTTCTAGACTCGAGACTTCCAGAGCTCCAGACTCCCTGCCGTGGCCTGAGCCCAGGCGAGGCGATACTCACAAAGAAAGTCAAAATCAGCAGAGAGATGCGAAAATGACCTCTAGCCAGATTGTGCTTTGCCTTTGACTCCTGCAAAGGAATTCTTGGTTCTCCCCATCTTGGGCTCCTGTTTCCATGTCTTGGCCCGTGTTGGGTTTCTGCTGAGGGCCTGCCATGTTCTGAAGGGACCGGGTGAGTGTTTCTGCAAATTGGGGTTCTGAGTGTCCTCCGCTCAGATCTCGCGTAATATCCTCTCACCTAGGAACGAAGAGCAAGAGAAACGGACTGCTTCGGGGGGTCTACCGACAGTCGTCACAGTGTCCTGGCCAGGTCATGTCCTTTTTTTAACCTGCAGTTCCTGTGTTCCTCACTATCTACTAATCGTTAGACACTTTTCTCTGCTGACTTCGCAGACCGGCAGGGGGGTTGCACCCATCGCCTTGCCATGGAACTTTGTTGGTACGCCAGCCCTACGGGTATGGTTTCGTCTGGAAACTGCGCCCCCCGCCGAGCCTATCCGAGGCCCATCCACGTTGGGTTTCCCTTTTTCCCTGCTTGGTCCTGGTCAGTGGTCATGCTCACCCACTGGGCATCGCAGCAACTACGGGGATGTCCACAGTTTCTCTAGCCTCACTGCGTCGCACGCGAACTCCCTGCAAGAATGGGAACCAGATACCCCCTCTCCCGAAAGTCTGCTCTCTCTTGCCACCTACTGCCTGGTCGCCCGCGCTCCCGCACTCGCGACCTGCGTCTCAGGGCACGCATGACATTGCTCACCAGCAGTAGCGCAGTCCTGAAAAGGACTTGGTGCTGATCAACTTTTTTGACCTGCTTGTCGAAGCCCTAGCACGCCGCCGAGATGCTTGGAACTTGCTGGCGGGTGTCCAGTCGACATATCTACTCTTGCGCCCCGTCCCATCTTCCTGCCTCAACCTAGTCACCGCTGCCCACAATCTACATCAAGATGAAGAAGCCAGACGCGATAGAAAGAAACTACAGTGCCCCGGGGACCTTGGTCGAGGAAGAGATTGGAACAATCGACGGCCATGGAACAGGGCGAGAGTGTCTGAATCCCCGGCCATCGGAAGATCCGCAGGATCCTCTGAACTGGCCTCTATGGCTCAAGGTTGGTCTACTGATGCTGTGACTGAACGCTGAGAGCTTCTGTTGACCTTCTACAGATTCTCATACTGACCCAGGCATCCCTTCTTGCCGCAATTGGCGGTCTGAACACTGCTGCAATCAACCCCGCATTGGTATTGCTGGCCCAAGACTTTGGGATCAGCAAAGTTGCCGCTTCGTATCAGACGTGAGTCTTATCTTGACAACACCTTCGCCCGCCAACAAACTGACTTGCTCCAAGCACGGTCTGTATAGCCCTCAACGGAATAGCCCCTTGGCTATGGATCCCACTTTCGAACAAATATGGTAGAAGACCGGTCTACCTGGCTACAACCTTCTTGGGCTTCATTTCCTCCTTGGGCTGTGCCTATACCCAATCTTTTGGCCAACTCATTGCGGCCAGAGTCTTCAATGGGTTCTTTCCGGTCGCATTTGCCCTGGGTGCTGCTACTGTCACGGATCTGTTTTTCTACCATCAGCGCGGCAGAGCTATGGGCTTCTTCACTGTCACGATGGTGAACGGGAGCCACCTCGCTCCCATTGTCGGAGGTTTACTGGGCGAATACTGCGGCTGGCGATGGATCTTCAAATTCGTGGCTATCGTCGACGCGATCATGTTGATTACTGCCTTCTTCTGTCTTCCAGAGACACTATACCTCAGGAAAAGGTGCGTCGATGTGTCGAAGCCGGACTTGCTCAAGCTGCCCACCGAACATCGACCTCGATTCACTAAAGAAGTCTACCTCTCCCGCTTGCGACTTCGTTCAAATTTCCCTGAACTGAGACTGAGACCTAGTCAGTTTGTGCTTCCGGCCCTGAAGATGGCCAAATATCCCTCAGTGCTATTTCCGGCCCTCTACTACGCCACCATGTATGGTTTTGCGTCCATTCTGCCCGCGGTGACTGTCGCCGCAATCTTCACAGAGTTCTTCCATTGGAACACCCTGACTATCGGCCTCACTTACGGCGCATCTCTCACAATCGGAGGAGTCCTCGGCGAGTGTGTCTCGGGCTGGGTCGTTGATCGCATTGTCAAGCGAGAGCGAACGCGACTAGGCCGCGATCCGGAACCGGAGGTTCGACTCAAAGCCATCTGGGTGGGCGAGGTCATCGTCCCGGCTGGGCTTTTGATCTATGGCTTTTGCCTGCAATACCGCACAGCGTGGATTGCGCCCATACTCGGGATGGGCATCGCATGCTTCGGGCTGCAAATCATCACGACGACGACGTACACCTATGCGATTGATTGTTACCGCACAGAGAGCAGTGAGGTTGCGCAGCTATTCAACTTTATCCGTCAGGAAATTGGTTTCACTTTCGCCTTCTATGTTGTCCATCTAGGGAACAAGATCGGGTACCAGTGGACGTTCCTCATGTTCGCGCTCATTGGAGGGATCCTGGCCTTCATACCAATGCTCTTCGTTGTGTTCAAGGGAGAACAGTGGAGAAAGAGACTTGGTAAACCGGTGGGCGTCAATGTTCTGGACAACATGATGGGCACAGGGGACCAGCATGATCATGTCTCTGGATGAAACAACCTGAGCAGGGCATAAGAACCAGACATGTGGCACGAGACATGGCTTATGAAATGCACAGGGTGATGGCAGACTTGCATGGGGATTCCAAAATCCCATGTCACCGGGAGCAGCCCTGTCAAGCAGTGCCTCAGCTAATGCAAGTCATCTGCAATCTTGCACCAGATCTCTGCAGGGCAGGTGCAGCACGACTTCGGCACGACCCCGCGGGAATCACGGCTCTCAGGGCTGCACGTCACTTGTACATATACATATACGAGGTGACATCTCACTAACAGATCTGGGGGACCCGATGGTGCAAGCCCGAACTGAGGATGGCGCCAGCTGGCCGGGTGTTCTGCGTGGGAGGGTTGTGTCCTTCAAGCTTCTTGCTGGATCCCGGAGATTTCGCTGGTACACCCTCCCCTCCCCTTAGCTGGGACCCCCCAATAGGTGTGGAAGATGGTCCGCCCGGAGGGACTCCGGAGCCCATCATCAACCAACCACCAGTCTATCTTTCGTCGTTTAAACTTCGGACAGATTAGAATCAGCTCTGCTGAAGAACCTTGCAGCGGCACGCCCGTGGGATATCCGTTTATTTCCGCCTGGACCTGTTCTTGTGCCGTCCAGCTGCATTCAATTGAGCTAGTCTTGGTCGTAACGGCGCAGTCCGCGAGAGGGCGGGCATAAAACGGCAAGGGAAGGCGGTTCTACCACCTGATGCTGCTCAACTGTCTTCGATACATAAGACCCGCAAGCTCTCGATATAAAGATCCTGAAACGTCCTGCAGAATCTCGATTCTCATGTTATGCATCACCCTGTTCTCGCCAAGCAGCGAGCTTCTGAATGTATGCCCGTTGTCAGGACCATTCATGGACCTAGTTGATCGAGCATGTATCAAGCAGACTCGGATGCCTGGTCTTTGTGTTGCCTCTCAAAGAACATCGACATCAAGTACCTGGTAAACGCGCAAAACTCTTTTTCGATGATGGGCAACCAAAAAGCATAAAAAGTCCAATCTCTGAAGTCCAAAATATCGAGAGTTTGACCTCTGATTTGCCAATCTCATTGAACAAAGAAGGGGATGACAGGGCAGCCTTGAGAGCTTTTGGGCTTCTCCTTGTCCACAACCTAGGACGAAACGGATTTTCTCTACTACGGCCGGAAATCTGGCAATGTTAACCTACCGAGTACTTTTACATGGTGTGTCTCTTTGAGACAACTGGGCCCACGGCGGCATGTCATACCGGACCGTCGATGGCCATGTTGCTGTGCTATTGCTCCGAGGGAATTTCACATGACCAGACCGAATGGGACTGAGGATTATGTGTCACAATACTACTCGTACGTGCCACAGCCGACAGTTCTCGAGTCATGACAAGAGTGGAGATCCCTGTCTACTACAATGTCGAGCAGCAGGGTTGCCGGAACATGGCCGCGCTCCGAGGTTCGAGATAGCCGCGGCGGCAAGAGGCCTTGCGCTCTCGCGTTCTTGGAATCTCGAAGCTCTCGAAAGTCCCTGGTTGAACCTCGAAGCTTTGGCGTGGGTGATAAGACCTCTGTGGGGTCCCGGTTAGCGCCCTAGACTGCGAGATGAAGCTACCTGGTCAGGACAAATTTGAGCTCGGAAGAGTCCGAGCGGAAGGGCGCCGCCAATCGAGATCGCTTTCTAAGTGTACGCAGACAGAGAAGCGCTCTTGGTGGCTATCCCCGACGGACGAGTAGGAGGGTGTCTCTCCACTTTGAGGTTTCGGGAAACGTGCCCGCCAGCACGCGAGAAGGACAGGCATTGCGTGGAGAGCAGGCTGGCCTACCTGGGCAGGTGGTGTCTTCCAATAAAGGACAAGTCCAAAGTCAGTGTCAGGACCCGGTCCCAGTTCATGTGAGGTTAGGAAATGTGAGGTGAGGTAAGACAACGAGGAGCCGGAAGGGAGATGCGCGGCAAAAGACGGGGGGAGAGGGGAGAGGAAGGGCTGAGGACTCTGGATGCTGGAAATCTAGCTCCCGCCCTGGGGCATCGCTGGAGAGTAGACGAGGCATTTGAGAGGACGGGCATTCGCCGGCCGGGGGGAGAGGGGGGAGAAAGACTTCGTACCTAGTAACCCGAAAAGAGGATAGCAAGACAAGTATCAAGTATAAATACAAGAAAGAAGGCGAGGGAAGCTCGAGAAATGAAGGTCCTGCCAGCATATGCTAAATATTCAAGCCATTTAGTTCAAACATGAGATCCGGAAATCTATAAAAGCCTCGTGAACCTCGACTATATCCTTCCCTGACTGTGTCTGGGGGGTTTTTTTTTTCTCCTTCGTCTTCCAAGGGTATCGAAGCAATCTATCAGCGTGCACTACAACCTAGATTATATCTGTGTGGCGACATGCCAGGATTTATATCCCCCTTTCTCCCAAAAAAAAGTGAATCGCACATACATACATGTTCGGGGGATCATGTGCGCCCAGCCTCGCAGGGTCGATTGGCGGTCTTAGCAGTGGAGGGACGCATGTGTGTCTTGAGTGGGACAGATCAGAGGAAGACGAAGAGAGTCTAGAAGACGTGGTGGACGAAGGCGAGGGCGAAGATGAAGACGCAAGATGAAAAAGGGAGAGGATGCAGACACACCAAAGTCAACACCTCACTTCCCTTTCGATGTCGTTGCTCGTGTGTAGAGGGTAAAGTGAGCATGCCTACCAAGAACCCCCTTTCTCTTCTTTTCATCTCGGGCGTTTCTCTCGCGGGGCGTCTCATCGTCGCTCGCATTCCCCTTCAAACCATCTAGCGCCCGCCCTCAAAGAGCCGATACGGAAATCGAGGGGGAAAAAGGGCAATGGAAACCAGCTTATGTACAAATAGATAGATAGATACCCTATCCTACCCATCAATCCACCAGAGCGGGAACAAACAAGATAGTCAGCGGGTTCCTTCTGGGCATCATACGTGAAATAACGAGGAACTGTGAAGACACCAGACACTCTGAAACGCAACAACAAGACAACGTCAAAAAGGACCTTTTCTGGTCTAACGCTGACTTTCATCCGTGTATGTGGCTCGGTGGATGAGGCGGATCCCCAAGACTGTGTCGATCCCAACGCCCTCCTCGTCTCTCATGGGCCCCGAGCTGAAACATTGGTCTCAACGGGCCCGGGAAAAGTGGATAATGTCCATGGGACCAAATCTAGACCGGAAGCTGACTGGGGGAATGTTTTCTGCATGTCTCGTGAATTGCTGCTTTATCGCGGTGGAGTCAGTAAGCTATGTCCTCGGAAGAGTACAGTACACCCGGAGCACTTCTTCATCTATCAATACCTATGGTTTACTCCTTTGCAGTCTGAACCGCAGACAGTATCATTTTCAGAGCCACACCTCTTGATCTCGTCCCATCATCCAGCTCTTAGCAGTCTCGCCATGGTCAAGCTTCCTCATCCATGCCATCCCCCGAGGTCAAACCTCGCATTTCCACTCACCGCTCGCATAATCGTTCGATGACTCCTGTCGTGGCCTGTTTCAAAGTTCTCATCGCCCACACGGTCGGCCTCGAGCTCGTCCCTCCACAGGTCATCTGAAGTCGGAGAGAAAGCTTCTGTGCGGTTTCTGCCGGTGGCGGCGACGTCAGCCTCGAGAGCGTGCTGCGTAAAACGACTTTCGTCCCTCATCCTCAATCTGTGCAACCGAACGCCTTCAGCCTGCACACTTCTCGTCAACTCCCTATTCCGCCGTTCACGCAGATTGATGGCTCGCGCGGTTGGACTCTGCTGTGAGGCCCCCTGATCCCAACCTTGTCGACCATGGTATCCAACAGAAGCCGATCCGATATGGAGCATTCCCGGTGGTGCAGTATACGCGGCATCTTGCTCAGTGATCAACGGATGCCTTGACGTCTCGGCGGGAGTTTGTGGTTGAGAATCTGCAGGGAGCGAATCATTGTACACGGTGTAGGAGTTCCCGTCGAGATATTGATGTCTGTAAGGCCGCGGCTCAGTGCGCGGGAGGTCAGCAGCATTGCGGATTGGTGTCGGTGTACTTGGCAAGCGAGTGGAGACTGGAGAAGCTGGTTGCTCCCCGAAGTAGTCCGCTGCTGGCGTCTGGGGAAGAGGGGGAGAGCTTGGCATATCTGTTATGGTATACATCTGGCCGAGGGAGTCGCTGCTTTGACGGCATTCTGTGGTCCGCGAAGCGATGGCGGTGCTGGAGACATCCACAGAGCCATCCCCCAAGGGTGACCCTGTCACTGGACTCGCGAACGTGATGTCTTCCGCCGAATTTGTGCGAGCCGAAGCCTGGATCGCGGGTGGCAGTTCGAAGGGCGCACTGTCGAGCGAATCATCTAAAGAGACCCGATTCATTCCGTCCAGGACGTGCTCGTATGTCAGTGTATCTGTAACAGAGTCTCGCTCAGAGGATTGATATGGGTAGGTATGACTGCGCCGCTTGTACTTCCTACGTATGGGTGTGACCGACGGCGCAGGAACAGGTCTTCCCTCGTCTGGTTCGGTAGAAGGATGCTCTGGTGATGCCGCCTCGGCGAATCGGAGAAGCGAGCTCTTACGAGGAGCATGTTGAATGATGTGCATGGTCGACACCACGGACCTTGGCGACATTGGGCTACCTGTGCGGGAATTCTCATCTTCGTGGACGAGAACGTCTGGGATGTGGTCTTGGGCCTCTTCAATATCTGCATGAAGATCTGGAAAGCTGGAGATCGATCCATCGATAGACTCGGAGGAACCGTGACAAACAGGATTTTGTCTCTTCCGTTCTTCTCGGTCACTTTCTTGCGGCAGTGGTTGGGGGCGCAGGTAGGACAATTCGACAGTACTCGATATTGACAGATTGAATTCCTGCAGGCCGGGATAGGCTGCATCTGCCGCAGCCTTGCGATAGTCGTTCAGATAGCGAATAATGTCCTCCTTTTTGAAGCCTTGCCTCAATAAGCCTTGATAGATTTCTGTTTGCCGGACGTGGAAATCGACATCCCGTTCGGAGAGGGACAGGCTGCTGGGCGGTAAGCGGATCATGATGCGATAGTTAGTGATGAGACAGGATCCCGGATACGAACCCGACTTGATAGGTTTGAGCCAGGAATGCGTGTTCATCAGGCCATCAAGTGAACAACCGCCAGAGTTTGCATGCTGGGCTGGGGGGCAGTAACGTCACCTTCGCAACAGGCAGCTGGGCAGGAGCGACATGTCTGCCCACGGAAACAGAAACATCTTCCCCTTACCCTCTGACATTTATAGCAACATTGTTCGTGGACATGATGGCAATGATGGATTGAGGCTGACATGGATGGGGTGACATAGGGTCACATCTCTGCAAATCTGATCCAGACTCAACCGCTGCGTGCCCGCGTCGTTAACTCTGCTTCCACAGCCCGCCATCCTGCCACGCGTTTGGAGCAAGGAATACTCGTTGCAGCAGGTCGAGAAGCTGTCGATAGCACATCACGTACTCCATCCCCTCAGGAAGTCTTTTTACGTATGTGGATGCCGTGAAATCCACATCTCGCTGCCGTAGTGGTCACATGAACTCCACTGCAATCTTGCGTCAATCTGCGCCGACCTGGCGAGGGAAAATCACCAAGTAGCCGGTCGTGGTCTGGAGCTTGGGACGGAGTACGTCGATTCCCCGACCGCAGGACCGCCATTACCTGCAATTCGAGTGCAATATCAGAACGAAGAGATTCGGTGTCGAGGCTTCTCGGCTATGGAACAGCGTTGGCTGATTGGTGGCTAATCTCTCTAGGGAACAGCGCTGCGAGTCCAACTTCCATCATCCTTGCGGTCCCTGCAAACCACCAATTCGCTTTACCAACTACGGAGTACTGTTCTTCTTTCATTCTTCCCAACGCGCCCTCCCCACGCTCGCTACCCATACAAGAAGCTCATTGCCCTCAGCGCCGTCGTCCTCTTCTGTGCCCTCCTTCGAGGTCCCCCGCCCAAACCGGAAACACTAGATCATACTCCTCCGTGCCAGATCAGATCCAGGGGACTCGCAATCCGCAATCTGAAACGGCTCGCAATCTGTCTTGGTTCCTCGCACCTAGACGAAAGATTCACACTCTCACTATTGCTGCTGCTGGTCCTCCTGCCGCAGCGATGAGGACACCATTATCTCTACTCTAATCAAGCCGCTCACCACTGAGACGTCATCGGGCACCTCGTTCCTCCTCTCCAAGCCACACCGTCCACGAGTCTGAATCCGCCGTGCCACAATGGCCGACCTCTCACTTGGTCCGCTGAGGATTGCGAATCCCGATGATGCTTCGCCGGATACACCATTGCAACCTCAGCCGCCCGCATCTCAATTCCCCCGGGTATCGCCCTTGATCGACGCCGATGGGAGGACAGAATACATCTCCGCCACCCCTCAGCGCTCTCACAGCCCGGTATCCCCAATGGAGTCCGAGACCGGCCCCGAAGACCTCCCATCCCACGCGGTAGCTTCTTCATCCCTCTCGTCAATACCGTCGTCTCTGCCTTCTCAGCCCACCTTCACCCAAAAGAATGCATCTGCGGAGCGGCTCGCCCAGCGACAAAATATCCCCTATAGCTATCAAGATCAGCAACAAGCACAATTTCCTCAATACCCTACCATGATGCCCCAAAACCTCCACGACCCCAGGTCGACAGCCTCACGTCCCGGTTCCGCATATTACACCCAGTTGCCGGTCAATGGTTCAGCCGCGAATGGGGTTTCCCGGCAAGGTTCCTACAGAGTTCGCAGTGATGGCTCAAGCTCGACAGGGTTTCCGCAACGGACATCATCAAAGCGCTCGGGGCTAGGAGATGTTGCTGGAGTACCGTCAAGAGACGATAGTCACACCGAGAGAGCATATGGTCAAGGACAATACACGCCGGGTAACGGCCCCTTGCCTCCGCGAAGAACGTCTCGAGGCGTGGCAGGCCCCCGTATGGGAAGCACACCCACCGGCAACACACCACTCTCCACCACCCCCATTTCCATACAGACACCCCTATCAAGTTCCCCGTACAACATGGAGGATCGTCCCTTGACTAGTGCGGAGGAGTGGCAGGATCGCGGAGCCGCCGTCGGGCTCAAGAAGGAAATCGGGGCAGATGGCACAGTAGCCTACAAGCCGGTCAAGAAGGGCGTGAGGGACTTTAATTTTGGCCAGACACTCGGAGAGGGTTCTTACAGCACAGTCCTCGCCGCGACGGATCGAGCCAGTGGAAGACAGTACGCTATCAAAGTACTGGACAAGCGGCATATCATCAAAGAGAAGAAGGTCAAATACGTTAATATCGAGAAAGACACCCTGAACCGCTTGACCGACCACCCTGGCGTAGTGAGACTCTACTACACATTCCAAGACGAGCGATCCCTATACTTTGTCCTGGATCTGTGTCCTGGTGGAGAGTTGCTTGGAGTCCTGAAGCGCATGTCAACCTTTGACGAGGAGTGTACCCGATTCTATGGTGCGCAAATACTGGACACCATCGAGTACATGCATAGTAGGGGCGTCATACATCGCGACTTGAAGCCTGAAAACCTTTTGCTGGACGAAAACATGCATATCAAGGTCACCGATTTTGGGACGGCCAAACTGCTTCCTGAAAGACGGAACGCCGAGGGCAGAGTCGATTTCGAACCAGATTCCACCTCGACCGAGAACAGGGCCAACTCCTTTGTGGGAACGGCAGAGTACGTGAGCCCCGAGTTATTGACCGACAAGAACGCATGCAAAGCTAGTGACATGTGGGCATTCGGCTGTATCATTTATCAACTACTGGCTGGACGCCCGCCTTTCAAGGCCGTCAATGACTATCAGACCTTCCAGAAGATTGTCGCGCTGGACTACGACTTCCCCCGGGGCTTTCCTGAAGTCGCTCGCGATCTGGTTGAGCGATTACTCGTTCTCGACCCCCAAAGACGGTTATCGCTGGAGCATGCGAAGAATCATCAGTTCTTCAGCGGCATTCGGTGGGGTCGTGACTTGTGGAAGCAGAAGGCCCCACGGTTAAAGCCATTTATTCCTCCAGCAGCACCGCCCATTAAACTCAACGGGAGCAGTGCGCAAGACAGCTATCCGCCGGACATTGTGCCTGGCCACAGCACACATCCGACCATGCTTCCTCCCAACAATCAAAAGCCGCAGCCGAGAGTTGTGACAGAACTCCCGCCGCCCAGCCAACTCGATATTGAATGGTCTCCCGTCCTCACGAGAAACAATGAGAGAATCCTAAAATTAGGCAATCTGTCCGTGTTGTCGACACCGAATCCCCACAGTCCGCACAGCAACGAAGGCGGAGGCAAGCTGTCCAGATTGTTTGGCGGCAGCAACAACAAGAAACGGCAAAGACTCGTCATGGTGACGTCGAGTGCAAGAATTATCATTGCTGCGGCTGGTGGAGAGGAGAAGAAGTCCAAGTCGGAAATTTCACTCCTCTCTCCAGGGACGGAATACTCCAGCGCGACAGATTCTAAGGGAGTGACTCAATGGATTGTCAATACTGTAAGTTCCGTGTGAGGATCGAGATAAGATCAAGGTCTAACCCAGTGAGCAGAAGGATCGACACTACGTTTTTGAGGACCCAAAGCCACAGTCAGGCGAACTGATGTCGACAGCGGTTGCGGCGCAGGAGTGGCTCGATGCATTAGGACGAGCACGAGAAATTGCGATATCCCTGCAGATGCAGAATGCCAACAACACGTACTCGAACGACGACGACGCGCTCAATCTTTCGTCCTCGGCGTTGTCGAGCCATGCCAGCACTATTGACCAAGCGACGGATCTAAGTCCTCATAATGTGAACCAATCTCATTCTGGGCGAGGAATGCTGCACAAGCAACATTCAGGTGGCGACGCAGAGTCGCTGAAAGGGAGAAAGCGGTTCAGCAAGCGGCAGTCTAAAAGTGGGCTGACTGCAGTCTTCTAGAAAGCGTTCGTCAACAAGGGAGAGTCGATTGTGGGCGTTGCTGGTCTCCCTGTTCGTTTCTTGACCCTGAATTAGCATAGCATGGCGACTTGTTGGACGCGATCAGCATGGCGATGGGATGGGTGAAAAGAGAGCGCCGACGAAATGCCCGACGCAGCGTCCTCGGGGGTGCAACTGTAAAGAAGGACTTTGAAAGATCTAGAAGAGGATATATAGTCCGCATGGCCTTGTGGACCCTGTCGAGCCTGTCAGGGTTATTAACAAGGCGTCTGTGTGCCAGTATGATTGACTGGACTGGCAAATAATCCACGGGCCCTGCTTTCTGATCTTTTCGAGTGGTCTTGTTCTAGCCGGTGTTTAGCGTCTGGAGATGGCCACAAATGAGATCGTGGCGTTGGCTTGGTTGTGCTTGTGCCTTGGTTCAGCTTCGCTCACGACTGGCTGACATCAACTGGACTCGAGCGGACCTGCAGCTGAACTACTCCCCATGCGGCCTTCGCTCTGCTGCTCCATCGCCACTCCTCAGTCCCGCGGTAGCCTCTTCTACCCAGGCGCCTTCTCTCCAGGGCGCGCACAGGAGAAGACGTCGGAAAGCTTTGCTGAATGTCGTGACCGGCGCTGGAAACCAGGAGCGACCCAACCGGCCATCAGCTGCAGCGCAACAACTCGCAGAGTCGTGTCGACAAGCCCAACACCGAAGTACTTGTCTGCGGAGACAACATCTTGTGACCCTCGAGACTAGACTGCGCCCGACTTCTGTGGGCGACCTCCAAGCGACATTCAAAAGGCAGCTTCACTAAAGGCAGAGGAAGCGGGCAAAAGCGGTGACGAAGTCGAGTCCTATATAGCGGCCACACAGACTGCGACCACCTGCCACATGAGCTTTGCCTGGATGCGAGCCGCTCCTCATGAAAGCAGCTTTGGGTGAAATGACATGAACCAGCAGTTTGCTCTACAAGCACCATCTCACTCCGTCCAGCAAGCAAGCCGAACCTCAGCTTTACCCATGGTTTCACGCGCGGAGGTTGTGGACCACCCTCACTCCCGCTCCCTCTCCCAGTCTCGAGCCGCGTCTTCTGTTGTATCCCGCACCTCACGATCGAGACATCACAATCGAGGCCGATCGCATTATGGCGGCTCCTCTCATGTGCCGCAAAACGAATTTCCCTTCTTCTCACAGACTGGGGATGTCGAGATAGTCATTGCCTGCGACGGACAAGAGAAGAGGTATCTGCTACACAGTTTTACGTTGGCTCAGTTCTCGGGTTTCTTTCAAGCCAGCACAAGCGAAGAATGGTCTCGTGGTCAATCACAACAACAAGGTGGCCACAATGTCACCTCTGTTTCGCGACCTGACCAGGCCTTGAGTGTTATTGGAGAGGAGTCTTCTCAAATCAGCTCGACTCCTGGGCCCTCCGTTCCAGCCCCTTCTCCAGCACCACCAGCACCCGCCCCGAGCCAAAGAAGGAGATGGAGATTTGAACTCGACTGGGAGGAGGTTGAGGAGGACGATGAGCCCATCTTGGTCCAAAAGACCCCCGAGGGGTGTCTTTTCAGTGCTGCAGCAGCGCCGGCGCCGGCGCCGGCGCTTTCTCCACCAGAACGTCCAAGGCATCAACCCATTCACTCGTCCTTTTTTCGTTCCATGGCCAATCTGGCCCTTTCTCACCACGGTCCGGCAACACAATCCAGCGCTCAACTCGCAGTGGCTGTCCCCGATCCATGCCTCACGAACCCGCTACTCAGAGACTACGACAACCTGTTTCGCATTTTCTACAACTACGCGCCAGTTTTAAACTCCTCCAACATCGCCTCCGCCTATTCAGAATGCAAGGCTCTCCTCTCACTCGCAGACATGTATGACGCTCTTTCCGTCGTCGGACCTCGAATCGACCATCACCTCTTGCGTTTCTCATCCCGGCTCTTCAAGCAGATTGCAAAATACCCGCCATCATACCTCAAACTTGGCTACCTCGCGCGGAGTCGAATCATCTTCTCCGAAGCACTAACTCACGTAGTAGGCCAATGGCCCGCAGCGCTGCCGTACATCAAGCCGCCCAATCACTCTGGAGCAGGATATGAAGTACCTCAGTCAGTAATTGATTTGATCGAAGATAAAGTTGACGAGCTTGAAGAGTTGAAGCAGAGGGTCGAAACGAAGCTATTCAGGTTGACTCTGACCACAACTCGCGGTGAAAGGGTCAATCCGGCAAATGACTATCTCGGCTGGTTGGCCGTCAGTCTCTGGCGCCAGTGGTTGGCAGAGAACACGGCGCCTGAGATTCGAGGGATATTGAAAAACAGTCCGAACTCGCGGCCTGGCAGCGGACATGCGAATCCGAGCATTCCGCCGAGTCCACATAGCCGACCGCTGCCGCAGGGGGCGGTCGCTCCAAATTCCATGCCACCGCCTCCTCCCTATCAGCCTCATGCCCCTCCTCCCTCTCCGATCAACACGGGCCGCATCTTTCGCCTGATCGGATCTTCTAACCCCGACATTTTTCTCGCTCACGAAGAGTTGAAACGGTTCCTCAAGCTTACGCCCCCTGGTTCTTCTCACTCTCTTTACACTCGCGAAAATCTCCGGAGATTTGAACGCAAGATTGACGAGATTAAGAACGTCGCTAGGGATATTGTGAAGCCACTAACCAGGAACTGCCTCGAACTGGATTTGAGGAGTTTGAGCGACGGCGGAGGTGGAGGGTTGGGGTACTTGACGTGTATGAGGTGCGAAGAAGACGAGTTGCCTTGGGAGATTTGACGCAACCAAATTGACGCTGACGGTGCGGAGCTGAGAGAGATGAATGAGCTAACTGGGCGCTCAAAAAGCCAACATCTCTCGGAACAGAATGCCCTGTCCAGCCCTGTCAAACAGTCTGATCCAGTTTTCAGACCCCTCGACCAACAGAGTTTCGGCCGCTGTTGTTGTCATTTACAAGCGACTGATCCGTCCACAAAGCTCGGCATTCTTCCAGCTCTTTAGGACCATGCATGATCCCAATCCAAGTCCTTGGTCCGGGAAAGATACGATTCACCACTATTTGTCCTACGATTTCCCCATGATGAACGATTGACGAATTTCCTTTATTTACGGTTGATGTCATTTTAAGATTGTCGTGGTTTAGTTCAGCATTGTCGTTTGAACGAGTCGAGCGAGTGGGCAGTATTCTGGCGAAGTGGAAGTACAAATCAAGGCAGGATAGTTTGAGGAGACGGACAGACATGGCAATATTGGAAACGAAAAGAAGGCCCCATCAGGCGGCGTGAGTCGCTAGGTGTTGTGCACCTATGTAGACACTTGAGGACATTTAGGATACCCATCATGACGATTTACATTCATTCTATCTACCGTTTGCGCTTTCTGTGTGCATATCGCCAGAATAGTCTATCCCAAGGCACCGTGTCCTATACGTAGGTTATCAGGATCACAACGATCGACGACGAGGAGGAGAACAACGAACCTGACTTCACCTGACCTGACCTGTGTCGACCTAAACTTGATCTGAGATGCAGTCCTGATACACTGTAGTACAGAGGGAGGGTGACCAGACAAGCGCGCTGCATAACCAAACCAATACTTGCCCGACAAACGCCCTTTTATTTCTTCCACCCAGACTCCCAACCCGTGTCCAAAGTTCGAAAAGCCAGCATGTCCCATCCCAGTGGGGTCACGAGGATATCCTCCTCGTTTCCTTGTCTCCCATGAGATTCCTTGTTCCAATGCCCAACTTCCTTGCGCCTGGTCCTTGCCTCTCGCGTCCACTCCCGGCTCCCACACTTAGTCGGCGTCTGCCTCTCACTCACGCATGCACTGACTCACTCACTGACTCAATCACTCGTCCTTCTGCCTCTGCACGTCACCCGGCGCGAAACGCCGCAATTCGGCCGCTACCCAATGTGGTGCCCAGTCGCCGTGGAGCGTCGGGATGTTGGTCCAATCCCAGGCGTTCCGCCGGCCGCGATTGTCGACCCGATGGGAGCGAAAGTACGTGTAGCCAGGACGTTCTTGAAGACTTCGCATTTCGTTCGAGTCGGCGTTCGTATCATGCTGCTGGACATCGTCGGTATCTTCTCCTGCGTCTGTGTCGTGCTCGTCAGCAGAGGATTCCGTGTCGGCGTCATAGTCGCTGTCGGTATCAGTGTTCTCTGGCTCGGATGCTCCCTCTGCAGGCTCGTCCAAGGTGCTCGCCATGTCATTGTCACCGCTGCCACATGTCTCTGAGACGTTCTCATCGTCCTCGTCACTTTCCTCCTCGGCCTCTGTATCTTCTTCTCCTTCGTCTTCATACTTTTTCTCGTCGTCACCATCATTCTCGCTCGAGGTTGCGTCATCGTGGTAAAAGCGTGCTTCGTCGTTGATTTCACGGTTGGTGAAGGTCTCGGCGATATTCCCTACGACCATCGGGATGTGTGCCACACGGCAGAAGTCAAGACCAACCAGTCGACAGGTCCAGCAGACTTCATCGACTTCTTGATTGACATAGTCTGCAAGCAGGAGGCAAACAACACATTCCGTGGCCCAGCTGCCGGAAGTGGCGGGTAATGGTAGACTGCACCCAGCCCGGGTGTCGTCACTGGAAACGAGGTTCAAGAATGACTTCTTCAAAGCAGATTCGTTGCTTTCGGAAGGTCTGGGGCTTTTGGTGACTGGGAAGGACCCAGGAACAGATACTTCAAAAGCATCCTTCTCGTCACCATAAACGGATCTCGGGTGTGCAGATTGAAAGGTTCTGGGTGTAAGATCCGTGCTGATTTCGCGATCATCACAGCAACATTTTGAGGCAATCCAAATTGCAATGTTTGCATACAAGTAGAACAGGAAGAACTCTAGGACAAGCTCTTTTGCTCGCACCACTTGATACAAGACTGTGGATGTCGTGTGCTCAAACAAGGGTAGGGCGACTATGATGTTCGACAAAGTTGAGGCAAAATATTCGACTTGCAGGAAGAGTAGAGCCATGGTACTCCACGATGCTGGGATGGTGAGGGAAGGGGGTTGAGCATGTGACATGGCCCAGGAGACCAAGTTGCCGCTTTCCAGGGCGTCACAGAGCCATAGAGCAGAGTTGAGACTGAGGCAGAGCAAGCAGCGGTCGTTGAAAGCCTCACGGGAGCCCCAAACCCACAGCCATAAGCTGTCAGGCAGGGTAATGACTGCGGCCATCCACGGAAGGACATAGGTCGTTGCGCTCGTGAGTAGGAGGTCGTACGCCGCAACAAGTAAGATGAGACCTCGGAAAGAGGCTGGTCTGGGAAGTTGTAGCATGGTGATTGCTTTTTTGCAGTTGCAGTTGTCAGATTGATGTGTGCTTGTGCTGTTGTGTGGAATGAAGTTGTGTCTTTTGCTATGTGAATGCTGCTGAAGAGAGGGCTTATATACGCGAGAAGATCGATACACAGGGTTGGCTGAGCCGTCCAGACATGCTACAAAGATTCTCAGCAGCAGTCCTGTTCATTGTCATCGTCTCACTCTGCGAAAACGTGCTTTTGTTGGGGACCTCACACATGCTGCCTAGGCGTCATCAGGTCATTGTTGAGCGAAGTCGAGTCTCGGATCAAGAGACCTGAGCGTAGCATTTCAGGAACTTTCTCCTGTCACACCTTGAGACTTCCGGTGCCTTCTGTAACAATTATTTGAGCCATCTCTGAGGCTGTCGTCGGAAGCATTGTCTGCCCAAGACATGCATCCCGGGTGCTCAAGACAAGGCTGAGGTGTGGTCGAAATGAGGGAAAGGCTGAAGAAGACAGTAGGCGATGAGTCAACAGGTCTTCAACAAAGGAAAATCACCTGAAGGCTTGTCCGGAGGGCAAGTAGGTCCGAGACACTGAAGTTTGATCTTTTTGTTGCTCAACCGCTCTCGTGAGGTCCTCCCTGTGCTCATACCCTGCCTAGCCAGAGCAGTTTTTGCGGCGTAAGCCAATGGCCATGGTTCGTCCAATTTCGTCCGGCACCTGGATCACTGGTTCGCTGTTCTCTTGCGGCTTTCAATTCCACCTGGTTGATCTTCCACGATCGGAGCACCCACGTACTTGCCGCAGCGAGGAGGAACATGCAACCCACGAAAATCTGCGAGCTAAGGTATCCAGACGCACTGACCATTTCCAGGGCAATCGGCTCCGCGAAAGTTGTAGGCACAACCAAGGAGAGACAGATGATGCCAAAGGAAGAAGGCAGTCGTTTGAGCCCTACCACCTCGGCAGTCACTGGCGTGACAGTGTTCCAGAAGATGCCGCAGACGCTTCCAGCCGTGAGGGCAAAGGCTATGAGGACGCCGTAGGATTTGGCCGGCACCCAAAGAACGAGGCAGAGAACTCCGCATACGGCGGTCATGATTGTCGCCATGTTGAGGCGGCCAAAGGCATCCGAGTAGTATCCAATTACAGGTCTGCCAACTCCAAGACCAAGATTGAGAACTGCGCCAACCACAGACCCTTGTCCTGCCGTGAGACCGATGGAAGTCGCATAGTTGGGTAAAGAGTAGAGTAACACAATGTACCCCAACTCAGTGAGCACTCCCCAAATAACCACCAGAATAACCTCAATGTGGCCGTACTCGCGGTAGTTGAAAGCTTTCTGCAAAGGTTGGACAGCCTTGTTACGGTCTTTGAGCAGCAGCGAACACACTCCGTTGACGGCAAGTCCGCAGAATGCCAATATCCGGTAAGCCCAGTCCATACCCAAGCTCTGGACGATGGCACCCGCCGCAAGGTTGTATGCCAGTCCTCCTAAGCCCGCCCCAGCAGACGCAATTCCCATGGCCAGGCTCCGGCGGGTGGAGAACCATTGGGGAAGAACCGCAGTCGCCGGGATGTAGAGAAAGCCCATGGCCCAGCCAAAACAAACCCCCTGCGTCAAGAAGAGATGCCAGATCTCGGTCGCATACGAGGCGCCGAAAAGGGCCACGAAGAGCAAGACGGTACCGATGAGAAGGGTGGCCCTCATGCCCACTTGTCTAGTGGAGATGTTCACGACAGGAGCACTCAGCAGAGATTGGGAGATCGAGAGACCGCCAATCAGGGCGTACTCGAGGTGTGACGCGTGTTGAAATGCAGGGTCGCTGAGGTAGTGGGCGAGGAAAATACCCCATGCCTGTCATGCATGCCATGAGCTTCTTCCTGGGTCAGTTCTCCTCGAGGCGCACTTACACTGTTGAGTCCCCATGTATGGGCGTTGATCAAGAAGACACAAGCTGTGCATACCCAGCCGTAGCCGCCGTTTGGAGGCACGTCCTCGGCCGAGACAGCATCTTGCGGTGGATCGTCCTCCAGTTGATGGACTGATGAGTCCTCGAAAACATGGTTCCGAGTGCTGTCAGGTACGACGAGCTCTAAGATCTCTGCATCGCTGTCAACCTGGCGGCTGAGAGAGGGGGACATCGCCGTCGAGGGTGGTTTATGACTATGAAGTGAAAGAATTAGACGGACATTGTGAGGAAAGCTGGTCAGAGCAAGCAAAAGTGCGGAGGTGAAGTTGATTTGCTGGGCGGGACCAATTCCCGGCGCATGCAAGACGCCGCCAGATGCCACAGGGCGTCAAATCACGTCTATGTATCGAAACTGCCTTATTGCTGCCTGGTTGACGGTCTTGATACGTGTAATTGAATAGAACTATCCATCGCCATAAGGCCCACAATGTTCGTCGTAAAGACCCCGAAGTACTTCATGTTTCTCTCTGCAAGATTGGCTATCGAATACCTCCTCTTCTTGTCCGCCATGAAGCGCTCTCGATGCTGTCAAGAGTCTTAAAAATGCAGTGTCGAAGCCTCCATGGCAATAGAACGTAGGACCGCCAAAGGTCTTCCTATGCAGGAGAGTTGGCAGGAACCTTCAGATGCGATGTTGGAGTCAGAATAGCCGGGCTCGTCGCTGTCGTGTCAACCGATACTGCGGCCTCGTTGCCCTCGGTCACTTCCTCTTCCCTGGCCTGTCCTGCATTTCTTTCCACAGCTGAGACACTTCTTCGGTATGGAGGTTGTGGCAGCCTCGAAAATTTCGCCGACTGCAGAACATGCGCGTCTGCTGATGAGTCGTCCGAGTCTTCCTCGGCATCGATGCTCTGCGGAAAGGGCTCGCTTGCAGTCAACCGCCGGCGAGCGCTTCCTGGTAGTGCTCCGGTGTCCTCCAGTCCTGGTCGGTCAATCTTGAAGTCGTGGCTCACGGCATGGAAACCGTCGCTCATCTTAAGTAACTCTTCTGTGTTATCGACGGAGTGTTCTCCGCTGCTTTCCAAAGCCTCGCGACCTTGACCCGCCCACTTTCGCTTCAGCGGAAAAAGCAATGGTGACCACCGTTCCTGAACAACATCCGGTGAATCCCGAATACTTTTCACTGCAGACCACTTGACATTATTCTCCTGGTTGGAAAGACTCGTCTCAAGTCTGCTGTGGGCGGAGAACCCGCCGATGGAGTTTCCCAGATGATTTTCCGTCGCAGTCCGGGGCTGGCCAGGTGAGAAACTTGTGCTGTGGTTACCATCGTGGAGTCGTCGAGGTCTGAACGTTTGAGCATCAGGGTTCAGACTGGACTCTGACGATCCACTTTTCCCCGGCGACTTTGAGCGGGACAGTCTCCTACCCAGCGCACGGGCAAGCGATTTGGCGTTCGTCTTGTCTCGCGACTCTACAGCATTATGCGATGCTTGATGACTTCGATGCTGATGTTCTTGGATGCTCAATGGTTCGCGGGTGGGCTCAGCATCTTGTCTCTCTGCCCCCTCGCTCTTGCTTCCTCTGCTTATACTCTTGACCAGCGTTTGGGTCTCTTGCTGACCGGCACCCATATCGTTGATCAGGACCAGTGCATCTGTTTTTTGTGGGGAGCGAGACCGGGACCTCGATTCGCTCTCCTCAGCTTGCAGGCGAAGTTGGCTACGCCAGAGTTCGTTGTAAGCACCGTTCTGCTTGATCAAAGCATCATGTGTGCCAGACTCGGCAATGTGGCCGTCTTCAATGACGAGAATATGATCGGCATGCAGGACTGTAGAGAGACGGTGTGCAATCACAAACGCGGTCTTGCCTGCACATAGTTGGCGGATACTGCGGTGAATCTTCTTCTCCGTGATGCTGTCGACGCTGCTAGTGGCTTCATCCAATAGCAGAATGTCCGCCTTTTTGAGGATCGCTCGTGCAATTGCAAGGCGCTGGAGCTCGCCACCCGAGAGCTTGGTGCCACGCTCGCCCACCTTTTCTTCATAACCATGTGTAAACGACATAATCTTGTCGTGTAGTTCTGCTGCCTTACACGCTTCAATAGCCTCTTCGTCCGTACAGTCAATATCAGGGTATCTGACGTTTTCCAGCACCGACATGTTGAATACCACAGGATTCTGAGGAACCATGGCAATGTGTCTTCGGAAGGTTTCCATCTTGATGTGTCTGATGTCTTGGCCATCAATCAGAATGCGGCCTTGGTCAACGTCGTAGAACCGGAAAAGGAGTTTCAAAATGGTACTCTTGCCGCCCCCGGTCTGTCCAACTAAAGCCACAGTCTTCCCGGGGGAGGCCCGGAAGGTAGTCCCTTTGGTCACTTGTCGTTTGCCGTCATAAGAAAAAGAAACATTCTCGAATTGGACAGCCCCCTCAAGGAACACGAAGGGTCGAGCATCCGGCAAGTCCTGGATGCGTGGCTGCTTTTCCAGTATCACCACCAGCTTCTCGGCGTTGACGAGCTTTTCAGCCACTCTTGACAACTCGCCTGCCAGGGTGGCTAGTGGTCCAGTAAGTTGTGCCCAATATGTGATCAAGACCACGAAATCACCAATTTTATGCTGGCGGTGTACGATCTGCAGGGCGGCCACACTGCATGCGGCAACAAAGCAGATGCACGGTACCAGGTGGCGCAGACCCCTAGTCCAGAACTCATAGAACCACCAAAGGAGCATTCTGTTCCGAGTAATGTCGCCTTTCTCTCGATACTTCTGAATCTCGTAGGGGATGCGTCCGAACTGGCATACTGTCGACCAGTTCAGGGTGGATTCGCTCATCTGGTAATACTGCTCGTGATATGCATCGAGCCAAGACCGACGCATCGCTCTCTTCTGGACGAGCGCCTTGAAGGTCAGCCAGTAGAATATGACAACCATTGATGCAATGATGAAGGTCATGTAAAGTCCGAAGAGACATGTGAGGACCACGGCTGCTGAAGCCAAATCGATTATTGTCGGCAAGAATTGAAACATAACGTCATGCAACAAGTCAATCACATCTTGTCCTTGATGCATCGTCTGCCAGATGATCGAGGATCTCTTGGAATCGTGGAAGTCGGCTGACAGATTCATGATGTGACCGTAACAATGGCGCTGCAAGGCGACTACCAAGTCGGTGGTCACCCTCCAAGATAGCCAGGTTTCAACGAGCGGGAAGCCCGCGTGTGACAACAAGAATCTGAGCAGCACGTAGAGGGCAAGTGCTTTCCAAGGTATCACTTCCCCGAGACCATTGATGACAATGCCTAGACTGAGAGGCAGGGCAATTGTGACAACCCTTGTCAAAGCATTGGTGATGCACATCCCCCCAAAGTAAAGCTGCAATTTTGAAGACCTCGGGTACATGTATGGTACAAAGAGCTTGAAAGAGGCAAGATACAGCCAGAATGGTCTGTTTCGAATGCGCAGTCTGTCTGTTTCTTCCTCGTTTGGTTCTTGGGCTGCCCCTTGTAAGTCTGAGCTGTTCGGAGACGACTCATTGCCCAGAAGCGGTTGGGATTCATCTTCATGTCCTTTGTTTTCCTTCCGTAGTATGAATTGAGCAAGGAGACTGTTTCCAAGAAGCCCAACCTCGACTGCTAGTTGAAACCCTCGAAGAAGGGAGCGTGCGAGTAGCTGCTTGTCCTCGGAGGACGTTCCAGGGAGCGAGAGTGCAAAGACCGTCCCTTGGCAGACAAGCAGAATTGCCCAAGTTCCAAGATGAGGATATGATGTGATGGTAGAGTTCCCAATAAGACTTAGCAAGAGGACAATCCAGACTAAAGTAAGGAAGAGCGCGTAGACTGCGTCCGGGTCTGATATTTGATACGGGTCAGATCTCTTCAGATAGATCACTGCTTCCGCGGAAGACAGCGAGGTAGCGATACAAGCTAAGCCCAACTGAAACTTGCGTAGGTTCCCACATTTCGATTCTTGAGTTCCGGAGACCGAGTCGGCGATCGTGGCAACGGCGAAGAAGGTAGAGGGCGCGATGACGGTAAGGACCTGAAACACCCTCAAAACGAGAGGGTCTCCAGTTGGAGATAGCGCGTAAGGTACCATGTTTGCTATTTCGCTTGCGGTCGTGTAGTAGAGGAAGAGAAGGAAGAAAATTCGAACGGCCAGAGGTGTAGGTGAAGCGCTAGTGAAGGCAGCGGTGTCTGCCTGGACACCAAGGCGGGCAGGCAGGGCCTGATGGAGAATACATACACCTTTGTCCGATACCACAGAACAGAGTGCCAGGAAAGTAAGAGGAGTGCAGGTTTAGCACAGAAACAGACCATGGGCGAACAGAGGTGGTGGTGAAGTGGCTGTGAGCACGAATTGGGCGCTTGGGCAAGACTCGAGGCGCTGCTTCTTCCATGCAGCAAGAGCGACCGGCCTGGAAATGAAGGCTGAAGCCATATTGAGACTTCACCATCTACATCTGCATGCGCAAGAGGCTTGAAGAGATCGCATGTGCAGTGAATTGCGAATGGGGTTTGGTGGAGGTCAACGCATTCTGGCTCGCTCCCTGCTTCGGAACCTCGCGCGACATGGTGACACAACTTCGTGAGCACCAGTTTGCCCCGTCTGGAAGGCAAGAGAGTACTAAGATAGGTTTCTACAACCTGGATGGGCAAAGCTGATGCAGAACAGAGTCATTCGTCAAGGCTACCGTCGAATGGTAGCGGGATGGTGTCAGGTCCGCACTGACAGCGCGCTGCGTAACCTCAGCAAGGAGGTCTGAGATCCGTGTTCCTCCCTAGAGCCATCTCACAAGGCTCCTAGCTTGTCTTGCTGTTTCGCCCCGTTTGCATCCTTCGGCTGGAGGCAGACGGGATGGGCTTTGTTCAATCCGCATCCACTGCTGAGACCAATGGCGAAGAATAGTGATAGGGTCCCGGGAGCGCGTCACCAGCATTGATTGGCAGTCACTCAATGATCAGGTGCCCATAGACAAAGAACGAGGTATCAACATTGGTCGAAAGGGTCTGTTGCAGGAAGACTGCATGTCCCGCTGCGTCCAAAGCACCATGCATCTTATTGGCAGTTTGTGGCTGGATCATCAAGGTCGCACAGCATCATCCAAGAAAGGCCGGAAGGGTCGCCGATCACAGGCACTCCAAACAATCGATAGACTGGATGCAGGTCGCTTGATCTTGCCGCAGCAGAGCCCTCTCAGCACCGGCCTAGATTGATCGATCTTACCAGTGGCATCTGTGTCGTTCCAGATTCAGTGAGACCAAAGAATGGTGCAATTGCGGTCCTGCTGACCGCTTGGAAAAGCCCACCAACCACGGCTTCCTGGAGATCCTGTCCTGTCTGCTTGAAGTCGGGGTAGGCATTTAGTTCTAGCAGCCATACCCTGCAATCCCGGTCGATCAGGAAGTCCACGCCAAAGATTTCAAAAGCGTTCGGCACTGCTTGGAAGTGGATCATCTGTTCACGAGCTGCGGCCTCGAACACTTCACCAGTTATGTCGCAGATTTGTTGGAATACGGCATCTTTCCAGTCTGTGGGCACCCCAGTTGATTCCAGATCCCAGAACCGAAAGACAGAAGTACTTTTGGTCGCCTCATCTTGAAAGCAGGTATTTGTCAGGTGTTGTGCTAGGTCAAGCATCTCAGAATCTGTGGCAGAAGCCGGTGGCTGGTAGCGTTTGGCCGCGAAAAGAGCCAGCATCTCCTTGTACACATACACTTTCAGCGCTCCAACCGCCAACACGTAGGCCCGGATGTGGAACTTTCGACCACCATAGGATTCGAGCAGTAAAGGAGGGTCGATGTAGGGTTGAGCGATGAAATGTCTCAGTTGAGATGTCATTGCGTTATCCTCAAGAGGATCGCCTTGTTTGCTCCCTGAAGCATCATGAGACTCGTCCTCTTCGCTCGAACTTTCGGCATCGACATCGGGCGTGTCTTCTTCCCACTCCTCGAAGATGGCTTGAAGTTCGCCGCTGGTGGAGAATAGTCTGATGCCGTTACCACCATCGCTCATGCCGGGCTTCAATATCCACCAGTGCTTTTGTTCGCTCAACTCTTGCTTCTCATTCTCTGCCAAGCTCTCGTTCAAGTCCCATGCGTCCACCAGCGCCTCATCCAGGAACTCTGCATAGTCGACTTCGAAATGCACACATGACTTGAAATGTTTTGCCAGGATGCTACTCGGGTGTTTGACTAGCCAGGTAGACACTGCATTGGAAAGATAGTGCTTGCGAATAAGAGCCTTTCGGATGACATAGGAGCATACAAGAGAGGTTCGCGAATGCTGCATGGCGTGCTCGAAGTCAATCTTCTCGTACGCGGTGAATTGCAAGACCCGGTCTGAAGAATTTGGCAAGTCACGCAGGCTAGAAATGCGCCTGACAGGCAAGGGAGCTAACTGCTCAATGGCAGCCAGAATGAGAGGCTGCACATATAGATCTGGATAGTCAATGAGCGCGAACACAGGCGGAAAATTCGAGTCTATATTGCAGGCTATTGAGCTTGGACGAGTATCATCTCTGCGCAGGCCCTGATCAGTATTTGTCCCCGGGTTCTGCCACTAACCTCGTCGAAGTTGAACTTACTCACAGCTTGATTTCGCCGGTGTATTGAGGTAAGTGCCAGAAATTCGCGATTAATGGAGTGACCCTGTCGTTGTCAATGCGCGGCCTCAGACACTACCGACTTTGGGAGACGTACGTGATGTTTCCCTGCAGCACCTCCCAACCGTCGCCCTTACCAGCATCGACAACTGCCTTCCGGACGTCTGCAAAGTTCGGGGACCACTTGAATCTGCGATGAGCTCTCCTTACCACGCGGTTGTTGTTGTTGTTTCCGTTAGCTTCACCCGTCTCACGAATGATTTGCTCCTCCAGGTTGGGGTTTTCGTTGTCTTCCTCCTCGGCCAATTCGGTAAAGGAGCTGCCGCTGATCCATCGGTTTTGGATCATTTCAGCATAGAGAATTTTATTGTTCTCGACCCCTTTGCGGAGAGGAACATTGATGCTGTACAGGTGTACGTCGTCCGGCCACTCTTTGGTTAACTTTTCCATCAGCCGAGTGCTGAGCCTTGAAGCCGCAGAAATGATCTCGAGATCGTGCTCTCTTGAATCAAAAGCATAAGACAATGCAATACTTTTAACACCGCTCATTGCGCCTTCCATCGCGCCACCAATGGTTCCGCTGGACAGAGCAAAAACGGCAGTGGTGTTGCGACCATAGTTGGGACCGCTGACTACAAGGTCGATTGGGCCTCTGTCCTTGAACACATGATGAAGGCCAATCTGGACGCAGCTTGCCGGTGTCCCGTCTATCAAAATCCACTCCTCTCCGCCATCATTAAATGGTCGGTCCAACGTGGTCCCGTCGTCCTTCAAGACGGAGCCGGGACGATAGTAAGTCGGGGTCAAAGTGTGACCAACCATGTGTGCTTTTCCTATCCACGATCTCTGGACATGGGGCAAGACCACTGATACCAAATGCCCGGCATCTTGAAGAGCGGTCACCAGGGAATGAACGTATGGTGATGATTGATTCGACGGAGGGCCGTCGTCATTTACGACCTGGTCGAGGAGTCAGCAATGTCTTCCCACGGGAGATTTTGACGTAGCCCACAAGAATATGCATGTTGAGGGCAAGTCTATCAACCAGACATCAAAGTCTATGATGCAAATGCAAAGAAGTCTATGGAGAAAGGCAACCTAGAACGGAACGAAGCCGACAAAAATTGATTCGGATATCGCTCAGGCTTGGCAAAAGCAGTCTATCTCGCCATCAACTGCGGCGCGACTTCGGAGCAACCAAAAAGACCGAAGAGCGACGATGTCATTGCCCTAGGGATTCGGTTTCGATTCGAACTATCTCTTACAAGCATAAGGTAGGCAGAATGCCAGAACACCACCGCCGCCGTGCTCACTCTCGCTCTCGCTCTCCTCATCATCATGGCCATAGACCTTCCCACCATTCTTACCGTTCCCGGTCTGGTGAAGCGTCTCGCCAGCACACCAAGAAGTCTTCTGTGCCAGCCAAACCACTACCCTACGGAGCGCGAGAGCTTTCACGGCATGACCTCCCAGGCTACCGTCCCCTATTCGCTCTATATCTAGACATTCAGAAACAACTGAACCTCGAGGAGCTGGACGATACGGAGGTGAAGGGGCGATGGAAGAGTTTCCTCGGAAAATGGTAAGAACGCACCCTAGAATTGCCACGTTGGCTCGGGGGAGGCTGTCTGTGGAGACGCAGCCCCTGGTAAATACGCAGGCTGACATGGCAGGAATCGTGGAGAACTCGCGCTGGGCTGGTATGATCCGCAGACTTTGGAGAAGGCAAGAGCCCAGGACCTAGTCTCACCCTCTCCCCAGCGGAGGACGAGTACAAGACCGGACCAGACGAGGACGTCCGATGCTCGACCGTCTCCTCAGGGCGACGGCGAAACCGAAGAAGAGGCAGACTTCGGTCCTACCCTTCCCTCGTCCCTCACGTCCCGAGCCGAGCATGACGACTTCCTCATGTCTCGAGGTCAAGGCGCCTCCATCCCTTCCCTCGACGACCTCCGTGCGCGGGACGATCAGGCAATTGAAGAGGCCCACGCCGCCCGGCGAGAGCATACGGAACAGCTCCGTCACGAGCGTCACCTAGATCGCAAAATTCAAAAAGAGCGTCTGGACGAACTCGTGCCCCGCGCCGAACCGGGGAGTCGCGAGCGCCAACTAGAGAAAAAGCGGGAGCGTGCTGAAGCGAACCGCACCTTTGCGGCTTCGAAGGAAGCATCCGGCGAAGTGGAAGTCATGGACTCGGATCTCATGGGAGAGGAAGACGGTTTCGCAGACCTTAAGAAGCTGCAAAAGGAGCAGGAAAGAAAGAAAAACGAGAGGGAGCTTCGAAGAGAGGAGATATTGCGGGCCAGGCGGGCTGAGCGAGAAATCAAATTACAAGCCGTGAAAGAAAAGGAGGAGAAAACCATGAGTATTTTTAAGGAAATTGCACGGCAGCGCTTCGGTGGAGGAGAGGCCTCATGATCGTGTGGAACAAACAAAGACAACACTTTTTTTGGATTTTGCTGCAGTATGGGTATCTAACTTGCGTTGAGAGCAGCGACCGCCTCTGCGCCATCAGGCTGCTGCTGCTGCTGCTGCTGCTGCTGCTGCTGAGAAGATGATCCTGAAGAAGCACCATTAGCTACCGGGACATTAGACCCGTGGCTAGCAGCCGCTGGACTAGTATTATTTGCCGCCTTGAGCGCCGCTGCCATCTGCCAGGCTGGAATGGAAGCTTTACTGCCAGTTGCTGGTCTACCCAAAGATGTTGCAGCCGGGGTTGGGTTGGAAGTAGGAAGTTGCGGGGTCGAGTTCGTGGACGGCGGTGTAGGCCTTGGGGTGTTCACACTGCTAGCAGCAGTGGTATTCTCGGCCGTAGGAGTCGCTGCCGCAGTGTTGGACGTGGAGGCGGAAGTTGGCGCTGGCATGGTTGCCGGCTGCGTGCGTGGGATTGCAAAGACTCCGGAACCGCTGCCCATGCGATTTCCCATCAAGACTTTCAAACTGCTCAACTCGTTGCCCAATTCTTTCAACTGTCTCTCGCTCGCATCTCGCACATTATCAATAGAGCGAGGCAGGCTATCTTTCATTGTCTTGATTTCTGCTTCCATGCGTCGCGCATCGTCTTCTCGCTTCTGATTCGCCGCTTTGAGCTCCGCGACAATCTCTTCAATGTCTGTAATGGCGCTATCTAGTCTTTGGGTTCGAGCTTCTTCGGCTTGTTTCAATGTAGCGGTATCGGAAGATAATGTGTCAAGCAGCGCAAAGGCCTTGTTGAATTGCTCGTCAATGGCGGCTTTATCCTGCTCCAGTTGCGGAGGCGTGGGCGGCGAAATTAACGGTTTGATGTATCTCTGAGCAAGGACGTACATGCCGTATCCCGCACCACCGACAACGGTAGCCATGATGAACCAGTCTCTCCAGTCTCGTTTGGGTGGCTCCGGCGGAGGAGGTTGCCAGTCTCCATATGGGTTGTAAGGGTAGGGATATCTGGGACCCGGAGGGCCTCGGGCATTGTGGACATTTGGAGGAGGATAGTACGCCGCATTTTGGGGCGATGGAGTTGGGCTGGCAGCTGCATCACCGCCAGCACGAGCAAGTGACACAGAGATCTCCTCTTGTGTGAGATTTTTGGATTTGAGGAACTCGATCCGCTTCTCGAGGGGAGCCGACGCGACGGATGGATCTTGAAGGAAGGTGACCGCGGATGCAACGAGGTCTTCGCGGGGCGCCATTATCGGCGAGCTGTTATCCCTCGAACTAGGTCATTCAAAGCCAGCCCTTGCAGAGATACCAACGTGCAGAAGACAGTGACATGGATGAGAGAATCGCAGCTGACGGAAGAGCCTCGAGAGATGGGAGGCAATGATGCCGTCCAGCCATCTTCAATTCCTGCTCTAATCTCAACTCAACCGAGGCACTCGGCCACGTGACGACGTCTTAGTCATCAGTCGCTGTGGTGACCGACATTAGAGTTGGCGTGTTGAGGGCTAGCCTAGTCTGTTGTACCCGACGCCCGCTTTGTGGGCATGTTCGTCAAGCGCGTCAACTTTGAGGGCCGTGAACACTCCCTGCGATCGACCATCCCTCGCCATTCTGCGACCACATTGAAAAACGTTGCCAAATCAAGATACCGAACACACAACTACTTAGATGCTGTGTCATCCCTTGCGCACTCGAACATCCACGACCCCGGACATTCAATCACCATGTCGCAACCCACGGGCTTGTTCAGCGTACGTCGACCTAGGGAGACCTTGGGTAATATCACGAACTTCTCAGGAATTCCTCAACCCGCGTCTGCGATCAAGCGCACCTCTTCGAACACCGAACTGCGAAATGCGCCGTACACCGCGTCTCATGTGCGATCCACCTCGATAAACCAGAGCATTCAGCGCCCTGCGCAACCCATATTTCATCGTTCCTCGTCTGGCGGCAATTTGGCAGATATGGGCATATCAACGGCTCGGCGATCGGTGTCGAACAATATATTTGGGAGCACACACACAGGGAGACAGAGTCTAGCGCCCAACCAACTATTTGGGTCCCAGACACCGGCATCACAGGGTTTGCAGAGAAGAAGTAGTATCTTTTCTCGTCCTTCCGGTCATGGAACCACGGCACACCAGTCGCTGTTCTCACAACCACCCGTACCGGCGGGTGCACCCAAAGACCCAAGGCCATTGAGAGATTCGTCGTATAGGGCACGACTAAGCCAGGAGTTACTCGACTATCTGACGCAGAACAACTTTGAGCTGGAGATGAAACATTCATTGACTCAGAACTCGGTCAAATCACCGACACAAAAGGACTTTACATTCATGTTTCAATGGCTGTATCGTCGCATTGATCCAGGTTACAAATTCCAGAAGAGCATCGATACTGAGGTTCCTCCCATCATGAAACAGCTGAGATATCCTTATGAAAGAGACATTACGAAGTCACACCTGGTCGCGGTGGGCGGGCAAAACTGGCCTCGCTTTTTGGGTTTGCTGCACTGGATGATGCAACTCGCCCAGATGCTGGACAATTTTACGCGCGGTGCTTACGACGATGCGTGTACCGAAGCTGGTGTTGATATCGCCAGCGATCGTATTGTGTTCAGATTCTTGTTCGGGGCTTACCAAGACTGGCTGCAGATGGGCCCAGAGGATGATGAAGAAAGTGAAGAAGCTGCCCTTCAACCACATATTCAGGCAATGACAGATGAGTTTGAGCGAATCAATGCCAAACATGCTGAGGAGCTAAAACTATACGAGGCGGAGCACGAAGCGCTACAAGCACAAATCGATGAATTCGAGCGTAACGCGCCCGACATTGCCAAACTGGACAAGCACTTTAAGATCTTGGAAGACGACAAGAAAAAGTTCGAGGAATACAACGCCAATGTCCAGGCAAAGATTGAAAAGTACGATTCAAGGATCAAAATCCTCGACGCCGAAATGCAAAAGGTCGAGGCAGACCTGGAGGTCGTGGAGCAAGAACGACAGAATTTGCAGCACTCGGTCGATCGACAGGGATTGAATATCCAAGACATTGATCGAATGAACACGGAGCGGGAAAGACTGGCGAAGAGCCATGAAGACGCCCTGGTTGCCTTGGACGAAATCAATAAGAGGGTCCTCGAGAAGGAAGTCGAAACGGGCCGTAAACTGGAAGAACTCGAGGCAATTGTCAAACGGTACAATTCCTTGGGCTACCAGATGTCCCTGATTCCTTCATCGGCGGTCAATGCGAAGGGTGTAGATTACGAGCTCTCGCTCAACTTGTCGGAGCCGAATTTCTCCTCTTCGACATCCCAGTCACGGCGAAGTCGTGCCTCGCCCATCGAATCTGACCGCCTTCTCGCCGACCAAAACGTCGGGTACTCGCCCGTGCATCTTATCAATCTGGACCTCCGCGGCATGGTGCGCAACGCATTCATCTCGCTCCGGAAAGAGATCAACGAGCGCCGGAAAGCCGCGGCGGAATCAGACCTTAACGCGCGCGACTTCCTCGACAACATATCGGAGGCTCTGCACGAGAAGAACACAGAGATAGATAATCTGAACTATCGGGTGCAGGAGGCCTCGCGCCAATATTCGACGTTGAAAGAGAATGGCCAAACGGCGCATACGCAGCAGACCTCGGCGATCGAAAAACTGGAGAAGGAACTCAGCCGAATGAGAGAAGGGTTGGAAAAGGGGTCACTGGAGCTCGAGCAGCGCGAGATGGAGGTCCAGCTGGCGTACGAAGGCATGCGCGAGGAAAGCGCCAGGGTGCGAGAGGAATTGCACGGTGGAATCGAGAAGCTTCTAGAGGACGTCATCCGATTCAAGGTCCACGTGCAAAAGGGCCTAGAGGAGTTCGAGGGCTGGGTGGGCGAAGAGGTCGAGCTGGAGTTGTTGGGTGATGAGATGGGCGAGCTTGGGCTGGAGGACAAACATGGGGGGGAGGAGGATGAACACATTGGTGGCAAGGTGGACGAGGATGTGTTTTGATTTCGAAGTATTGTCTTATGCGGCGTCCTGGGAGCTTCCTTTTCTTCCATCTTGCTTGACGAACGATAAATACCATACATACGTGGAAATTGGATATGAGATATGCATGTCACCAAAAATGTCGCCTTCTTTCTGGATTTTGTTTCCTCGGTCGATTCCCCCCGGTGCATACATATCGCTAGGCATGGAATCAAGTCCAAACCCTCCCGTCCACGTGGTGAGGCTTTCGGTCATGGTTTATCGTTTGTTGAGCAGGACTGAACTGCAGTATGCCAATGGCTCTGAAGTCTAGCAGACCAAAATGATGTGTGCTTCGACTATTACGAGGGACAGTCTTCCATGGATCGGCGTTCGTTCAATGCATGTATTCATTCATTCGCTCATTCCTTCAGTTCCACACCCGTCATTCTCCCATCATCCTCATGGGCTCCTTTCCTTCCGCTCTAGAAAGGTGGAGAGATGAGACAGCCTCGACCTCGCCGTCGTAGTTATTCTGACGCATGTACGGACGGACGGACGCAGAAACGAAGACCATTTCCCTTTTACTTGAACCCATCGCGACCGGGACTCCTTGCGGCAAACACTAACACGCCAATGCTATCCGACATCGCAGCAGCCACGAGTTGTGGACGACCAAACCAAAAACCCGGGCAATGTTTTTTGGTGAACCCCGACTCCGACGCCAGTCTGTCTGTATATCAATCAGGGCCGGAGAGGTCCCTTGTCTCCCAAATTTCGTCCTCAAACGAAGGGGGTGTGGCTCGTTCGTCATTTCATGCCCCGACACTGACCTGTCCACTTCCTTCGCCCGCCGCACCGCTCTGGCTGCTGCCCCGCCTCTCCCTCTCCAGAGACTCCTCGTCCGGCAGCATCTCCACCTGCCTGAGCAAAAAGCTCTTCTCGTCTAAGAACTGGTCATCGTCTGTCCGCCCCTCCAGAAAGGTGGGGAGGAACCGCAATAGCCGCCCTCGGTTCTTGACCAGGATCCTCTTCACCTCGTCGCTCTTGTTGGGGTTCGCCACAAAGACCTTGAACACGTGGAAGGCCTCGTACTGGACCATCTTCCTGTCGTCCTTGAGCAGGGTCATGGTCAGTTTCAGGTGGTCGGCGCTGGAGACGTATTGGGTCATGATGATGTAATTGCTGCGGTCGAGAAGCAGTTCTCCCAACAGCTTGATGGATTGGCGTTTTGTGACATACGAAGGGGACAGGAGGAGGATGGGGTTGTAGGATTGCGTGAAGAAGAGGGTATAATTTGTCGCCAGGTACTGTGAGACGAGCTGTTTGTGTTTGGTGAGGATTTCCTAGACCCCATGGTTAAGACATATGCAACAACACCGGGCGACGGAGAAGCCGTATTGATATCTGACATACCCTAAACGTTGTAAAGGCGTCGGCAGACACCTCAAAGCTGCTTTTATTGATCCATTCGAAAAACTTCCAGAACACGCCCTTGCCGGTTTGTTTGCGGCTGACGTCCAGATCTTTCAGATGCACGGCCTTTTCGCCCGGTTGAGATTCGTCGTATAATATCACCGCCGCAATCGTGTCGTAGGCCAGCGCCTGTCGCAGGATTGTCCCACATGGCATGGCGGACTGAGGGTAGTCGTATCCGCGACATAGTTCGACAATGATCTCGGGCCGCTGCAGGACAAGGTAGGAGATGGCTGAAGGCTCCGACGAACCGGACTGTGACGAGGAGTTGTTGGAGGACGCTTTGTAGCGGAGGATATGGGAGAAGATGATCTGGGCATCTTTCCGGGCTTCAAAGGGGAGTAGACGGATAGACTTTGCCAGTTCAAAGAGTATGTCTTCCTGGATGATGCAGTGCACGAGCTGGTGGACCTGTTCGGGGCTGCATTCGACTTCTAGACTCTGGTGGTTAGACGGAGGGTTGTCGCAGGGCTTGGGACGAGGGCTCGAACCGGGGGTGCCTTGAACAATCAATTTCATCTGCGACATGTGTTTCGCGACATCTTCTTCCACCTGTAGAACAAGGAGTCAACACGCTGTCTTCCACCCACAATGTCAAGGACAGGTCTGCACACCTTCGGACTCGGATTGGGCTCGTGGAGTTTGACCAGCAGGTCTTTCAACGACCGGGCAATTTCGGCGGGTTGCTTTTGTCGCCCTCTTCCTCCAAAGAGAAAGGCCATCGTGGACCCTCGATCACAGAACTAGCATACAGACGAGGAGGAATGGGGTTACAGGAGCAAAGATGAAATGGACGCGGGTTTACCACTCTGCGGGCGCTTCGAGGGGGTCGCAGTGACTTGGTCGATCGCTGCCGCGGCGGGATTGAACTGGGACCCGCCATGTTTTTGTGTATCTGTTGATTGGGCAACCAGCGCCACCGACAGATGAGATTAGATCGAAGTTTCGTCTCTGCAAGGACTTGACCACCACTATTAATACTAAGGAGAGAACAATGTCCTGCCTCTACTCCAAAGGCCCTTCGTGTCCAAAATACCCCAGATGAGACATTGTCAACCTCCGCCATCAAGACCTAGGGATTCTGCTTCTCTGCCCCGTCGATACTCTGCCTTCTCGGCCATGCAGCTCGCCTATGGGAACCCGCAGCTCTCCATTGTCATTGACTTCCGCGACGTCCAGTCTGTGTGCTACTATGGACAACACTCCGCCGTGCATGATGTGCCTTGGTCAAAAACCCCTGCCAGTTTGCCGCTACAGCAGCATGCCTATCAAGAGGCACATCAGTCAGAATAACAAGTCCGGGGATAGAGGACATGTATGTCGTTACCTTCACGCCCCAGCTTGCACAGCAATCCCCGTCGCTTGAACACTCCTTATCGTACCCTGGAAGTATGCTACATTTGGAGGCCTGGGCAATCTTCTGATTTGTCGAATTCGCTTCGAATTCAAGGTGGTCAAGCGCATTCGATCCACTGGAGTCGTTACTCGTGTCGTGGAAGTCGGAAGATATGGCTAGGGCAGTGGCCGGACTGAGAATGAGAAGGCAAAGGGAAACGGTCAAGGCAAGAGACCTCATTTTGGTAAGCTCTGTTGTTGACCTCGCAGCAGCGGCAGCGAGAGAAACTTCCTATGATAGAGGGTAGAGAGACGAGGAATGGTCCATCACAACTCGAGGTGCGCAGGGCCTTAAGTAAAGGCAGCACCGTGTCACGCTCATTTGTCACCACCGTGAAGCCAGTTGGCGACCATTCACGCCCTGAAAACAGCTCTTCACCTCCACCCCGAGTTCGCAATGCTCATCTTCAATCCTCCTTCCTAGACTACTTCCCACAACATGCGGAGGAACAATAACCGCTCGCGGCTCCGACGGTCGGCGGATAAGGGTTGTATTGGGGAAAGCAGCAGCAAGTCTGGTCAACTTCACGTTAGCAACGTCGTCTCTCGTCACATCTGGCACACCATGAAAACGCCAAAGTAGGACATACTTCTATTCCCCAGCCTGCACAACATTCGCAGGATTGAGTGCATATCTTGTCATAACCCGGCAGGATGGCACATGTGCAGGAGTCTGCTGCTGAAAGCTCCGTAATGAGATCGTTTGGACCAGTAATATTTGCGACTGTGGTCTCGTTGGCAAGCGATGAACTGACACTGAGGACTGACTCTGCCGGGGATTTCTGGTTGGCTGTAGTGGTAGGTTTAGTGTCGGTCGTGATAAACAAAGCAGCGTCACCCAACATTGACCTGGTCTTGTCATTCATAACCGAATCGAATGGGACAGTGCTTGAGATCGCGACGTCAGTCCCCTCTGTAGAATCGCCGGAGATAACATGGGACGCGGTGAAGGTGCTGAGCATAAGTAGAGTAGTGGTTGCAAACGTGAAAGGACGCATTTTGGCTGACGCTTCTGATTGTTTGTATCTTGGTGTAGTGTAGGGAAAATCCTCAGCACAGGGACGTTATGGTCGAGATAGGAACAGTTCTAGGAAGAGGTCGACTGTGGTATGCACTGCAGACAGTGAAGACGAGCACCTATTCCTTGTCGCTGAGTCACTCAAATGTCTCCAAGTGTGTCCATAGTGAATCATCTAACAGTAGGTCTTTGATCCCGTGGTCTCGTCGAAGGTGAAGGGCTAACAATAACACTCCTCTCATTGACAGCTAAGAGCCCAACCATGTAAGAATAAGGCGAAAGGCGGTCCTCCACAAATGAAAACAACCCATCTTTGGGAACTTCTTTGGAGCCTTGCGGCCCGAGAGAACTCTCGTCCTCGTAATGTGAGTCGAATCCTGCCTCGCGATTGTGACATGTGCCGGCTACCTCTATCGCTTCCTGGCATCCGCCGACCCATCTGAAAGCGCAGTGCTCTTCCCCAGAACGGTCGGCTCATCCTTCTCCTCATCTGGAGTCTTAGGTCCAGAGAGAGTCTCGTAATCGAGCTCCGTTGCGGCGGCCTCCACCATACTTTGCTTTCGTTCGCGTTCGCGAGGAAATTCCTCGTGTGTTTTGCCCTCAAACCGCTTGTGCACAGCCTCAATCATCTTGCCGAACCAATAAAAGTTCAGTGAATTCAGTACCAGATTGCAGGTCAGATACACTCCCGCCAGCCAGACCGGGACAGATTCGGTCTGCGACCCTGTAAACTGCATGACTTCGGATTGAGCTATAATGCAGCTCTTGTCACCCAAACAGAGTTGGCCATCTCGGGGCACAAATATCGAAGAGTGTGCAGAAGTATGAATCTCTCGAAGAACTGGACCCGATTGGATGTTCAGGTGCATCGTGTGCCAAACATCTTGATATACTCGCAACGATTGGTAGGTGCCCCAGATCAAACGGCAGCCAAAGAACACCGAGAGAAGGATCATGCCGTTGTACCATTGCAGCTGAGACCCGGTCATGTTGAGCTTGTCACAGAACCAATGGATGTTGAGGAACGGGGTCGACAGCTCGTAGAGAATAAACACTGGGCCATAATAATTGCAAAATGGTCTCTGCACGTCTTGGTCAGCCGGGAAATCATTACTTTCGCTCGAGCCATCTTACAAATCCTAGGGCAAACACCGATAGCGCGGTGATAGCATGGGCCAGGATTCCCGGCCCAAAAATCTTGAGGTAACGCGCACTCACGACAAGATCCCAGACGAAGTATCCCGTCGCCAGACCTTGAATGAGCCCAGATGCGCCTGTGTACCCATATATCCGCTCAATTGCACTCCCTTGCATATCCTTCCGCTCTTGATCCTTGAACATCACCCATAACGCCGCAGTATTGATCACGCACGACTGGAGCAGAGACACCACGTGCACATCCCAGTTAACGCGAGTGCGTCGCGTGAGCTTCGGATAGATGTTGGGGAAGAGGAAGTTCGAGAGAACGGGCGAGACAATGGACTGGGTCGTCTGGTAGAGGATAAAGGCGCCCAGGACTTCGTGGATATGATACGGCAGAGAAGGGAGATGGAGAGCCTCGCTGAAGGGTTTCGCCAGGTCAACGAGCCACGATGGAGGAGGCGGTAGAGGATCTAGCATCGTTCAGAGAGATGGATGGTGTGGGCGATGGAGACTATGCAATCGCAAGAAGATTCCCTGTCGGGCGAGTCTAGGAGAAATGATGTAGGTTGCTTGGGAGCTCAATGAAAGTGAAGAATAGGGAGGGAAGCCAGCAATTTGTCCAGGTTGGAATCAAACAAGTGGCATTGCGCATCTGGCTCGCTGGTGCCGGACGCAGCGAATGAGGAAGGAATGACGCACAAACAGGCGGAAATTGTTGGGGGAAAAGGCGCCGTTGGTGTGTTTGGTGCCTTGAGGAGGGAAAGTGATCACGTTGGCACGCCGAGGGCCAAGGCTGTATATCTGATTGGCTACCAGCCCGGGCGACGAGGCTGCGCCTATCAGACCAAGCCATGTACATGTCAGCAACCATGCATGAGCACACCAGGTCAATCAATGTCCATATTGAGTATCTCGATACTTAATCCGTCATCATCCCGTCTCGGGCACTGTGTTGCACTACTCGCTGAACGCTCACTATCCTGCATCGGACTATCTAGCCAAGAAACACTTCGACAGCAAAAACTCCAGAACGCCAGCCTCTCATTTCCTTTCTCTCTCACTTCTCATATCCTACGCCGTCATCTGAAAGTAGTCATTACGGCCTTCCGAGCCTGCTGTCAACGGCTCAGTACCTAGTCCGCTGTCACTGCCGTGGTACTTCATCCCTTCCTCGGTAATGGTTGGTGGGGGCTGCAGATCAGACATCGTTTCTGCTTCGAGAATGGGACTGTGTGATCCGTCCATGGTGGTCAGTGCCATCGAGCCCTGTTGGATTGCATTGTTTTGATGGTCGTCAGCAGCTTGGCCATTGTGGAGGACCATGGCCGTGTGGGTATTCTCGTCCGTCTCTTGTTCCTCATCCTCCTCGGCGATGCTGTCCGTCTGCCCATTGACCGTCCCGACAATGCTGCTACCACAGCTTGCCGACCGCCTACTGTCTCCACTCAACGTGCTTCCTGTGCCATACGTCATGCTGTCGGTGTACATGACGCTCGTACCATAGCTGGTCCTCCTCTCGGTGCTTGTTTCGCTGTGGTCGTCATCATCACTCTCATCGTGGTCATCGCCAAAGTTCTCTTTGTCCGTCAACTCCGTTGGGGCACCATTCCAGCTGGCTTTGCGACCGTTGAGGTAACTGCTAGGGTTACTCTTCACAGACTGGCTGCGTTTGAGACTGACAAGCCCTGTTGATTTAGGCACAGGAGCGAGCATCAAAGCCATATCAGGCGTGTTTCGACCACGGTTACCAGTGACATGGCTGGTGCTAAGAATGCGCCGATCAACGGTAGATGTTCTTGGAGTCGATGCCGCCTTGGAATTTGAAGTGAGTGGCGTCCTCTTTTTCAAGGCTGTACCAACGGCGCTGCCGATGGCCGACTTCCCGCCTTTGATGGAAGTTCTGGCTGTTGCTGTGCTAGTGGTGCTTGGGACACGCTTGAGACTCATTGACGCATCGCGTTCGGCCGGGCTGATTCTAGATCTGTTGATAGTCCTGGAGGATGTCTTGACCGCTCGAGCTTGGTTCACAAGTCCTTCAAGGATGCGACGCTCAAGGATCTCTGCTCTGGCATTCATCTCGCGCATTTCGTCTTGTCGGATTTGCAGCGCCGTCTCCAGCTTGGCCACGTCCCGAGTCAATTTCTTTGTCTGTCCAATGAGCTGCTCTTGCTCTCGCCTCAACGTTGCCATCGACTCCAAGAGAGAATTCTTCTCTTCGTTCAGGGAAACAATATCAGCCTCAACCTTCTCCTTTTGAGCCGTTCGCTTCTCCAGGGCGATCGCTGCCTCCGTCGCCTCGGCAACTTTGGAGTCATGGTGCTCCCCCATCAGTCTCGCCTGGGTGGTCACCATACCTGCAATCTCGGCCGCGGTAGACATGACTTGTTCGTGAATCTCGTCAAGCTTCCGAAGGTTACCAAGGGAGTCTCGCGTCTCCTTCTGATGGTCCTCCAGCGCTGCAAACATCTCCTTCGCCACGCTCGCATGCGAAACAAGTGTATCTAGCTTGTCATGCAACTCAGTGGTGTTCTTCGCCGAGTCGGCATGGGATAGCAGGGTGTCCAGCTTGTCCTGGACCTCACTAATTGCCGTCGACGAGGTCGATTGGGAGAGCAAGGTGTCTAGCTTGTCATGTAACTCGCTGACGTCCTTCGTGGAGTTGGCATGGGAGAGAAGAGTGTCCAACTTATCGTGCAGCTCACTGTCGTCGTATTCTTTTTGGGCAGGTATGTCCCTGATCATTTCTGTAGCGGGCAGTGCTGGCAATAAGGGTGGTATAGCTGCTGGAATGGAGTCTACGCCGGATTTGATCTCTTCCGTTGCTCGTGCAAAGCTCTCTGTTTGCTGTTGCGAATGCTCGTAGTGCTGGGTCACCACTCCAAGGACTTCCTGAATTGCAGATAGTACCGCCGGTTGGTGGTCTGACAGACTGCCCTCAAGCCTTGTTGCTGCGGCCAATGTCTTCGCAATTTCTTCCCGAGTCACCCCATGTTCGAAGGCATTGGCCGTGTGGAGGTTGTCCACCTTCGAATTGGTCTCTTCGATCGAACCAAAAACGATTTTCGAGTCTTCCGAGACGCGCTCACAAGTTTCTGCGACTGTTGTCCCCAATGTGTCCATGAGTGATTTGAGATCGTCCACAACCGCTTTCGTACTGTTGGTGGCTTCCAGATGTGCGCTGTCTCGGTCTTCTAGCGAACTCAGTTTGGCGTCGCTGGCGAGCTGAGCGTCATCGTACTTGGTCATCAGCGCACTGAATTTATCCTCAAGCACAGATTTGAGTTCCGCACCCGTCTCCTCGTGCTTGGTGAACAGCGTGGCATCTCGCTCTTCCATCTGTGCTTTAATGGTAGAGTGATGGTCCATATGCCGTTCGAGTTCGTCTTTGATCATGCTGGACATTTCCTCGATACTTGCTGCAGTGGCGTATTTGCTCATATCGTCATGGTGCATTCCAAGTACTTTGTTCAGTTCCACAATTCCCTCTGCGCTCCCTTCCACCTTGCCGATGAGTTCGTCCCGGAGGTCGCCGATGATATTTTTGACGTCGTCGATTTTCGTGGCCAAGCCTCCGTGCTCAATCTTTCTGGCTTCAAATGCTTGCGCAGTGAGACCGTTGTCGGCCTCTAATTGCTCCCGAAATGCTTTGAGGTCATTTTTCACGTCGGCGATATCGCCTTTGCACGGGAGAGAGCCAAGATCGGGCGGTTTGATACTCTCAATCTGGGTCTTGATGTCCAGGCACAGTGATTCAACTACTTCCAGATCGGACTTCTCGAGACCACCGTGTTCGGTCTTGGGTTCCTCTACCTTGGACCTGACCTCTTCTATGCTGCTCTGAACGTCTTTCAACATCAACTCGATCAATGTGAAATCTTCTCTGTTGGTTGGTTCGGCAGCCCGTTCGCTGGCTTCGTCGACCACTACCTTCATTTCCTTGAGGGCATACTCCAAGGCATCGATCTGACTCGATTTGGCCAGGGGCTCAGATTCCGGCGATAGGGTCTCATCGATTCTAGCCTTGATGTTTCTCAGGAGTGTTTCGATGGCTTCGGTGTCCTCTTTCGATGCAGCATTCTCTGGCATGATCAGTTCTGGCTGAGGTGCATCTCGAACATGATTAACAGCATTGGTAACATGGTCGATGGCGGCATACAAACCCTCCAGATCATCTTTGTGGATTCGAGTCTCAGTAGAATGGGATCGGTCGATAGACTCCTGGACTTGTTGGATGGCATCTTGGAGCTCATTCATGTCGTCTTTGTGTATTCGAGCATCCGTCATAGGCGGTGGTCCAGCCATTCCGTCTAGCGCTTCGACTTTGATTCTCAGCTGTGTGATCATCACCTTCAAACCTTCGATTTCGGTAGAGATGCGGCTCTGGTCGTGTATCACCATCTCCTGTCCGCGGGCGGTGGCGGTGTCGGATTCGTCAGTGTGTTTCTCTTGAAGTCTCGAAATATCTGCTCGGACATCCTCAATCCCCGTTTTGAGCGCATCGAGGATTTCGTAGCTTGCGCTGAGGTCAACCGGGCGATCGGTCAATTTCTGGATGTCGGCTCGAATACCATCAACTCCATCCTGAAAAGCGTCAAGCAGCTCACTAGTATTGGACAGAATACTTTCGTTCCCGTCGATCTTCGGACGAGACGAGGCAAGTCCTTCTCGGACGGCGTCGAGAACTTCCTCACGATCTAGTGAAGAGCCATTTTTGACGAGGGTCCCGGCCAGAGTCGTGCGCATATGCTCCAATTCCTCCTTGACCAGGCGCACAATGTCTTCACTGTTGCTGCTGAGGGTCGATTGCCGGTCGTCAGCTATGTCACGAATAGCATCGAGGATCTCGTCCTTCTCCGAGAGAGCATTGTTCCTAGCCATGTTTTTGCTGATGGTCTCACGAAGATGTTCGAATTCCTTCTCCATTGCGTCCAACAGTTCAGGTGTGTTCGGCGCCCCATTTCCGCGTGCTGCAAACCCTTTGTCGAGATCCGCTTGCATTGCAGCAAATCCAGCCTTGACCGTGTCGATGATCTCATCTTTGCCAGTGACATCGGCAGCGCGGTCAACATAGCTTTCTATGTCGGCTCTTAGGTCTTCAAGTCCATCCTTGAGAGCATCCAGTACCTGTTCCGTGTCCTTGCCACTGGCCGCTGAATATTGCTGGAACTCATTCTTCATGCTGCCGAGGAACTCATGCATAGCTTCGATGACCCGTTCTCCCATTCCTCCTAAGGGATTCTGTTCGCCTTCCAGACAGGATTTGATGGCGTCAAATAGGTCCTCGCGGTTAAATTCGACCTCTTTGGCGACGCGATCGTGTTGAGAAAGGCCATCTTTGATCGCATCACTTATTTGATCTCTTGTGACGGTGTCGTGTTGCTCTAGTCCTTCTCGCACAGCCTCGAAGACGTCATCTTTGGTCAGCTCCATGTCTATCCCCCGAGGCGCAGACATGTCTGGCCATTCGATACCTTTGATGCCCTCACAGACAGCTGCAAGGACATCGTCCCGAGTGATTCCAGCTGGCGCTGGGATGGGTGGAAGGTCGAAATCTGCAAGCCCTTTCCTGACAGCCTCGAGCACGTCTTCATAACTGGCCCCGGCATCTTTTGCAGTAGGTTGTTGTGGTTGATAGGACTTGAGACCCTCCTTTAACGTCTCCAAGATCTCATCTCGTTCCAGCCCGAAATGTTCAAGGGCGATTTCTGGTTTGCAGTCCTCCCAGGCTTCTCTAACAGCAAGGAGTAATTCTTCTCGTTCGGCAACCGGATCTCGAATTGGCTGTTCACGAGGCTGAGGTAGTTCTGCGAGGACATCACGGACTGCCCGCACGACTTCCTGCGTATCGACTGCTGGGCGATTTTGCTCTGCTGATAGTCTTGTACCTTCTTGAACAATGTGGTGGATGTGTTCTTTGAGCTCAGCAAGGCCTTGCTGCACGATAAGGGCGACCTCGTCCCTCATGGCTGCTTGTGTTTCCGCACCAGCATTTTTGGTTGGCGATGTCGTTTGCTCCAATTTCTTTGCAATCTCACGTCCCATTCCCAAGACTTCGCCCCGTAGTTCCCGAACCAAGACTTTGACTTCATTTGTGAGGCCGCCTCCTTGGGCCAATGATTGCTTGACACTCTTCAACATTGTAACAATGTCGTCGATAGCCAAGTCGGAGCCCGATAGCGGAATCCGCCCTTCCACACCCGATCTTGCTTTGGCCGCCTTTGATTCCCCTTCAAGATAAAGGTCAAGGTTTGAGGGGCCCTTGCTACCATCATGGCCGCTTGAGCGCACCAGCGCGCGTGATCCAGATTCCTCCTTCATGTCCTTCATGAAGACGAGGATATCCTCCAACTTCGACATCATCGCAGGGTCGAATGCAGTTGAAACAGGGGCATCTGGATGCGATCGAACAAGAGCTTGTGATTTTACTGCTTCGAGAGTGCTCATGATTTTGTCTTGTCCTTCGCGGGTGGCCATCTCCCTGAGCACTTTCTCGAGGAGAGCAATGCTTGCAGCACCGTCAACACATGTGATGGAAGGCGACGCGGTCAAGTCTCGGTCGAGCGCGGCAGAGAAACTAGAGGGACTGCCAATGCGTGGCAGCCCGAGACTCTTGGGACGTGGAGAGCCATTATGTGCCTTATCGTCAAAGTACAAACCTAGATTGGGAGTTGATCTGCTGGCGTCTGGAGGAGCAGCAAGTAGCCGAGAGTCAAGATTTGTAAACTTGCTTTCTAGACCCGATATGAGCTCTCTGAGGCTTTTGCGGATGTCTTCGTCTCTCGCCGTTGTGGCCTCCTTGAGGCTCATGAGGTCGCCGTAGTTATCTTTGCTTCTTTTATTCAGGCTCGACATCTCTTTTTGAACGCTTGTGATAATTGATGTCAGGCTCAGAATCTGATTCGACAGGGCGTCAAAGGAATAGGATGTAGGGACCGAAGGCGATGCCCCATTCGTTATGTCACCAAGAGGCGTGGCATCCTGCCGATTTCTAATTGTCTGCAAGGCTAACATGGTCGATGGAGGCGGTGTATTCTCTGTATCTTTTGACCTTGCCGAGTTCCTTTCAGTTGGTGTTGGAGTCTCTGACCTTGGTCTCGTTGGACTGCGCTCTGATGTTTTGCTGCTGGGAAAGTCCTCGAAATCCACGAACTTTGCCGTGCGAAGGCCTTTGTCCGGTGATCGTCTTTCCAGTGAATCACTCAGCCTGCTGATGCCGGGGCTCTGCAGGTTCTGCATACGCCTATTTTGCGCTCGTATGACATTCCTGTCTGGTGACGTCGGAGGAGGGTTGCTGGTATAGCCACTGGGTGCATTTTCTCGTGCTCTGGCAGCAATCAGGGCGGCAGCTTCGTCAATCCGTTTCGATGTGTTAGATCTAGTCAGAGGACTTCCTGGAACTCCAGGGTTCAGCGGAAGTGGTGGAGGCGCTCTGTCGGGATCTGAGCTATCCCACCTGTGCAGCAATCAGTATTGACTGAGGCGATCCCGCAAGAACAAGGACTCACATCGGCACTGAGCTCCTGCCGGACTCTGAAAATGAATGTTGATGTTTGACGATTCGAGACTCAGCACGGTCCCGCGAAGCATCCCGCGAACTGGCAGAGTAGGTCGACATGGTCAATGCCTCGCTGCGGAGATTTATTGCAAGGAATGTTGTCAATCAAACTGAAAGTCCCAAGTACTCATAACGCACTTTGCTTACTCCAGCATGAGCCAGCACGACTTCAGGGAGCAAACAAGGAACAATAGCACATAAAACTCAACAATGCTAGTATAACGGTGAAAGTAAGAAACTTTGGCGCTGGTCTGCTGGCACAAGTTGACGTCGGGTAGCACTGCTCCTGTGATTGGCCAGACAAATCGGGATGTAAACAAAGCTAATTGACGAATCGGCCAACCTGCCCCTGGAGGTACGAGGGGAAAGCGAGCACTGGAGAGAAGCGTTATATCGTCTGACCAAAACGATTTTCTGTGAATGAGTAAGTTGAGGTCATCGAGGTATTAGATAAAGCGAGGCTTCAACTTGAAGATTGCTGCGGTAAAAATTGCATGATTCACTACAATCTTACAATACTATTCCGACAGATCATTCTTTGAAAGGAATCGATGCTGTCTAGTATTGCTTATCACGTTGCTTGGTGCAAGCTCTGGGGGATTTCGTTTTGTCAGACCCGTATTTACGCCTCGGCTTGGCCGTATGGCTGGACATAATCCACAGCACGTGACTTCGAAAACCCTACTCTGCCAAGACCAATTTTCGAGCAATTCCCGCAATTCAGCACCGGCCAAAGTGACTTCAGCATTTTGCAGCCTCAACTTCTCCCAATCATTCAACAACGTCTTCAAGCGCGAAAGTCTGACCTCAAGATGAAGTGTGAGTAGAACCACTCACCGCTGTACTTTGCGACAATATTAACACATGAGATAGTTCTCAAGGTCGGCCGCGTGGCCATCATCACTCGAGGCCGGTATGCCGGAAAGAAGGTATGGCAAGAGGAAACGGATTCAACGCATGAAAAAAGATTAAGAGGCCTGACAGTCTCTTTACAGGTTGTCATCATCCAGCCAGTGGACTCCGGCACGAAGCAGCACCCATTCTCCTACGCCTTGGTCGCAGGCATTGAGCGTTACCCTTCGAAAGTCACCCGCCGCATGGGCAAAAAGCGAATGGAGAAACGATCAAAGGTTAAGCCATTCATCAAAATGATCAACTACAACCACATCATGCCCACACGATACACACTCGAACTCGAAGGCCTAAAGAGTGTCATTTCGAACGATACATTCAAGGAGGTTTCGCAAAGAGAAGACGCAAAGAAGAACGTCAAAAAGGCCTTGGAGGAGAGATACCTGAGCGGCAAGAACAGATGGTTCTTCACTCCTTTGAGATTCTGAGTGTCAGGCTGTGCATTATGTCTCTGAGACAGTATTTTGCCGTCAAACGCAGCGGCATGGCATGGGGACTTTAGACATGCGGTCTGCGGGAGGCGAGAATCATTGCAACATCAATGAACTAAACCCTATTTCAGGCGGTCTCGAGGTCGGCCAAATGCAGTGAATGTTTGTTGGGGAGGACTTGACACCTGCGCCGGCGAAGTTGCAGTGGATGACGAGAGTACGGCCCAAATGAAATCAATTCAATATCATTGCGGAAGATGTGTCGGTATTGGTGCGATTGAGGGTTTCCGAGCTCATTCAAGATAAAGATCGTCTTTCAAGCGCTGCAGATTCCGAAACAGCCCAGCCGCACCGCCACTTCCTTCATTTGAGCTTTTCGGATTCCTGCCCACGGCGGAGCTTGATCGTGCCGAACTCCCCCCCTTAGAATTTCGAGCCCTCTCTCGTGCATCCAGTGTCTTCCTCCTGTCTTCCACCATTTTAACCAATGAATCAACGAATTTGACTCTGGCCTTTTCCTCGCCCGTGCCCTTCCACAGAATTTCGAGCTGCCTGTATTCTTCGACTCTTTGAGAAGCGTTCTCAAGACCAGCATATCCGGCGGACTCTGGCCCTAGTAGATCGTCGATCTCTGCCCGAATACTTTTCAATGCCTCGTGCGCCTTGTCATCTTCAACTGTGCTTTGTATTCCCAGCTCGGGTGAAGAGACTGAGATGAGAGATGAAGCCATGGACAGCTCAGAAGGAGGTATGGGCCATTTCATTGCTTCCCCGAAAATGGTAATGACAGACTCGAGACGTGCTTTTACCTTGCCTAGCAATCGAAGTCGAGTCATAAAGTCAGGCTCAGATTCCGATCCCGCGTTCTGCAAGGCGTCGTCACCATCAGCCTCCGGATTCAAAATCGGCGGCTCATTGCTAGCAATCTCGTTCTTGACAAAATGGGCAATGTCGTCCCGTAGCGGGTCAGTCAACAGTTCGTGCAATCCATTCACATCACCGCGAAGCACCTCTACCTCATAGGCAAGCCGATTCCCACTGCGGATGATTTCGTCTGTTAGAGACGTCAATTCTGAGGAGGCGCGGATGCTGATTGTATTGAGCGACGTAAGTAGTGCAAGTGACTCGGTAGAGGCACTCTGAATTTGGGTCGACCGTGTGGGTTTTGCGATCTGGGTTTGAGATGACAGATTCAGGCCGGGCAGAGAATCGTTCAAAAAGTCGACAGGGTCAAATCGAGGTTGATGGAGTTTCGCGAACAACGATCCACTGCCATCGTCACTCTGTCCGCTGTGCTCTTCTGTGTCAATGCGGGAAGGCATCTCGATCTCGGAGTTCCGCTCGTGGCCAGCCTCAACAAGGTCGAGCCTACATGTGTATCGAGTCGAGTATGCGTCTGTGCCTCGTTCACCATAGACTTCTGGGCCGATCGTTCAATATTCCTCCACAAGCGTCCATGGTCACGACATGCTGTGCACAATATCTTCTCTGACCGGGGACAGTGGATGTTGCGGGAGGTGGACAAAGGATATTCCTTGGCAAACGAAGCCAACCTCGCCAATGCCCTTTTTCGCTCTCCCTTGCTGTCGGTTCGGAACAACTATATACCGTTGTCCGGCCCCTTGGCGTGGCCGATTCATTTCTCTCGAGACTTTTGTTCCGAACCAGCCTTTCCAACTTTCTCTTTAGCATTCACGCGTTGTTGCAGCTTTGTAGGTGTGAGATTCGTTGTTCGTCGTCTTGAAGAAATGCAGATGACACATTGGATGGTGAGACTGATAACAAAGGGAACAGAAGCCCATTCACAGGCCCAGGTTACCAACAGGCTGGACAGCGGTTGAACATGGCTGCCATGCTTGCCAGCTTGAACAAGTCCGAGAGAACCAGGACCTGCAGCATGAGCAGCGGTGGAAGACTAAGACTGACGCAAGGCCCAATGTTTGCGCGCTCTTTCACCTTGACGCGGTTCTCTGTGCTTGCGCTGCACACCAGAAAATGCGGTTGGCGTTCACCACGCTCTGCCTTAATTGACTTTGGCTTGCTGTGTGCATGCGACCACAATAACTGCACGGCGCAGCTGCCTCACTGCTTCCATGCCTGCCACATCCCCCAGCATTCATCAACTCTTTGCGTTCTCACTCACTCGTACTTCATCTTTGCGTTCTCACTCGTACTTCAATCCTCTGCTATCCTCTCCAAACGCTTCCCTCTCCTTTTCTCCTTCCTCTGCGCAAGCTAAGAGCCTCTCTCACCGGGATGAGGCCTTCCAAACGCTGAGGCAGCTCTTGTTTCCCTCTTTATGAGATCTATCAGCTGCAGAAGCCTCAGGTCTAACCCCTCCAAGACTCTCCAAGCCGCTTCCCTTCTCAGACTTCAGGTTTAGGCGAACGCAGCACTCTCCCGCTGCCAATCCCCCCTCCTCTGCCCACAATGGGCCGGAAGCTCTTTCTGAGCCACCTGGCCGACGCCAAACGCTTGAAAATTGAGAACATCCACAGCATCCGCAACCCGAAAGATGGTGTCGTTGCTTTCACCTACGTTTATCCCAACAACAACGTTGACCAATTCAACATCGAAGCCCTTGCCAATGATCTAGGAGAATATCCAGATGGCAACTCATTTGTTCTGTGCACTAAGGACACCTTAATCAACCCCATTGTTGCAGAAACATTGGACAAAGTCAACGAAAATGCCCATGGCAAGTCTTTCGTCGACTTGTTGACGGAAGTTGCGGAGTCATTGACCACGGCCATGACAAAGGACAGTGTCCAAGAAACCATTGTGGCCGACCATTCGATGGAAGATGACGAATTCGATTTTGTTTTTGAAGGCGATTCTGACAATGAATATTTTGGACTAGTTGCCTCTGAGTCCGGCAATGCAGGGCGCAGCCCCAACACCACCGCCGACTTCGCGGACTTGTCAACTGATTCCCAAGAGAAGATGGAAAAGATACGTGCAGATCTTAGAGCCCTCAAGCATTCAGGCTTCCGCGTGGGAATCTTTGGAAACATCGCATTTGCCGGTATTCTATGCGTTTCAATCCGAGTTTCCAAACTCGGTCTCTCAGACGAAGCTCTGCAGGCGTGGAATGTGCCGCGGAAGCATTACTTCGTGTTGCTGATCAGATACACGCGAGGCTATGTGGACGCAGCCAGAGTTGTTATGGAACAGGATCTCTCAGACTCCATGGAGATGCGCGTGGGCCTTTGTGGCCACTACAAACCTTCACTACGCGAAGTCCTCGCTCTCTATCAATACACTAAGCCAGACAATAGGCCCTCAGCGGAGGATGCTGACACTGTATCAACGACCCATCATGCGTTCGAAGCACTATTCATCGGCAACGCAATCAACCAGTTACTCGAAGAACGGGTCTTCAAGATCATCTCAGCTCGGGAACTGTACCGGCTCAGCTGGCTTGGTGCGGAGAAATTAATCATCGACATGCAAGCAGCTTCTTCCTTTTCGACTGTTGGCGACATGACACCATATCACTGCGGTGATGACGGCCGTGCAAGCCACCTTCCCCAGGTAGTTGTCGCAGACCACATGCGCCAGAACCGACTCGCGACGGCTTCTTTGCCACTAATCCTTATGCAATTTACCCTTAGGCATTTTGTCCGATGCACAGAATTCTGCCTTGTGTGCCATTGCCGAGTCGACGAAGGATTTGAGGCTTTGAAACCGTACGTCTGCTTGAAGCCTCTCTGCCTGTACCAATATATTTCGCTTGGTTTCGGCCCTCGCCTGGAGTGGGAAATCATGGCCCAGCCATACGTTGTCGACCTTCTGGTCAGCTTTTGCTATGCGGCTGCCGCCAGTGGCAGACTCAAAGAGTTTCCTATTGGGATGAACTTGGTAGTACCCGTCATACCGCGCCCCACCATTCTGCGTTCCACTGCTCCAATGTATACATTGGTGCAAGCAGCCACACCGGGTACACCGGCCGTACCATTGATGCCCAAGAAGTCCTTTTTATGCACGTGGAATATGGGCTCGAGGTCCTTGGTGGTCGAAGAGGATGAAAAGAACACATCGATAAAGAAAGTCAAACCTGGCGATTGGATTGTTCTGCTCTGTAGTCTGAAGGACGCCGCAGCTCATTGCCGCGTCAAGAGTGTGGAACTGCCTCGAATTTGGCTCGATCCAACTATCTCTGTACCGTTTCCAGGTCGTTTGCCTAACCCCAGCAGTCTCACCGAAAAGTCTGATCAAGACGACGCCTCCAACACAGCGGAATGCTATTTGTACGACAAGAGCTTTGATGGCCTCCATCAAGAACACCAAGAAGGTGCGATCATGACGTTGCTGGATGCCCTTCCGTCTGTGATCAAGATGCGTCGCTACTTGGAGAGTCAAGGCAAAAGTCAAGAGCCTAGCTTGAAAGCATGGTCTGATCAGATCTCCGAGTCGACTGTGAATCTTCTCCATTGGATTGTCACATCCAATAGGTCTTGCATCATGCAGGTCGACGACATTGGCGGCAAGGACGACTCCTCAATTCGCACAAAGCCAGAAGACCGTGTTGGAGGAATGGAGACTTGGACCCAATTCCGCTTCGCTCAAGGAGCTCCAGACAAAGAGAAGCGTTTCAATGACAGCGTCAAGCAACGGGTGCGAGCCACTGGAACCCAGTATGCTACCCTTTTTGCATGGCACGGAAGTCGAATGGGCAACTGGCATTCAATCATTCGACAGGGCCTCCGATACGATGAAGTAATCAATGGCAGAGCATACGGGCATGGCATCTATATGAGCCCTCACGCGTCTACAAGCCTGGGGTATACCCAGGAGCTTGTTCCTAGTGCTGGCAACTGGCAGGGTTCTGAGCTCAAAATTGCAAAGGTGCTTTCCTTGCAGGAAGTCGTCAACGACCCCGCCAAATTCAGCTCCATCGTGCCACACTATGTGGTCCCCGAGGTTGACTGGGTGCAGACGCGATACCTATTCGTCAAGACCGAGGATAAATCCACTCGTAACAATGTAGCAGGCCAAACATACCGGCAGGACCCTAGTCGACTGGCTTACAACGAAACGAACGAGCCAATCACGATCCCAATAGCCGCCATATCCAAGGCTAGAAGACCAGGCAGGACCATCGACACAGTAGAGACACCTCGCGGGAAGCGTACAAAGACGATTTCGAAAACAGACTTGGCGACGGCCGAGCAGCAAGAGGACGATGCAGACAGTGTTGTGTCGGATGCGGATGATTTGGCGACGCTGCAAGAGAGTGACCAGGCATGTGAAGATCTTGAGCCTTTTGGATCCGATACCAAGACTAAAAATCTGTGCGTCAATCGCAAGAAGCGGCCCGCAGAAGTGGTGACAGCTACCGACTTCGTACCTGGCAAATTGGACGTCACGAACATCAAGTTTATGGAAGCACCGCAGGACGCTAACCAGATCGCCACCAAGGCACTCATGCGGCTACTGAAGGATGCGCTGAAAACCCAGGAAAAGACTCCGCCAGCCACCCTGGGGTGGTATATCGACCGCAGCTTGATCAACAATATGTACCAATGGATTGTGGAACTGCACAGCTTTCCGAACCATCTCCCTCTGGCGAAAGACATGAAAAATGCCGGAGTGACATCAATTGTCGTGGAGATGCGATTTACGAGCCAGTACCCTTTCAGCCCCCCATTCATTCGAGTGGTCAAGCCTCGCTTTCTGCCGTTCAACCAAGGTGGAGGCGGGAACGTCACGGAAGGAGGTGCAATGTGCATGGAGGTATTGACGAACAACGGGTGGTCGGCCAGCCTTACAGTTGAGAACCTCCTCCTTCAGGTCCGGCTCGTAATCTCTGATACAGAGCGGCCTGCGAGGCTTGCCGGTCACCCCGGCTCTACTTATGGGATTGGAGAAGCGAAGGCAGCATACATCCGTGCGTGCCATAACCACGGCTGGAAAGTTCCTGCGGGGTTTGACTCGATCCCGGAGTGAGGCCTGGGACGTCATCACGCGGTTTTGCGAGGGAAAGGGTATGGCATATCGCCCGCGACGAGGATGAATTTCACATTGAGAAGCGACTGGTGGATGAGGTGAATGATAAGAACAGAGGAATGGACTCGGCCATTCTCGCGAAGAGGGCAAAAGATGTGACGGTCCCAAGCATGTCTCGCTTGGCTAGAGACTCGTCAATGGATGTATGAGTCTGCACGTTGGGGCATGGTAACACAGCATTGCATTGCGTGAAGGAGTGCGCAGGGATAATGGACGATCAATGAGGGACCACGGCTTTGGCATCGAAAGAGGCAGGTGACGGGAACCATTGAATTGGAACAGGCACGGCAAAGCTTGTAAATCAGACATTGAGATAGACGCCATTCCGTGTGGAACATCAGACTGACCCAGATAATGAGCTTTCGCATGACAGGAAGAATTGTTGAGTAGTAGATGACTCCCACTCTATTAGTCTGTCGCCGTGTATCAGTACACAGTCAGAGTGGCACATGGTTGAAGAAGTCACCAAGGAGGTAGGATGTCAAGAGGGACAGGAGAGGATAGGCTAGTGGCTGGTGGCTGGTGGCTGGGCCAGTCGAAGGCTCTGACATGTGGCATTTTCTCTCCTTGTGTGTCTCAATGACTAGTTAACAACACGCACATGCTAGCGTTCCTCGATCCGCACCCTCGATCCGACGGGGGTTTCCCTTGACGCATGAAAGGGGAGCCACATGTCTGTGCTGTTTTTCTCTCCGTCTGTCCAGCGTCTTCTTTGGGGCATTTTACCCTGGGTGATCTAAACAACAGGATGCAGCCTTTTTGTTTTCGATTTTGATTTCGCGATCGACCCGCCTGGGCAGACCATCCAGGGGAGACGTGGACGTGGGTGTGGACATGATGTGATGGGGGGGTTTGGGGACGGATCTTAGATGATGGATGATGCACAATGCCAGGTCAGACATGATATGACAAAGGCATGACAAGACGAGGAGGGCGGGTGAAGGGCGTAGCGAAGCGCGTTCGGGGCACTTTTGGTTCCGGTGCTTGTAGACTTCCTCCCTCGCGCTATTTGATACTAGTATGTACCTACAAACTAGGGACCTCAGTGCTGGTAGGTAGATAGGTTGGTCGGTGGGTAGCGATGTAGGTATCTGTACGGAGTACGTATATCCAGGATCTACAATGCATCCGACAATGGGACGGAAGTGTCCACAGTTCACAGTGCCGGGTGTAGCACAGCTAGCTAGTACACGGTCTTCTTTAGAGGTTGTTGCGCACAGATACAATGATATTTGCTGCTGCCTTGGATGACAAATGGGAACACTGTGTCTACTCCGTCTCATCTCATCCGAGTGTCTACCTACCTAGGTAGTCGTGGAGACCAGTGCTGGTCTCGTCTCGGGTCGAGCAAAGCAGCGGTCCAACATTCCCCGTGGGAAAGCAAGATGCCGGGCAGATCAGTCCTCGCAGCAGCTCATTAGCCATGAAGGACCAGGTCCAAAACTTTATGCGTATGCAATGGGAAAGAATAGAGCCCCATGGGACGGGATGGGATGGGAAACTGGTGTTTCCTGAGATGCTACAATGGCGTGAGGTTGGGGGTGAGGTGACGGACGACTGGCCAACGGAGGGCACTTCCACCGTTGGGTTTCCAAAATGCAGGTCGATCTAGAGCGAGTCTGGGGTGGACGCGAGGATTGGGCGAAGTACAGAGGGAATACGCACATACATGAACGTGCTTGGTATTGCTAGGCACATATGCAAGGCCGTTATTAGAGCCCGCCGAATCCACCGCCCGCGCATTTTCACATGCGAGGAAAACATCCAAAATGTGAAATCATGCACGTCGCAATCTCTCAGGCATGATTCCATCACCGTGGACGATGCCCTGACAGACAATGGGAAGCGTCATTTTCGTTTGCTTGGGCTGTCTCCCTCGACGTGCTATCGATTATGGCTCGAGAACGGGAAGTCACGTCGGGTGTAACTTTTCCAATGCCCCCGTCTTCCAAGGGTTGCTCCTCAATACGGTGCTTACCCCAGGAAAAAGGATGGTTGATGCAATGGGTCAGACAAAGCCTGTGCGGAGGGGTCAACAGGCCTGCTGCTCCTTGTTGCATCAGCGGCAGCAAGGATGTAGCCTGCAGAATGCTACTTGTCGAGGGTGCGCATTATCATCCCACCTCCTTCTGCTTTGTCTGATAACGACGAAACAAGCATTCACGTCCCAGCTAGCCGCGCATGTGTCGCACAAGTCAGAAGGTCGACATGGCGTCTCAGGCGTCAGGAGAGAGATGTCACTGCCGCAGACCATGAGGCAGTTCCAGGCACCGGATTCGGATTCTCGAAGGAGGTGGTGTGAAGACAAGCAGAACGCAAAGGATGTGGTGGAGTTGAATATTATCGCGATTGGCCGGAGGGGCGAGGACCACGAGGTTCCACGAGCAATGGCCTGCCGGGGAGGAGGTTAGCAAACCTGGCACAGACGAAAGAGGAGCAGAAAAAAGGCGAGAGAGAAGCGAAGGTGGCACGGTGGTTGGGTTGTGTGGGATGTTGCCGTGTGTCATTCCACGCAACTGCTATTCCCTAGGATTCATCTTGCTTGTCAGTATCCAGCCCCCGGTGTCCGGGGGAGTCGATGAGTGGATAGCAGGCTGCGGCGGCACCAGCACCAGCACCAGCAGCGGGAGGATGGAAACTTACGAGGAGTAGAGCCGTGGTAAGTCGGGACGCAGTGGCAGTGGCGCGAGAGCTGCAACTTTCACATGTCACTCTTGGCGGCGGGCGGCGTGGGTTGCAACCAGCATCGCCAGGCTTCTGTCCACTTTGTCGGGCCTCTCAACCAATGCGCGACCTTGAACCGAGGGCATCGAGGCCATGAAATCATCTCCCTGGCCACCTCTGTATCGGGTTGCTCTTCATCCGTCTAATTGCCTAATGGTCTAATGGAGCTCCGCCCCCAGCAAAGCGCCAGCAGCAGCTCAACAAGATTGCCTACCCATATGGGAGCGGAGCAGGGCAAAGGGCAATAGTCATATAGTCGCCTACTAAAGACACGCACCAGCACCATATTATTCCCGCTCACTCCTACATACCTCCCTACCTTTTCAGTTCCCGTCCTTCTGACTTCTGACTCCTTTGTAAAGCTGTCACTATCAGAGCTGCATTGACCTGCATCAACCTACACTTGGTTCCACACTCTAGGTAAGTATGCTGGCCTTTGGGTTCCTGCAGCAAATTCCCCGAGCACCGCAGATCTACGCCCGCCTTCCTCAACAAAAGGGAAAACCCGAGTACCTGGACTGCCTCTCCTTCCCCTTGTCTTCTGCTGCTTACTTGGCTGCCTTCACTTGCAAAACCCTTCGTTGTCGTTTGTGTCACTACGGGCATAACTGATCAATTGCAGCCCCTCTCAAAATCCATCAGCATACCATGGGTGAAGCTACCGTCAACGGCGACATGCCGCATTCTGCCTTCCTCTCAGTAAGTGAGCTCGTGGACGCTCTCTGCGTTCTGGCGGAGCGACCGGGTTTTGGACACAGCTAATCGCCTGTTCTGTCCAGCATATCCAATCCTACCCTCTCGTCTCAGACTCGATCAAGACCATCCAAGAGAACCCCTACGGTGTCAAATCGATCGAGCTGACCAACGCCGGCTACACGAAATTTGTCAAGCCGACCCTGCCCTACTTCCAGACCCCGGCCTCCTACGCCAAACCCTACGTCGCGAAGGCCGATGAGCTCGGTGACAAGTTTCTCACCAAATTTGATGAGCAGGTGCCCATTGTCAAGGCCGAGACCAAGGACATTCAGGACAAGGTTATGAGCTACATCCACTGGCCGCTCGAGACGGCAAACACTACCAAGGACTGGGCCTTGGGTACATACCAAGATGAGTACAAGAAGTGCGGAGGAGAAGGCTACGTGGCGGGCGGCAAGGCAGTCATCACCACGTCCCTGATTCTGAGCTCCGATGTCCTCAAATGGATCAGCTCATTCCTGCAGGCCAAGAAGGACCAGGCCAAGGAAGTCGTCAACGAAAAGACCAGCAAATAAGTGGATGGCTTCTCGACTGCCCGCCGTCCACTCTGTTTCCGCGCCCCGATTGTTGAGAGCACGACCTCTCAAGTCATGTACAAATGATACCAGCACAAGCATTTGATACCCTGATCGCTACCGGCCAACTACACGAGATTCGATCGCCCCTCTTGGCCGAGTCCAAGTCCCCTGAGGATCTTTCCCAGCTACGCCACCACAATCCAGCAACCCGAATGAACTCACATGAGCAAGCGATAATCAAGGCCCATTTTCTTTCTCGCCAGCATCCGCTGCTGTGGATCTCCTTCGTCCCGTCTGAATTTCTCCTTGATAGAAGTTTGTTGTCTGCGCGTCTGAAAATGCATAGAATCGGGTAGTTTCTGTTGAAATGATATGAAATCACTCCAATGTCATACTCTCCTGGGTGGCGATCAGCAACGCAATCTTTTGTTGAGTGCGGCTGTTGTGAAACTGGGTTTTCGGCAGAAGCATGTGAAAGTGCCTGTTTTCCCTTCTTATCGTTATCAGAAATTTTCACATGCGATGATGTCGGTGGTGGAGCCTCGAGAGAGCTAGCAGCCCCTCCTTGGATTTCTGAGGCAACTCAACAATTTCGATCGAGAGGGCGAAAGTGTTTCAAATGGGCATGGTAGAAGAGGCAGACAGCGACAAACATATACACCGATGACACCCATGTCCCGTTTTGGGCCGTCTCTGCCAGACTCCGTCCTGCTGACTGCTAAAAGGACGACCATCGTACTCGGTTTCCCGTGGGCACAACGCAGGTCCACGAGACTTTGCTCCCCCGGATATCCTCTCCGCTACTGGCTCGGCGCTGAGGGAAATCGGGTCTCTTGTTTGGATCCCGCTGTCCTTGACGGAGAAGTGGAACTAATACTACTGGGTAAATTTGTGCCGCGCGAGAGGATCAGGATCAGCTGCCAGAGCTTTCCTGCACAGATGGCCACGGATGGTCTCGCGACTGCTTGAATGACACCCACGCCTGTGTATCTGAATATTGGTACCTCGTTACACCAGTGTCCCTCTACGAGTATGCCGTGTTTTGAGTTCGAGTCGAGAGGACTCCGTCCGAAACGGGCGGCACGCAAGGTCCTTAAGACGGAGTGTAAGTGGCCACGATCTACACCCTCTAGAAGGGGACGAGCGCAAAATAGGGCCACAATGCTAAATACATGATCCCTCTCTGCGTTATTAAAGGTTAATTTCAATCCTGTATCGTGAGTTCCGTCGTTGGAGAAGCAGTGGAGTATACTATCAATATCTCTACAACGTATATGTCAACCGTCCCCATTTTATGTATGTATATATATATATATATATATATATATTATATGCCCCGAACTATGCCTCGTCTATTACCATTTTCGATCAGGAAAGGGAGCGAGGCCGCCTTGATCGGGCACGTGACCGAGCATACTCTGAGCCACTGGAGAGAGGAAATAGGGCGGCACAAACGGTGCAAATATCCTGTTGCACTAACCCTGAAAGGGTAAATGGGACAAAGTCTTGGCAATAAGCAAACTTACCCATGTGCATCTACATACTTAAGCCACTTCTATCTCTTCCTTCCTCCTTCCTTCTCAGTTAGTTAGATCAGTTCAGTCAATTCAGTCATGTCAAGTCTATTACTCCTACATATCCTAGTCGTTCTAGTGCAGGAGATGGCAGTAAATGACAGGTTGCGAAACATGGTCAGGTCGAGAAATGGTACTTTTCCAATGTGGACCCGTTCGCGTATGGAAAATGCGGTCGGCGCGCTCGTTCCGAGCGACACAAGCCCTAGAATTCGAACCGTCCACGGAATACCTCGTACCCAGGTGATTGATCATCGTATTCATCGCAATAGCGAGAACGGCGGCACCTGTTGCACCAACCCTAGTCCCAATTCACTGCGGCACAAGTCGTCAACCTTGTTTCATAGATTTCATAGACTTTCTACAATCAATCAAGTTATTCATCCAACAGCACCAACGCCGCCTCCAAGGGTGTCGTAGAGCGGAAGTCGAGTTGCTAAAAGGACAGCGGCCTAAACACCTAAAATGCCGAGAACAGGAAGATGAATTGTCACTTTTCAGAGCCTCTCCGGCTTGCACAATTCCCCACTCTGCGTTCGACGTTGGGTATTCAACTCTCTTTTGGGTCGACAGCCAGCCAACCAACCAGCCAGCCAAGCCAGCCAAGTACTTCATAACTTTGGCTGGTAAATCCAGGCACGCCCTTGTAGACGGACTTGACTGCTGCCCATGATCGAGGCTCATCCTAAAAGCCTTGCCGTTCTTTGGTTAACGACGGCATTGAAAAGGTGGTTTGGCTGGCGTGCCTTTTCAGCACGTCAAGCTGCATGTCAGGGGTTCGGCTATGTTATCCGGGCTTCTCCTGCTGTAGGCGAGCCTTACAAGAGCGACGTCGAAATACTGCAGCGACCGGAGTTGTTCAGAGTATTGGACCATGGCGGTGTGCTGGGCAGAAAATCTCAACAGTCGCCCGGCCCTCGGTATCAATCTTCCATCGGAGTGTCAAAGGAGGCATCATCCGTGTTAGGGAAGGAGGGTTCTATGGCGATGTCGTCCTCAGGCTGTTGTTGGAGCATTGGAAAGGATAGTCGCCGGCTCTCAATTGAGTCGGTAGCTTTTAGCAACGATCCCACTGCAGACTCCAGGATACCACCGGCAATCTCCAGAAACTCAGCACTCTTGCTAAATACCCTCAGCGTCCATCGGTATTCCTGCAGCCGTCTCTGATAGAATTCTGCTTCTTCCTGACTCACTGAAGTGACAAAACACAACCCAGCAAACGTACCAATCAAGGCGAAATTAAACTTAGAGGAGAAGTACCAGAAGGATTGAAGGTGCTCGGGCCTCAGTCTGTTAAAAAAGTCCATAGCACTAATAAGTCTTGCTTTCGCGGCGGACCGACAGATCTGAATCATATAAGGATCGGTATTGCGTGATAGTGAGCGTAGAATCCGTCGATGTAGAGTGATCTCAGTGGCAAAGTACGCAAGGTGTAAGTAACCCACGGAGCTCAATTCGCCAACTTTAGTGGCGTCCATACGAAGTGTCTCTGGTATGTCCGCGTACCATGACCGTAGCTTGAGCTGAATTGGCTTCGCGCGATTAAGAGTCGCCTTGATGCTGTCATAGGATTTCCTGATCTCCATTTCTGCCTTCAATGAATATAGTGAATCTAGGATCTCTGCAAGCATTGTTGTGAGCGTGATCATAGCGCTAAAGAGGGCCCTGCCTTTTTCAACCTCTATACTCTCGTCTTCTTCTTCATCTACCGCGCTGTCTAGGAAGTCACTGCTGATCATAGGCTGCACAGCCCAGTTCATGGAGGAGATGTGAGGAGGTCGTCCGTATATCAAAGCGGACCAAGTGTCTTGCATAAAAAGTGCCCATCCAAGTCGTTTCCGGAGCGCTCGCTCCCAGGCCGGTATTCGCCAATTTGAACAATCTAGGTGCAGTCCGAGATCTTGGCCGATGGCAACAAGTTGAGATGTTAGCTGCCAAGCTTGATTGCTACCTAGTCGTTGCAACAATAGGAGACCTGCTTGTACCGTAGACAATTTTGCTCGATGCGAGACATCTTGCAAAGTACGATAAGCGATATCTTCAAGTTCAGTAACGTCTGGCTTGGTCAGCGTCGTAAGTTCAGCACTGTAGGACCACCAATTTAAAGCTAATATATAGATAGCGGCAAGTAGAGGAGGAGAAAAGTCCCGATGTGTTCGACTGTACTTCTCTAGGTAAACTTTCTTATGTAAAATCGGAAAGCTGGGGTGGACGATCCGGAAGTAGAGTCGGATTAGAGCATCACCATGAGGAGCGACGATCTGTTCGATGTTGTCGAGCTCCTTAACCTCCCTAGCGTAATTGGGAGAACTCGAGTCGGTATATTGATGGAAGAACTCGTTTGGGCCAACTTTGCGGAAGGATCCATGATTAGCGGGACTTTTACCCTTGATGTCGTCGTATAATTGGAGCTCTAAAAGTGCAAAGTCATGTTCGTCTGTGGGCCCGATATATTTTGCGTATCGATGATTCTGGAGTCTAGCCATGGACTGTCAGCGGAGAGGAAAGATGGTGGGAGGAAAGCTCTTTTACCCCAAAGTCTCTTTGAGCAGATCTTCGCCCTGCAAGTTTGCATAATCGTCGATAACGGGGCCAGTGCGAATGGATTCAGCGGAGGCGGGGGATTGTGTATGGGGTTTGTGGCGATCTCTAACTTCTTGAGTCGCATGAACACGATGCGTTTGACTCTGAGCTGGCTGGGAATTTCGAGTACGATGCATGTCCGATATCTCCTTTGGTGTCGGCAGGCGGATATTCTCTACGTGAATTTTGAAGACACGGGCAATATCCTCACATACAGGCCCTATGGGAACCATGTATGCCCATGGGATATCATTCTGGATAGCTATGACAAACCCGCAAAGCTGACGATCGTATACTACCCAGGCGCCGGAGCAGCCAGACTCTATAACCAAGTTAGCAACTAATAATATCTAGGAATGATTGGTACCTCCGTAAAGGGTTGTCCAGATTCATAAGAATGGTCTCATAGCTAGAATTTCCAATCTTCACGGTGGCAGGACATCCTAAGATGTTGGCCTTCAGCTCACCTGAGCTGGTGGCGACCAAAGCGACCGCATTGTGCGGGGATTCATGCCCGGTAAATAAAGATTCCACGAATTTATTGCCCACTATATTAGGAAGCATAACTCGTTGCCGATCATTGGCGGGGATAGATGAAAGGTTCGCTAAGGCCCAGTCTCTGTCATATCGAGACCGTGCTCCTGGATCTCTGTCAGTTTGTTGGGTCTGCTTGACAACGATCTCAATTTTGAACGACAACACATCACAGTCAGCAGTTGACGGCTCTGCAACCTGCTTGCTGGCCATGTATCCTTCATCTCCAGCGCTTTGTCCGCTGAAAAAATGTCCATCACTCTCTTCTTCAGTCATACTACTGGTATCCGTAGAGTAGTAGCGGGGGTCCGAATCGTCCTCGTCCGAATCGTCAAAGTCTTCCCAAGTCAGGCAGAATGGCGGCTCGTTGGTATAGATCTTCACAACACCATTATCACCCATGCTGTTCATTGTATTGAGCACTAGGCTCGTTTGCTGCTCGGTTAAGAGCGTTCCTTCACGAAATGGATGCTGTGCAAGCAGCCCGAAGATTCGTTCGTTCACAACGATCAACCCTCCAAACGTGCAAAATTTGTGCTGCATAGTCCCTTGGGGTGGTACCAAAACTGCTGCACCGCACGATGTCCGCGCCCCGGAAGATAAGAGGAGGGTTGACTCTCCAACCACTAAGGAGTTGACCGGAAGATCGCCGTCTAGACTGGCGCTCGTGGAAAATCTGCCCCGGATCACAAAGATACAACATGTGTTTTCTCGAATGGCCCTTCTTAACCATTTCTTCTTTTTCAGATATTCCTCTAGTCGTCTTTTGCTCACCTGGTCTTCACATTCGATGAGGAGAGCAGGGGTCAATTTTTGGGCGTCAATACCAGCCCGCAGGTAGTGAACAATGTGTGAACTGTCGTTTTGGTCCCATCCAAGACATAGGCGTTCATATATATCTTGCAACTTTTTCAAAGTTGCATCAGGCAGTCTTTCATATTGAACGAAAATTCCATCGTAGTTGGCAGGGGTCTGGTTGGAGTTTTGTGACGTTGCCATGGTACTTGTTACGGAAGGAGCGATGTCGCTGGAGGCTGTAGAGACATTTGAGGCTACGTTTGATAAAGTGAAAGGATCTGATAATGAGGCTGAAGGGGTTCGTGTACTTCGGGAGCCTGCGGAGTGAATTAGCTCTGAGAGTTGAGTTGATATTGATTGTTGCGTTGCTGGCGATTGCTGCACCCGCATCGCGATTTTGGGGGTTCTGTCTATCGTGACTTTGTCCCTCATCTTCGTTATGTCGCAATGCATCACTGATGCATTGGCATTTCAGGTTGGCTCGAATAAGCTCATGAGGCATACCATATAACAGCTGGTGAACGTTATAGCATCCTTCGCTTTTCAGCTGCGCTCGATTTGCAAAAACCACCTGTGTCACAGCCTAAGCCTCACGTGCACAAGCCTCACGTTCTGCGCGTGGCTTGCCTGGTCTTGGCGACGCGGATCCGTATCCTCTCGTTGGGCATCGCACTCGGAGTACTGGAATTCATATCATATTTTTGCACCCACTATGTCGAGTCCTTCCCTTTTGTCCGCTTGCAGCCGAGTTATTTCCTGCAAGCCTTGTGCCACTGTGATGCAAAGGAACTTGAAGGCCACATAATTAGCGGTTACGTTGGGCCGCCAAGGACGCCAAGCAGGTTATATGACTCCAGTCTAGGTAGTCGCACAACAGATCCTAGCATTCAATCATCCATTGCAGTTGGTTCAACAATAAATAGCCTTATACTTTCGAATCATTTATGGCAGGGACGCGGGCTTTGATTACAGAAGAACCAAATAATGAGGTGAAGTTCTTGATTGGGAAAGAGTTTTTTGGTGACGGGTTCTCCCACACAGATGGATTCGCACGATTTGCCTCGTACTTTGAATTTCACGCGAAGGAAGTTAGGGAACTCCAATTCAGCCGTTTCCAGGGAGCGAATCAGACTGCAGAGCTTGCCATCAAAACTTATCAGGATTTGGCTGATGTTATTCACGTTCTTCGCGAGAATCCAGCCTACACCCGTCCAGATATCCGCGCGGAACTGCAAAAGAAGCTCTCGCATAATGGAGATGTAGCCATTAATAGAGCGATTGACATATGTTTAAGGTGGTGGCTCATGCTCAATTTGCGAGAAGATATGTTTAAGGGACTTGGAAGTGGCCGACCGAGCTTTCAATGGGACGACAGCACGCAGTTAAGGAACTACGTGGGCGAACTGTTCCCACGATCCAAATGGCAACTAGGTCGCAAGGAAAGCCGCCTCGCTCCTGAATTCACTGTGGCCTATATGCACAATGTTTGTAAACTCAGGATACGTTGGACGTCAAGCCTAGAAGATCACTTGCGACTACAAATTAGGGACGAGAAGACCTTGTGGATTTTCCCCTACAAGGCTTGTCTTGTGGCCTGGCTTCACGGCAGAAACAGCAACAAGGATGCATGCGCGTACGTTACATTGCTCTTTGATTACGAGTCATACTTATGGGATGAGAAGTTCACTGCTATCCCGCGAACTCCTTAGGGAGACGATTCGTTCATTGAACCTACTATTTCCAGTGGGTACCAAGGCGGACGACACTGAGAAGTTTCTCCACGAGGAGGCCCAAACTTTTCAGTCTATTGGACCATTTGAATCCTCAAATTCACTGATGGATTTCGATCACTGGAGAGACAGACTATTGGACTTACATGAAATGGTCTTTTTGAATCAGCCATTTACCATAAAGCGCTTTTGGCAAGGGCTGCAAGATCCTGAGAAGTTCATGAATTTCTGGGTCGTGCTAGTCCTGATCTCCGGCTTAACACTTGTTTCCACCATTGCGAGCATCATACAGGCGGTGAAGGCTTTCCAGGCTTGATAACTAGGCACAAAAACTTCGGTCAGTTCTTCCTTGATTCCCTGGTTTGGCAGAGAAATGTGATCTCTAATGATGACGACTCTATCATATCTTATGTCGAGATTCCAATGCAGCCCTGCCTCATACTGCATGTTGCCTGTACTCTTCCTGTGGGTATACAAGAGTGTATGCGATGATGATGAGGGGATGAGCGGCTCGCTGATAAACGAACAATGTCATCTTTGCTCGACACACTTTCTCCTTTTGTACAGGATACTGTAGATGTCCTGGTACCAGCATCACATTCAACTCCATATCTATCGCTCAAGACCTTCCTGCGGTTCAGAGTTTCGCGCATCGTCACCTTCTACTCGATAGACTAGCAGATGTACAATGGGGGTTCCTGTGTATGGGTCTTCTCTGGCTCCCAGTCCGCCTCTTCTATGAATGTCAATTTGCCTAACTGTGAGGGCGGGCAGGGGATGGATGCTCGTGGAGTGCCATTAGATGCATATCTAGGAGTCACGGAATCAGGAAGGGGTATCGCGGCGGCTGCACGGCTCGAAGGCGTCCGCACCGGTTGTGACGAGTACTGGGAATCCCAGAATCGAAAATATTTCGCATTTCAAATTCACAGTCGGAGTTCGTTCCTATGGCGTTGATGATCAATTCCCAATGTGATGGCATGGCCACTTTCGAAGGGGGTGCGAGGTGTCATGGTCATCACACACGCACGCGCACGCAGTGTCAGCAGCTACGTGGACTTCCAGCGTCAACCAGTTTCATTCAGCTTGAGCTGAAAAGTGCTGCAGACGGGCCGCGCACGGACAATCACTTCATGGCAGACCGCTGACGTGTTTTATTTCTCACCCGCAATCGCAACGGCGCACATAAATGCACCTCTCGATTCATCTTGTCGTCACCGTGAGCCAACGGCCCATCCTGCCCGATGTCGTTAGCAAATGGATTGAGCGTGCATGACAGCGCTGCCGCGCTGGTTGCGCAGACATATGCTCGGATACATGGCGTCAGGCAGGTTCCCGAATATTATCTCTGCAATGAGGGATATTTCGATTCGACACAACGGCAGGAAAAGTTCATGCAGCAGGGATCGTGGTTGTTCGGCAGGAGATTCGCGTTCGCGGACCACGGGGGGCTCTGTGCTAGCGATAAGGTTTTCATGGAGGCGCGGACAGATAAATCTGGAGGACTCGAAACACCTGACAAATGTACACAGAGATCTCCTTGTTCAACAACGTAGCAGGGCATCCTCTTAGGGATCGCACCTTTCATCAGGGCCGAAACGGGCTATCATAGATGTGATTGGTTAAAGTTACCAAAGGCTGGGTGTGCGCAACGTTGGCGCGTGTGAGGCTGGGGCCTAAACGGGAGCCTCACTAGCACGTGAGGTGGCACGACAGGAGGAGGCCAGAGCCGTGAGGGCGCAGAAGGGAGTGGAAGGGGAGCGCGAAAGAGCAGAACGGAGCGGACGAGGGGGCGAACGAGGGAGCGAGTCGACTAAATAGTCGTTAGCGGGCGAGGGAGAGCAAAGCGGCGGGTGATTAGTCAGCTGAAGGGTGGTAAAAGATATTCGGGGACTATATATATCTACGAGGTATAGTATACCTTATATATCCCCCGACTGTGGTTTGTCCCTTACCATTTTCGTTCAGGGAAGGGAACGCGGCCGCTTTACTCGGGCACGTGACGGAGCGTCGTGGGAGCCACGGCGGAGTACGGGGGACTGCGCCCGGGCACTGGGCGAGCCGTGGGGAGCTTGTCTAATGCCCATTCTCAGAAGCCAGTTTGGGCTCAAGGGGGCCCCTTTGGGCCTCGACTGTGAGCCTACACCACTATACTCCGTACTCAGCGGCGAATCTTGACCTCTCCAAAGTCCATTTCCGTTTCCAAACCTGAGCATCTCGCTATTTGACCCGTGTCATGACTGAGCCATTCTGAGCTGTGGCTGTGCAGTTCTGAGCTCGGCTTGGCTAGCACTGAGGCACCATAAGTACAACCCTAAGTCTTTGAAGGTTTCTATAACTCGGCCCCCTGGGTTCCTCAGTTTTTAGTGCTTCACGTATTCGGAAGGCCTAAATCCCGGGCTCACCCTCGGTTATTGTTGCCAGAGCGCCATCATGGCCACTTTTCGGGCTACGCCGCTGCCTCGAGGAGGCGCTCTCTAATTAACCTACGATGTTGATTTATCCATAGCACTCTGTAGAAGTTTGTGTATTGACAAGACAGCAGTTTAATTGCTGATATTGTACCTTCCTTAGTAACCGTGACCGCATATAAACTGCCTCTATCGGCATGAATAGTGATCTGTGGGAAACTGGGCCGAGGACGTAAACTATCAAACTAACTGCACTGGAGTGGTCTATCCATGACTCAAACGCACGTCCGGAGGAGCCGTCGGGAGATGATTTTCATCGCTGAAGTCGGATTCCCACCGCGTGCTTGTAACCGTGCATCCTTTATGCCTTAGTTGTTAGGCGTTTCTAGCGGCGGGATTATACTTAGTTGGACATGGTATAGAAATTGGGGCGGGTAAGGCAGACTCATGAGGGCAGGACACTGAATAGCAATTGTCCTTTCGCTACCAGGATGGAGGCGGTTTTATGCAAGCACGGCTGTGTGGGGGAACGTTGGAATGGAGTGAACGGTACTGACCTTGTGGAAATTGATTGGCCGACCTAATAACGGCGTGCATATGCAGCGAGGCTGTGCAGACGTTTGTCCTTGACAGTGAGCCAACGAAATAGGATAGGATGGCTGGCATGGGGGACTTTTTGGCTAGGTAAGAGCAAAGGGGCCATTCACTACCGCTTAGGAGTTGGAGAGCATGGAGGGACGAGCTGAAGGGTCTGCCAGGATATGGGATGTACAAAGAGGATGGGTACCTGGTAAACCTTCACTCGGTCCCGTAGAACAGCGACGCAAAGGCCCCAGCAGTCTTTACCATCGGCCAGCGAAAGTCTTTCGATCTTCCGGTCACTTGAGTACCTGAGCTACATGTAGCATCGATTCGCCTAGTCTTATCGAAGGGGAAAAGATGCCGTGCGATGTTCTTAGTAAGTAAAGGACGAGCTAATGAGTTCGTCACCCAGTTGCTTTCGCGACATTAGTTAGTATATTGCTTGAACCTAGACTTCCTCGCGAGCGAGATTCACTATCGGCGTTATGTGCTAGTAGTAATGGATCCGAAACTTTCAGCTAGGGAGTGCTTAATACCCGTTATTTGACAATTTTGAGGGGAGAGGCTGCGAAGGGTAGTTAAAATGCTAGTAAATATGAGTTTGAGTAAGGGTAGGAGAGTTTCTTGAGTAGAATGTACTTAAAGGTTGTGCGCTAAGAAAGCGGGATCCGTGGAATAGTGTTCTGGGCCCATAGAGCCCTGGTATATTGGCTGGTCTACTAGGATTATCATAGGGAAATTAGTTAATGGCTCTGAGGAAGAACACTCAGGGTATGGATATAGTACTCTTCTGATTACGGCAGTGGTAAGAACATGGCTGGTAGTATGGATTGAGTGTGTATGGTTGTCATGCCACCGTATTTTGGTTCGCTGCTCGTGAGCCCGTCCACATGTGGGAAGGAGTTTTAAGGCACGATAGAAGTGTTTTGGTAGGTTTAGCGAGCATCATGTGGTTGCCAAGAAGCCCTATGGCCCAACTACCCGCTTTTCGTGTGATGTCACATGTCACCCCGTCTGGCTGCTCAATGCCTCGGCCACGGGCAATATTTGTCCTCTTCTAGGGTCCACGTCAACGGTCACCCAATCACTCATTACCCCTGTGGTCATCCCTGTGCCCTCACGAGTGTCCTCCTACACTGTCGATCCAGCTCCTCGAAACTTATTCCCCCTTGACACCACGCTGTGACTTGGGCACACTCGGTGACACTGACATATCGCTTAGCAATCATGTACTACAGCAGCGGCAACTATGAAGCCTTCGCTCGGCCGCGCAAGCCAAAGGACGTGGACGACAAGACAGCATGGTTCGTCGGGTCTGGTCTCGCCTCTCTGGCCGGAGCAGCTTTTCTGATACGCGATGGTCAGATGCCAGGCAAAAACATCACGATCTTTGAAGAGCTCGACGTCCCTGGTGGGGCATTAGACGGCATTGACAAACCTGAGAAAGGGTTTGTTATTCGCGGAGGCCGGGAGATGGAGGACCACTTCGAATGTCTTTGGGATCTCTTCCGGTCGATTCCCTCGCTGGAGATCGAGGACGCATCAGTATTGGATGAGTTCTACTGGCTCAACAAGGACGACCCTAACTACTCGCTTCAGCGTGCAACGATCAATCAGGGCCAGGACGCACACACAAACGGTCTGTTCGGTTTAAGCAGTAGCGGACAGAGGGATATCTTCCGCATCTTCATGACCCCACGGAAGGAGCTCGAAGGCAAGCGCATTAGCGAAGTTGTCGGCAGCAATTTCCTCCAAAGCAATTTCTGGATGTATTGGCGGACGATGTTTGCGTTTCAGGAATGGCATTCAGCATTGGAATTCAAACTGTACCTCCACCGCTTCATTCATCATATTGGCGGATTGCCCGACTTCACCGCCCTGAAATTCACAAAGTACAATCAGTACGAATCGCTTGTCCTGCCACTCTATAAATGGCTGGTCGACCGCGGGGTGAAGTTCCAATATAAGACAAAAGTCCTAGATGTGGACTTTTCACTTACCAACGGGACGAAGCAAGCTACCCGCATTCAATGGACGAAAGACGGTGAAACAAAAGGTACTGATCTTAGTTCCAATGACTTGATATTCATGACTATTGGCTCTTTGACTGAGAATACCGGAATGGGAGACCACCACACAGCTGCCAAATTGGACGAAGGGCCGGCACCAGCATGGGATCTGTGGCGGCGTATAGCAGCGAAAGATGCCGCTTTCGGCAGGCCAGACGTTTTCGGCTCGCATATTCCCGAATCAAAATGGCAGTCGGCAACAGTAACCACGATAGACGAGACCATCCCCAGGTATATCCAAAAAATTTGCAAACGCGACCCCTTCAGCGGCAGAGTCGTGACCGGCGGGATCGTCACAGTGAAGGATTCCAGCTGGCTGCTCAGCTGGACGGTCAACCGCCAACCGCACTTTAAAAAGCAACCGCCTACGCAGATTGTGGTCTGGTTGTACTCACTTTTCGTCGATGTGCCCGGGGATTTCATCAAAAAGCCTATGCAAGACTGCACAGGCGAAGAGATCACACAAGAATGGCTCTATCATCTCGGCGTGCCGACGGAGGATATTCCGCACCTGGCAGCCACAGGCGCCAATTGCGTGCCCGTCATGATGCCTTATGTCACGTCCTTCTTTATGCCCCGGCACGCAGGTGATCGGCCGGACATCGTGCCGCACGGGTCAGTGAATTTTGCGTTCATAGGGCAGTTCGCGGAGACGACGCGCGATGTTATCTTTACGACCGAGTACTCTGTACGTACAGCAATGGAGGCTGTGTATCAATTGCTCGACATAGAGCGCGGAGTCCCCGAGGTGTTCAACTCGACGTATGATACCCGCACAATTCTCTCTGCGATAAGCCGGTTGCGTGACGGCAAAGAGCTAGACGCGCCCTTGCCAGAGTTCCTGAGAAACTGGGTCGCGCAAAAAATGAATAATGAGGTCGGGAACCTTCTCAAGAATAATCATTTGATTTGAGGGTGTATATATGTGTAATCGACATCGAATCGACCATATGTACTCAGAAATATCATCCGGCTGCGGAAGGACAAGGCAGTACATTACGTCTCCCTAGATCTGCTTGTTTGTTTGAAGCGTCATGTTTGCAGGAACAACATGGGCCAGAAGGGGGACCATATCTGACCTGCAATATAATCATCTGGCGGAGCGGCATTGCTCTACTGAGACGGTCGACTGCTCACCCTGACTGCTGCGTTCGTCTTCGTCTCGTGTCATCCAAAAAGGGGGTCGAGGGCGTCAGGAAGAACAGCATCCAGCACAAGTTGCTAATATCACGGCTCGATCACAGCGTTAATAGACGTTGCTAGGCTCGCCTGAGCAGCCACGTGCTGGCATTCCAATCGCATCAGAGATTGCGGTATCCCCTGAGTACTTGGGCGGAAGATACGATCTGCAGGACGCTATGTTATCCGTTTATGACCTCCAAACCTACATTGAATCCGGCAATTTCCTTTGTAGTGTCAGTGGGCCGGTACGGCGCAATGCCTTGGTCGAGAATTCTACGAAGGTATCTCGATGCATTCCTCTGGAGATGGATTGCTGCTGTAACCACCTCTTGAATGCCTACCTAGCCAAGCCTGATGTTGATATGCTCAGTCTTCTGTGAATCCCAGTAGGACTGGTACACCCTGCCTAGCGCCTTGCAGAGCGCCGTCCTCCTTCCACTTGCTTCGGCGCGACCAAGCTTACCTGTACCGGATCTTTCAAATATAGAGCAACCTCAGTGCCTGCCGGCAATCGTCAGCCAAGGACTGAGCGTTGGCTCTGGTGTCACCATTCGTACGTCACGTATACCTTGCCGACAGCCAGGCACACCGGTACCATTAACCAATCCTTCTGAGCAGGGAAGACACAGTCATTCGAGTGACAGTCAAAGACATATCCAGATGATCCGTCCAGTGTGATAAGGGGCGCGTCATGATTCCAACGCGGTAGATGCTGGTTGGCTTGCTGCGCCGTTACGAGGATGTGGGGAAAGAACTCCCCCAAAAAGCAAGGCTGTACTCGGTAAAGACTGACCCATGATTTCTGATCCTGCCGAGAAACGATAAAGATCATTTACGGATGTAGGATGCTCGGCACAGAAAGATCGCCTTTGACAGTCTTAGAGGGCAGGATCGCCCAAAAACTAAAGACAAACAGGGACGCAGGTGTCCAAGCTAGACGCAAGAGGGTTTGACAGTCGAAGGTAGATACAGTACCAGAATCTGGCGCGAGAACAGTTTCTCCCTCGATGCCGTCCGTATTGTAGATCTGGGTTTCCCAGCTGAAATAGTCTCGGCGCAATCGAGATTCCCTTTGGATTGAGTTTGCGCCGATAAAGAAGATAAGCTCACGGTCGTCTGTACTCGGTATAGGGAAATTGTCCAAGAAGGCCTAACAGAGAGGTCAAGCGCCGAGTGGCCTCGGACAAGATATGATTCGAATCGTCCGGAGAAAGGCGCATGCCGCGGGGAGCACGGTGGCAGGCATGGTACGGACTACGTCGAGTGGGTTGAGGGAGATGGCGCATTCGCTGGCTGGGGGTAAACGTGGAAGTGGTACCGCGTGGGAGCGACGCAGCTATGAGCAGCTATGAACAGCTAAGGTGACGGTGGGCGAGAAGGAGAGGAGCAACAGATGATGGCGCAGGGAGGCCCTGGTGCAACGGTGCTTCAGGCTAGTCAAGGCCGGCTTCCGCGGGGCGGAGGATCATTTTTCCAGCCTCGCCCTTCCGCAGTCTCCCCATGTTCCATCGTGCCAATGGTCCACTTCCACTCTCCCATTCCCACAATTCCTCCCGCTACACGCTTCGGCCTGCCAGATGCGCTCCTCGTCCTCCCGCATCGCTGCAAGACCAGCAGAAGCCACCACCACCCTGGACGCAGTCCTCCTCTCGTTGTGCCACCACCTCGTCTGCCTCGAACCACTCGTTCTCCGCCAGTCGCACAACCTCGCCAGGGCGCAGAGATAAGCTTGTGCAAGGGTCGAGAGATATGAGAAAAATGGACACGATCAAACAAGCCTCTAACAGATCATGGACTTTACCTTTCGAGCGTCGCCGCCCCCGTTCACCTCGTCGATCTGATCATAGCCATTGACATCACAAACAAGATCGTATTTCTCGTCGCCAATCGCCTTGGACAGCCCATTCGAAGAAACAAGGGGATCAACAAACCATAATTGACTCTTCGCCAGAGGGTTTCCAGAAGAACCGTGTTATCATCCGTAGGTACAGGTTGCCCGTGCCTTATCGCGAACCCACGAGTCCAGGGTTCGCTAGGGGGGCCTAGGCCATCGTCAGCGCCAACCACGATTTGATCAAGCTTCCTCGACCCTTGTCCAGCCTGTCCAAAGAGAATGGGGTTTGGGTCTTATCAAGGACTTTGAAGATCTCCGAGTGGATCCAACCTTCGGTGCCCTCCACCCAACGAGGTCCGACTTCTCTCTCTGGCATCGAGCTGCTTTGCATCATATCGCCTGCGATTATCGCTACGCTGCTGGTCCCCTGTCGCGTATATCTTCTGCATGTCCTCCCCGTGGGATGTAACCGTCTTTTACTCTATGGTCGGATTCTGAGCCACCGGCAAGATGTCGAAATACGTGACAGGAACAAAGAAATATATCCCCAGCCGGGAGACGGTCAAGGCGAGGGCGACAACGCTCAGTGCATGGGAGCTCCCTAAGCAAGGTAATTCAATCGCCCTGGTCCGACAAAAAACACGCACTTTACTGACCCAAATCCGCAGAATCCGCTCTTGCACCCAAAGATGTGTGGTAAGTCGATGCTTCCATAAAGAAGCACGCGCAACAAGCGCCAGGAGAACCTCTCAGACTGACCCAATGTACAGGACCAATGCGGATATGGACCCAGTCCCTCCAAAGTACCAGACGTGGACTTTGTGGACGTGGATGGCCTACTGGGCAACCGATACTATCAACTTGGGTACCTGGGAAACTGCCTCTTCTGTGATTGCTGTCGGTCTTAACTGGCGCGATGCCATTCCCATCATGGTTGTCGGTACCAGCTGCGTGGCTGTCCCTATGGTCCTCAACGGTGCTATCGGCGCTAAACTGCACATCCCCTTCTCGGTCATTGTCAGATCCAGCTTCGGATACTACTTCGGTTACTTCTGCATCGTCTCTCGGGCCATCTTGGCCATGTTCTGGCTTGGTATCCAAGGAGCCAACGGGGCACAATGTATTACTCTCATGCTGACCGCCATCTGGCCTTCGTACGCGCACATCAAGAATCACCTCCCCAGTGATGCCGGTATTACGACGCAGGGAATGATCAGCTATTTCCTCTTCTGGATAATCCAGCTTCCACTATTGCTGATCCCTCCGACGAGGCTTCGATATCTCTTCATAATCAAACTCGTCGCTGCGCCAATCACTGCATTGGCTACTCTCGGCTGGATTGTTCACAAGGCAGGAGGCAGTGGTGCCATCTTCTCCCTCCCCGAGACGGTTCACGGCAGCCAGCGCGCTTGGTTGTGGCTGTCATGCATGTCCTCGGTCACAGGATCTTGGGCTACACTGGCTTGCAACATCCCTGACTTCAGTCGCTATGCGAAGACCTCCCGCGGCCAGTACATCCAGCTGCCCTTCCTTCCCGCCATTTTTACGGTATGCGGTGTGATGGGTATCGTCACCACATCTGCATCCAAGGTCCTTTACGGAGAGTTTCTGTGGAATCCGTTGGATATTATCCAACATTGGCTGGACAATCCCGGCGGTCGTGCGGCTGCTTTCTTTGCCGCGCTCTCGTGGTACGTTGCCCAAGTCGGCACAAACATCACCGCAAACAGCATGTAAGTCAAACTTCTTGAATGAACCCCTTCGTACCGAATCAACATGCTAATTTGTAATAGTTCCGCTGCAAATGATTTGACGGTTCTTTGTCCCAAATACGTCAACATCAAACGTGGTTGTGTCATCGCGGCCATTGTCGGTGGCTGGGTCATTGTTCCATGGAAGATTCTCAGCTCTGCAACCACCTTTTTGGCTTTCATGGGCGGCTATGCCGTCTTCCTCGCTCCCATGGCCGGTATCATCGCCTCCGACTACTGGATCGTCAAGCGACAACATATTGATGTGCCTGGTCTATATGATCCGCGTGGCCGATACAGGTACAATATATATGGAATCAACTGGCGAGCCATGCTCGCCTTTCTACTCGCCATCGGGCCCTGCATGCCTGGCCTGGCATGGAGCATCAACAACAGCTCAAAAATCACCTCAGGGGCAAAACACCTGTATTCTTTTGACTGGCTCTATGGCTTCGTGGTCAGCATCTTCATCTACTCGACCACCAGCTACATCTGGAAACCGACCGATCAAATTGTGGCGCACACTGTTTACGGCATCCCTCAAGACCCCGACGAGGAAGAGGCGTACGAAGAAGCGTACGACGAGAAGGTGCTCAGGAGAGACAGTCTCGTGGGCAACCCTAAGAGTTTCGCCAATGTAGGTGGAATCGACAACATGGGCAGCGCTCTTCATTTCAGGAAGTCTGTTGATGAAACTGCCAGGGAGAGTATCGAGGTGAGACGAGCCAGTAAGGCCAGCCAGGGTGGTCAAGGACCGCATGCCCCTGGTACCGTCCCTGCTCATCTCAAGGGTGTTGACCAGGATGTGTTGAACGAGAAAGTCTAACTTGCTCCGATCAAATTGAATTCGATCTAGGCGAGACAGGCCATCTCATCGCCCCTTTGATCGTGCCTAGCATCAAGATCAAGGACGCCATCCTGAGCCAGACACCTTTAAGATCGTTTCGCGGCCAGCTTCTGAATTAGTTGACGGTCGCCTCCTGTTCTCTACCGAATTGAAATGATACCCAACTGCATGTCCCAAAAGACTGAATTTCTATATCAAGAACCCTTGTCCGACGATTGGAGTTGTATACAAGTATGGAGGTAGACGAAAACAGTGCTAGGGAAACCGTTGGTACTCGGTAGAGTCTAGACTTTGCGAGGATATCTTTCTACAGACAAGAATCAGATATGTATTTGACCTGCTTAGCAATTGTTCTGACCTTGTTGTTTGTCGTATGTAAGATTACCTCTGCGATCGGATAGATTAGTAGTAGTCCGCCTCCACGGACAGTATCATCTACTACGTAGGTACTTTCTGTATTGTGTCCACACTCATGTAGACCCTTTTCAATTTCATCTAGGGTATGTCGTCCCCTATCCGGCTTGAGCCATCGAAAGTTGTTTCACGTTTTCTACTCTCATTGGTTAACAGCACCTCAGCTCTCAGTTCTCCATCCCGTGCCCTGCCTCGCATCCTCCCTTCCTCCCTTCCCCCTTTCCCGCCTTCTCCATTCCCTCCCCTTCCTCCCTTTCCTCCTTCGCATCATCGTCGTCACCTCCCTACGTATCGATGTCGCAGACGATGAAGTAGCGCTCGACGACGCCGCCGGCAATGACCTTGCCGTGCACGGGGTCCACGGCCGCGCCGGTCAGCACGGTGATCAGCGACCCGTCGTCCCAGTACAGCAGCTCGGGCTCGTAGTCGCGCGCCTTGACCAGGCGCAGGATGGCCGCCTCGCCTTTCATGGAGTAGTCGAGCAGGTGTTCGGCGCTCAGGCGGGTCCTCAGGGCCGCGACGTCGGGGAAGACTGCGCGGTGTCAGACAAGGGGCTGGTCGATGGGCATACTTGAAGGGGGGGAGCGGGAGTAGATAAGACGGGGCAGGGGGGATGGGGGATTGGATATGGAGATGGGAAGGGAGGGAAAGGGAGGGAGAAATGTGGGATGTATATATAGCAAGATCGGGACATACTGCACACTGCAATGTCCTCTGTCCCGGGTATGAGGGAGAGGTTATCCGCCGAGGCGCCGAGTTGCTGTATTGCCGCCAGTCAGTCAGTCAGTCAGTCAGTCAGTCAGATGTCCCCGAAGTATATCTCCCTTTCTGGTTCGAACCCTGACCGGATGGGCCCAGAGACAGTCGTCAAGACTCTACGAGGGAGAGCGGGGACGGGGACAAGTTAAAAATTCACATACGACTTTCTTCCGCACCGTCAGGGCCTTGGTCTCCGGGTCGACGTCGTAAATCGTGGTCGTCGCCTCGACCACATCGTTGATCATCAACGTCTTGCCGCCGTCGACCAGCAGCGCGCCGTTGGCGCTCGGGTGCGCGTTCGGCGGCGACACGGTGCGGCAGTCGATCTCGGCCGACGAGGCGTCCGACGAGGCGTTGCAGTAGACGACGTCCGTGGCCCATTTCCAGGGACCCCAGTGGTCCTCGTGGCTGCGGAGGACGGTGGCCAGCGGGCCGCCGCCGTAGAAGTAGTGGTCGTTGGTGATGAAGAAGGAGCTGCGGACGGAGGAGACATGGGTATTAGTCATAGCCGCGTCGGATTCGAGGAAAAAAAATTCAACATCCCCTGGCCATAACGGCCGATAGGGGCGGAGAGGATCCAGGGCTTACCTCAGACTCGTCGCGGCCACGGCGTTGGGCGTCTTGACGGCCGGGTGCTTGAATTCGCGGACATACGTCAACACGTCGGAGCCGAGGGTGTGGGAGAACAGCACGATGGTCTCGCCTTTGCGGCCGTGGTTGACGGCGAAGACGTAGATCTACCCGTTCGTCAGCAATGTCCCGGTCCTCTGTGGGTTTTGCAACGATGGTGGTGGTGGTAGTGGTGACTGATCCAAAGGACCATCGATAAGGGACAGAACAAGGAGAGATAGATACCTTGGAGTCGTCGCCCTCGGGCATGAAGAGGTCAATGCCGTGCAAGACCAGGTCGTACGAGGCGTCGATGCCCTCGATCTTCAGCTTGGTGGCCTTGTCTTTCTGTTTGATTCGCGCCCCAGGGTTTCTCGTCAGTCTTCTCCTCGCCGTACTTGGCTGTGAGCTCGGTAGGGGCTGTGGTGCTTGGACGTTACCTTGATGTCATATTTCAGAAAGTACTCCTGGTAGGTCTCGGCACTCACGGTGTCGTGGCGGTTCAAGGGCGGGTAGAAGGCCTCTCGGGTCTCGGGGTAGCCGCATGCTAGAGGAGAAGCGAGTCGGTATCAAAAGACGGTACACTCAGGGGACGGTGAGGGGCAGAGCACGAGCTGAGAGGGATTGAGAGAGTAGACGAACCTAGGAATGCCGTGGCCGATTCGTGGTGGATGCGCACGTCCTCACACGCTTTACCAACTGGTGTTTGGTTCCCGCGGTCAGTCTCTTGAATTGTAGGGGTCGATGCCTTGACACCATGCACCTGGGGCAACCTGGGATCTCACGAACGAGGATTCGTCCAGCATTTGTCGTTGTTCAACGGGCCGTGATGCAGCCACGTCGTATGGACCCTTGCATCCGTGTCGCGGCCCCCGTACAGATTCAACACCGGGTATGGGTATGCGTAGAAGATGCCGGACAGGGCGACCAGGAAGGACAGTGGTCCGAACCAGACCCAGTTGTTGACAGCCATGGTTTGGTCTACGAGCAGGAGGTAGTATGGATCAGTCCAGGTGGTGTGCTGCTAGGATTGATGCTGTCAATCCAATGTTGCTTACATTAGATGGATGGAGGCGGGGGGAAAACCTCGGCTGTCGGTTGACAGTAGGTTCAATTCATACATGTTAGAATTCGTCGAGACGCAGGAAGAAGAAAAGCTGACCCCATTGTGCGTGAAGCGGAATTTCCCCGTGCGTCCTCCATCCATACAGCGTTGGGCTTGCACGGTACAGGTGATTGAGGCGAGCAGGTCCTCGATCCTGCTTTGTGGCTATGTATACTCCCTCAACTTCCTCAAGATCTTGCCCCCAAGCTTGTTGATCAGACTTGCTCTATGCTCGTCGCCTCGCTGTGCATGCGCTCCCGGCTGGGACATGTTTCCTGTCATCCCCCCCGAGTTCGATACCGAGACACCACCGCTCCACTGCCCCGAGACGGACAACGCACAGCACATGGATTGGGCCTGAGGATGAAAGTGCTCTGGACCAAAACTCAGGACTCGGGCTTTGCGGTTATTCCATCCCTGGCCCTCGTGCTCCGTGGCGTGGTAGATGCAATACACTCTCCCATCCCCATACGGAGAAGGGATGAAACTCGCGTGTCCCGGCCCAAAAGGTCCTCCTTTTTCTCCGTCACTGACTAGCAGCGGCGTTGGGCGTTTCCTCCATGACGACTCCTTCAGCGGATCATCGCCGACCAGCTGTAACACGCCCAACCTGTAGTCGCTGGTCCAGCTCCCGTTGGCACTGTAGATGATTCCCTCATAGCCCGGGATGCTCACGAACGTCGGACCTTCGTTGACGCCGTGTGTCCCTCCATCGGCCCTTTCCCAAGGCAGTTCCGCCCTGGATATGCATGTGAGCGTCTCAGGCCGCGCGACCTCGGGCGTCTCCAGCTCGATCAAGAACAGATCTTGCTGCCGGTCCGAGTCATCGCCCAGCGGCCACCCTGAGTAACAGCAATACAGCTTCTGAGTGCGCTGCAGGAAGAAGACGGTCGCATCGATGTTCCAGTGGTTAGGCAGTCCCTCCATCTGTCCGAGAAACTCCCAAGCTCCCGCCTCCATGGGATCTTGGCTCTGGCTGCGCAGCAAAAGCGTCCGATGTGAAGGGTTCCCAACCTCCGGATGCGCCCCGCAGAAGTAGATGTACCATCTTCCATTCAGGTAGTGTAGTTCGGGGGCCCAGATGTCGACCACCCAGGGAGTTGCGGGCGGCGGTTTCCAGGCGATGATCTTCTTACAATTCCTAAAGTCCTCCATGTTGTGCGACATCCATATCTCGACACGGTCTCCGCAGGTAAAGGTCAGGTAGAAGCGGTTGTGCGCGGCGACCATCCATGGATCTGGCGTGTCCGTGTCTGCAATGGTTTGATTCGACATGTTTTCACCTAGCTGGGGTTGAGGTAGATATGAGCGCAGAGGCGAATTGAGTATGACTGAGATGGTCAACAAGATAGGATGGCATCTTTTGCTGTCATGGATCAGAGAATGGGAAAGCTGCAAATTGTCCTCGACGTAACCGATGATCGTGGGTTGGCAAGGCCGCCGAATCACGTCCCATGTCGTGTTTTGTTGTTCCACAAACTCTCACCATGCAGGACAATGCAACCTCTCTGCCTTCCTGCTCGCACAGTCCAGCTCTGTCTGTCTGCATTTCAAATAACGGCACCTCGCTTTGAGACACGGGAGAATAAAAACTACGCCCACCGTGAGCAGGTTGGTAGGCACACAAGTGTGAGTGATCTACTGCCTCAAACACGTCAACTCCCAGTCTAATCCATCCTCCACAAATCAACAGACTTGGACTCCAGAGTCCGAGGCATTGCTTGCAAGAATCTTAATGCTTATATTGTGTCTCTGTATTACATTCATTGTAGATTGTGGGGTATCATAGTCATCAGCTCGTGGGCACATCACTCATAAAATCATCACTCCTCCTCTTCCTCCACTGCGTTGATATCCCTACCAAACAGGCCGATGGCTGGAGTGTATGCCGGTGTCGTAGATGCCAGCAATTGGTTCCTTCGAGCCGCCGGCGTCGCTGGAATCAGAGAAACCTCCCTGGCCGCTTCCTCACGACTCGACCCAGCCGACGCCTGCCTCCATTTCTGGAGGAACCCAAGAGCCCGTTTCTTCTCGGTACGATGGAACAATACATCCGCATCCTCTTCTAGTCGCTTCGTCCTAAACGCCGCATTCCTCCAATTTCTGAGCATTTGCAATGCATAGCTGGCAGTCCTGGTAGAGCGGTATTCATCTGCCTTCCTTTGATTCTCCAGGATCTGCTGGGTTGGGACAAGCCAGTTCGAACCGAAGATTTGGAGGCGCTCGATGAGATTCTTGCGGAACAAAGCATCGGCTTGGAGGTTGGCCTCCTGCATCTGCTCGGCCTTGTTGAACATGGTGATGATTGCGCCGTGGGCTGTGCGCCTTGCACCCTCCACCTCTTTGCGGGCCCGGAATTCCTGAGCGGTCACATTCATTTGACGCATCTGGATCGCCTTCTGCCTCCAAATATTCAGTGCCGTGCGAGCGATATTCATCTTGACTTTTCTTCTCATGGTTTTGTATGCTTCGGTGTATTTCGCCTCCTTGCTCTTTCTGGTCGCGGCTCGCCATCTGTGGAAGTATGTAAAGCCCAAAACATGCTTGCGGGCCTCCACAACCTTTTTCTCTTCGATTCGGAGTAGAGCTTTCTCCCGCCACTTCTGAAGAGTATGTTTGCTCGCAAAATAGTCTGCCGCGGCCTCTGCTCGTCGTTCATTCAATCGTATATGGTCGAGCTGCACCAACCACGTATGAAGCATTTTCCGGCTCAGATTCCCTTCATACGCTAGGACGGCGTGAGTTTCTGCTTGCCTGATTTGGCTCCTCTTCGCTACCATCTTCACCAGAGCATTTTGAAGTGCTTGCCGATCGCGGAAGTCAGCAGCTGCGGCATCCATCTCTCTGAGACTCGCAGTCTTCTCTTGCCATTTTCCCAGTGCTTTGCGCAGAATTCTCTCATCCCTGACCTTAACAAAGAGCATTTCACGAGTAGCCAATGTCCAATTTTTGAGCGAAAACGCAGCATCTCGTCGCATGCGAAAGTCGTCGGCGACAATATCCATTTGGCGGATTTCTGCTACTGTGTTGCGCCAGTGCGACAGGACCTTTCTTGCGAGGTTGCGTAAGTACAAACTGTCTGCTACTGAATTCATAGCCGGGTCTTCGTATTCCAGGTATGCGGATCTTTGCAGCTGCAGCTTGTGGCGCCATTGTTCAAGTGCTTGCGATGCTAATTTTCGGCTGTCGAGGGCGACGGCTTGCTGCCAGAGAGGGTCATCTCCATCGATCGAGTCGATCGAGTCAGATGTGGCAGGGCGCACCGGCATAGAAACTTCATGGGCAGCCCGGCCTTTTGGGCCTTCCCCGTAATCGGTCGCCGCATCCGTTGAAGTTCCATCTGTGGTCAACACTATGTTCGCCTCTTGTAACACATCGAGAAACTTTTCATTGAGAGGGATTTCGGGGTCGATCTCGAGGAGGTCAAGGAGCCACTGCAAGCACGGGTCATCGTATTGCGTCGATACGTGCCCTTCTGAGCATACGGCTTTGTATTCGCGCTGTACGGCAGCGGGGGTAAAGTTGACGGCGGCTTCTTGGAGGCGGAAGAGAACACGATGTAGACGGTCGATGTCTTCTGGTGAGAATAGCATCACATCATTGGCGAAGTGCGCCAATTCTTCTGGCGTCATGATGGCGTCCCGAGAGCCACCATGGTCGCAAACCGAGATATTGCAACAAGGGCAGGGCGCATTCGAGTCAACCTGGCTCGCTGGGATATGAGATCGCGTTCAGCCTTGGCAGGTGACGCGACAGCACGTGATGGGTAGTTGGGGCTATTCCAAGAAAGGAAACCGCTAGAACGACATCAATGGCCCCTTTTCCCTTCAGCCCTTCAGCCCTTTGCCGTTCACCACGACAGTCCTTATCGTGCATAGGTAAACTTGCACAACTTGCCAGCAAGGTCTTACCAATCGTGCTCCTTCTCAATAAGGACACACTTGACGCGGTCTGCATGAACCTCGAAGCGACCAAAAGATTATGTTACTTAAAAGCTGACAGATCGGTAAAACTCCGACTCTGCCGCCCAACAATGTTCAGATGTAACAACACTAACTTCACCATTCTCCAGTCATCAAACACGAATTCTGGGGAAGTCGGCACAGCACCGCTGCGTGCAGATGACAAGCTTTTTCCGCCTTCAGTACTTTGCTCTAGGGGCTCGGACAATGAGGATGACGAGGCAAGCCGCCGCCATCGGCGTCCAATCGCCTAGGCGGCCTTTACTAATAGCGCTCAACACTACCCATCTTACGCAGCCTCGTCGATCCCCGCCCCTGGCCTCGACATTATTTCGAGGTCGAGCATCTGGCAACACGCCGTTCGCCGTGTCTGGGGCAGAAGGGCGTTAAAACTTGAACCTTATTGACTGAAAACGGCTATTACCCTTATCAAGATGCGAACGGCTGACTCGCCAATTAAATGCGGATTCGACCTGCCCTGCTCGAATTTGAACACTTTGATTATTGTATCCGGTGGAACATAGTCCAATCACCGGTCTAAACCTGGGGTCGGTCTTTCTCAAGAGACCGGCGTGAAGGACGAGAAAGGGAAAGGGTGTGTTCTTAATAAAGGGCCATGAGAAGGCCGATCTTTTTCTATGTCGGGCCTTGCAGGTGACTGCCCAGGTGTGCCTGAGCGGCTTCAGAATGTCCAAAGATAAATACGAACGGTAAGGGTGTCTATCTTGTTGCCAGTGCTATCACTTTCCCTCAGAGAAATCCTCCGCAATGGCCCAACTTAGCGCCGCCCAGCTCTTTCTCGCCGTCATATGCGTCCCTACAATAGTGCTACTCGCGTACAAATTCTTCTCTGTCAATCCACAATCCAAGATCAATCATTCTCTTCCCCCCGGCCCGAAACCCAGACTGCTGGTGGGAAATCTACCCGACCTTCCACCCGCTGGCGCCAAAGAATGGCTTCATTGGATCAAACATAAGGAGCTTTATGGTCCGATAAGCTCCCTCACAGTTCTGGGCCAGACTATGATCATTATTAGCGATCACAAGGTCGCGGTCGAGCTGATGGAGAAGCGCTCCGCCTTCCACTCGTCTCGGCCGAAGCTGGTGTTTGGGTCCGAAATGTGTGGGTGGGAAAAGGCGCTTGGGCTGATGCCTTACTCCAGCAAAAGTCGTTCCTACAGAAAAGCTCTTCATACCGTCCTGGGCACTTCTGCTGCCATCGATCCGTTCCGACCGCTACTCGAGCTGGAGACCCGGCGGTTCCTGCTCAGGGTGCTCAAGAAGCCTCAAGAAGTGCTGCAGCTTATCCGCACTCAGGCGGGGTCTATCATTCTGAAAATTGGTTATGGGTACACAATCGAGCCCAGTGGGCGCGACCCGCTAGTGGATCTTGCGGAACAAGCACTCGACCAGTTCTCCAAAGCTTGTATGCCGGGAGTCTGGATGGTGGACGTGATACCTGCGCTCAAGTACCTTCCTGAGTGGCTCCCCGGGACTGGTTTCAAGCGCACCGCACGGCAATGGAAAGAGACACTGCATACCGTGGCAGAGTTGCCATACAAATTCGTGCAGCAAAAGCTTCGCAGCGGCACAGCTGAGCCTTCGTACCTCTCCAAGCTTATTGAAGATGACAAGGGATCTCTCTCCCACGAGGCCGAAGATGTTGCTCGGTGGTCTGCCTTCTCACTGTACGCGGGAGGCGCCGACACCACCGTGTCCTCCATGGCCTGCTTCGTCCTGGCAATGACGCTCTACCCCGAAGTCCAGCGCAAAGCACAGGCCGAGATCGATACTGCAATTGGCACGTCTCGCCTGCCGACATTTGCCGACCGCGAGGCTCTTCCCTATGTCAACGCGTTAGTCAAGGAAGTCCTTCGCTGGCACCCGGTAGGGCCGATGGAGTGCCTCACCTGACGACCAAGGCCGATGTGTATGAAGGATACTTCATTCCCGAAGGCAGCCTCCTGATCCCCAACATCTGGGCCATGCTCCATGACGAGACCGTCTACCACAACCCGGACACATTCGACCCTTTGCGCTTTCTCGGCCCCAATGCCGAACCTGACCCTCATAACCTGGCGTTCGGGTTCGGTCGGCGGATCTGCCCCGGCAAGCTGTTCGCCGACGCGACGCTGTTTTCGACCATCTCGGGGTTCCTGGCGGTGTTTGATGTGCGCAAGTGCGTCGAGAATGGGAAGGAGGTCGACCCGGTCGTGGACTTTGACACCGGCATCATCAGCCATCCGAGGCCGTTCAAATGCGACATCAAGCCGCGGTCAGCCAGCCACGAGAAGCTGATCCGATCCGTCGAGATCGATCACCCCTCTCCCGAACATGGCGACGCCCAGTACTTGGCCGACGGTGTCACAGTGTAGGCCTGGCGATCGAATTGGGGTTTTGGTCTTCACGCTGGCTCTGTTTTTTTGGCAGGTAGTTCTACATCGACTATCTAGAGAGCAGACAATGGCGGGCTGGCTTGGCTTCGGGGCTGACGGAGATTTCGGCTGAAACTACAATGAACGAATTCCATGGACAGCAGAACTCGCTGGGTGTTCTTTTCTAGTCTTGTTGCTGATGACGTGTTTTCCCACAATCAAAGTCCACCTTGAAACCAGACAATATTTCTCAACGTATTCGCCAATTAGGGTGTCCGCAGTGTGTATATAAAATGATCGGTGCATTTGTTTTCCGCCTCGTTTGTGACTTTCTCTTGGCCCCTTATTTCCACAATCAAGAAGTGCCAGCCCGTGGTATGGCTGCTGGTCTGGAGATGTGATCTGTAAGAGAGACGAGAAAACAAACGTCGTCTGTGTCTCTGTGGTCGCAAGCTTGTTATTATACCTCCGTATGCTCTGTATATACTGGACGGAACTGGAAACCGACCTCCGCCCCCGCATTCAGCCTCGGCTCCGCACACCAACAAATACAAAATTGAATATGGATTTGATTCCAACGCTCTTTTGTGCTTGCATAATGAATCATCACCTCGCCGCGCAGGGGAGAAGATGTCTCTGGAACGCACACAGCCCGCCGAATGGCTCGAGAGCTACGCGACCCGTCGGCATGACTGGCGGCAAACCACAACAGCCCACCGTGTCGTCTACTACCGGCGCATTGGCATTGTCGAAGGCCTGTTCAACACCGACGGCACAGAATTCGAAGGCAGAGCAGATCTCACGATGCACCTGCACGTGGAGATGAGAACGTCTCTAGATCCCGAAGCCTTGAGAGCGCGGATCCTGCTTGCGTGGAGTGTTCTGCGGAAGAAACACGCCCTTCTCTCCGCCAGGGTCGCCAGCGCCGTTGATGTCCATGGCGGACAGTCTTCTTTCGCTCCCGGAGAGCGCTTGTATGTCTTTGAGCCAAGCAGAGATCCCGGCGAGATGTTGAGCGAGGCGAAGAAGCACGCCGTGTTTGTGGAAGACCATTATCCGCAGGCGGACGCCGACGAGTTCTTCGTCCACACGCTGAACTCGAGTCGATGCATAGACGAGGCCCGGGCGCTGAGCAGGCTCTATGTCATGCCGGTCAAGAGTGCCGCAGACGGCCTGGATCAACTTCACTTCATGTTCATTGCAGGGCACGAGATTGTCGACGGCCTGACCTCCATGCGGTGGATGGCTTCGTTCGTCGACCTGCTCAACCAATCCGCAGGGCAACTATCCTCGGAAGCAGACCTTCTTTGCACCACTGCGCCGGTCGAGAGACTCCCACCCGCGCAAGAATCCTTATATCCTCCAGTGAAGGGCTCTCCAGCAAGACAGAGATGGTCGTGGCTGCTGACTCGCATACTCCGCCATACTCGAAAGCCCCCTCCTGCGTCGTTCCAAAACCCGCTTCGACGAAGGACAGCACTACCCCGAGCCGTTGCCCTCGACCCGAAGTTCGCCAGTGTTCTAGACTATACGCGAACACCGCCCCTCAACACCTTCCCGCTCAGAGCAGTTCTAGGCCCCGTGTCCACGAGGAGGCTGTCCAGAGTCTGCCGCCAGGCGGGGATCAGTATAGGCAGCGGCTGCTTCGCGCTGGTGGCTGTGGTGATGATGCTCTTCGAGGAAAGACGCCACCCCCATGTCCCCACGCACCAGCGCCTCCCCTTCGTAGGCTCCTTTCCTGTGAACCCGAGGCCGTTCCTCGGCGGCAAGCCCACCACGGGGAAGGAGGACAGTCTGATGCTGGCGTTCAGCGACGGTATCACGCTGCCCTTCCTGCCCAGCGACCTGGACCTGGAGGGCAGGTTGCGGCTGCTGGGCAAGCAAGCGCACGGCCAACTGCGGCGATACCAGAAGCGGCCGAGGAGCGTGGCGGAGGAGATCCACCTCGGTTCCAGGAGCCCCAGCCAGCTGCTGCCCCTGCTGTACCTGTCCACGTTGGAGTACCTCGAGAGGAAGAGCCAGAGCGCCCGAAAACGCGGCTGGAACGTCCAGGGCGCCTACCCGGCCAGCACGGGCTCCGGCCTGGCCACCTGTGGGGTGAGCTCGGTGGGCGCTCGAGGATCCGTCATCGCCTCGGGCAAATATGACACGAGGGGCGATCAATCGGCATTACCGACACCAGGACCAGGAGGAGCAGGGGCACGAGGAACATGCGACGTGGTAGCGGACTTCTGCAACCTGCACACCACGGTCCGCGCAAGGGACGGCGAATTCCTCGTCGGTGTCGCCGGGGATGGCGACCACTTGAGGTTCGGGGTCAGCTACGACGGTTGTGCCATTGACCCGGGTCTGGCGAGCGAGTGGAAGCTCGTCATGGAGCGGATACTAGAGGGGGACAAGGAGAAGGATCCTGTGAGAGGGACCACCAAGATGCCGGCCTTCCCGTCCCACAAGCTGTGATGCCGCCCCTTTCCCCCCTTCCCTCCCCCAAATGGATGATCACGATACGACCTACCAGCAGCACATGAGCGGTGGACCGATCGCTGCGCAGGGCCAGACCAGAGTACGCGCGAGGGAGGAGCACCCGAGTCTAGAGGCCCCCCCACACCCAGCGGCACAGTCGGCGGAGAGCAGGCGGTACCGTCAATGTTCCAGGGGTATCTCTCAGTCGTGCCCTCAGTATTGCCTCCCAGAGCACGGAGTGATTACGGTGGCGAAGATGGTTCCTCCATCTGACCTGCTCTAGCCGGCACGGGGTCGAGCTGCGCTCTCGCCAGGGATGGATGTGCAGTGTCGGTGGACTCGTCTTACGCGTACCCTTACGATCTTGGAAATCCTACCTGTGTTGATCTCTCGATCAAGCGAGCCCGTTTTCTAATCCTAAGCGATGGAACTGAAAAGAAGAAAGTATTATTTGAACAATTGAATTCGATTTGTAACCAGAGCGACGCAAGGCAGAGCAAGCAAACAAGCAAGCCAGCCAAGCTAATGAGCATTCTGGAGGTGACCTCCCTCTCAAGACTCGTGCCAGTCATGTAGACAAATTGCTTTCGTGTGTGTCCAGCAAGTGATAACCGTGAGCTGTCCAGGGGCGCTGCAGTGTTTTACAAGATGTACCTGAAGTTCTCGCTGGAGTCGGTCTCGGCGCCGATCTCATCCTCCGTGTTGACAATCTCGCGGACGGGGCCGTACTTCTCGTCCAGCTTCTTGTTCAGGTGCTTCAGCCAAAACACCTGGACGATGGCCAAGGTCGAGGCAAACGTGCAAAACCCAAAGCTGATCCAGAAGCCCTTCTTGTAATGAGGCGCCTCGCTCGCGGGGAAGATGTGGGTGCCCACGAGCGGGCCGCACTGGCCCACAAAGTTCATGAGGATGAAGCCCGCGCCGCGCTTGCTGTCGCTGCCGTTGTTGTTGGCGACCCACGAGAGCACAAGGCCGATGCACGGGTAGAGCCCGCCCGCGACGAGGTAGAGGGCAAAGTACTTGACCCCGACCACCTCGACCAGACACAAGATGAGATAGCCCACGGCTGCCGTGCCGCTGCACATGGACAGGAAGATGCCTCGGCGTTGGAAGTGGTCGGAGAGATGGCCGATTGCGAGCACAACGAGACACGCAAAGAGGTAAGGTGGTGCTGAGAGACCTTGAGCGTGAAGAGCGGTGAAGCCCATGCCCTGGAGGATGGTGGGTGTGTAAATGGGCAGAGAGGCGTAGCTGACATTGCAGGAGAAGTACATGAGCGTCGGCAGCCAGTTCTTGAGGTCGAGCAACGATTTGAAAAAGTTCTTGACGTTGATCTTCCGGTCGCGCTCGACATTGCCAACCATTCGAACCATGCGAGCCCGGGCGATTTTCTTTTCCTTCTCGCTCAGGAACTGGCAGTCTTGAGGATTGCTGGGAAGCCAGTAGTAGCCGAAGAAGCCCACTGCAACAGCAGGTAGACCTTCCACAAGGAACAAGGCCCGCCAACCAGCAATGGCATGGTGATGTTTTGTCACAAAGTAGGCGAATGCTCCGGCAAAAGAGGCGCCCAGAGGAGCAATGGACACGTACCAGCCCAGTCTCCGACCCATCTCCTTGCGGTAGTAGAAAAAGGAGAAGAAGTAGGCCAGGCCAGGGCTGTAGGAAGATTCGAAGATGCCCAGCAGAAGTCGTAAGACCAGCATACCCGCAAAGTTTTGAGCAGCACCGCAGCATCCAGCAATGGTACCCCAGATAATGATGACAGTCGGAACGTAGTATCGGGCCGGGAAGATCTTGTAGAAAACAGTCTGCCAGTCGAAGAGAATATAACCCAAGTACAAGGCAGTCAGAAGCCACTGGTATTGACTGTCGCTGAGACCCAGGTCTTTGGACATGCCAGCGGTGTTTGCATTTCCAATGTTGCCACGATCCATGTAGGCCAGCAGGTATGCGCCGGATACATAGCCTAGGACAATGACGTCGATTTTCAAGAGCATGCGTTTTTCTTCCGCCTTTGTATAGTTGAAGGCGAGAGCCTCGAGCCTGCCGACGGCCTCAATCTTCTGCTCGTTCTCGGGGGAGGAGATGATGTCCTGGCCTTCGACATGAGTGATGTCGGTCTTGGCTTGGACGACGGTGTCTTTTTCGGCAGCCATGGTTGAAGAGCTTGCTTGATCAGAGGGAGTGGTAGAGCCAGAAGGAGAGGAGTGTGAGACTGGCCTGGGACACGGCGACTCGTCCAACCGCTTTATGTAGGCCCTAGGGAGGCTCTGAAAGCACCGTCCCTCATCCAAGCCCCTTGGATATCGGCAGTAGCATCATGGCCTGACCCGTGGGGAAAATCTATTCCAATGTCAGAGAGAATCACAACCCCCACTGGACTCTCTGTGGATCTCGTGGCGTTCAAATCCGGGGAAAGCTTCTTCGGCCACTCTCCGGATGGGCAAAGTCCCTGCAAGGGTCCTTCGTCCTCCAACTGCCGCAGAAAATCGGGGTTATGGAATCGAGCTGGTTTGGACTTGTTCTGTTGGAACAGACGGACGGACGGGGAATGGCCGGCTGGGCAAATTCAATCCTTGCGTGGGGGATTGTCGAGCGATATCGTCGCTGCACGTCGGGGTCAGTCGCCGTACCATAGCCTTTTTAAAGAACGATACGCCGGTTCCCCAATTGACAAAGACTGTGATATTTTGGCAACTCACAATCTCCTTTCCAATCCAGCTTGACCCAAAATGCCTTCGTTCAAGATTCTTGTGCTCCCCGGGGACCATATCGGCGCTGAGGTCATCCGCGAGGCTGTCAAAGTGCTTCGTGCGGTCGAAGCCCATCCCTCGGTGGTTAATCAAAACATCAAGTTTGATCTTGACTTTGATTTGTTGGGTGGCCAGTCTATCGATGTCCACGGCATCCCTCTGACACCCCAAGTCATCGAAAAGGCAAAGAACTCCGTTGCTGTGCTCTTTGGCGCGGTTGGTGGTCCCAAATGGGGCATGACTGGCGCGTTGCGGCCAGAGACTTCGGTGCTAGACTTGAGAAAGGCACTGAATTGCTGGGCCAATATTCGGCCATGCAAAATCCCTTCTCCTGGGGTTGCCAAGTGCTCGCCTCTGAAAGAGTCCCTGGTCAAAGGAACCGACTTCATTGTTCTTCGAGAAAACCTCGGGGGCGTGTATTTTGGCGAAAAGAAAGAGGAGCTCGACTACGCCCACGATGTCTGGGGCTACCACCGATGGGAGATTGAGCGAATCTCTCGAATGGCTGCTTATCTGGCCCGCAAACACGGAAGTCCCAAGAGTCCCAGCAAGATCACTTCCGTCGACAAGGCCAACGTTCTGGCCGTCTGTCGCTTGTGGCGTGAAGCGGTGACAACGATACACGACCGGGAATTCGCAGACATTCCTCTGCACCACCAACTGTCCGACTCACTGGCCCTGATCATGGTCAAGAACCCCCGATCGCTGAACGGCATTGTCATGTGCGACAACATCTTCGGGGACTTGTTCTCCGACGAAGCAGCCGCTGTTGCCGGATCACTTGGTTTCAGCCCTTCTGCCTGTCTGTCTGGCATTCCAGGTGAACCACTCTCTACAGGCATGTACGAGCCCAGTCACGGCTCTGCTCCAGATTTGCCACCCAACAAAGCCAACCCGATTGCAACCATTCAAAGCGCCGCCATGATGTTGCGCTATAGTTGTGACTTGGACTTCTTGGCAAATGCCATTGACGAGGCTGTGAGCATTGCACTGGATGACAAAGCCTCCGGCGGTCTCGAGGTCAGGACCGGCGACATCGGAGGAAGTGCTTCGACGACGGAGATGGGGGATGCCGTGGTGACTGCTCTCATGCAGATTCTGGATAAAGCGGATACAAATGCCATCTCTGAAAGCGCTAGGCTGTAGGGGCGTCTTCTCAATAGATAGATAGTGGGCCATGAGTCGAATCTGATGTATCTTGACCCCCACGGATTTTGAATACGCCGCACAATATCTCTCTCGCAAGCCACGTGGAGCTTTGGGGGTAATGAAACGTGTGTTTAATGGCAAGTCGATCGGAGCTGGTCGTTGCAGGCATCTGAAAACCCCATGATCGGCGGTATCAGCTCCTCGGTGAACATCCCCCACGGTACCGGCCATTCCCCGGACACGTGAACTGAATGATACATACCTCTGTCGGTGGCCCAGATTTGATCAAGGACTGTCTCTGAAGCACACGACCAGCTTTGAGAAGTGAAGCCAAGCCAAGCCAAATCAACATGCCTCTCACATTGTACGACAAAATCTACCAAGAGCATTTGGTAAATCCTGACGACCAGACAGCTCCACTCTTGTACGTGGATTCACATCTGATTTTCGAGGTCCCGACTGCTCAAGCATTTGATGGCCTCAAAAAGAACAAGCGCCCGGTGCGGAGGACGGACTTGACATTGGCGACAGTTGATCACAATGTTCCGACAGACGACCGGTCTCAGTACCGAGATGCGGCTTCTTTCGTCCAAGAACCACAAGCCAGGACTCAGATCACCTTGCTCGAGGCGAACGTCAAGGAGAATAACATCAAGTACTTTGGTATGCCCGATCGCCGGCAGGGGATTGTCCACGTCGTGGGCCCGGAGCAAGGGCTGACTCTTCCGGGATCTACACTGTTCTGTGGAGATTCACATACCCCTACCCACGGAGCGGTAGGTGCTCTGGCTGTCAGCGGAGGAACATCAGATATTGAACATGTATTGGCCACCCAGACTGTGCTTCAGAAGAAGTATAGGAACTTCCGCGTTCGTGTCGAAGGTGAACTTGGTCTCGGCGTCTACTCCAAAGACATCATCTTACATTTGCTCGGTAAAATTGGGACAGCGGGAGCAACTGGATGTGTCATTGAATTCTGTGGGTCAACCATTCGAAACCTGTCCATGGAGGCGAGAATGGTGCTGTGTAATATGAGCATCGAAGGAGGTGCTCGCAGCGGACTCGTGGCCCCTGATGAAGTCACCTTCGAATACCTGAAGGGGCGACCTCTTGTTCCTTCCGGGCCAGACTGGGACAAGGCTCTTGCATATTGGAAAACGCTGTACAGCGATGAGGGCGCTCACTGGGACTATACTGTTGACATAAATGCCGCGGACATTGTTCCTTCGATCACCTGGGGGACCTCGCCAGACGATGTCATTCCGGTCAATGGGAAGATCCCGGATCCAGCGGACTATGATCAAAAAGAACCATTCAAAGCAGCCGCAATCCGTCGATCGCTCAAGTACATGGACTTGAAGCCGAATATGCTTGCAACGGACATCAAGATCGACCGTGTGTTTATCGGATCCTGTACGAATTCAAGGATTGAAGATCTCAGAGCTGCCGCAAGAGTAGCCAAAGGGAGAAAAGTCGCAGATTCAGTCTATGCCATGGTCGTTCCAGGCTCGGGACTGGTCAAGCAGCAAGCGGAAAACGAGGGTCTGGACGTTATTCTGAAAGCCGCCGGATTTGACTGGCGGGAGGCCGGCTGTTCTATGTGCCTGGCCATGAATCCCGATGTCCTCGCTCCTGGAGAGCGATGTGCCTCGACAACGAACAGGAATTTCGAAGGAAGACAAGGTCCTGGTGGCCGAACTCATCTCCTGTCCCCAGCCATGGCAGCGGCTGCCGCTATCAAAGGCCATTTTACCGACGTAAGGGAATTCTTGACCTCGCAGAACGGATCGCTGCAGGTAACCCAGTTGACGCTCAATGGCGACAAGGTCAGAAGCTATGGGCCAATTGAGGTGACGCCCAGCGCTCCTCCTTCTGCAACTGGCGGCAGCGATGATGCAATTGCGAAACGACCGTCGGAACAAGCCAAGCGCAGTGTGGAAGGAATCCCCAAATTTGACGTGGTGAGGTCTGTACCTGCTCCCTTCGACATGCAAAACATCAGCACCGACCTGGTGATCCCCGGAGAGTACCTCAAAACCACAAAGCGAACCGGCTTAGGGCCGCATCTGTTTCAGGAACTTCGATACGACAGCACGACACACGAGGAAATTCCTGAATTTGTCCTCAACCAAGATCCCTATCGGAAATCCAAGATTCTAGTGTGCACTGGAGAGAACTTTGGTTGCGGTTCCTCGAGGGAGCATGCTGTCTGGGCGCTGGTTGACTTCGGTTTCCGCTGTGTCATCGCCCCTTCTTTCGCGTCCATATTCTTCAATAACTCCGGCAAGAATGGACTGCTGGCGATTCCCCTTGAAGATGCAGAGGCCTTGCAGAAAATCCATGCTGAAGGGATGGCGGGACGTGAAGTCGAAGTGGATTTGCCCAACCAGGAAATCAGGGATGCCAATGGGAAGCTGATTGCCACATTCAAGATGGATCCATACACCAAGCACTGCCTGGTCAACGGCCTGGATGACATCAGTAACACGCTCTTGAGCGAGGAAAAGATCTACGATTTTGAAGTCAAGCAAAAGTCAAAGTTTCCATGGCTATTCGGCCGCATTCGGAAGCTCCAGTCTCCGAGGCGTCTGGGTCTTTATCTTCCTGGCGCACAAGACATCTTCGACTGGTAGGCTGCGGTATACGGAGAGTGAAAGCTGTGAACCATCCCATTACATGGGTCCAGCTGATACCAGTCAGCGGATAGTGTAGCCAACTGTGTTTGTCGAGCCAAGAAAGCAATAATACAAATCCTGATACCATGTTTTCGAGGTTGTTTTCGGGGCTTGGAGCTCGGTCTTTCGGGCTTGATTTCCCCGTAGTCGTAGGATTGTCGCGATGTGCTTGAAAGGGGGGCACGCCAGCATTGTCCCAAGGAAACCGAATATTGCATACAGCGGAGAGCGGAGACCACACCCCACGCCAATAGCCCCCACGAGCATGAAGGCTCCGACCTGGAGTCTTGGGCTGCCCCGAAAGCGGTGGCGTCGGGCTTTCGCCGGGAGCCGTGGGGAATCGTTGTGAGTCGGGAGGGCATACCGAGAGACAGAAATGCCCTGACTGAATGGTAGGTTGCCATTCTCAGGGAGATAATAAGTCGAGGACACAGGACAAAGAGTTCAGACAAAAACTCACCATCGAGAGGCGTATCAAGATGACAATCTCCTATCCAACAGTGTCGCCGCTTCGCTGCGGGTATCTGTCGCCTCCAGCATCGAAATTCCTAGCGGATGCGAAACCAGGGGAGAAACTGACCATGCCGTCGATGGCCTTCTTGATCCAGCACCCCGCGTCAAAGTCAAAAGTTGTCTTTGATTTGAGCATCCGGAAAGACTTGACCAAATATCACCCTGGCCTGCAGAAGCACCTCGAAACGAGGCACCCTTTAAGCAGCCAAGACGATGTGAAGTCAGCGCTGGCGCTCGGAAACGTCGAGGCCTCACAGATCGACTATGTGATCATGAGCCACGTGCACTGGGACCACGTGGGCACTCCGTCCGATTTCACCTCTGCGACTTTCATTGCCGGCCACAATACGGGCAAGCTCCTCAGGAATGAAATGGGACCAGACTTGGCAAACCCGTTCTTTGAGCCCGACTTATTGCCTGCCGATCGCACGATCGAGTTGCCAGCAACACCGAGCTCCAAGGCTAGTGGGGTGTTTGACGAGGCTCACGGATGGTATTGGCAACCCATGTCTCCGATCCAAAATGTCATTGACATGTTCAACGATGGTACCATTTATGTCGTGGATAGTCCAGGCCATTTGCCAGGGCATTTGAATGTCTTGATCCGAGTGGCTGTTGACAAATGGGTTTATCTGGCGGCGGATGCTTGCCATCACATGCGAATCTTCAATGGCGAGACGGATTTTGGGGCCTGGAAGGATGACAAGGGGCGGACAGCCACAATCCATAAAGACCTAGACGCGGCATACAAGACGCTGAACATGATGCGCGTGCTTCGAAGGGACGGGCTAAACGGCATCCCGGTGGAGATCGTCCTGGCGCACGATGGAGAGTGGCAGGAGAAGAATTCGGGCCTTTTCTTCCCCAACCACCTGTAATAAAGTGGCGACGATTCGGGTTGTATGGTATTTTGATGTAGACCATGGCACTTGTGGCGTCGCTGGTGGTCCAATTAAGCTCGATGTGCCATCACCACGCAATGTGGAATAGTTCAGGTACTGATTCGAGGAGGCCACAGGAGCCCTGGCTACCACGTTGTCACTAACGAAACCTGTTCCATGGCAATAACGTGCTCTGCGGTCCTTGCCTCGCATACTTGCCGAGACAGAGAGCCTTTCTCACTGCGTCAATCCAATCGTCAAGGTTGAGATACGCGTAGGATCGGGCATTGTTACCCCGAAGCGATCTCTCTCCATCCATCCATCCATCCAAGTACACCGCTGACGAGGAAGGGGGTGACGAGCTTCGGTGTCGTTTCCCCGCCTCCGCCCCAATCAGAATTGCGTTCCGTGGGGTTGGATGCTGCTCCTCTCCTCTTGCTGGCTATCATACTTTCGACTGCCACACTGGGGACCGCAGCGGGAATATTGCTAGGTCTCAGGCATGGGGGGTCATAGCCTCGGCCGCGGGGGTATATCTCACCCCCACAATATAGGATTGATGGCGTCTGGAAATGGCCTTGGGGACGTTTGGAGATGGTTGTACCTGCGTTCTCCAGAAGGATCTCCTTGCATGGCTGTGGAGTGCCGGGCGATCCACCGCGGCAGTTCTCCTTTCGCAGAAGGACAGGGGATCATGTCACCATTGTTGCGGTTTTCATGGGGTCTTCGACAGTACCCCCGAGTCTGATCTACGAGCAGTCAATTTGGAGTATGTCGTTTTAAGTTTCCCTAAGAACGAAGGCAGATGGAAAATCGCGGAGACGTTAAAGTTTTGGGGTCTGTGGGAATCCCGCCCTTCTATTCGTCCAGGCCAGTGGGACTCCACAGAGTTCAAAGTCTCGGCATCAATTCCGCTCCGCTGGCGGATCGTGAACTTTTTCTCCGGCGGACGCGTTGGGTGCGAACCTTTCAGTAACGAAGGGAAGGCAAAAGTCCATACGCTTGAGTCCGGATTTTGGGCCAGAAGGGGTGTGACGGCATGAATTCAACGCAAAGCACATTGATGCCCTTTCTCTATCCCTGCATTTTCAAGCCCTCCTCTGCGAACCCCCTGTGCGCCCAAGCACGTCGGATTCGACTTGACAACCGTCTCCGGCTCCGATGCCTACATCAAACAAGTCGATTTAATAGACCGCCCAATGTAGAGGCAAACGCATCTCTCCACCGCGCCGGCTTCGACGCTTCCATACCCCCGACTCCTGCTACTTCCACGCACCTGAACCCTTCACCTGACGATTACTCCCGCTCGATCTTCATCGACAAATGCCAGATAACCATTCACGCGGGCTCCGGCGGGAGTGGGTGCGTGTCGTTCCTACGCGACGCCCATATAGCCGATGGGCCGCCTAACGGTGGCGATGGAGGGTCTGGAGGAAATGTCTTCATCCAAGCGGTGCCCGGACAAACATCTCTTCATAAACTGGCCAGACGAGGTATAATAAAAGCCGGTCGTGGCATAGGAGGCCAAGGAAAATCCCAAGGCGGACGCAGGGGAGAGGATATCTGTGTCCAAGTCCCCGTGGGGACGGTCGTGCGAGAAATTTGGCGGAGCGACCCCAGCGCAGAGGAGGAAATTCGCATCAAAGAACTCCGGGCGATGAGCGATGAGCCAGACCTCTTTAAGATCCCAGACAGCGGTCTGAGGGACAGATTCATCATCTATGCCGGCGCCACAACCGCCGACGACCGCCGACAAATCTCTTCACATTTGCCCTCCCTCAATTCCCACTTGCTGAAACCTCGAAAATCGCATCTGGCAATTCTGCAGCCTCGTGCGCCTATTCACCTGGACCTGGATAAGCCGATGGACAAACCGATCCTCCTGGCTGCAGGAGCTGTTGGCGGGCTGGGAAACCCGCACTTTGCCACGAAATCCGACCCAAAGCCCAAGTTCGCGACCAAGGGTGAATTAGGGGTGCGGATTAAACTCGAGTTGGAACTCAAGTTGTTGGCGGATGTGGGACTGGTCGGGTTACCCAACGCAGGCAAAAGTACTTTTACGCGCGCGATATCGAATTCAAGGACGAGGATAGGCGACTGGGCGTTCACCACTCTCGCACCCACAATTGGAACGGTTATCCTGGATAACAATGAAGGACGGCCGTTGGTGCGTTCCGGCGTCCCATCCACAGACTCTAGCGACCCCTCTTCTGCTGGAAGCATTGTTCCCCGTCAATCTTTTACCGTCGCAGATATTCCTGGGCTCATCGAAGATGCGCATTTGGACAAGGGCCTCGGGCTCTCCTTTCTCCGACATATCGAAAGGGCCAGGATCTTAGCCTTCGTGGTGGATCTATCTGCCGGAGATGCTGTGACACAGCTGAAGGCCCTGTGGAAAGAAGTTGGAGAGTATGAGAATCTTAGAGATCGAGAGGTGAGTGAGCAGACGGAGCAGAGATTGATCAATTGGTCGCCCTTCGAGGCCCAAGCTGCGCCAGCCACTGGGGACGGATTGCTCAACGATGAAGGGGAGGAAATCTCAATATTCCCGTCGGGTTCTTCTCGTTCAGCCTCAACTCTCGATCCATTGGCCTATCCCCCCATCAGCGCGAAACCCTGGTTCGTAATCGCCACGAAAGCAGACATCTCTCACTCAACGGCCCACGCCATAACGCCAGAAGACGTCGAAGCCATTTCAACGCAGACAAACTTTCGGTCTTTAGCAGCTTATATAAAACAGGTAGAACATGGAGAAATCCAGCACCCCAGCGGGAAACAAAACGGATGGCGGAACCGCGTGGCGGCAATACCTGTAAGCGCGATTAGGGGAGAAGGGATTGATAAAATAATAAGATACACGGCGGGCGTTCTGGACAGCCTTGTCGTTGGCCGTTAGTTTGTGGAATATGGGGAAGGAAAACGGCCAGAGCCTAGAAAACGACGGAGACTCTACGAAGGCAGGTATAAGTGCTTGAGACTGAAACGGCCACAAAAAGGAGGAAGAGGAGGAAGAGGAGGAAGAGGAAAGAGAATCTCGGCTAGTAGGATGATGGCACATGAGTCGCAAATATGGGCTGTGAGCTGGGAATGCAAATGTATAAAATCGAGTCTTTCAAGACATGGCTCAAGCTGCGACCCAACCACAAGACCGGCTCGCTGAAGATGGTTCACCCGTTAATTGGCGTTAGTATGTACAAACCTCGAGGGATATTGAGATGGGAACAGGCGCGTCGAAATAGAATAGACGCGAATGAATCAAGCGCGGACAGATGTTGTACTATACTTGACCTCCCAGAAACATCAAGGCTGAGACAACCTCGTAATCGCACGTTTGAAGATGCAGTGGTATTCAGCTATTCAGCCCTATAGGCATTAAAGCTGCTCTCTGTGAATATTCTCACATGAGGTTGACAGCAAGCTCACCTTTCGGTGTTGATGCTATTAAGATGAGGCCTTGAGGACAGATACCGTCCCAGCCTCCGCGGGAACCGCAAGCGGACGCACACCATTCCTTCTCACACGAAACCCGAATGAACAATGAAACCAACAGAAGCGTCGCAGCTCATTGAGTCGCCGACATGCTCCTTCGATATTGCTGAGCGTTGAGTTGCAGTAGATTTTCTCTACGCAACAGCTCTCTGCCAAATTTGGTTCTTGGAGGAGTCAACCACTAGAAACTCCTACCTGGAGGTCCGAAGCTGCTTGGTTGGCCGACGACGCCACCCAATGGACTGGTATGGTGGATATGTTGACTGTGACCCAATAAAGGACTTCCTATCTCACCAACGCTGCCTCTGGGTTGTTGACTTGGAGCATCCTCGACGAATTTAATCACTTGTCCTCTGGTTTTGTCAATGATAACCTCAAAGGAACCGCCGCCATTCTGTGAGTTGCCCTCGGTGTCGCAGATTCCAAGCATCTCGTCCATGGAGACTGGTGGTTCACCTGGTGCTTTGAGAGTCTCCAGCTGTCGGAGCACATTCTGCACTGGATGATACCCGTCGGGACTTGCGACCGGGATTTGTGACAATTGACGGCAAGCTTGAACAAGCATAAGTCTTACCGCAATCGGACGTGGGAGATGGGACCTTGAAATGGCTTGAGGCCCAGAACCAATGGCTCCGAATGGGGGTTGTCCCCAGCCCGGGCTAGGACGTTGCGAGCCTGGTGGACCCCAGCTAGGAGCGGGACCCATAGCAGGGTTGAAACCACCCCAGCCAGGGTTTCCCATACCGAACGGTTCCTGCTTGTGCTCAGGGAAGTTGCTCGCGAACGGTATCCTCGCAGAACCAGGCGGACCGACAGGTGGAAGACTCATGCGTGAATCCGAGTTTTCTAAGAAGGGCGCATCTGAATCATCCAATAATGCCTTGCTACCAAGCTGTGTAGCCAGATGATCAATATCGATGTCCGGGGTCTTTCTTTGTGGTTTCTGCTTGTCCGGGGTAGTACTGGACGGTCGAGCAATGGGTCCTAGTCCAGGTCTGCCTATCGGAGCCTGTTCACTGGAAGGTTGTCGAGAATGTACTTGAGGTTTGGGCACTGGCTGTTGGTTGACGATAGGAGGCGCCTGATTAGGAGCTTGTGGAACAAAGGGCATTTGCTGACCTGGTTGGAAAGGTCTCGGAAATCCCGGAGGATAGTGCATGCCGTTCTGGGCAAACCGCTGCTGGTTGCCCATAGGAGGGCCTTGATACATGTGCATCGGAGGCATCATAGTCGGCATCATCCCTGGACCACCCATCGGTGGTGGACCACTTACTCCCAAACCTGGCATTCCATTCATATTGAACGGATATTGCCCCCGTCCGTGGTTATTCAATGGCGACCTCGGGGCGGAAGGCTGAGGGTGATGGAGTGGAGGAGGATGTCCTTGTGCCTTCGCCGGCTGGCCAAGAGCTGGTGTCTGAGGCATGGCGACAGTTGCTGGGGAAGCAGAACTTCGGGATATCTCAGTGCTAGCCTTTTGTGATCGCGGAGATGAGCCATGAGAATGCTGGCCGGGTTGCGAAGGTTGTCGATTCCGTACAGGGGTTGGAACTTTGGGAGGAATGACCGGTGTGGCGACGGAGACGTGTGGAGATTGTATGCTCGGCCCACGAGAAGGAGGCTGTAGACCGGGAGGAAGCGCCACAGGCTGTTGCTTTGTCGGGTGTTGATGAGCGGCACGTTCCCTGGCGTCCTTTTCCACCCTCAGCGCCGCCTCTTTTTCCTTTCGTGTCTGCTCCTCCTTGGCTCTCCTCTCGCGGTCTTCCTTCGCCTTTCGCTCCTTGGCCTCCTTCTCCTTCGACTCCCGCTCCTCGCGTTCTTTCTTTTTCGTCTCTTCGCGTCTCAGCCGTTCTCGCTCCTTCGCCTCTTTCGCCTTACGTTCCTGTTCGGCTTGTCGCTCGCGTGCTTCCACTTGCTTACGATGCTTGTCGGCTTCCTTGCGGAGTCTTTCCTCCTCGGCAGCCTTCTTCTCGGCTTCACGCTTTTTTCGTTGCTCTTCGCGTCGGTGTCGCTGTTCCTCCTGCCGCTTTTCTTCCAGTTCTCGCGCGGCTGCTTCCTGAGCAGCTTTCTCTGCCTCCTTCTTTGCTTTCTCTTCGTCCTTCGCCTGTTTCTGAAGTCGCTTCTTCTCCTTTCGCTTTGCTGCTTCTCGAGCCTTCTTTGCTTCCCGCTGCGAATCGAGTCGGCTCTCTTCGTCTAATTCCTCGAGTAACTTTCTCTGTCGCTCCGCGGCAACTTTCTCTCGATAGGCGGTCAACACACGTTGTTCGAACATTCGAGCGGCGAAGATTTGGAACATCCGTCGACCTTCTTCCATGCGCTGTTCTTCGGTCATGGAATCCTAAGGAAATGCTGTCAGAATTTTTCCAGACCATAATCATAAGCCGCCACTGACCATATCGTCCCCCTCGAAATCGTCCTCTTCTTGGGAGTCGTAGTCCTCATCATCCTCCTCGTCGTCATAATCATCATCATCGTCTATAGGAGGATGATTGTGACCTTGATGGATATCTCGATGAGCTATTGACGCGGAATGGTAGCGAATATCTTCCTCACGTTGCATGCGCCTCTCCGCCAATTGCTCCATCATGTCTATGAAGTGTTTCCCATCGTTCTTCAGCAAATCGTCTGCGACGGTGAGTATACCATCTGTACAACTTGTTAGCCCATTCAACCACGGCGAAAGCACATAGGACCCAGACCCTTCACTGTAAGACTATTGCCGAATTGGAAAAAGTCGGGCGGCCCCGGTGGTAAACCATGGTCATCGAGCTCTCCCTCGTCGTCGCTATAGCCTTCGTCGTCTTCATCGTCGTACTCGTCGTCGTCCTCGAGATCCTCTTCATCATCTTCGATCTCGTTAATCCGACTTCGCGAAGGGTACGAACCAGCCATGGGATGTGCAGTTCGTTTAAATGGAGGACGGGGCGGGGCCATCATTTGCGGAACGTTGGAGAGGTCCGAGTTGTGGTTGGCAAACTGTTCGAGTTCCTCATAATAAGCATCGTAAAGCACCTCCAATTCTTCCTCGATAGCGGTACGTTTTCGCCCACACACGGAGCAACTGCAGGAGTGCTTCTGCTGTTCCTTCATTTTGCGTAATACGGCCTCCTTCTCGACCTTGACCAACGACCTTCGCTCATCCTCTCCCAGCTCCAGCCAAAATTGCTTGATGTTTTCCCGCTCGGCCTGAGTTGAAGTATTCCAGATGTGATCACTTGAAAGTTTCTGAGAGGCTCGCATCGCGGCATTCGATAAAGGCGGGATGTTTGAGCGAGATAGCATTGTTGAAGTCCTCGACAGGGCGTCGTTGGTGGTCTTGGATTTCTTCCGCTTGCTGGTATTCAGCCACGAGCTGTCGTGCATTGCATCTGCACCTTCTCCGTAGTTGGGGTCTTCATCGCCACTGTAAAAGGCTTCTTCTGGGCTCCCAATATCAGGATAGGCAGGGTCTGCGGGATCTGGATAGTCAGGCTCTTCAGTGAAATAACCCTTCACAGGGCCGCGGCCTTGCTTGACTGGGGGTAACTGTCCATTCGGTTTGCTTTCCGGCGCAGGAACATGACCATTTGGTATCGGCATGTCCGCCTTCTCCGCCGCCCGTTTTGCCGCCTCTTTTTCCCGCCTCTTTTGCTTCTTACGATTGACCGCCGTGGTATGAGGAGGCTCTCCAGCCGATTCAGTGGTATCGCCGGTCTTCAGATCTGCGTCTGACTTTGCGTGTGAAGGCTGGCTGTTCAAAGACGGCGTGGAGGACATTGCCGGACCCGAGTTTTGCAGGGGTAGGGGTTGTGCAGGCGCATCTTTTGCAGAGGATGTCGCGGGCAACGGCTGTGGTTTGGCGACATTAATCTGAGTGTTGGCTTTCTTCTTGGAAGGCATAGCGCCAAGCCGTCACCGAAGGACTGCTAGGTTCGATATCGATCTTGATCTCGCTTGGATCACATCAAAGGCACGGCGGTTTCGGTTGCTGGTGGGGTATCACAAATTGGTTAAGTGACGAGCACAGGAGATGCAGTAAGGATGGCAAATAGACAAGAGGGCGAGAGAAGGGAGACCTCAAAGAGCCAAATGTGTTTGAAGGGCGGAAAGCGAGGGTATGGCAGGAAAATGGCGGCTCCAGTCTGTTTGGAGAGTGGGAAGTTGAGATGTTCGACGTCCAAAGTCCCAAGTCCAGTTCCAGTCCCAGTCCGGTTCAACTTCTGTTTCGTGGGGCGGCGACGTCCAGTTGAGGCTGCGCTTGCGCTTGAAGGTGCAGTGCCTCCCCAGGGAAGTTGCGGTGCGGCAAAGGGCCTTGACAGGCACCTTGGCTCCTCATTGTCCGCCCAGCAGCCGCCCGCCAAAAGAGTTCAATAATTGTGCTGTCACCGCCGTGGTACGCCAATTATAGGCCATTTGCTTCCCAATTATCACACCCCCAGTCTCCTCTTCATGCTCATTACGCACGCTCACACTTTGTACAGCGACATCGACAAAGCGAATCTCTGTCGCGATTTGAAGCCTTGGCTAACTGGCAGCTGCAATTGCATCATCATCATCTACCTTTCGATCTGACCGGAAGAATTGCTCCTTATCGCGAGATCCAAAGCCCTGGTCACCGAGAGATCTATTTGTGGCTGCGCCTCAACCACTGCCTCCTCTCGCAGGCACCGTGCCGCTCGGGGTGGATTTGTCCTCCGTTGGACCCCACGAACTCCCAGCAGACTAGTCTCAGTTGTTTAGAAACAAGATAGCCTGTTCCTCAGCTACAGTGCAAAACATCGTTGCAGACGACTGAAACTGCGGCTGGCGGTGCCGGTCGGTGGTGGAGGTGAACGTACTCCGTTTGTGGACTGGTTTCGCTGGCTTTGCTGTATGCGACCTCAATTGCGTCCAGTTACACCAGGCCGCTCCTCCACTCCCCTTTGACTTCATTTCAGCTCGTCCTCACTCTTATCCGCCGCACAACACCGACTTAAGACTCTTGAAGCCGTTTCGTCCGCCTCTTCCCTTCTGTCTTCCGCAAGAGCTGCTCACCATCTCCCTCAACAGCCGCTAGGGCCCTCCGAAGCTCTCCCTTCGTCCGCAGTCTCTGTAGTGGTGTGATCTGTCTGCCCGTGGGACAGAGCCGCAACAGCTTCTACAGCCATGGCACAGGATCAGGCACAACAGAATGTGATGAGAAGGTAAGTTGGCTTCCATCACTACTTCACCACCCATGTAGTGGGAATTGTTATCCGTCGACATCAGGATTCCCTATGCCATGCTGCCTGAATAGCACGTTCTGCAAGAAACCCCAGAACAATATCGCTGATGTCGCTTTGTGCAGGAAGCTTGTTATAATAGGCGACGGTGCTTGTGGCAAGACATCACTGTTATCAGTCTTCACACTCGGCTATTTCCCTACGACCTACGTACCAACCGTCTTCGAAAACTATGTCACAGATTGTCGAGTCGATGGGAGATCAGTACAATTGGCTTTGTGGGACACAGCAGGACAAGAAGACTACGAAAGATTGAGGCCTCTCGCATACGCGAAATCACATGTCATCCTCATTGGCTTCAGCGTCGACAGTCCCGACAGCTTGGAGAATGTGCGGCACAAGTGGATTGAGGAAGCTCGTGATCGGTGTCCAGATGTGCCTGTCATTCTGGTGGGCCTGAAGAAGGATCTGAGAGAAGACCCGATGGCAATCGAGGAGATGCGGAAGCGGAGCCAAAAGTTTGTTACGCCCCGAGAAGGCGCTGAGATGGCCCAGGCTTGCGGGGCTCGCAAATACCTCGAATGTTCCAGCTTGACGGGCGAAGGTGTGGACGATGTCTTCGAGGCTGCTACGAGAGCTGCCCTTCTGACGTTCAATGGTAAACAAGGTGGCGGCGGATGTTGCGTCATTCTGTGATGCACGATGCAGTATCGGACTTGGATTGAAAACGTGCCGGATTGGAAAACACCATGGGCGGCTGTTTACCCTTGAACCAACCCGAATTGGAGGACCTCACACGCACTGAACTAATACCGCTGCTGAAAACGGCGAAACGACGACGATGTACCTTCCCCTCTTGGAGGAATGCTATCTTGACTAACACGTCGTCTGAGGACGGATCGAATCATATCAGGCTTGGGCTTGAACCTGTGCGACACGAGACGAACGAATTTTTTCATACTCGATTTAGCGAACTGACATCAATGATGGACCTTCTACTATTTGCCTTGTCTTTTCGATTCAGGTTTGGTGGTCGAAGAGGGCAGGCCACTAGTGAGAAAGATAAAAGTTTCCGAAACCTTCCTCGGTGTATATATACATGTCGATTCTTTTTCCGCTTGCTCTGCTTGCCTTGGGAGAACAGGGCCACGATCATGACCGCGCAATACTTGTCCGGCAGCTCCCCCCAAGCCCGGGAGTCGCCCCCCTCTCCACGTAGCTCGCGCGCCATTCAGTCTTCCATCTATGCTGCAGCTGCAACAGCTTCGCGGGAGAAAGGCATCCCTTCCCTTTGCCTTTCGCTTGATTTCTGGCTCGGTCGGGTAAATCATTCCTTCAGCAGCCAATGTCTCTATCTCAATTGCCACCCTCCGTTCCCAATCTGCATGGTGACGGCAAGTTCGATTCCCCCAGTTTAGCCCTCTTGTACAATGCCTCTGCTAGAATGACTTTGGAACCGCCCTTTCAGCATAATCCATTGCTCATGTGCCTCGGTTGCGACGCACAGAGAATTTTTACCCAAATCCGTGTGAGAAGAATCAATGTCTTTTCCACGCGTAGTCCCATATTTTCGCCTTGCTTCCACTTCCTTCCCCGGCACCTTCTTCTACTCCAACACCTAGCCCGCCCGTGCTGCCTACCCACTCGACCAAACCTCGCGCGTACTCGATGGGGACACCTCCCCTGGCTCTGCCGCCCGACCCTGAAGAAGCACCTGGAATGCCGGCACCAGTACCAGGCCCGCCTATGCCCCAGATGCCGGTCTTCGTCTGCGCCTTCCTGAACAGGCGGCCCCCGTCGCCGGCCCCGACGCGGAGTTCCTCGTTCGCGTCGCGCATCGCGTTGTACTGGCGCTCCAGCTCGAGCTCGCGCGACTTCTTCAGGTTGTGCCGATAGAGGTTCCACGCCCGGGCGATCGTCCAGTGGCGCAAGTACCTGTTGCGCGAGAAGCGGAGCGGTCGCGGCGTGAGGGTGGTGGGGTGGTGCAGGAAGTAGCGGATCAAAGCTGGAATAAAGAGCGTTAGGACTGAGAAGGAGAAGAAACTTTGGTTCGGAAGAAAAATGGGAGTCTTCGGCCAGCAATGGGACTGTGCAATGAATTGGGCGAAAGTTTTGGTAGGACATGAAAAAGGAAGACTATAGAGTAGAGGCGTGATGGGGAAGACGAGGAAAGATGCGGGAGACCGCAAGAAGAAGAGCAGGCGTAGCCAAAAGAAAAATCGAGACTCACTTATCCGTCTATCAGGTCTTCCGCTGCCTTTCTTTTTGGCATACTGAGCTGCACTTGTCGAGAAGGACAATCTCGAGCTTGTGGCCCCTTGAGTCGCAGTTTCGGTGCTCGAAGAAAGGGAAGTCAGAATCACTCTGGGCAGCGACGGTCGAACCGTGATCTGGAATGCGTGTGCCAGCGCGGCACGGATCGAAGAGGTGTGCATTTCCAATTCCACCCAATGTGACCGGACGACTGTGTCGTGGGATGAGAAGATTGAGTACGCAGGAATCTCTTGAGATTTAGAATCGAAGTTGCTCCGGTCTCAAGCTTGGCCTCGATTGAGCCCTTAGGCGCAGCTTGGGCGCAAACTTTCATGGGGCAAGGCTGAAGTCTTGGCACATTTGTGACTTCCAGGCCTTGCATGATGCCGTCATGAGGGCTTTGCTATGGCGTATTAAAGATGCCGTTATCCTTTGCTCCTTTTATTCTGAGGAGCGAAATCCGAAGCAATATAGTCTCTGGCTCCAAATGTGCTTTATTAGTCTCAGGGGAGCGTCCAAGCAGGTAATCATGCTGGCTGTCTATTATTGAGCTAAGACCTCCCGATTCCTGTCAACTTCAACCGAGTTGTCAGCCCAGTCCATCAGTTCATAGTCAACATCAGTTCCCAGGCACCCTCATACTGAATACATTTTCGTCGACTTGTCGAAGTTCATAATGCGTCTTTGTCGATGCCCTTGGGCCAGCTTCCATCTGCAATACAGCAATAAAGCGTCTTTGAACACCACGAAAAGGCATCCGCCCACCACACTTCTCCCCCATTTCGTCGAAAGCAGTCCGGGCCGACCACTTGCGATATTGCGATATGTCAACCAGGATGACGGCAAGACATAGCTGATGAGATTGCCCATTCCCGCAGCCACTGCCGGGAACACAAGCGCTCCAAGGACAGTCTGTCCGATACTGCCACTGCCATCGACAAGATCGTGGCGACCCAATATTCGGCGAACGTGTTGGTTCTCTGGTTGGCCTTGCGCATTCCCTCCATTTCCAGCGACGCCAGCCTGTTCGTCGCCACCGTCTTCACCCTCTTCTTCCCCGTTCAGGTTGACGTCAATTTGAAGAACAAGTTCACCATCCTCGACTAGTTCTTGTCCCTCATCCTCATTGACGTCGCCCTCGTTTTCGCCCTGCGCGTCACCCCGTTCATTATGTCTGGGTTGTACTTCTGCCAACCATTTTTGGTTGAGATCATAGAATGCTTTGTGGTAGCACCAGTTGTAGACCGATCTCATTGCAGGTAAGCAAGCAAACACCGTGCTTGGTAAAGGGGGCCAGATGGTCATGTCAATGCCGAACTTGTCGGTGATCTGAGTGGAAAGAAGGATCAAACTGCTACCGGGGAGCGCAAAGTCGGCATAGTCGGTACGGGCGAGAATCAGATTGACTGGGATAAGGCAGTACATCCAAGCGAACTCACTCCGTTGAATGGCGTACCTAAATACTCGATCCGCATCGGCATGGCCAAATACGAAGTAGACCGATTGAAATCCATGGAACCATGCCCCAGCCCATAGTGTGCCGACAAAAGAAAGACCCAAGCCCGGTAGGACCAACTTCCCCAGTGTGCGGTCAAGTGCGCGGTAGCTTTCTACCACGTAACTCCGTGGTCTTGATATTCTGATTTCGGATTTGCATTGAGGGCATAGAATGTGTCTGGAATTCTTGTTTTTGTTCTTGGGATTCTCGAGGTCTGCCACCCAGTCCAACAAGCATGCTTCATGGGCAGTCAGGCTGCATGAGCACGGCGAGCGCCATATCGGAGGGTTGTTGGGATCATCTTCACTTTTGTCACTCATGCATATCCAACATTTCGGCCCGAAGGTTGAAGCGCGCGAGAGAGCCGACGGTCGGGAATTCTTGTCCTGCGGTGATTTTGCGCCATTGCCGGAGGTCTGAGCTGGGTCTGGGGATGGTCGATCAAGTACGACGGTATCGGCGCCTTCTGGATCCATAGGCAAGGCTGATGATGGGAAGGAAGAGGTGGAGGAGGCGGGGGGGGAGGTTCAGTTGTCCAAGGACATGTAAAGGGAGGCTAATGCCAATCTTTGGAGAAGAAAATGCTGGCAGGATTCACTTGACCATGCTTCGCGTCGAGCGCGTCACAGGTTATCCGTGATATGCAGAGTAAAGTCAGTTCCTTGGTTCAAGTTAGGCAACAGATCGTGTGTCGCTTTGATTTGGAGTGGCAGGCTCGCTCGCTCGGTTCAGTGCCACGCCCGCCGCGCAGGGCACTCCGCAGGTACGTAATTTGCTGCTGTTTTACCAGATGTTCTGAGACTAGCTGTTAACGGCTAACAAGTGTCAATTTTGTTTAGAGCGGCAACCACCTTAGTCCTCCCATTATCAGTTCGACCGTGTTCAACGCAATGTGTCTGCTTCACCTTTCTTCTCAGAGTTAAACTACGCTCTAGAGCCAGCACAAGCAGTCTCAACCGTTAACTGGAGATCACGGGTCACTCATTGACCAACAACATAGAATACATGCTTTTCAACTACAGCGCAGATATAGATGGATATCCCAGTCCGCCAATGGCCCGCAACTACGTCGGATGTGTTCCTTGCTTCCGAAGCCCATGAGCTTCCCAGCAGACGAGATGTTGTCTTACGGCCAGAGAATCTCGGGATCATTGGGGAAGGGTATTCTGAGTCTTTTCGCACTTGAGCCTTTGCCGACGTTTTTGATCCAGTATGCTACAGTCCCGTCTTCTATAGCACGATGCAGTCCCTCTTCGGGGTAGACGGGCATATATGGAGCGGCGGCATCCCAAGGAGGCTTCAACACTTCAGACAGCCAGTCACCCTCGTCGAATATCGGACGGCTCAGAAATCTAGAAGTAAATTGTAGATCGTTGTGTAGTTGATACAGCAACATCTTGTAATCCAGTCTTTGTCGTTTCAATTGCTGTCTGAAAACGTGCAAAAGCATTTTGCCGTGGACAGCGGCTCCGGCAAGATTGCCTTTAATGATCTGTGCATTGAACAACATATTCATGTGTAGACAGCCAACGGTGTTCTGCAAGTCCTCACTGTGCGAGACCTTGTCTCCGAATGCTCGAGTGCTTTGATACAAGTACTTGAGAGCGACTGGCGGTACGCTAGAATTGCCTTGGGCGGCTACCGAGCCATAGCGAGCCAAAGTATCGAGAGCAGTCCCTCTCTCTTCGAACGTGGCCACATTGTCTCACTCATGTCGCATAGCAAGCTCGTTGAGGTTCTTGTCACCAATTCTCAAGTGGTACATCAGCAGGCAAAGATAGTCGCGGTATAGGCTCATGAGATTGTTCTCTTGAGGCCCATAGCAATGGATCAGGCATTAAACAGGTCCAAATTTCCTCTGCCCACGAGTGAGAGAGGCGATATGAGGACTATGTGTGGGCAAGGACGTTGTTTTCAAGACGCTGCGCAGTTTCACCAAGAGCCACAACTAGTCTCGGTGGTGAGTTCTTCCGCTCCGGGCTCGTCATGATGCGACGTTGTGGCGCCCAGCTCGATTTCCCCTCCAACTTGATTCTTGAATTCGCTCTCTCCTAGCAGTGAAGTCAAAGCATTTGTATCTCAGGGACAGCAAAAAGGACCATAGGCTTGTGTCTGTTCTCTGAAAGCATCTCCTTTCGGTTACATTTGTGACATCCAACAAATAGTCACGCGACCAGCAGAAAACCGTTGTGGTCCATTTCAAAGTGTTGGGCAGACCAAAAAACCCGTTCCATCTTACCATTGTGTCTGCACCATGGCGGGTCTGGTGCCAAAGGTTGACAGTCTCGACCATGTGTATGCAGGAGGATTCGAGGGTCATACTGTGTCGGTTGAGCTCGAGCAGCGTTTCAAGAATTTGATCCAGAGTTTCAAAAGCGACTATGGTCACAAGCCAGATTTTGTGTCCAGAAGCCCGGGACGAGTCAACATTATCGGCGAGCACGTCGATTATTCGCTCTACAACGTCCTGCCGACTGCTCTCACCGTTGATGTGCTGATCGCCGTCCGCATTGTCACACATGGGAATGGGGACGCGGCTGCAATCAAGATTGCCAATGTAAATCCTACCAAGTATCCGTCCAGAACACTGATCATCCCAGACTCTGGCGCGATCGAGGTCGACCGGGAGAATCATTCATGGAGCAATTACTTCTTAGCCGGGTTGGGGGGATCACTGGAATATCTCCGAAAGCAGTTTGGCGAGTCTTTCAAGCCCAATGGCATGGAAGTCCTTATCGATGGAAATGTTCCAGCGGGTGGTGGCTTGTCTAGCAGTGCAGCTTTTGTCTGTGCTTCTGCGCTGGGTGTCATGGCTGCAAATAACCATGACATCTCGAAACAGGATCTGCTTGACCTCTGCATCGTGTCGGAGCGTGCAGTCGGTGTCTTCTCCGGAGGCATGGACCAAGCTGCATCTATCTTCTCTGAAAGAGGGTATCTCCTCTACTGCCGTTTCTTCCCAGAATTTTCTGCAGAGCATGTCCCCGTCCCGACGTCGGATCCAGAAGTCACTTTCCTGATCGCCCAGTCTTTCGTTACCTCTGACAAGGCGGTGACTGCACCGATCCATTACAACCTCAGGGTCGTTGAATGTACTCTGGCGACTGTGGTGTTGGCGAAGCTCCATGACATTGCTCTGAATCCAGATCAGAGCTCTCTTGGGTTCTGCCTGAGAAACTTTCAGGAAGAGGTCATGAAGAAAGAAGGCCGCAGAGATGATCCACTAGCGGCTCAGGTCAGCTCGATTGTCGAGATCATAAAGTCAAACCTCAAAGAAGAGGGCTACACCAGACAAGATATTGCCGAGATTCTGGGGATCTCCGTGCAAGAACTTGAAAAGCAATACATGTCCAAGTTCCCGATTCGAGCCGACGTGTTCAAGCTAAGGCAGCGCGCCCTGCATGTCCTGGAAGAAGCAGGACGTGTCCTCAAGTTCCGAGATATTTTGACGACCTCAGGGAAATTGGATGAAGAGAAGTTGCTCGATCTTGGCGACCTCATGAACAAGACACAAGCTTCGTGCCGAGATGTGTACGAATGCTCATGCCCCGAGATTGATCAGATCTGCTCCATCGCGCACAAAGCAGGGGCGTACGGAACTCGACTGACCGGTGCAGGTTGGGGCGGCTGCACAGTGCATCTGGTGCCTCAGCATAAGGTCCCTGCGGTGATAGAGGCCCTCAGGCAAGAGTACTATTACAAAAAGTTCCCCGACATTAGCAAAGAGAAACTCGAGGAGGCCATTGTTGTCTCAAAACCGAGTCAAGGGTCGTCGCTGATCGTCGGTGCGGCGCTTGATATATAGTGGAACCGACGATACATGGCCGAGATTGATCCAGGATTGGTTCATGAAGACAATCGGATCCGATACTCCAGGGCCATCCTCCTGGACATGGTCGAGCACCATTTCTGTTAGAGAACGGCATTTCTAACCGCGCCTCTATTCGATAAGTGTCCCGGTCAAGGTCGTTAATGTGGACTTCCCAGCTGGTGTCAAGTTGCACACGTGCATCTTTCTGGTCACGCTTCTGAACGGAAATGTCTGCTTCAAACACATGGTCCAGGGCAAATCCCTTGTTGCCTCTTTGTCTTGACCAACTTCGAAAACCATAGAGCATGCCTTATTCAGAATATCGTCCTGGAAGTGTCAAGTTTTGAAGGTGGTCACAGGTGTCTAGACCATCGACTGAATCTGCCGGCTTCGTGGTGGTCATCAGCTTCGCCTGAAGTCTTACTTCAAGGCCTCGGACGATTTCGTCACTCTTCGCGACCGACCATCGCACTGTGCGAGGAATAGCACGAGCCATTCCTCGCTAGTGCGCGCAGAGGTTGTGGTGGTCGACCCTGGCATGTTCTCAATAAGTCGGAATGAAGTGATTCTGCTATCGCCATAGGCTGTATAGTGGCCTCAAGGAAGTCCGGCATTGTATGGATGATTACTCAACACAAGCCAGGGTCAGATTCGAGGATTGAGGGGGGGCACGGCGACTCGGTTAGTTACGGCCGTTGTTACGAATCGCATTCTCGATTGGGGACTGTCTTGTCGTAGGTAACACCGTGAAGGCGTGTGGATGATTTGCGACGAAGTAATACGAACTCCGCAGTCTCGTGAGTGTGGAATCGGCGCCTTATATCGATCTTCCAACCTCGGCGACTAGGCTGCTGTAAGTCTAGCAGATGCCTCTGGCTCTGTATATTGGCTGGCCATGGAAATTGAATTCGAGATAAGTGGCCCCCAATCTTCCTAGCTCCTTGTTCCCCCAAAGGTTGTCCTCTACCGCCAATTCTAGATCTCGTATGTACTGTACCAGCTCTGCAGCTACTACAGTCCAAGGCTGGCAGCCGAGTGCCATGATCATTAAGCCCGGCTATGGGTTCGGATGCTTCCAATCCCAAGGTGGCAAGGATATCTTGTCGCCCTCCATCTGAGGCCCAGTCCCAGCGTGGCTCGCCCGTCTCGATCGCCACCAACTATGCATCCGAGATCATAAGCTGACAGTCCCACAGAGGCCACACAGGAAGCAGCTGGGAAGGAATAATATATCTATGGAGGGAGCACTGACCCTTTGGACCCTCGCCCAATCCTAAGCCCGATTCCATTTGCCTGCTTATGTTGTGCCTCTGTCAGCTTCCTCAGCGCCGGGACTCCGGGTTGATGAATCGATGAAATTGTGGCATAATTCTTACAGCTTGTCGTCCTGAGAACGATTCTTTTATCAACCGCATACTTCCTTCCATCTTGTCCATTTCATCAGCTCTTTCTGGTCTACGTTGAAGCGCGTTTTCTATCTCCGCGCCCTGGCCTCTTCGTGTGATCGGAAATGCCGTCCAGAATCTACCGCTCACCCTACCCACCGGTCAAGCTGATCGACATCGATCTCTTGACCTACCTCTTTTCGAATCCGAAAAACACACCAGACGATAAGCCGATATTTATTGACGCAGTCACAGGAGCTCATCGCACCTATGGAGATACTAAGCGGAGGACGCAGTCACTGGCGCACGGTTTGCGAGAATTAGGAGTCAAGCCCAAGGATATTGTCGCTGTTTTTAGCCCCAACAGTATCGACTACGCCATTACCTGCTATGGAATCATAGGTTGTGGCGCTACCGTGTCGCCAGTCAGCGCAGCATACACACCGCTGGAATTGGAGGCGCAACTCGAGACCAGTGGCGCCCGATTTCTGATTGCCCATTCCTCGCTCCTCCTAACAGCCGAACAAGCGGTTAAATCCAACCCGGCCATTCAGATCATTCAAGCAGATGGAGTTCGTGACAACAAGGGCAGGCCGACCGCTGAAGCTCTCGCTTCAAATTGTCCACCCAGTCCGCTCGTCAGCATTGAGCCAAGTGAGGCTGAGGATCGGCTGTGCTTCATGTGCTTTTCTTCGGGAACCACAGGTCGAGCAAAAGGCGTCATGACAACACACAAGAACCTAGTGTCCAATATCCAGCAATGGGACGCCCAGATGCCTGGCGAGACCACGGGGAAACAAACAACGGTGGCATTTTTACCATTCAGCCACATCTACGGCCTGACCTCCTTTGTCGCCATCAACACGTTCGTAGGGAATACAGCTGTCGTCCTAAGCCGTTTCGATCTCGAGTTATTCCTGTCGTGCTGCCAGAAATACCGGCCCGAAATGGTTAGCTTGGTTCCACCGGTTATGCTACTTATGGCCAAACACCCCTTGATGAAGAAGTACGACCTTAGCAGTTTGAAAAGATTGTTCTGCGCTGCCGCTCCGTTGAGTGTGGAGCTTCGGCAGGCCGTGGAAGCACGGTTCAAGGAGTTGTATGGAACCACCATATTGGGGCTGCAGGCTTGGGGCATGACTGAGACGAGTCCCCTAGGTGCAGCAGTGCCTCCAACCCGACCGGACAAGAGGAATACAGTCGGGTGTATCACACCAAACATGGAATACAGGGTGGTTGATCCGGAGACGATGCAGGACACAGGGTATGAGCCAGACGGGTCTGCAGTACCAGGGGAACTGTGGTGCCGGGGGCCGAATGTGACCAAGGGCTATTATCGCAACCAAGAGGCTACGAATAGTGGTTTTGCAACCGACGAGCAAGGCAAGCTGTGGTTCCGAACCGGAGACATTGGAACCATTGACAAGGACGGATTCTTGACCATTGTCGACAGGATCAAGGAGATGTTCAAGTACAAGGGGCTGCAAGTCATTCCGTCAGAGCTGGAGGGTAAGCTTCTGGAACACCCCGACATTGAAGATTCCTGCGTTGTCCCGCAGTGGGTCGAAGAACAGGCGACTCATGTTCCTGTCGGATTCGTGGTGATAAGTCAGAAAGCCAAGGCCAGGGGCGAGAAGAATGTTGTTGCGGACATTGATAAATGGTTAAATGCAAGAGTCGCCAACCACAAGAAACTGAGGGGAGGCATCCATGTCATCGACGCCATTCCCAAGTCGCCGTCGGGCAAGATTCTGCGGCGCGAATTAGCGCGGATGCTGAAGGAGTCGAGTGCAAGGACGGGATCGAAGCTGTGATCTCAAGCAATACAGGCGATTCGCGTCAAAATAAGCTTCTTGTCGGATGCTTCGGAAGGGACTTTGGAACGGGATGGAGACAGGCGTTCGAGCGAACAGTATCAATATATATTTCATTGGCAGCCTCGCCGAGAGCCGCAAGGCTGCGAGGGCAGATAGTAGCACGTGCCCGTCGACGTCATGCCACGTGAGTTGACGGAATTTTCTTCTCTCGAGTTTTCTTCACTTGTGTTTCTGGAGCTTTTCTGTTCTGCTGCCTGTCATCTCAGACTCGAAAATCAGAGCAAAAGGCACAGATTCGACTCCGTGCCTTTGCACGCGCTAGCCGGAGTGACCCGTACACTTTTGGAGTCTTTCCGTCGGAACAAGCACAACCTACCAAGGCGCCGTTTCTGCCGGATGGAGTTTGACCACAGTTGCTGGGAAGAAAAATTTCTCTTTGCCAGGACCTTTATCTTTCCAGCCATTGGTCCACCCGGCAATCGGCAATGGGTGATATGGCAATGGCAAGGGCGCACGGCCTCCAGACCCAATCAGACTCACTGCGATCCTTGAGCGGGGAATGCCCGAGATCGGACTACTCGGTCATGGCCCACGGCTATTGGAAGGAAACAACATGGCCGACCGCAAAAGGAATCGCACACCCGTTGACGTCGCGGTCCAGGAAGGTTATGGGGATCCCTGGAACCAGCGAGCCAGTATGGTTGGGGAACCTCGAAGGTGACGGTGAGGGAGGACCTCAAGATGATTGCTTGGTCTACAAGTACTGTGGTTTGAGTCATTTTCCTTTGCATCTCCCTGCATATTTGCGGTCTGAATCGTCCGGTTTGTGAGTGTCTATATCCTTGTGCCACGTCCCACACTATCCGCCACAGCATCTCAGGACCTAGCCCTTCATTCTTTTGGAGTCGCCCTCCGATTTGACTCTAGTCACTCCTTTTCAGGGGAAATGATAACCAGTTTTCCAAGACCTTTTCTTCCAACATATACAGGATGACTGGAGAACTTCACCATGACACCGTTCAAGGTGACCATGCCAGTCTTGAGATTCATCCTATCTCATCACAATCAGACCACCCTACTTCCCTGGATCTCGAGAGGACACCGACCATCAGCATAAGAGACCACCGTACAGATGATAAACCCGATCTGGTACGCATACGGTCGGCCATCTCGGCGCACGACATCCAGGGTGTTCCCAGTCATGACAGTTCCTTCGTCGAGGTCAATGCCGCCCAATATGAGCGTTTCAGCGAGCGTCGGAAGCTCGTCATCACCTGCGTCCTCTCGCTGTGTGGCTTCCTGGCCCCTATTTCGTCAACCACCATCCTTTCTGCCATTCCCGAGGTAGCAGCCACTTACAACACCGACGGCACCATTATCAACCTGTCCAATGCGCTATATCTCATCTTCATGGGCCTGTCACCTTCCCTTTGGGGTCCGATCTCCAACATCTATGGCCGCCGATGGGTGTGCATTATTACCGCCATCCTGTTCTTTGCATTCAGTGTCGGCACCGCGCTCGCGCCGAACTTGGCATCCTATTTCATCTTCCGAATGCTCACCGCGTATCAAGGTACCTCATTTCTTATCGTCGGAAACTCCTGTTTGGGAGACATCTACACGCCGACAGCGCGAGCCACCGCCCTCGGCTGGTTTCTCTCAGGGACACTGATTGGTCCTGCGTTTGGGCCTTTCATTGGAGGCATAATCGTTACGTTCCGGTCCTGGCGTGACATCTTCTGGTTGCAGTCTGCACTCGGTGGTCTCGCTGCCGTCCTGGTGATTTTGTTTCTCCCTGAGACGATCCCGGAAAAGAAGATTCATGACCTGCGCGAATATTCTCGACCAGAGCGAACGGTGCGCATCCTTCACTGTGTGTCTCCTTTTCGTACCGCCATATTACTCTTCTCATACCCGAACCTTATCATCGCCGGCCTCGCGTCGAGTGCTCTTGTCTGGAACATGTACGGGTTGCTGACGCCGATCCGCTACGTCCTCAACCCCCGTTTCCACCTGACATCTCCGATCCAATCCGGGCTTTTCTACATTGCACCTGGTTGCGGATATCTCTTGGGCACGTTCTTTGGTGGCCGTTGGGCTGATCACATTGTCAAGAAGTGGATTCGGAAGAAAAATCGGCGTGTGGCCGAGGATCGTTTGAGGTCGTGCTATGGTTTCATTGGCGGCGTCGTGCCCGCTTGTATGCTCATATACGGCTGGTCAGTGGAGAAAGCGGTGGGTGGTGTCCCTCTACCTGTGGCCGCAATGTTCGTGCAGGGGGTCGCCCAACTCTTCTGCTTCCCCAGCCTCAATACGTATTGTCTCGACGTCATGCAGTCCAAGGGACGATCCGCAGAAGTTGTGGCGGGGAACTATATGATCCGGTATGCATTCGCTGCAGCAGGGTCTGCCGTGTGTCTGCCTGCAATTGAGGCAATCGGGGTCGGGTGGTTTAGCACAATCTCTTCCGTGTTTCTGGTGATTAGCGCAGTCGGTGTGTGGGCCACGACTGTTTGGGGAGAAAGCTGGAGACATGCCGTTGACGACAGGAAGAAAAAGAAGAGGAAGCAGAGGGAGGAAGAGAAGGCGAAGGAGAAAGGTGGGAAAGAGGGCGTATAACAGGGGTTCGAGGCGACCGAACATGGAAGGCGTCCAGAGGAGAAGATGATTTCGAATCATTTAGCACGAGCGCTTTGATTGCCCCTGGGTATGGTCGACGGCGTTGATTTTGCGGGGCGAGGAGTTGGATGTCAAATCATGACGCGACGAATTTGCTAGAATTCACCTAACGGAAAGGTGTGGAACGTACAAAAGGCTATACCACGGGTTTGGGCGACAGCAGGGGTGGCGTTCATGGTGTCTTTGGACAAGCTCGTTGATGGTAACTCGACCGAGGTGCTTACAGGGCTGTTGTTTCCAAGTAAAGGGTTGGAAGGCTGGCACGAAACATAGAACATGGTCGGATTGCCCGGGTATAGAACTATAGAGCGAGGAGCAGTCACAAATACCAAAAGCATGTAGAAACAGCGTCGGCAAGGGTGTGGTCTCAGCCCAGTCGATCAGTCAGTGATGAGGCGCCAGCCTCGACCTGAGCAATAAGGCCACATTTGTTTGGATGTAGATAAATCGACAGCCTTGCAAGACATCGAGAGGTGCACGTGCTCCAGTGCTTCACATGTGATATAGCGGGGATGAGAAGAATGATGAAAGTGGGGGTTTTGGACGAAGGAGACGAGGAGGGAACATTTTCCCTGCTCGACCTTCTCCATCGGCGTCCTCCGCCATCCGCGTTTCGCACTGTCGTTTGTATCGAGTAAACACATTGATTTGTTGATTTGGAGACACACATTGCGGACCTGCATAAAACCTTCAGCATTTTTCTTTCGACATTCTTGTCGCCTTTGCCTTTGCAGACTCACTACTCTGAAGATTAGCTGCCAGCAGTCGCCCAAGGTTATCCTCTGCAACTGCAATTCTAACATCTGCTTATTTCCAGATATACCTTGAATACTTTCACAAGGAATTCACTCTGCTCTAATCGACCCAGACTGCGCTTCCTACAGATTCCAGCCACTCCCACGATCCAGCCAGCCATGGAAGTCAATATCCAACCGCAGGCTCTCTCGGACACCATCGTCGACAAGGCCCTTGCGTCAAGCACCAAGTCAACTTCCAGTATCACCGTGACGCCCATCCCCGCCGTGCTGATCGACACGACCTTCTCATCTTCAACTAACTTGTCCACCACCGTCCTCGGCGCATCCATTGTGTCTTTCTCGGACGAATACTTCGCTGCCGCCTCCAACCTCCTCACCCCCACGCCTCCCATTCGAAAACCGGGTGTGTTTGTACATACTGGGGCGTGGTATGACGGATGGGAAACGAGGAGGCATAACCCCAAGGAATATGACTGGGTGGTGATCAAACTCGGTTGTGTGGCACAGATCGAGGCCGTGGAAGTGGACACGAGTTACTTCAACGGGAACGAGGCTCCCCTCGCTGGACTGGACGGAGTTGCCTTTTCGAGTGACGAGGACGATAGTGAGGTCGCAAAGGAAGGCTATGCTGGATGGACTGAAGTTCTGCCCCCGCAGAAGTGTGGACCCTCGCAACGACAGGCATGGAAGGTATCTGGTCCTGGTGTGCAGGGGAAGCAGTTCACCCATTTGAGGTTAAAGCAGTACCCAGACGGAGGGATTGCCAGGTTGAGGGTCTATGGGACAGTGGTCCCCCCGTCGTTACCGGCGAGTGTAACCTCGGGAAAGGAGGAGAGGCCCCTGGAGGACCTAGCCAGTGCGCTCAACGGCGGTGTCGCCATTGAGTGCTCAGATCAGCATTTCGGCGGCAAGAACTATCTACTCCTACCCGGCAGAGGGAAGGATATGGGAGACGGATGGGAGACGGCCAGAAGCAGGGTCAAGGGCCACACAGACTGGGTGATTGTTCGCCTGGGGTTGAAGGGCAGGAAGATCGAGAAAGTCATTGTCGACACCAAAGACTTTAGGGGGAACTTCCCCCGGGCTGTGAAGGTCGAGGGCTGGGCCATGGAAGTGGCCAAGGCGGCCCTGGGCACCGAGGCGGACCCCAAGCATGACGCGACGGGCTGGACGGCACTGATTAAGGGAGAGCAGCCTTGCCAAGCGGATACAGAGCATGGTTTCGAGGGTGAGCAGCTGGTGGTTTCTGAGCCTCCGGAAGGCCACGTGTGGACGCATGTTAAGATGACCATTATCCCTGATGGCGGCGTTAAGAGACTGAGGATATTTGGGAGGAGGGCGTGATGATGCTTGACCCGGTGTATACCTACTAGGTATACAAGGTATCGACAAGTAGTACATGTACAGACATCTCACCACTGTTTGTCGCCCATGTTCCGCTCCGCCGCCCGAATCTCGTGAGCGGTAGCAAACGGTCGCCTCGTGATTGGTTGTTGCCCAACGAGTCTCGATTCGCCTGGTGGATGCCAAGACCGACATCGGCCCCGCACCCAGCAGCGTGATTGGCCGCTCACCCTTCTCCGCAAAACTGGAAGGCAAAATTCGCAGATTAGGATGCCACTCGCTTCTCCTCCATGCCACTCCCACTTCCGCACCTCCAGCGACACACAACTGCCACCACCCACTGACTCATAATTCTCTTCGTTTCTTACCCATAGCTTTCTTAACCCCCCTTCACCCTCTTTCTGGCCGTCACGGTTGGACCTTATCCTACCAGGCAATCATGGCGACCAAAATGACGGCCATACGGCCCGGCTCCAGTGCTATTCGCTCTTTGTCCAGAAGAAGACCTTCGTGTTCCCAGCCCTTCTCCTCCACTGCCCCGGCAGCTGCACTGTCGCCCTACCGAAAGTCCCAGAAATCCTCCCCCCAGAGATCCTCGCCCGAACAGTCAAGAAGACCTGCGACGACAGCGGCCGCTCCAGCACCGTGAGTCAATGTGCACCGAGAAGAAAAGTTCTCATGGATCGTGCGTGCTGACCTCGTGCTAGAACTACTCGACCGATCCCCAGTCCCGCCTTCAACAACGACTTCCGCCGAAATGAGCCCTCACCTTTGGTCAACAGGCAAATGCCTGAGCTCGACGATTCGTTTGTGGGGCTCAGCGGAGGAGAAATCTTCCACGAGATGATGCTGCGACAGGGTGTCAAACACATTTTCGGCTACCCTGGTGGTGCCATTCTTCCAGTGTTCGATGCCATCTACAACTCAAAACACTTTGACTTTGTTCTGCCCAAACATGAACAAGGAGCGGGCCATATGGCAGAGGGGTATGCCAGAGTGTCCGGGAAACCTGGCGTCGTCCTTGTGACTTCGGGTCCCGGCGCCACAAATGTGGTAACCCCGATGCAAGATGCGCTCTCGGATGGAACGCCCATGGTCGTATTCTGCGGCCAGGTACCCACCACCGCTATCGGCACCGATGCTTTCCAAGAAGCTGATGTGGTTGGAATTTCAAGAGCCTGCACCAAGTGGAATGTTATGGTCAAGAGCGTGGCGGAACTGCCCAAGAGAATAAAGGAAGCTTTTGAGATCGCCACTTCGGGACGACCTGGTCCCGTCCTTGTTGATTTACCCAAAGATGTCACGGCCGGCATTCTACGGAGACCCATCCCCATGCAATCGACCCTGCCCTCACATCCTTCCGCCGCAACCCTGGCTGCGAGAGAGCTTTCTCGGAGACAGTTGGAGGGCACCATTTCACGTGTGGCCGATCTTATCAATATCGCCAAGAAGCCACTGATATATGCTGGCCAAGGTATCTTGGGCTCTCCCGACGGCCCCAAACTCCTGAAAGAATTGGCCGACAAGGCCTGTATCCCCGTAACGACGACCTTACAAGGTCTCGGAGGGTTTGATGAGCTTGACCCCAAGTCCTTACACATGCTCGGTATGCACGGAGCCGCCTATGCCAATATGGCAATGCAAGAAACCGACCTCATCATTGCCCTTGGCGCTCGGTTTGACGACCGAGTAACCCTCAACATCGCAAAATTCGCGCCAGAAGCGAAAAGAGCCGCGGCAGAGAAACGAGGAGGTATTGTGCACTTTGAGATCATGCCCAAGAACATCAACAAGGTCGTGCAAGCGACTGAAGCTGTCGAAGGTGATGTGACGACTAACCTGGCCGACCTGGTACCCAAAGTCAAGTCCGTCAAGGAACGGCCCGAGTGGTTTGCGCAAATCAACGACTGGAAGAAGCGATTCCCATTGAGTGCCTACGAAAAGGAGACCCCCGACGGACTGATCAAGCCGCAATCATTGATTGAAAAGCTGTCAGACATGACCTCCCATATGAAGGAGCGGACCATTATCGCTACAGGCGTCGGTCAACATCAAATGTGGGCCGCCCAGCATTTCCGATGGCGACATCCTCGGTCCATGGTCACATCAGGGGGCCTTGGTACGATGGGTTACGGCCTCCCGGCCGCCATTGGGGCGAAGGTTGCAGCCCCGGACGCCCTCGTTGTCGACATTGACGGTGACGCCTCTTTCAACATGACCCTGACAGAGCTCAGCACAGCGAGTCAATTCCAGATCGGCGTCAAAGTTATCGTCTTGAACAACGAGGAACAAGGCATGGTCACGCAGTGGCAGAGTCTCTTCTATGAAGATAGATTCGCGCATACACATCAAAAGAATCCCGACTTTGTGAAACTCGCAGAAGCCATGGGTGTACCGGCGCGGAGATGCTTGAAGCCCGCTGATGTGGAGGAGAGTTTACGGTGGTTGATCGAGGGCAGCGGCGAGGGCCCGGCGCTCTTGGAGGTCGTTACCGACAAGAAGGTGCCCGTGCTGCCGATGGTGCCGGCAGGCAAGGCTCTGCACGAGTTTTTGGTTTACGACGAAGGTATGTTTTTGCTGCCCCTCCCCCCTCCAAGAAGTTTTGACGCGTTTCTTCTGAGCTAACTTTCTGGTACAGCGAAAGAAAAGGAGCGGAGAGCCATCATGAAGCAACGGTCTGGCCATTGAGCTCGTGCACGAAAGGGGAGAGAGAGTGTGTGTTGGATTGTAACTGGTAGGGGATGACACAAAAATTCGACGATCTTCCGGAACTCATCAAAAGTTGCTTTCCAAAACCCCAAAAAGAGTCGCATTCAATATGAAGACAGACAAAACCATATGGGCGATTGCAATCTGTACAGGCGAACATACGCATTTTCTGGGGCGAACGCCTTTCAAAAAAGGAAAGCCCCCAAACCAAAAGGCTTTTCCAAAATCTGAAATCTATTCAATTTTTACCTGCTCTGACGTCCTCTGGCATGCTCTGATTTGCTCTCGCTTGACGTGACCTAGACCGCATCGACTTGACGATCACTCCTTTGTACCTCTCCGAGAAGTGCTCTTACGAGTAGACTCTATGGACCGGGGGTAGGTTGTAACACGGAAAAAGAGACACAAGGGCATCTTCAGTTCATCTCGTTACAGATCACGGATCAAGCGCCGGCTCTAAGCTCAAGGTCCTGCTCCTGCTCCTGCTCCTGCCTGCCCTTTTCCCCCTTCTTGTCGCTTGTGCTGTCCCTTGCTGGAGGATTGTGTGAGTGGGGATATACAGTAAGTGGACCGGCGTGAACGGGATCCGGGTCGTGGTCGTGGTCGTGGTTGTGATGAGAGTGTGGTATTGATTGAATCGACAGCAAGCCTCTTGCTCCTTTTGCTGCTGGATGGATCATGATTAGGACGGTGATGATGGAAATCCTATCTTTTTATTTTTGGCAAAAGTGGATTCGTCAAGAGTCTCGCATGTGCCCCCCTTGCAAGGACCGTATCTTGGATACACGAGACTTGTCCTTGATTGATGGATTCGTCTGCCGTCGATGGTACATGAACATAAACCCGTGAGGACGGCTCTAGGCTGGTGGTCGATGAGAAGGGAACTTCACGTTTCTTGGACGAGATCAGAGCTTGTTCTTACGCTCTTGGACAAGATCGTTGCTCAGTGTTTGTCTCTAGGATGCTGCTGCGGAGGTATGATCTCCGACAAGCCTTCCCGGCCCCGGCGCTCGCAACATCGACCGAGGTATCAACGATCGAACCCACAAGGCAACTGCCAGACTCCTACCGTTGTTGCACCGTCTGCAGCTTCTCGTCGACCAGCCGGCCCACAATCTTCTCCAGCATGGCCGGGACGCCGCCTTGTTCCCGGCCGGCCACGCCCTCGAGGTACCCGACGACGCTCTTCTCGACGAGCTTGCCGACAATGTCGATCTCGACGTTGACCTCCTCGCCGGGCCCCTTGGCGGCCATGACGACGCGCTCCTGCGTGTACGCGATCAGCATGACCTCGAACCAGCCGTGGCGATCGTCGACGTTGGTGACGGTCAGACTGGCGCCGTCGAGGGTGATGTAGCCCTTCTCCACGATGTAGCGCAGCACGGCGCGCTCGCGCGGGGCCAGGCGGAAGGTCAGCGCGTTGCCGTCGGGCGTCACGCTCGCGATCGTCGCCACCGTGTCCACGTGGCCCTGCACAAAGTGGCCGCCCATGCGCGTCGCCGCGCTCACCGCCCGCTCCAGGTTGACCTTGCCGCCTTCGCGCAGCGAGCCCAGGTTCGTGCGCCGCAGCGTCTCCGGCGCCACCCCGACCTTGAACGCCGCGTACGGCGCCGCCGCCGGCTCCAGTTCCGTCACCGTCAGGCACGTGCCGTTGACGCAGATCGAGTCGCCCAGCGCCGCGTCCGTCAGGATCGTCGCGCAGTCCGAGATCGTCAGCGAGGTGCCGTTGCCGCCCGACGTCGACGGGTCCAGCGCCACCAGCGAGGTGACGGTGCCGACCGTTTCGACAAGGCCGGTGAACATGTTTGCTTCGCGTGGGCGGGAGGAGGGGGCAGCGAGAGATGTCTAACGCGCGGGTTGGGCGGAGTATGGGTATGCGTCTACAATTCCCTTGCTCTTTTCTTCCCAGAGACGGCGAAGAGTATTCGGTGGAGAGTCACGTATGTAGTTTCCGGGCTCAAAAATCAGTCCGCAGTTGTGGTGAGTCTCTCAGAGGGGTGTCCAATTGGTAAGCATGGCGGGACGAGGTGAAGGGACTGTCGATGATGCGAGATTTTACTTTTTCTCGTTTCCCCCGCGGCCCCGCATCGGCCGCTGCAGCCTCGCGTGCCTCTCCGCCTCGGGCAACCGCTCGACTGCGTTGTGACAAGGCTGGAAACTTACACCCTCATTGAAGGTCTATGGAAAACTCTCCTTCTGTAAACTCAAACAGTAGCCAATTATCATGAAAATCTCTAACACAGCGGATCTCAAAACTAGCTCCTCCGCTACGTTTTCCAGGGGTATCACATTACCAAACTCCAAGCTCGCTGAAACAACAGCTCATTTCACAATCGTCGATGTTCTGTACACCCTCCTCAGGCGTCCCAGCATTTGCCGGTTTATCTGGTCATTTCTTACGTTGAAGGCTGTTGCTTCCTTCTTCCTTTCTTCCCACCATCCCAGAATTCTGGTGGCTCTGGTGGGTGTCCCGTCACTGATACGGTCGTGAGATTACTTTGCCTCGCACAGGTACATGCAGAGCGCTATGCTTGGCTACCTGGCCGGGGTCGAATACTCTGCGCGGTTGGCGTAGTGGTCGCGTTGCTGCCCCATACTCAGGCACTTGCAAATGCTCGGAGGGGGATGCTGTGCTTTTGAATCCCGACGCAGGTATGTGTTGGCATGTGGTTTACAATGGAGACTTCGTCCAGCCATGGGACGCCATTGTCAAAACCATTGTTGGCTTTCTTGTGCGATGGCCGAGTCTGGACGACAGGAAGCAGAGTCCCGGTCTCCCTTGCGTGCGATGACAGATCAATGGTTTCGTGGATGTGCCCACACAAGAGGAGTGGCCGGGGAAAATCTGAATCCATGAGCTAGGAACTCCGCTTGGGCCAGGGCCACTTCAAGCTTGTGTTGCTGTCCATTCGTGCTCAACCGCTCTTCTTCCTGCTTGGCCGACAGCTCAGAGCAAGTTGGAGGAGGCTATCACGGTCTATTGACACGATAGTCAGTGACTGGAATGATGGACATGAGCACCGCAATCGACCCCTACCTTCTTGGTGTCTGAAGTAGATCTCTGCCTTGTCTAGGTACGGAAGGCTTCGATCCCACGAGAACCGTCTAGTCAACGATTTGGCCGGTCCTAGGGTCGAGTCCGAGTTCAAGGTCGACGTGGATGCTCGTCTCTCTGATTCCATCTCGTCAATTTGAGCATGGATACCTGTCAACAAAAGAGTTGACTTCCGCCCTGTCCCCTTGCTTTCAATCTTGATGCTGTCTTGACATACTGTGGCATGGGTGTCAGTAGGATGGACTACCATCAGAGCACAGGTGGACACTGACGGTTGAATTCCATGTACTTCTTCCGTCGCTTCCCCCTTTCCTGGATCAGATGCACCATAAAGCGCATCTCCGATCCCATCTCCCAGACCCGCACATTCTCGAGGCCGACCAGGCGGTCATCATCTCTGCCTCTGTGCGGGCGACAGATCTCAGTCACAGGTAGCAGGAGTCGAAGCCTGGACCCGTAGACTATCTCCTGGAATTGTTCACAGTCTATACCAAGAGATCAATAAGGTCCAAATCCACCTGTGCCAGATGCTCTGCCAGTATACAAACTCACCAAGGACGCTCTTGAACTTGTACTGGACCCAGGTGGTCGGAATTCGTGGGTGATCCCTTCTTTGACCCTGCTGGATTGTGAAGAAGGTCAAACCCTCGCCTTGCTCGACCACGGCCACGAATTCATCGCCATTGATTGAGTAGGGAATAATGTACTCCCAAGTAGGCACTAGGGAGTGAAGATAGAGACTCGTCAGGTCTAAAGACTTGGGTGTCTGTCAGAAAGGGAACGGAATCGTACCTCGTTGCCTGAACCGGATGGTTCTCTTGTCATTCAAGGTCCAAATATCCTCCACCGCAGCGCCATTCTTTACAAGCAGCACTCTTCCCGAGTCACTGGCCTCTATCATGACTCCGTCTGGAGCCCCAGGCTTTCTCCAGACAAAGTGAACTGACTCAACACGTCTGGGAGCAGATCAGCAATAGCCCTTCACAGCCCCACAGACTAGGATTGAGATACATTTCAGTAAAGTTGGCATTAGCAGTAAGCTTGTCAACAAATTCTTTCTGTTCCTTGACGGACGCGAGCTTGACGTGGCGGTACTGATCGCCAGGGGTGACTCCCGGAAAACTCTCGGGCAATTGCAACTGGTCACCAATGTCTTGTCCAAAATCGCAATCATCAATGTCGAATGTTGGATCTGGCAGCCGCAGAGGAGCCATGGACTGAGTTTGCGTATTTGATGAAAGTTCTGGGGAGTTAACCTGACTTCCAGAACCCCTGGCCGTAATCGACGGAGACGTCGGGTTGGGCGATGGACCAAAGGGACTTGACAGGGGGGTTAGATTTGGGCTTGACATTGCAAAGGCGACCATGTCTTGTAAGTTGCTGACTTGAACTGAAAGCTGACCAACTTGTTCACTGCATCAAGGTTGTATCAGCTCCCTGAATGGATTCCCCCTTCAAGCTCGGCCGGCCACAACTTACGAGAGCAGTCCGTTTTCCAGCCAGCTCAGTATCTGAATATGTCGCGACAGCTCTCGTCGAAGGTTCTCGACCACAACATCCTTTGTGGTCCATTCGATCGAATGGTAAACGGTCTTGAAGGCTTCGATCCATTGATTCCAGGCGGCATCGGCGCCTGTGGCGGTGCCCTTCTTGGTCACAATGTGCTCATACTTTGTCGCGATCCTTCTCAATTTCCTGGTCGTCTCCGCACACTGTTCGAGCATGCTCTGAATGTTGCTCTTCACGTCGGCATGGTCTTTCAGAATCGCGCCATGCCGGCGAAGCCTGCTTGCGGCGTCCCCCACACATGCTTGGTATCGGTCTGTCTCGCGGATGAAGAGTCTGATCTCTTCCGGCGCATGTGTAGCGGCATGCAATGTTTTTGCCGCCTGTGTGGTGACCTGAACTAAAGCGATAACATCTCCCACTCCGTTAATAGCCATAGGACAACTACAAGGAAGCAAGGTCACCAAGCAGAAGCAATCAACTCTGGAAATGTCCCCTCAAAAAGCCAATGCCGTCAACTGAACATAGCGAGCCCCCATGGACCAACAGGCCCCGGGAGGTAGAGTCATCAGCGTGGCCATTGTCAGCGGGTTGGGCGAGGTTCGTCGGCAGCTTCCGCGCGTGGCAGAGGATCCTTGCCTGAGCCTCGAATTTGTCGACGTGTGCATCTTCGACCAAGTCATACAAATCGGGCCAATTGGAATCAGAACGCCGGAAACGTGGGCACCAAGTGCGCCTCGCTACCAGGACCCCGCGCTAGCTTCAATCAGGAGATAGCAACGTGCAAGGGTGTGAGACAGGGCAACGGCTGTGTTGTCTTTATGGCTCAAGTTGGAACGGCCTGGTTGAGAGGGAATCTTGGTTCCGGTCATTTGGCGGTGCGCGATATGGAGCTCGGGCGTTGAGCTGGCCCAATGGCCCAATGGTACCTCCAACAGCAGGGCAACCGGGCGCGTACACACCGCAGGGTTCAGGGGCTCACCGGCTTTCGCATAAGGCTGGCTAGTTGAACTGCTAGAGCTTGTAGCCTGTACTCGTATGCTGCGCCCCATGGCGGCCCCTGGTCGTTGAATGTGGAAGCGAAGGCAATAACAACCATCCCTATTCTAGAGGAACCTCTGCGGTTGGGCTATTAGCAAGGCGAACCCAGCACGATTGAGTGATTTTGTAGCCTGCGCACATCCATGGACTCTAGTTCCTGGTTCCAAATTAAACAGTAACACTATCTTCCATTCGACTCTTGTCAGCCCGGTGCAGTGGGTGAACGCGAATTTGCTGCCCACGGTCCCTCAGCCTGATGTCGTCAGATTTGTGAAGAAACCAGAGCTTGACAGCCCGACAAACAGCCATCATGGTGAAGAGGCATAAAGCCTTTCGAGACTTGGAGGATGAGTACAAGCATATCCAGGTAAGTGGAGCGTGTGAAGTTGCGCGATACGCGGTGTGCATTTTGACGCTGATTGATATTGCAAAAGGATCCTACCCTTCGTCGTCGTCTCATTTTGCGGGATATCAATGAACGATCTTTCAGCCGTGCTCATGTTCGAGCGATCCTGGTGGCGGGGACTGGCTTCCTGACTGATAGTTATGATGTCTGTGATCTCTCGAGGGGACTGCTTCGTTCGACGATGCTGACGACTCCGCCAGATTTTTGCCATCAATCTGGTATCTGACATGATGTAAAAACCTCTTCTCTCCTTTCTTCTGTGACGAAGCCCTTGTCGCAAGGCTCTTTATCATCTGCATGCGCTAATAGATATTGGAAAGTGGGTTTTGTTACTTCCCGGAGCATGGGAACAAGATCCCCCAGGTCGACGATACCTTGATCAAGGTCATGACATCTGTCGGCACCGTTATCGGGCAGTTGTTCTTCGGTTTCCTTGCTGACAGGGTGGGAAGAAAGCGTATGTATGGGTATGAGTTGCTAATCATCGGACTGGCAACTCTGGGCCAATGCATCACGGGTCCTTCGTCAGCAATCGGCATAACAGGGCTGTTGGTGTTTTGGAGAATTCTCATGGGTATCGGTATCGGGGGCGATTACCCTCTTGCAAACATCATCACTTCGGAGTTTGCGTCGACCAAATGGAGAGGCACAATGGTTGCTGCCGTGTTCTCGACCCAGGCTCTTGGTCAGTTCATCGCCAGTCTGGTTGCCACGATCGTGATTGCAGCATTCAAAGACCAGATTGACAACGACAAAAATGTCTGTCAGGACAGTGCCTGCACTCAAACCCCTGCTGCACAACTGGCCGTGGACAGAATGTGGCGGATCATCATCGGGGTCGGTGCCGTTCCTGCGGCATTCGCACTGTATTATCGACTGACCATCCCTGAAACCCCTCGATACACCTTTGACGTGAATCGTGATGTGGAGCAGGGCTTTGCCGACTACAAAGGGTGGATTCAAAACACGATTGGTCCCAGAACTGGACAAGGAGAAGTCGAGGATGAGAGAAGGGAGATTCGCGCCGGCTTGAGACCCGGTGAGACTCTGGGCGGCCTTGATGCTGCCGTTGTACCACAGTCTTCATGGAGCGACTTCAGGCGATACTTCCGACAAGGCTTCAATGGCTGGATTCTCCTTGGGACCTGCGGATCGTGGTTCTTCTTGGATGTGGCTTATTATGCCCTGGCTTTGAATAACACCATCTTCCTCCAGAAAATGGGGTTCGGGTCCGTCCACAACAGCGACCCTACAAGATTATACACGATCCTCCGCAACGGCGCGGTCGGCAATTTGGTCCTGGTGGTTGCCGGCGCTATACCTGGCTCCATCTGTGCAATCCTGCTCGTGGACAGAATCGGACGCAAATCGATCCAGGTGGGAGGATTCGCCATGATCACCATCCTCCTTCTGATTCTGGGGAGCTCTTTCGAGAGCATGTCCGACGCTTCACGGGTGGCTGTGTTTGTCCTGATCCTGTTCTTTGTCAATTTTGGTAAGTGATGGTCTCGAAACCCACACTGCACCCTTGATTGATATTTTTGAGCAGGTCCTAATTCGACGACCTTTATTGTCCCTGGTGAGTGCTTTCCTACGAGATACAGGAGCACTTGCCACGGACTGGCCGCAGCCTCTGGAAAAGTCGGTGCAGTTCTCGCCCAGGCGCTGACGGGGCCATTGCGAGGCATCGGATTTGAAAAGGGCGAGACCGACGCTTCACCATGGCTCCCCCACGTCATTCAGATACTTGGGGCTTTTGCACTGTTGGGTTTGCTCTGCTCCTTCCTGATCCCGGAAACGATGGGGCGGTCGCTTGAGAAGCTGGCCGGTGAGGAGCCCAGAGCACTGGAAGGCGAAGAAGCGAGCGACCACGACGAAGACCACCATCCAAAGTCGCGAATGGGGTTGATGTGGGTTTCTTGCACGCCTGTGGTGTTATTTCAGTGGCTTTTCCCCACGCGCAACCGCAGCGCTGAATATGATGACATTGACGGGGGCGAAGGAACGCTCTCTGGAGAGCGGATATCGTTGTCAAGGATGGGCGCTGGTAAAGAAGAGTCCCCCACAAAGCCAATCATTCTCAGAGGAGATCCGCCGGAGCAACAGGATGACGGAGGACTGAAGATACTTGAGACCGAGATTGACAGATTATCCGGGGAAAGCTCTGACCGAAGAGTCCATGATGATGATGACGATGATATCCAGCGGATCGCTTGAAAGACCAACCGCGTACCTTATACTTGGGATTGTTTTGGTCCTAGGGGATGTCTTGAATAATATTATAATCCAAGAGTTAATTCCGCTGACCCGACCTGGATATCGAAGCAAGCGCCGGCTGTAGCGGAGCGAGTGGCCTTTGGCCTCCTCTCAGACTTATCCATGAACAAACCTCGACAGCCCGGAATGATGGCAGCAGTTATCCCAATGTCCAGCTCGGCCACCATGAGGTTCAACTTCACCTCAAATATAGTGTAGTGTGCCGTCTTGGAAATAGCCCAGCATTCCCGCAGTATTGTAAAGTTGCTACAACGGTAAGTGGCTTCCATAAGACATCGCAAAGACAGATTTCTAGAATGGGGGGATGAAAAAACACGGTTATGAATCAAGCTGGAGGGCGCGAAGATCCGTTTGGGGAGCCTATGCTAAGTGCCGTATCTGAACAGTGAACATAACCGGATAGACCGTATCCAACTTCAGTCGTAGGATCGCCTCCTCATGTCTCCCTTCTCATCCCAGCACAGCAAAATTCAAGGCATGGAAAGAACGGCCTGGTCCAGTCAGTGATCAAATAAATCTCGTTAATCAAAGTTCTGATTCAGCCTTCGGGCAAGGACAGACCTCTCCACCAGGGCAATTCGGAAGAAGCGGGAGTGCCAATCATGTCTTCAAGTGCGCCGGCGACATTTCGGGTTGTGCAAGTGTCGGATATCCAGGTACCATGCAGGCCACCCGTCATAGCACTTTTCTCCTCGGATCGTAAAGTTGGGCTAGGGGTATGGAGATACACCGGAAGAGGATGCGCTCAAGGTCCCCAACGGCCCAGTAATTTAGTCTCAACAGAGAACTTGAATCGCCGGAGAAAGGTGGTGTGGGTCAATAGCCTTTGTGGGACAGGATGTTTTCTTCGGCAGGTTCTCGCTGATTGCGCGATAAACTCAATAGAGGAGACAGACGTTACTCCATACTTACAGAGACAAGGCTGAAGTTTTCAACACCCGACCTACCCGGCTGGAACCCGCCAGCGGACCACAATGATATGCGTGGAAAATATGCATTCACTGTCGACAGAGCCTTCCAGTAGATTCCATGGATCAACAGCACGAAGCGGGGAGCTGGTGGTGGTCGTGGAGAAGAATCGCGGCATCCATGGAGGTCAAATGCTTCCTGTTTGCATACAGGGTGCAGAGTGAACAGCTCGACGCTAAGAATATGCTAGCGAACCAAATCCGCTGACCTCATATCCGGGATACTTTCCCTTCTTGGAGAAACGGCACCTCCCTCCACCTTCGGAACCAAGATGCGGGACTTTGGGTTCTTCTCATCGGCCCTCTTGCACGGCGTGGCCACTTTTTGAAAGCTGATATCTATTTCAGACACCCGTCTGCTCTCACTTTTTTCTACAGCTGACCTTCTGCAACCATATCTCGAACTTGATCAGAAAAGGGAGGGGTCAAGCATATCGCACTGGTGCAAACCGCAAAGATGAGCCAGATTCCCCCAGGTTCGCGATTCTCCCTCCCCACCCCTCCTAACCTCAATGGCATCCGTCGGGCTAACGCGAGGGCATGGTCACAGAAGTCGAAGCACATCACAAGATCATGCGGGAGACATTGTACGGGCTCCGAACCTGTGACAGGCCATATCTCTGGACTTTGCCATTGTTGCTAACACAGCGGTACCACACTACAGCTTCGCAGTGGCGACCCCGCTCCTCACGCCGCTCAACCTGACGCTCCTCGTCCTGATCCTGACGCTCGCATACCTGCGCCTGCGCCCACAGTCGGCGCCATCCCTCCCGCCGGGGCCCCAGCCCATCGTCTTCAAGACCTTCACCCCGCGCACCCTGCTCAAGAACAACGGCACCGACAACTCCCCCGTCTACCTGGCCGTCCGCGGAAAGGTGTATGACGTCTCCTCCGGCCGCAACTTCTACGGACCCGGCGGCCCGTACGAGAACTTCGCCGGCAGGGACGCCACGAGGGGCCTGGCCTGCCAGAGCTTCGACGAGGAGATGTTGACCAAGGACCTGGATGGGCCGTTGGACCCGTGTGACGATTTGACCCCCGAGCAGGTGGACAACTTGAATGGGTGGATCGAGAGATTTGACGAGAAGGTGAGTGCTCATTCGACTGGCACATATTCTAGCAAGAAAATGGTCGGCATCAAGTATACTAATGTTTCAATCCAGTATCTGGTGGTAGGCAAATTGCTCCCTTTCCGAAAGACCGACTTCCACTAGTTTTACGACACTCCCGGATCTTCCGAGAGATGAGATAGGAAAAGACCTTGAATGGGCAAAAGCAAAAGATGTTCCGGTACAAGCATGTTTTTTTCACGTTCATGGTATCTGTTATCGTAGCTAAGAAGCTCTAAAGGTACAGTCTCGTAAGCCTGTTCACCAGCCAAACTCATGCCTTGGTCCTCCATTGAATGATCCCTCACCGAACCAACTCCTCCGGGTCCTTGTGTCGCCACTGGATGAGAGCCATCTCCATCTAAGGGTATTCGTCATTCCTTCCATCCACGCCTACAATTCATGTTTAGCGCTTGTGGCACTCTTGGAAGCAGCGCTGGCTACTGAACTGGCGGACTTGGATGCAGATGCAGATGCCGTGGCAGCAGTACCTTGGGCTTGTCCAAGAACCCATTGCAGTCCGCTCTTAATTCGTTCAAAAATGGTTCCTGAGGGCGTCGATGTGCCGTACTTGAAATAGTTGTATTGCTTCTTGGCTTGGGCGCGGAGCTCATTGGTGGTCGAGCCCTGGTAGTTGGGGACGCCATAGCTGTCGAGATACGATTTCAACTCGCTGTCAGACCAAGTATCAAAGGCTGTGTCCTTGGCGGAGTCGGTCTGCTTCGCCAGGTAGCTGGTGACCGATGCGTAGTTTGTCCCGCCGCTCTTGGAAGCAGAGGCGTAGGAATCTTGAGCCTGTCTGATGAGGTCCTCGCGGCTTGCCTTGGCGTTCTTCTTGTATTTCTTGCCGTGGGCCTCCAGGTACTTCTGTAGATTCTCAAGAGTCCAAGTGTCAAATGTCCACGCCGACCAGCCAGTAGCAGCCTTGTGTTTGTTCAATCGAACTTGCTTCAAAAGCTCGTCCCGCTTGCTACCTTGAGGAACTGGAACCCCACGGGAGTCTAGGTAAGCTTTGAGGCGAGAATCAGACCAAGTATCCACAGCCTTGTTGAACGCATCTTCGGCCATAAGAGAAGCATCATCAGTTGCCTTTGCAAACTCATTGCCCGCCGAAGAAGTCGCAGCACCGAATCCAGACGCGGCCGTGCTGGAAAGCGAGGAGCCGCTCGCCTCAAGCTTCGAACGTTGTTTGCGAGCCAATGCAATGAGTTCGTTCTTGCGGCTACCCTGTGGAACAGGAACACCGTGGCTGTCAAGGAATTCCTTCAACTGACTGTCAGACCAAGCGTCGAACAGAGCATCGCTAAGGCTGGCCTGTGCACTGGAGGCGGATTTGCTCGCTACAGAGCTGGCACTGGAATAAGACGCACTCGCAGCAGACGCAGCGGATGACATGTTGAGGGAGGCCAATCGAGCATTGCGGCGAACATGGGCGATAAGCTTGTCTCGAGTGGTGGGCTGTGGAACAGGGATACCGCGCTCATCGAGGAACTCCTTGAGCTCGGATTCGGACCAAGTCGAGTAGAGCCAGTCACCCGGATAGGAGGCGTACTCTCCCAGCTGTTTTGCAACGCCATCGTAGTGCTGGCGGACAGTAGTCAAGAGGGTATCTCTGGTACGTGGTTGGGGAGCAGGGATGTTGTGGTGATCAAGGAAGCTTTTCAAAGACGACTCGGTCCAACTATTGAAAATTAGCGATGACGACAGGCAAAAGGAGCCAGTAGAGCCTCACCTGTCAAAGATCCAGTCCTTGACGCTGTGGTAGCTATCACTTGTCTTGTCCCCAGCTGTGGCGACAGGGTCGACCACCTTGGCCTGCCAATTCTCTTTGACGAGGTTCTCGAGGTCTTTTCTATCCGCAGGAGTAGGGTAGGGAACATCGTGATCGGAGAGCCAGCGCTCGAGCTCGGTCTCATGCCACTTGTTGTAAGCTAAAAGGAGGTCAGCAGTGTCGCTGTGGGCATCGCGCGGACAGTGGCCATACCAGCTTTGCTGAACCAAGTACTGGCAACAACGACCTCGGTCGAAGCCAGAGCGACGACGAGGAACTTGGTGAGGGAGAACCTCATGGTCGCAGTTTGATTTCGGGGTGTCTTCGGGTAGGTGATGGAGATGAGGAGAGTTAGAGAGGTGATATTGTCTGAAACAGAGGACTTAAAAGGTCGAAGAGAAGAAGTCCAGGCAAAGTTGACAGATTGAATGTTTGTGCCAGCCTTGACGTCAGAGTTTGTTCACAGTTTGACTGGTTGATGGGCAGTGATGGAAGGGCAGGTGGGAGATGAGGCAGAAGTGGCGCCACAGGCAGGTCAAGGCCCAGGTCACAAGCAGCGAGGCACCAAAGATTTTACCTTACAGGAAGCCATCTAAGTGGATGTCTAGGTACTTTTAGGGGTGCTTAATGTGCCTTTTACTGCCAACGCAGATCCAGTCAGATGTTGCGGGACACGAGTCCGACGAAACAAAACAGCAGCAGAGCTTCAGGTGCGTGACGCCAACAACTGACGCGATTCGTGATGCGGGGAAAGCAAGACACGCGAAAAACTCAGCCTGACGTCACCATCACTTAGAGCGAAGAACAAATCCGATGCTTGTGGCGCAGGCACTGCTACCGGTCTGTACAGGACGATGCTAGGTATCTAGTAGTCTTCCCGGGGAGCAAAGGACAAGAAACCCCTCTAGCTTCTGGCTTGCGGCTTTCAAGCAAGTAGTTAATCCATGTTGGTTGTGCAGGTCCGAGAAACGTGGGCAAGGCTGTGATCAGCCCCCTGCGGTTCGTAGTAGTATTCAATACCATCAATAGCAGGCTTGGCATTCCATGAAGTCATCAAGTCGACGCAATGCATCAGAGGATCATCAGTGGCACTCCTTGCAAGTTTCCATGGCCTTTTGACCTTCACTTCCAGCGTACTTCTGAGCTGGAGTCTGCCCATATCTTCTGCTGCCGAAATTTCTACCATCCACCAAAACCTTCACTGAAGCAGCCAAAATGCAGCCCATTCTTCGTGTGGCCGCGAGGCCAGTCCGAGTCCCTCGCCGTTTCCCAGCCCTTTACTATCCTGCACACCCAAGAAGATCCGCACATCAGTCTTATGGGAATGAGCAGTCTGGGATGCAGCAGGGCACCGACAAGGACAACCCCAAAGCCCACATGGAGCATCCCGGCCCAGAAGCTCCTGCAACTGGCAAAGGTGGAAGCTCGTCCACAAGTCAGGGTGGCAGCCCTAAAATCCACAGCCCCAAATCCGCCGCCGAAAAGAATGACCCGGAAGTTCGGAAGCATAACGAAGAGCTGGAACAACGACACGAGAGGACGGTAAACCAGTTGAGTGAGGACGATAACAAGGTGGACAAGCAGTTTTGGAAGGGTCTGTCTTCTCTCCCAAACTAGTCCGATATGGTATAATCTAACACTCAGGGGCAGGCGACGTTGGACGCCCATCAGAAGACAAAAAGTAGCGACGTTTCAGAAATGCCCGAAGCGGTGCGAGGCAGACGATGCAGGTGCAACTTGAATCATGGTGCCGGAAATTGAAATCGCACTGGGCGTTGATGGCATTCAAAAGGGAAGACTGTAACCTGGGGATCAGGTCTGAAGCGAAGTTGTGATGATGGGGGTCGGTTTTGCTGAAGTGTGCCAACAAGGAGGCATCCCGTCGTGCAAGTGAATGGGAATATATGAGTACAGTCATGCTCTGATAGTCTCATCATGCCTTTCCAGCATGCAATGCAATCGTGACATTTGTGTCATTTGGCGCGCATCAATCAAGACAGCCTTTGCTTCTCCATTAGTCTGTGGCGTAGATCAGATGTGGTGACTTGCCATGGCATGCGTGGTCTATCCCTTTCTCAGTGCGAGGATTTCCGCCAGGCGTACTTGGCCTCGCTGTCCCCAGCCGGCTTGGCCTTGTTCGACATCTGGCCGAACACGCGTATACCACACCTGTGCTCTCTGGTCAAGCTCTTGCGCGCTCAGCGTGGGTGCCCAACTCTTGCACACTGCGTCGATCGCCTTGAGAGTCATAGCGGCAGCTTCCTCCCTCCTTCTCGCCATTTCCTTTGGGGTTATCTTCTTCAAGGCAGGCTTCTTCTCGTCGGTATCCTTTACGGATTCCGCGGGGCCGGACTCGACAACCATCATGGATTTGAGCAGGTAGTTTCGAGGTGAAATAGGCTTGTGTATAGGAGGCCCGGTAGATTTCTTGATGTCCTTACCAGCAATCAAAGGTCCATTGGACTTGCGAAGCGCTTCGAGATCAAGGCCCCAGAACGCAACACTAGGAGTAGATGTCTCGTCATCGACGGAGGCAGCCACGTGCCTCCGCATCACGGCCACCTCACGTCCCATTATCTTGACTTTGGGTTGGCCTTGGGCCCAACCATCTTCTTCCGCAGTCGGCCCGGTTGTCAGACCAAGGTATTTCGCTTTGCTCTGTGCACCTGCGCTCACGACTGCTTGCGCCAAGCTCCATCGACTCGAGACAGGTTGCTCAGGATGTGTATACGCAAGGACAGCGATAGTGAAGGCGAGGAAAAGGGGTGCGCGGTTCGTCTCAATGATGATATTCTCTAGCTCGGCAATGGGTATCTCTGTCTGGGGTAGTGCAAGAGAAAGCTCATCATCATCAGGCAGATCTTGATCTGTCCTCGTGCGCTTTGAGGTTGGAGAACTCGACTGCGTGGCTGCTCGCTTTTTGGGATTGGAAACACGCTTGGCCGCGTTGATCACCTGCTTCAGCACCTTCTCATCAGCAAAGATGGATTTAAGATCAGTCTCGTCGGCCTTGGAGATGTTCTCGGGCGTATTAAGTTGGTGTTTCCGGAGGGCGTGGATCTTGGGCATGGCTTCTGCCAATGGAATGCGGGCATCTTTGGTCAAGAAGCGCAGCAAAGCCTGCACCTCGGCCGCAGCAGTCATAGTGTAGGAGACTTCACGGCCAGAAATGCCCCATACGATTAGTCCCTGACGCACAACGAGGTGCAACGCTGGCAATATTCCCGCAGTCTCCCGGTTAAACGATTACAGGATCTGAGAAGAACAATAGGGATCGACACCGATGAATGCCGGGTGACGGTCGTAAAGTCAGCCATGCAGATAGAATTATTTATGCGAGAAGGCCTGATGCCGCCTTGTCTCAAAGCGAGCATGATCGATGGGATTGCCAAGGCGACTAAGACCAACTAGCACGCTATTGGCCGACGGCCAAGACCAGAGTGGAATGGGCACGGCAAGTGCAGACTGAGTCTAATGAGACCTCCTGTTCCTACCTTTGACGGCTGCTCTTGTTCCGCTCTCACAATTCATGCTCATCCGACAAGTTCAACATCCACCGCCCTCAACTCACCCGCCTCCCTCCCTCCGATACGTTCCTTCCCACGTCGAACCTCCATCTGTAGTACCCCCCAATTGTCCGCCGATTTCCTCGTCTCCTCAACGGTCTGTCTTCGCGTGTCCGGAGCCGGCCTCCTAAAAGGGTGGCGCAGCGCCCATGGCGCGACGACCTCCTTCAAGACGATCGACATCGATGGACGGTGGCATCACGCCGCGAAGGTCATCGATAGACACCTCCAACCCCAATGTTTTCAGTGACGATTATGCCGTCGACCCTGCAGATTCAATAGGCGCTTCCAGTCCCACGGACTCGATTGACAGCCGACCGGAAGAGCTGAACCTCGACCAGCGCAATGACACAAACAACAATCCGCGTGAATATATCCCTCCTGGGCTTTCTGGAAACACAATTGGCTTAAATAGACTTTCCATGTCCAAAAGAACCCTTCCAGCCGAATCCTCCGCCTACCCCCACCGAGCCGTATCAACATCGTCCCGTTCCATCGCAGACACTCGAAGAACCCTCAGCACCTCCTCTCGATTCTCCATCCCACGAGCCCAGAGTCCTTACAGAGGACCAACGGCTCCAAGTCAGCCCTATGGGCTATATCCCCAAGTTACAAGAGCGTCTAGTGTTATCAGCGATTCGACCATTCGGCCCCTAGAACTACCCTTTGTCCCACAAGGCGGTCCCGAGCACCCGTACTCTATGTATCCTCAAAACACAGTCCCTGAGGATGATGATAGTTCGGACACCCATATCGCATTGGGGTTTCCTGGACTGGGTCAATCATATCCGCCCGAGACATCATCTTCCAGTAATGAATTGGGCGACATTGTTGGTAGCGATGGCCACATCGAGCAATTACCGCCCTACAGCCGATATGCGGACAACGTCATCGCGAAGGGAGACATGGCTCGAATAGACCCGCAGACATCGACCATCACCGAAGAATCGGGTCCTGCTTCCACCATTCAGCCTCCTGCGGGGTCTGGATCAGATGTTGAATTGACGGCCGTCGGCTCGGGGCCATCTCAAGATGAAGTCGCGAGGAAAGAAGGGCTAAGCGAAAAACGACGGAGAAGGACATGCTGTGGATTACCGATCTGGACAGTGGTGATTGTCGTTGCAATCGTCGTACTGGCAGCGGTAATTGGTGGAGTCATTGGTGGGGTTGTAGGAAATCAACATGGAACACACCAAGCCGAAGTGTAAGTTGAACAAACAAACGCCTATGCGAATATCTCTAATTGTTCAACAGCGCAGCGACTACGACCGTTTGGCTTGACGCTGACCCCGCTCAAACTGGTCCGTCGACTCCGTCATGTCCAACGGGTCACTATACAATCCCCCTCAATCAGACGCAGGAGATCGATTCGTGCGTAGTCGACGATGAGTACTCTCATACATGGGAATGTCTAGACTTCGCCCTGCTTGGGATCAACTTCTTCTCAAATGGTCCGAATTTTTCGGTAGTGTTTGACGACTACTCCGTGCGACCTCAACTGTTTAAGTACGGACCACAACCTCCCGATTTCAACGGGACATCATTCGGGCTGCAACCATACATGGACAAGGAAGACGATCAACTCGGTGTCGCCCTTTTTTTCAGTGTACTTTTCGACAAGCTGATCATTGGTGCGTTCTTCTCATGCCCTTGAGCAACCAATCACTGACTTGCGGTTCTAGTTCCTGCTGATCAACTCTCTCCTGAACCTGGGTCGATGAAACGCTCCGTCTCTGGCCCAGAGTTGGCCGAAAGAGGCATGGGGGGCTACTGGGGGGTCAACTATCTCAGTGTTGGAGACAAGCCCTGGTACTGTTTCTGGAACTCTTCCGTCAGCGAATTCTGGGTCTTTTTGGATCAAAACATGGACGACGCCTACGAGACGTATAGCAGTAGCTCTACGATAACGTCTGCATCCAGCAGGCCCACCAGCGCCGGTCCTCTCAGTGCGTCATATAGTGGCCCTGGATACGGGACTGGACCGACGACTACGCCCGCATCAGCCACCACGCCATACCCAAGTGAACCGACTGACGATGACGACTACTGGCCCGGCACCAAAGTCAAACGTCAAGCCACGGTTGGATCACCCGACTTCCCCAAACTCGTCAAGATGGTGGAGAAGCGGAAACCTGACAACAATGTGCAACCGTATTGCCAGCAGATGCAAGTCCTCAACAACTGGCAAATCATGCCCATACCCAATGTGCCGACCATTTGCATCGAGGAGAGCGACTACAGCGCCCCTACTTCCGGTCCCAGCAAGAGGATGGTGATGCCCCGACGGTCACCCAACTCGGTGGAGCAGCTGGGATCGAATTGTATTTGCGAATGGTTCAGTGTATAGACCCCGCGCGAGGGTATGGGAATCTGTCGCCTGTGTGTTTTATGTGTTACGAGGTCATGAGTGCGCTGCTGGAAGGCCTGCTGTTTGATATTCCCTTTAGGAAGGATGTTATTATCCGAGGACGAATTGGTATTTTAAATACGGGGAATTTCTGGTCTGTATATTTGGGGGGTCTGGTTCTACTGTCTGCACTTTAGGCATGGCGGACGGGGGACAGGCAAAAGTGGGAATTATGGTAGAATCTTTCCTACTGTTAGTGGCAACAAGAATTCCAGAATTCGAATTCGTTTTCCAGGACTCATATTCAGATTCCGTTGTGTCCTTGTTCAGCTCCGTTTCTGGTCCAGCCTCGTGTCGTCACCTATAACAAGGCTGAGGACCCAACCTCATCCTTCCTGACCGTGAGCCTTTGAGAGCGACCATTCTCCCCTTCTGAAGGCATTCACGCTTCTATCCCGACCAGAAAGGATAAAGCCTCAGGTCTCACATGATGAATCAGTCAGCCGCACCAGTCAAGGTTTTCCCGGCTGCGCCGAGTCAGCGTTGTTCGTGGTTCGGCTAATTGCGTCGAATCAACTCGTTCAGGCGTTGATTATTGCGAGCTGAGCGCGGCCCAACCATTTCCCAGAGCCGTGGCCCCGTGTGTTTGTTTCTATTCTTGCGCCTTGCAATGGCCCATGGGCTTTGTGGGATTTAAAGCCCCCCCGGTCATTCGAGGCTGTCGCATGCTCATCCATCTCCTTTGTCTGGAAACGAGAGGATGGGCCGCCGGAAAGCCTTGCTCATCGGCATCAACTACATGGGCTCGCAGCACCAGCTGCAGGGCTGCGTCGACGATGTCAACAACATGGCCGAGTTCCTGGCGTCGCGGGGCTTCTCCAACCACCCTGCCAGCATGGTCGTCCTCACCGACATGAACGACCCCCGCGGGCCCTACTTTCCCACTGCGCACAACATCCTCGCCGCGATGCAGTGGCTGGTCAGTGAGCCCGGGAGTATGTGTTTCTTGCACTACTCGGGCCACGGCGGTCAGGTGCCGGACGAGGACGGATCCCATACGAGTGGCTTCGCGGATACCATCGTCCCCGTCGACTTCGAGAGGACGGGCCAGATCGATAGCTCGACCCTGCACCGTGCCCTGATCAGCGCCCTGCCGCCGAACAGTACGCTGTTTATCCTGTTCGACTGCTGCCATAGGTGAGAAGCCCGGAGATCTACTTACTTCCCCCTCCTTCATAGGCCCCCGTGCCCCCCGTGAGATATCAGAATTACTAATTTGGGGGCGCCAGTGGTTCCGCGGTGGAGTTGCCCTTCGTATACCGTAAGTCTCGCCGTTCTTATCACTATCGAAATCTCCAGAACGAGAAAGTGCCCTATTTTCCTATCAGCATTAGGGGGATTCGGGTCTGGTGGCTTCTATTCCTCTGCTGATACCACGCCAATGCAGGGACCGATAATGACGGCAATGTCAACCTCATGGACAACCTGAGAGCTGGCGCCGAATTGATTGGCGAGGTGAGTACACAGTTGCGCCGTCCCCCCGGTCACCACCCATCGGCATCTTCGGTGTGAGTTACCGACCAGAGAAACATCAAAGCATGAGAGTCGGGCATATCCATCGCTGGGGGCTGCAATGTCTATCTGTCTCATGTGACAAAAACAGCACCCCTTCTTGACGCAAAAGTGCCTCACAGGGACCATCTCGCGCCGAGGACTGCAGCTTTGGGCAAGTGAGAGCGACGATCCGCTGACGAAGGGCATGGTTTTTTCTCCGCAGGCATCGCACCTCATCCGCGGCGACTTCGCCTTCGACGGCTCGGGCGAGGCGCGCCACCTTCTCGCCGGGGCGACCTCGTTCTTCCGCAGCCTCAAGCACCAGTACGACGGCGACTACGAGGAGGGTCTGCACGGCGTGGGCGAGTTCGAGGACGACTGGGGGCCCGAGAACAAGTCGGTCTTCATGTTCTCGGGCTGCAAGGACGAGCAGACCTCCGCGGACGCTTTCATCAACGGCCGACATGTCGGTATGTTCTCTCCCCTTACCCACCTTTTCCCAAGCCAGCCAGAATGATCTCCCAGGCCTGGCCTTTGTTTTCCGGTCATTCCCCCTTTAGGGAGCGGTTTACTGACCCACGGCTTTGATGTCGGCCGGGGACTTTAGGAGCCATGTCATGGGCGTTTCTCGAGACCATGAAGACAGATGTCTACTGGAACATTTCATACGTCCAGGTACGGTGGCCTTTTACCCTATTTTCTCTCCGATGCCGCTCGATTTACCTAGCGGTGGTAGCTATATATCCTTTCCAGCGCCCCAGTGCCCAGTGCCAGTGCTAGTGCTAACGACAGGGCTCGCTCCACCTGGGGCCTTTTTCCAGATCTTGCAAAACACCAGAGCCCTCCTGCAGCAGCATTACTCCCAGGTGCCCCAGCTGTCGTGCGGTTACCAGTTTGACTTGAACAATCCGTTCCGCATATGATGATAATGATGATGATGACGACGAGATTGAGAATGCTTTCAAGGCTGGGGTGGTGGGTGGTAGGGAGGAGTTCTGGTGTTCCAACTTTTGGCCAGATATCAAAAGGTCGGACACAGCTATAGTCGGGAACCACAAGCTTGTCGGCGTCGAGGGGCTTGATCTGAGGTTCCGGATTTGCATTGCGATGGGGGACTGTGTGCCCAGATACCGTGTTGTTCATGACGATAAAATCAAAATAGATTGAAAAGCTGTCCAAGAGGCCGAGGTCATTGTGTCGTTGCTGGCAAAGGGACCGGCTTGTTATATACAAACTCCACATTCTCGGCTTCAATGGCTCACCGACGACATACGCCGCCGCAGAGGCTGCAAGGGCCTATTTATGTGAGAGAAAGATACAGTCTGATAGAGATGGCATTCCTTGGCTGAGCGTCTATATCCTTGCTGCCTTTGCTTCTCTGTCTGTCTGCATTGTGGCTGTGCCTCAGCCTTGCACCTTCACCCTTCGCCACACGACTTTCATTCCAACGCCGACACACCCACTTTTCATTGAACCACGAGTGCCCTCCAGGTCTATGGCGCATCGGGAAATCAACGTGTATTCGAGTCCTTCTACTGCCGATCATTCATGCATAAAGTTCGTGCTCGAGGTATTCGACTTCAAGGCTCATACGAGGCTAATATCCGGATTGTGGTTATAATCCAATCTCCTACCTTCAGCGTTAGACCAGCAGATGACCGCGGGTTAGACCCGGCACGTTTCAAGAGCATGCGAGGCTTACCCTTCGTCAAACAGAAATTGGAAATTGTCAAAGGGGCCAAATGACGCAAAGAATTCGTCAAAGGCAGTTCCGCTCAGTCCGCAGGTGTCGAGAACCGTGTTCATGGGATTCGCCTGATCGTCACGAAGGTGAGGTGTGCTTGCTTGCGCAGCCGGATCTTGCAGGCCCGCCGCGTAGCCTGCATATTGCTTCGCGTCTCCTGTTCTCCCGGCGTTCAGCGCCTTCAGGACTTCGGTAAAGAGGTTGCGATGCATGTCTGCGCTCCAAAACGTCTTGTTGAGATGCGAGAGAACCATCAGGTGCAGGTTCAAATTGTGCCCAGCATGCTGACGGATGAGGCCATCGGACCGAGCAAGCTCGAATAAATGAATTTGCATTGCGACCATCATAGCAGTCACTAGCATTGTAGGCGAGGTTTCAATCATGTCCTGCGCGATTAGTCTGTTGAGAGTGCTCGTGGAATCGGCTGCAGCGGTCTTGGATCTCTGGGTCGCGGCTGCTTGGAGACTGTTTCTTTCGGCTGGTGACAGGTGTACAGGCGTCGAAAGAATGTAGGACCGATGAAGAAGGATGATGACCGCTTGACAGTAGCATTTGAAATGGTACATGTGAAGCGTCAGGGTTCGGGACCGGTTTTCGATGTCCACGGGAAGGCTGTCAAGAAGATGTGATATGTCTGCATAGTCGGTTTCTAATTGAGACAAAGATAGTGGCGGCCTTCTCGGGCGGTAATGTAGCACCATAGCATCTTCCAGCTTGATTGACAGCCGGAGTATTTTAATCCAGAGTTCCGCCAACCCTTCAAGATCGAGGGGCTGGAATGCTTCGCACAGTTCCGGCGATAAGTCTTTAAAATCATCCACGACATCGTGCACTGTTGGCAGTTGTAGATCGCAGTCATCCAGGTGGACGCGCATCGGCCTTCCAGTACCCAACGAGAGCCAGGCATCGCGGTAGTAGCTGCACCACCACAACCGCCTCCAGAGTGCTATTTGTGATTGAGTGAAAGGACATCGTTGAAGCCGAGAATAGCTGGGTTCACGATGGAGCCCAATACCAAAGCATAGGTGGATTGCCGAGCCAATCCAATAGCAGGCTCCGTCCAGGTCTTCCAGATCGACGTACCAGTACCCCAGAAGCAGAACTGACGCAATGATAGCGGATTTGTCGGTCTCGAGCTGTGCATCGTATGTTCTCTAGATGTTGTTAGCTCGGGGTGTATATCAGTACGAGGAATCATCTGACCTTAGCATTCTGATAGCAAAATTGCTTCAAGACCTTACGAGATTGGAACCCTATAGCTTTGAGGGCGTCTGCATCAATGTAGATGGCTGCAGCAAAAAACACTGACCACAGTAACAGACAGCTGACACTGTTGGGGTCATCGGAGTACTTCGTAATAAATTCCCCTGCATTGACGACAGGCAAGACAGGGTAGACGTAGCTGAAGAAGCAGCGAAGGAGCCGCGCGCAGACAGGAGGCGGAAACAGGGGCCTGGAGCCAGGGGTTATCTCTGGTTTGAAATGCTGTCGCTTGAGGATGTTGCGGCTGATGATATAAGGGGCTCCTTTCACCGATCGATTTGGCGAGCAGATATCGAACACAAATTCGAGTCCCTCAGCCTCTCCTAAGAGAAGAAGTCAGTCCTGTTGGGTCTCACCAGAGGGCTTGAAAATATACCGGCATAATAAGGCACCAGGATGTCCCGTGACTGCTCAGGCCCACGAGGCTTGTCAGATAGCGAATCGGAAACAGTGGTGGGAGTTTGCTGAGTGCCAGTTGCGATCTCGCTTGATGCTTCTGGCCCCCTTTGACAGTCTGGGGAGGCGACACGGGCAGGACTCTTCTCCACGTTTACGCGATCCCGGGTGATTTCAACGGTATCCGACCCTTGGTGCGTTACCTCGGCAATGGGTATAGATGCTGGAGACGGCGTGAGAGGGTAAACTGGCTTCGATGAAGGCTGGATCGCTGGATCTGGCCGAGTGTTGTATTCAATCGAACGCGATGAGTGGCCTAACTGATGACCAGGGGAAGGCAAGGACACGGACGCAGCATGCTGCTGGCCATAGACCTTGCAAGTGGTGCCATCCTGAGCACAGTTTGCACATGGGATGCCCTGGAAGGCCAGCGAACACCGGACCTTTCGATCATGACAACGCGTGCACGCGATGGCTGAGCGCTTCCTCTTGCGTGGCGGCTGTGTATCCATGGCGCCTCCTCCTGTGCTGAGCAAAGTTGGTGGACGTCCACCTCTGCAAGGGGGCCATCGCTTTTGCAGGAGTCTCCGCCTTATGTCTGAGTGGAGGAGGAGAGGGACCTCGGATCTTTGTCCATTGGCGGGAGATTGCGGGGGAGAGGCCCGCAAAGCGCCAAGTAGAAGGCGGGACGAACGAGGGAGAGGAGGATGAAGGAGGCTTTTGGTGCGGAGGAGGAGATGCTTGTGAAGGCCATAGAGGCCAAGCGTGGTCTCGGTGGTGATTAGGTTTTGGTGGGAGAATGTGAACGTTCAGAGCAGGTCGTCCTGCGCCCAGCCTTGTGTACACACCCAATGTCACAGGGATCCCCTGCCAACACCTCAACCTCTACCTCTACCTCTACTTGGTACCTATTGACCAGCTATTCTGCACAACTGCTCAGCCCTTCACTCAATGCAGGCCTCGGAGGAGAAGGGATCCACCATTGTGGGCACAATGGCCTCCCAATGCCGCCTCTTCGCCACATTAACGCGCCTATCCCTGGCCGAACAGGAGACTATCCCGCGATGTCCCCAGAATACTTCGTACATGGTGGAACATTTTCCTTCGCCTGTAGCACAGTCGACAAATCATGGCCGACAAACATACTAGCTACAGCGAAACTCTTTCCGCATTCAACCCCTAACGCAGCAATCCTCGTCCATCTCGCATCTCGCTCTCCACAGCATCCACAGAACAGCCCAACCGAGGCAGCATACCGAGGTAGCCTCTATATGCGCTCTTCACATATCTATAATGCAACGCCAGGGTAATGCGATAACCTGTCTATCGAAATCTACACCTATCTGCGGCGCCAGCTTCGAAAACTTCACGTTCACTACCACCGTGCCCATCTACACCGTTGCTCCATCATGGCGGAGAAAACAACTGGCCTAGCCGAAGAGCTAGCAGTCGAGGCACCTTCGTCGTCGGAAAAGTCTCAGGTCCATCATGAAGAATCACTTGACCAGGCCGAGAAGGTCATTGGTCTTCGGGTCGATGGAGATGACCTTGACCATGAACACGAGCCAAAGGTATGTCATGTTCTCCCTCTTGCGCACGATTCTATGGAGGTGATTGCGTACTGAGTTCCAATCTAGATGACCTTCAGACGTTTCATGAGTTTGCTTGCGATGGCCTTGCTCTGGACTGGCAGCCAAATTCCCGTCTACCTCTATGGTAGGATCCTCCTGATCGTCTGTGAGGGTTAGTCCTGACTGCCATCGCACAGGTAGTATTCCTCCCTACATCTACGGAGACATTGGCGGGCTGGATAGATGGATTTGGTTTGTAGGTTCTCGAAGATGGTCTGAGAGATGCATTTACACTTACTCGTCCACCAGATTTTGGGGAATTTGCTTGCTCTCGCGGGCGTTTGTCCTTTCGTTGGCTCCCTCTCGGACCTTCTCGGTCGACGCTATGTGGCTTTGATCGGTGCGGGAATGCTTGTCCTGGGCACCGTCATTGCAACGACTGCAAAGTCAATGAACATGTTTATCGGTATGCTTTCCTTCCATGCATTGTATCTTTGTGAGAGTTGAGGCGCCTAACACAATACTATCACAGCCGGCACAACCATTGCGGGAGCAGCTGCTGGGATCAGCGAGCTCACGGCGTTGGCAGTGACTTCTGAGATGGCTCCCACCAGGAAGCGTGGTGCCTACGTCGCGGTTCTGATCTTCACCATCGTACCCTTCTTGCCCTCTGGACTGTATGCACAGATGATTGCTTGTACGTGGAGACTTGCTTCCCTTGTCCCGAATATAGAGCTCGCTGACACACCTAGCCCATGCCGGTTGGCGCTACAACGGCATTATCATCTGCGTATGGAATGGACTCGGGCTCATCATCACGGCATTGTTCTACTTCCCTCCGCCTCGGATCAACTCCAAGGGCAAATCGAAGATGGAGGTCCTCCGCGAAATCGACTATATCGGCGGGTTTCTCAGCATATCTGGAATGGTGCTCTTCATGGCCGGCATGCAATGGGGTGGTTATCAGGTAGGCCGATCCTCTGCGACCGAGCTCTGTATACTTACTTGCGCAGTACTCGTGGGGATCGCCCCACGTTCTCGTTCCTCTGATCCTCGGTGCTGTCCTCATAGTGTTGTTCATCTTTTGGGAGGCCTACGGCGCAAAGTACCCCATGTTTCCGAAAAGGCTCAAGCAGGACCCTCGCATCCTCGGACTCACTCTGGTCATCACCTTCATTTCCGGAGCAAACTTTTTCTCATACCTCATGTTCTGGCCAACCCAGGCTTTCAACGTGTATGGCCATGATCCTGCTGCCGTGGGCTTGCGCGTCCTTCCGGGTGGTATTGCTATTATGGTCGGGGCATGCGTGACGCTCTGGCTGCTGTCCGTCTTCCGCGGGCGAAACAAGGAGCTCATGATCGTCTCCTGCGTTCTCATGACTGCCGGTATTATTCTTCGAGTGTTTTCCCTTCCTGCCTGTGTTGATACTGACCACATCTCTCGCAGGAAGCGGTGCTCTGGCTTGTGCAACCCCGGACAACATGGATAAATTATGGGGTCTTTTGGTCCTTGGAGGCCTGGGCATCGGTGGCATTGTCGTCCCGGCCTCGATCATCACCACCATCATCTGCCCGGACGACCTCATCGCCACGGTCAGCGCCTTGACCCTGGCCATCCGCGTCATCGGCGGCTCCGTCGGCTACTGCGCCTACTACAACGTCTTCCTCTCCAAGTTCACGACCAATTCCGTCAAGTACATCGCGCCCGCCATGTACGAGGTCGGCGTCACCAACACCACCTACATCACGCAGGCCATCATCCTGACCGGCGCCAGCTTGATCCAGGACCTGAAGACCATCCCGGGCCTCGCGAACGAGACGGCCTACCAGATCGTGGTCGCCGCGGGCCAGCTGGCCTACTCCGAGAGCTACAGGTACGTGTACCTGGCCAGCATCGCGGCTGGGGGAGTGAGTATCATTGCGGCATGCTTCCTGGGCGACATCAACAAGTACATGGACGAGCATGTCGCCGTGGTCATTGAGTAGTCCGCGACTGGATGCTCGAGAGGATCAAAAGGAGGAAAGGTGAACATTAACGGGACTCTGTCCATGTACACATCGTTTATCCCCTTCTCGTCGCAATCTTTGTCGTTTCACAAGTTTGTGCTCGGCGATGGTCGACGCTCGGGGAGCTGGCATGACCTCAGAAGGGCTGCCCGACAGGCAGTAAATAAAACCAAATTGCTCGACGCGTATCTTTGAGCTTGTCGTCTTCTATATATATACATATATTATATATGCCCCGAACTGCCAGTCCGAGGCAGCCGAGGAGACGGCCGCGGGGATGCCGCCATGCTCATTCAACTCTGAATTCATTGCCGGCTTGGTTTTGTGCCCGGAAGCCCCCTGGGCCTCTATCGATTAGGCGCAGCCTAATATGCGACCGTAGGGCCGCACGATGGATGCAACTCTACCGAAGCGCGTGGGCCCGCGGCTCGGACATAGTCAGACGACTCGAAGCCATTTGCATCACATCCTGCATGCAGTCCACTTGAAGTTTTGTCAAAGGGGACTCACCGAAGCATGTCCTTTTGTTATGCAACGGATCATCGCAGGATCTCATGCTGCTGTTGCGCTTTTAAAAATTCCAGAGTCAACAATCTCCCTTGACCAAAATGTGGCCGAACACCCAGCATTCGAGCACCAGCGGGAATAATTTGCTTCGCAGATCCAGTTTTCATCGGACCTTGGGCTTTCCCTCTTTGGTCGCTCAAATCGGCCGTGTCGAGCTCCTCTGAGTACAATAGAGTTCCAGCACACATGGCAGCTAGGGTTGAGTCCCAGAAACCATCACGTCGATTGAGTTGAGAGAGGATTCGCAATGCCTGACGTCGTAACTTTGGCTCACGACACCGGGTGACGACGATGAACAGCGGGGGTACTGGGGACAAAGCCGTGCATGTAAAAACGGCTTTGCTCAACATCGGTAAACGGGAGAAGTATGACGGCCGTAATGTGGCAAAGCCGTTGTCCTCAAAACATCCGAGTTCACAGGGTTCGTATTTAGACTTGGGGACCATGAATGCCTCGATTATCGGAGCCGAGGCCTTCTCGCGTTTCTGTGTAGTCGGCACCATTGATTCATATTCGCATTTGTTCTGAACATCCAGCAATCCTTGAGCAACATCGACCATTGACTGGAACATCGGCATGCCTCCATCATAATCCATGACCTCGTTCGGAGAGTCAAGAAGCAGAAAGAGGCGGCACGAAGAATACCAGAGACGGAGGATAAGGACTGCTTCATGGTGGTGGTGATTCGCTCGGTCTTGATTTCGTGTCGATTCTAGAGTGGAAAGTCTGTCAAAGGCCCTTTTCCACTGATCGAGTTGTTGCGAAAGTCGTATGTACCAGGTTCCACGCAACGCAGCCATCTCACTAGAACACTTGACAAGTTGTCTAGTGGTAGCTTCTAGTGTAACTCCGATAAGCTGATCAACAATGTCTTCGAGTGATCCAGAAGCTGCTGCTACCGACTGAAACCGATCTGGCAGATATGAAGTCTGACAACCTAGAGAGTGATGAGCTGAACGCACAGGCTGTTGCCCAAATTCCGCCAGCTGGCGATCCAGCCGTCTGAACAGGAGGATCAGTATCGTGAGCGGAAAGTATGGTCGGTAAGGATCAGAATTTGTTGGTCCAGCTCGGTCCATTTCTCTAGACACGGTCACATAAGTGTCGAGGAGCTTCAAACCACTGTGCACATGGGCCTTGGCCGAGCCGAGATGTCCCTGTAGATGCTCGCAGAACGTGAACATGATGCAAGCTATTAAGGTCACCTCCATGCACCTACGGCTTCCTTTTGCGGCGACAAGAGCATTGATCGCGTACGAGTATTGTTCCAGGCCCGTGCTCAAAAAACCAGAAGCATAGAGAGTCTCGTCTTCATATTCTTGGTGAAAGCATCCTAGAGCGCAGACCGCATGGCGGATGGCTGTTTCATGATATGCCACCTGTAGCACCAGCCTGTTCCACACTTCTGTCTCTTCTTGGAAAGGACCAGACAGTTCCAGAGATGATCGCAGCTGATAGAATTCGAAAGCCTGTCGTTGTCGTGTGTCGTGTAGGAAAAGAGCTGCAGAGAACGACGGTCCGTGGCTTATGTAATTGACGAACTTGAATGATTCCGCTTTTCGATGTTGCGTGACAACGTCGACGTATCCATCACAGTTTCGACCACTTCGTTGGCATCGATTGCATTGGGGCTTCGCTTCGTCGCATTTGACCTTGCGGGTCCTGCGGTTGTTGTTAGTGATGGATACAAATATGGGATTCGTGTATGAAGGATCAAGGAAGCTAAGTATACGACCACTGAAAATCGGCACATGCTCCGTTGAGCAGCACGACCAGGCGTCGCATGGGGGAGATGGATTCGATATGAAAACAAGGGCACATACTTGCAGGGTTTGCAGCCAGTTCTTGCATATGCACGATGCTTGACTTGCTTCGTCGACGGCATCACAAACTCAAGCCAAGGCATAACACAGGCTCGCACAGTAGGTAAACAGCCATAGCGCGTGGACTTTTGTGGAGAACGTCACCTTTTCACCCTCCCTATTGTGGCGCCACTCGCATTTCCATGGAGGTGAGAGGATGCTTCGAATCTCGCCGACGTTCAAGGACTAATCCAGGCTTTTGTTTAGCTAGTGCCTAGACCTGAATACGTTGACTTGGTTCCGGGCCGGAGTTCGCCAGACCGAGCCTCACTGCCTCAGATGCACCCGCCGAGCCGCTAAGCCTTTCGCAGACGTCACTTCCGACCCAGTCCAATCAAGCACGGTTATTACTACGCCAAGACACTGCGAACTTCTGCCTGAACTCGCTGGGCAAGGGACCTTGGACTTACACAATACCACAGCCCCATGTTACTACTCCCTTCTCGTCGTACGTTTACATTGTACATGTACAAATAGCTCAGCTAGTGGCTGTGGGTCGGATAGCGGGAATGGTCGACTCCGCAGAATCCCCTTTGAATTGGTCGAGTCTCTGCTACGTAAGCATGGTTTACAATTGAGCCTCGTCGACCCTCCCTCCCTCCGTAATTGCAGCATATGGTCCTTTGCACATGCCCTCGCTATTGGACGGTTCGCAATTGCTACACCGTAAGGAGATATCCTTCTGAAACAACGATACGCGTCTTCAATAGCTCGTAAATTGAAAACAGTGCTTCTGCTGTCCCTTAATATGCCTCGATTACCCTGCCAGGACACCTCTTCTTTGGTCGTTGAGATTTTCTTATTGATATCAGTTCTCTAAACTTGGCTCGCTTTTCTCGAAAATGCTTCAAAAGAGTTTCCCTGTTCGTGGATGGGCGTATGCACTTTTCTGCTTCATCTTTACCCTGGCAGCAGCTAGCCCAGAAATCCTCTGGACTGATTGCAGCGAGCACATTCCCCCCAGCACTGTTTTCGACCCAACGGGCGTGGACCTTCAACACCTTCCGTCAACGCTCAAATGTGGCCAGATTGTCGTGCCAATGGACTACTCGAGGCCACTCAGTGAGAGCAACAATATTACTCTTGGCCTTGCCATGCATCGACCCGTTGAACCAAAAGGCGTCATCTTCTTGTTGGTCTTATTCTTGTGAAATGTCTGGTGATGAAGAAGGCTGACCCCAGTGCCAGTTGTCCAGGTGGCTCGGATAATGGAGTGGTGTACGCATGGAATCTTGCACTCAATATTACCTCTCCGTTCACTCCCGATTTCTCGGGGTTGACAGACTACGACTTGATGAGTGCTGAACACCCGACCCGCTTCGTGTCATTGAAACTGATCTTTTCTTTCAGTGATGGACATTCGTGGCACGTATAGCTCCAATCCTCTGAATGTTTCGATGGACAAAGTGCTACCCTTATTCAACCCCTAGTGAGTCCCCGCCTATTCTCGCTCAGAGTGCACGAAGCATAACAATCAAAAAGCCCAACCTCTCAGGCCGAATTCGATGATGTGAAAGAGACCGCTGCCGCCGCAATACAGTCGTGGGTTGATTCAAGTTTGCCCACCGGAATCATTGGGCACGTCGGAACACGGGAGGTTGTGCAGGACTACAATCAGATTCGTCAGGCTCTAGGTTACGAGAAAATTCATTTCCTAGGCGCTTCTTAGTGAGTCAAGTCCAGCATGCGATAGACATACAACTGACCACAAGTGACATCATAGTGGTAGCTATCGAGCTTTACAATTTGCCCACGCGTATCCCAACTCTGTGGGCCACTTTGTGCTAGACGCGGTAGTGCCGCATGGAGTTGTAAGTCCAACACTTTTGTGGTTGACGTTGACAACTAACGACCAATGTGCAGGATCCTGGCCAGCAGGCAGAAGATGAGATAGTAGCCGCAAATCGGGTCTTGTTGAGGGTAGATGCATATTGCCAGAACAACTCATCATGCCCCTTTAGAAATGCGGGCAAGGGCAGTATTCCAGAAGTGGGCACCATAACCTCAGGAACTTGGATCTGACAAGATGATATGCTAATGTGTGTTAGGCATTCCGTGAGATCGTCAAGAGAGCCTCGAACTCATCTATCGATTCTGTTTGGGCCATCCAATCAGCTGTCTCCGGGCTTTTTCAGGATCAGCCAGACTTTCCTCAGATTATTGATTTGATTTCCGCGTTGTCAGTGAATATCAGCGCCTTGGAAGCTTTGCCCGAACAAGAGGTGACAGTCGAGAGCGTGGTTGCTTACATTCTGGAGTGCGGTGACTCTCGTATGTGTGAATCTATTGGCGAACAATCACAATTGGTCTGACGAATGTGTAGCACCAACTACAACCTTTTCTGAATTTCAGAAATCTCTGAACGGTGGTTTGGGGGTAAGATCCCCATTATATGACAGCTTGGACTTCGACATAAGCGGAAGGCTGACCAAGGCCGGTTAGCATGATACCAACAACTTGGGTCAAACAACAGTCTGGTTAACACAAGTCAGTTTTTTTTTTTCCACCGATTTGTGTCTTTTTCACTTGATGCTGACACGGTCTAGCTTGCTTGCTCAGCTTGGCCTTTTGATACAGCATCCTTGACACCGCTCCGAACAGAACTCCCTATGCTCCTCGTCACAGCAGATTTCGATGGCAGGTAGGTGTTCAACGAAAGGATCAAAAGGGGAGTGGCTCAAAGGCAATCTTCTGACCACTTCCTTGACATAGCGCGCCCACGGAATGGACGACTCGAGCAATGGACGACATTCCGAATGGTCATCTGGTTGTTCGGCATGGCGATGACCATGTTTCATTTAACTGTAAGTATTGTTTGCTCTCTGCATTCATAGAGTTCCCCGTAAGAAGGGCAGAGCTAACCGGCGCCTTCCTTTCAATAGTACCCTATCAGTACTCAACCGAGATCGAGAAAAGCTTCTTGCGAATTGGAACCTTACCGCGGCAATCCAACGATAGTTCTCTGACTGTCTACGCACCGTCTGTGAAGAGAGGTCCTATTGCCGATCCTTACAGCGTTCCGACTGGATTTTGGGCAGGCGACGTGGATAGTGCATGATTATGAGTTGGAGCGAACGTTCGATAGCAGTATTTCGCCTTGGGATAGATAGTTAGCGCGAACGTCTTCAAAGCGGCCTGGATTTCGATGAGCCCCCCACGTGAGCTCCAAGCAGATTTCATCTTCCTTCTGCACAAACAATGCAAATGATACGAAACTTTACGTATATACCTTAGGAAAGCTTGTTTTCAAAAGAAAGGGGACTGACTGATTTGTGGGCAAATAGAATGAAATGCGCAAGTGTCGGGGTTCCCGATTCGGACGTGCGGCGTGCAATTTGACTCGGATGTGGAATTTCAACCTTTCCGCAGTGCTCTCGTACCTTGTGATGCCCATGAACCACTTCCAGGCCTAGTGCTGATGGTCTACAAAGGGTCTGCGAGGCCACCACGTGCGCGGCGACAGATCCCTGTCGCCCCCATACCTAGCGACGTTGGGACGTCTCGACGTCTCTTTCGCGACGCTGCCGGTTTCCTCTAGGCCTGTCATATCGAAACCATCTCCCCGCTACGAAAGCACAATCCTTCACCGAGGCGAGATATGGACCTGAAACCGAGACAATCGAGAGCAAAGACTAGCTGTTTGTGCTGCCGACTTCGGCGCAAGAGATGTGACGAGGAAAAACCAGAGTGTGCCGGCTGCAAGAGGAACCATCTGATATGCGCCTATATTACTTATAACGGTACTCTAACTAGTTCCAGACGGTTAAATATAGATATCTTCTAAGAAAGCTCGCTTAAGAGGGAAGTGTGAGGGTTTGGAAAGAGTTCTACAACTAGCTAGCCAACCTAGTAATAAGGAGGATAAATCTGAGGAGGGAAAGAAAGAAGGAAGAACACTTGCCTTTTTCGTGCACCACGCAACCAAGCGACTATCATAGGGGACCAGAAATGGTCCCCCTTCGGAAACAGTAAGAGATCCGTCCGACTCTTCGAAAACGACGGGTGTCTTTGAATACACTATCCTAGCTAATAGCGCCTCGAGGACCTGGAGGCGGCTGACGTTTGTAAAGGTTCCATGTTCTCTATCAAAGGCCCTGGGGAACCCCTGGGTCCACGCATCTCCAACTATATATGCCTTAGGCATTCCCAGTTAAGATGAATAGAAGGTCTGGGGATGGCCACCCCATCCTCAACGCTTTACATCTTTACCTAGACCAGATATGTTGACGCTTGCCGTGGTGTGTTGGATCTTATGACTCCTTTCCTGCAAGTTTAAGCACCGCTCGAAGAAAGTTATGTGCAATCCCCCACACGCGCATGGCCCGTAGGATCTCAGCGACTTGATGGAGGAGATGCGATCGACCGTCTTCGGACAAGAGATCCGGAACTCCATGAACCGACAGCTTACACGGTTGGCCATTCCGGATCCAATTCCGTATGTTGACCAACTCTGGGCTGTCTTTCTCCCCGAGGAAATCGAGCCGGTAGATCCGCAAACCGACGAAACCGGGTGTGGTTGATTGCTTGCGCAAGATACCGCAGAGGCACCATAGCAGCGTCCCCGCGTGATAGACATTGAAAGCCTCCTGAGGATAATTGAAGGGAAACTCTCGCGTTAGGCCCAGCACCTGCCCACAGCGTAACGCTTGGTCTCGAACTCGAGAAGGGTCCTCGTCGGCCCATTGTTTCATTCTTTCCTCAGCCACCCCAAATTCAGGCCCACCCCGAAGAACAGGATACAACCAGTTAGTAAACGCTCCGGCACCGAGTATATGTGCCATGTGGACAGTCTGGAGACGGTGCACAACGTCAATCAGGGACCGGCTCGTGAGGAGTGCGGTCGGAGATCGTGGCGAAACCAGGAACTGATTGAGGATGTGCAACAGGAGCGTCCGGTTTTCAGCATGGGACTGTTTACCTTGGAAGAAATCCCTGACCGGATTGCCTTCCAACTCTCTGACGGTCCATAGAGTGCGCATAATGGTGAGAATGACGGGTAATCTGTGGTGGTCCTCGTTCAGGCTGGCGTGCGCTTTGGACGGATTTTGAAAGAAAGAATCCAGTAGCAGGTGAAAAGGAATATTCTTTGGAGTAAGTGTCCAGGGATGAAGGGCCGCCCACGCGTATGCCGAGGGCGCTTCCCAATGGCTTGTCGACATTTGAAGATCCATTTCGTCGGCTTCGAAAAGCGAGATATGAGGCTTGGCATTGAAGAGATAGCTAGACGACGCATCGAATCCCTGCCACAATGAGCATTAGTCGGTCTTATTATTCTCCTGACACTCACATAAATACCCCAGCCGAGCCGACGGAATCGTTCATCCACAATCCAGGCACTCCAGCGCTCCTCAAGAGATGCATTGTAAGGACAGGTAGATTTGCGGGGAGAGAATAACCCCATACGTCTGCCATGATTGACCAAAGTCGCACGACTAGACTCAGCTAGCTCGAAAAGGTGTCGATTGCTGCACGCAAAACCATGGCATGCCTGGAGCAGCTGGGCAGTAATGTAGTATTCCGTGCGGACAAATCTAGGATCCTGTTCTGCCATCTACAAACACTCGTATAGTCAGTGCTGCTTTTCAGGAAGTACGTGAGCGAATGGGCCGGACGAGGCCAACGAACACCCTGTCTAAAGTACACCTACTCAAACATAGACGAGAAGACTTACGAATACAAGCAGTCGTCGAACAAGTTCAGATAGTGCATTTGCAAATGCAAGGGCGCCACCGAAATTAGTATAACAAGCACCTAATGTTACCATGGCAAGAGTGACAACGGGCTCCAGGACTGGATCGAATGTTGGGCGGTGCACAACAGGGCAGTGTCGATCCCAGTGCGCAAAGAACAGGTCGATACATAGATCCAGTTCTTCCTTCGTTGGGAAGGCGGCCAAGGAGACGATATCCCACATCTTCTTTTCAAGCGGTAGCCGCAGCCAGTTTGTCATCAACTCTCTCGTCGACGAACCTACAGACTTGGTCATAAAGAACGAAGGGTATTCTTCGTTCCCAGCGGTCGTCGACAGAGGAGGAAGGTGGAGTGCTGGAAGCGGCGCAGCATGGCCAGCCATGGGATCATCGTGGCTATATGACTCTTGAGCAATGGGCACCGGTAGACCAAGCGAAGTTGAATCGTGTATTAATTGCCTCTCTTGAATTCTGCCATTGTCGGGAAGCTGCTGGGACAGTTGTCCTGAAAAGTAGAATGGTGGCTGGTCGGAAGCGTTACTGAAGACCTGATCTACTTCGGTGCTGAAGATCCAGTCAAGGTTTAGATCATACTCGTTCCCATCGTACATGAACGAATCCCGCCAAAGATCGACCCCTGGTGCGTCAACACCCTGTGTAGTAGATCCGATTTGGAAGGAGTCGAATCGGTCTGCGCCCGCATAGGTAGACTCTTCGTCAACAAACTGCAGAGCATCATAATCCAAGTTCTTTTGGGAAGTAGACGACTGCTTTCTTGTGACTGTCGTTAACTGTGGTGTTTCGAGAGGTTGGGGATGGCGGAGACGAAGCAAGAGAGCAGGATCGAACCGAAATTCTTGATTCGTGTTTCTTTTTTCTCCCTCTGCCAAAACGGAAGTCAGAAAGTCCTTGCGCAAATGCTGAGCGCTTCCGAAAAAGTGAATCACTTCTGCCGTCTTCGAGAGCGTCAAACTCGTAGCGAGAACAACAGAAGGAACAGGTAGAAGGTTGTACCCATTGACGCACCGTTTCAGTTGGTTTCTGACAGAGCAACAGAGTCCATCCAAGCTACAGTTGGTACAGGGTATGCTACGAACAGTCGCGTCGCATCTCACTTTTCGTGCATGGCACCGATCACAAGCCACACTGCATCTCTTCCTGATACTTGGAGTCTCCAAGGGGTGCATCTTTACTACTTGGCCCCGACCCGAATCCTTGACTGTGGAAAATCCAGATAGGTGAAGGCCCCAACTACATTGCTGGAAGGTGAATGTTACGTCGAGGCAACGAAATGAGAATCACAGAGCATGATTTCTTTCTCCTGCGGGGGTGTTGAGATTTCCGATCTTCGTTCCGGTCACCCTGTTGCTTGTTACAGAAACGGCATTGCCTCAATTGCTTCCACGCCCGCTACAGGCCTTTAGTGCGACCAACCCCGCTCGCCCGCTCTTTTCGTACTAAGCATGGCACCAAAGAATGAGCCGATGCCGAGGAGAATTCTCATTGGACATAGCCCGACTCCAACCTTTTTTACATCCTAGCAGTCAACCGAATGACTGCCCAGTAGTGGTACGTGCTGTCTGCCCGCCTGACCAGCCGGCTGCCTAGAATAGTCCTCACAGAAGAGGAAGAACATGTCCAATAATAATTCACCTCGGAAAACCTGCAAAGCGAACCTGGGGTCGACAGCTCCTTTCCTAATTACACCTAGAAAAGCATAGATGGATAGTCAGTATAATACACCTCGGGAAGATGTACATCGGTTGTTGTTCGGGAAACCTGCATTGCTTGAGAGGTATACGCCTAAATACAGCAAAACAAACCCAGCATGAATTGGTATAAGTGTCGGATGCCCTGCTCTGGACAGCATCACCGTCGGAGGCCTCAGAACGAAATATTGGATCTGATACGAAAGATAGCAAGAAAACTTTGTGCGGCCGTCTTTCAAACTTGCAACCCACCACCACAACAAAGAGGGACGCTGTCCTTCTGTGAAATCCTACGTGTCCAGGGGACTAGCTTGGTATCACCATGTCCGACAAGAAAGATATGGAACGCCAGGTTCACATTGAAGAGGACGTTGAATTGTCGAACCCTGACCATGTGAAAGGAGAACTGCCTCCAGTTAGAGGTGAGGTACATGCCATGGAGATTGTGAGGTCTGGGGGAGAAGAGGTCGATCTGCACATCAACGAGCTGGAAATCCAACTTGCCGCCCGCAATGTTGACGACGACTCCGGATGGTCCAAATTTCTGTCTTTCCACAACCCCGACAATTTTACGAAATTCCTGGCCGCCTTTGCATGTATTGGTGGCTTACTATGCGGCATTGATCAGTCACTGATCAGTGGCGCCAACCTGTTTATGCCCTCCGCGCTGAATCTCACTGCTGACCAGGCAAGCCTGGTGAACGCATCGGTAGCTCTGGGCGGAATGGCAGGATCTTTGTCCTTGTCGCCGATCAACGAGTTGCTCGGCCGCCGCAAAGCCATCATGGTGTCCTGTCTTCTGTATACGATCGGTGCAGCCCTCGAAGCCGGCGCCATGAACTTTGGAATGATGGTCAGTGGCCGCCTGGTGCTAGGTATGGGAATTGGAATTGAGGTTGCCACAGTCCCCATCTACGTGGCCGAAACAGTCCCCCGAAAGCATCGTGGCAATCTGGTCTCGCTCTATCAATTCAACATCACTCTCGGCGAAGTTTTGGGCTTTGCCGTCGCAGCCATGTTCATCAGCGTAAAGGGAAACTGGCGTTACATCCTCGGCTCCTCCCTTGTTTTCTCCACCATTCTCTTCGTCGGCATGATATTCCTGCCTGAGAGTCCACGCTACTTGATGCACAAAGGCCACCCGCTAGACGCGTTCCGAGTGTGGAAGCTGGTCAGAGATATCAGACAGAGAGAAGCGAAAGACGAGTTCTTCGTCATGATGTTCTCGGTCCGGGAAGAGGCTGCTGGGAACCGCAACCGGGGCAAATTCGCGTGGACGGACTATCTCACCGTCGCCCGATGCCGGCGGGCTATGATCTATTCCCTTGTCATGGGTGCCCTGGGCCAGTTGACTGGTATCAATGCGGTGATGTACTATATGGCGGTCCTCTTCAGCAAGGTTGGCTTTGACGCAAAGGACAGCGTGTTCATGTCCCTAGTGGGCGGAGGAACGCTGATGCTTGGAGTCATCCCAGCAATCATCTTCATGGAGAGACGCGGCAGAAGATTCTGGGCCATTACAATGGTGCCTTGCTTTTTCGTCGGTCTGCTCATCATCGGTCTAGGCTACTTGATCCCCCTAAGCCATACTGGTGCAGCTCAAGGGATCTACATCACAGGCCTAGTCATCTATATGTTCTTCTTCGGCCCTTACGCTACCTTATCCTGGATCATACCGTCTGAGGTTTACCCGACCTACCTGCGCAGCTACGGCATGACGGTGTACACAACTATAGCCTTCGTGTGGATTTTCGTCGTCACCTATAACTTCAGTCAAATGTTGGAGGCCATGACAAAGATCGGCCTTACCCTGGGGTTCTACGGCGGCATCGCCGTGATTGGGTGGTTCTATCAAATCTTCTTCATGCCCGAGACTCACAATAAGACTTTAGAAGAGATTGACTTGGTTTTCCAGAAGCCGACAATTGAGATTGTAAAGGAGAATGCGCGGAACTCGTGGGAGACAGCCAAAGATCTCGCCCACTTTCGGCTGAGGAAGGTATTTCTTACCCGGTCCTAGGAAGGGAGGGAGTCTATTTTGGACCACACTCAGACTGCTTGATCAAACCTGCCAGCTGCATCATCTATTGAGAAGTATCCGGTCTCAAAAATATGGGGGCGGCCCTAGCTGTTGACTTGACAAAAGCATATAGCATTTGAGCCTCTGCGTTGTTTTCTGGGGTCCTTCATCTCTCTTTTCAATGTCAGTTTTTTTTTTAAGCGTAGCATCTCCGTTCTGGATGGAAAATGGAGAGGTAGTTTTAATTCAGCATATCACATCTAGACCATTTGACCATTTCACATTGCTCATGTAATCTCTTTTGTGAATTCAATGGTAGTCATTCTGCGTGAACGATAGAAAATAGCATTTCTTTGGCGAGAAACAGAGGCGAGAATGAACTCGGCCACGAAAAGTCTTTCGTCTAACGGACTAATATGGCTTCAGCTGATTGCTCTTGATCTTGGGCCATCCCTGATCATGCCCCTATGGTTTCGAATGCCGCCCTGAAAATACGGATCTGTCCCCTGGTCCATTGAACCATTGCCTTCGATTTCGCAACCCAAGTGAATCCGTGTGGGACTCCTGGCACGACTTCCAAAATAGTATCGATTCCAGCATCCCTTAGTCTCATCGCGTAGGCAATGCCCTGGTCGCAGAGAATGTCACAGCCAGCGACGGTGATGTGCGTTGGAGCATGTTTGGCCGGAAGGGGCGACGGGTGTAGGAGAGGCGAGACGAGAGGGTCGGTGGGGGCGAGCGGGGGGGTTGTTATTATTGCTGGAAAATACGGAAACCGGTGAGCGCGCGCAAGAGAAATGGGGGATTTCAGACAACGTTACCGAAGAGATTCTCAATGTGCCCAAGAAAAGAAGACGGTGTCTCTTTGAGATACGTCTGCTTCTTTTTCTCAAATGTCTGTCCAAGCAGGCCGCTGAAAGCGTGCGGGTGGCAGACAGCTGGAACTACCAAGCTGGCTTGTCGTAAGCGGGAGGAAGCACGTTCCACCGCATCGCGCAGGAGACCCGTCGCTCCAAGGTGAGCGCCGGCGGAACATCCCCAAAGACCAAGGCGAGAGAGATCTACTCGGTAAGTGGCCGATATGTCTGGACTCGTCACCCAGTTCAAGGCTTCATAGCAGTCGTTGTGCATTGTTCGGAGATCATGTTCCGGCGCAAGACGGTAGTCCACGCTGAAGATGACGGCGCGGAGCTCGCTGGCAAAGAAAATCGAAAGGTCTGTCGGCTGTTAACAACGACAACAACAACAAACCCAGTCGTCACGACCACCAACCAGATGGCATGATTCAATGATAAACACTATGGCACTGGAGGGTACCTGGGCAGGAAAATAATCTGCTTGTGTAGAACATTTTGCTCACCTTCGTCTGCGGTCGGGTCACCGAGAACCCAGCCTCCTCCGTGATACATGATCAAAGCCGGCCGGTTGATGCCTTCAGACTGGGATCCGTCCTGGGGCTCATACACCCGCACCTGAAATTGCTCTCCTCCCCCTTGACCATATTTCACATTTTCGAGGCTCACCTCGACAGCAACTGGGGTCTTCAAAGGCTCGCATCTAGGCCTCAGATCGGCCTTGCGTGCATTGTCCTTAAACCATCTACGCATGAACTGGACATTGGACTGGGATTCTGAAGGGACTCTGTGCCCCTCGCTGTTCATTTTCATCATCTCCTACATAAAGTGCGCTGCTGTCAGCCCGATAATAACCTCTTTCTGGCCGCCGATGGCAGATTTTAAGCGGACTGATTGGGGTGATACTGACCGAAACAAAATCCCTGTCATAACATTCTACCATGTTGGCAGCCGAACGAGGGAGATCTTGCGCTACCAATAAGGCATGCAACGCAACGTCTTCTGGTATTGTGGAATTCTTCGTTTCGTGATGCTCGATAGTAGCTAACGAGCAAGGTCGCGTGGGAATAACAACCTGGTCGGCCATTTCTTTCCTTTGCATTTCTTGAGTAACCATTATGTCGAGTCTCCAGCTCGATTCATCTTTGGCGGCATTTGAATAATATCTATTGTCTGCCTATCCGCACTAGGCGAAAGGTTGAGTCTGTCATCATATCGAGGCCATGGAATCTGGCACGGCCCTTTTCGCATGCGGAGCCCCTACCACAGCCGACAAGACTCACCTCGGAACCAATGGGCCGAGCGCATGCAAATTATCCTCGGCGGGAGAAGGCTGCAAGCAAGCAGTAGTACGACCTTATCGTTATACGTCGTGCCGCTACTACCTTCTCCAGTGATTCGGATACCGCTTTCGTTGGGAACATGATCCATCGGCTCCAGAAGTTCTAGCAGCACCAGATACTCTCGAGCGGTGTCTTGGTAAGAAGCAGTTAAATCGACGAAATCGACGAAATCCGCTTTGCCTATAGACATTGTCCGAGTAGAAGATCTGGAGCTTTGTCTGCTCGACACACAAGTGGAAAACTCAACTGTGTGAGGTTTACTGAAAGTATAGTTATCGAAGAGCGGTGCCTTTAGTCGAGGTTGATATGCAATGAAGGTCGCCATGACTGAAAAACAAAGAAATATGAACAGAGCGGTCGACAGTAGTTCAGAGAGATCATGAAGGATATGAAGGAGAATGGATTTGACGAATAAAGATGAGAGGAGTCGAGGTCATACATATAGACGGGTCGGCACTGCCCAACGACCGCCCGGTTTTGACTTCCAAGAAGGCGCAGCTGCAAGTTTTCATAACTGCTGAATTAACGTTCTTATCCGCAAACAACTCTTCTACTGATGTTTCCCGGGGCCCCCTCGTGGCCTACACGCGGAAGCTCCTCCCAGTGGGTTTTGGGACGGTCTTGCCCCTACCTTTCCGAAACTGATGTGCGGCCAACCTCACAAGCACGCGCCCGCCCACCATGGGTAGCAGCTGCTGCGGAAGGAGAATCGATGTCCGCGTTCGTCCGAGCGAAATTGTGTCTTACGAAGCCGATTTTTTCCATTTCCCTCTGCGTCCTGTTGTCATCGAGCGCTAATCTTAGGAATCACCGTACAATGGTGTGTCTATAGGCAGGTGAACACGTGATCAGAGACACCCGCATCCTTTGCGGTTGAGAATGAAGAAGTGGGAAGAGGGAAAGCGGGAGAGAATTCAAAAACTTTGGGGCATGCGTTTGATATCTATATATAATAATAACGAGGATCTTAAGGTAGGAGACTTAAGTCGACTATTACTACCGCTATAGAGGCCTCTTCTAGCTAAAACCCAAAAAGTTGCGCCTAATGTTGTCTGAATACCTTTTAGGCGGCTCCTAATGGTTACGAGATATCCATACGGCGAAACCTCTCCGGATCTGTAGCTAAGTTTACCTTGAGGGCATTGTTAGTGCGATCGCGATAGAAGTGGAAGATGGTGAATTTGGTAAGTCCTTGATATGGGATCCTTGACGGCCGAGAGATTGAGCTCATTTAGTTTGGGAACGCCCCCCCCCCCCCCCCGGGAGACTTGAAAACATTTCCCAAAAGGTTCGCCCTTACGGCCCAATCACTCAGAATAATACACGAATGGATCGGCACATGCGTGGAATCCGAATCTAGCGAACATGTAGGCTGTTCGAAATCAAAAGAAAACTCCGCGCCTTTAAGACTCCTAAAGGTGAGGGACGGTGATACCATCCGGCTAGTCGAGACAGAAGGAAAAACTCTGACTTATGCGATTTTGAGCTATTGCTGGGGTGGTTCATAAGCGTTAGAGGAGGTCAAAACTAGATAGAAGGATCTCGCGACTCGGATGACGGAGTTTCCCCTCTGTAGCATACCACAGACGCTTTAGGACAGCATTATCGTCGCTCGCCGGCTGAAGATACCATACATCTGGATCGATACCATGTATATCGTCTAAGACTCGGACAACGAGTGGCGCACAGAGTCTCGACGAATGATGAGTTACTACGAAAACTCGTACATCACGATCATTCCTGTCTGCTGTACCGACGCCGATCAAGGCTTTCTTGGACCTCGACCACAGTGGGTCACCCAACGGATGAGGGGAACTTGGGCTGGCCAGCCTGAAAAGGTTCTGCATTTCTACTATCCGTAATGGAAGGATGCGAGCGACGAAGCAGCCAGATCGTATTGGGCAACCCGTGGTTGGACCTTCCGGGAACGCCTCTTGTCGACGCGGATCCTGTACTTCGGGCGCAAGGGCATCAGATTCGAGTGCCGCGGTGCTGTCTTCCAGGAAGTGAACCTCCGGAGCTCGGCCCAACAGGGCTTGCAGGCGTTCTTCGCCTCGCCAAACCACCAGTCCTCCGAATGGGATGGCGTGCAGAAAGATCCGACTTCAATGGTACACCATGGTGTCCGAATATATCGAGCGCCAACTCTCAAAAGAGAGCGATAGACTGATCGCTCTGTCGGGCGTGGCGCAGAAGTTTGGGATTTACTTTGGTGCAAATGACGAGTACTTGCTTGGATTCTGGAAGGACGATATATGTCATGGCTTATGCTGGAGAGCCTGGCGAGGTATGCTAGGCGGGCGGCGACAGAATGCATGGCCGCTGACAAAATCGCTGTCATTCCCCTTGTGGTCGTGGTGCTCGATGCAGAGGCCCCTGCTTTGGTCGGACGGAACAGGGTTGCTTCAGTGTGCCGACCTGGTTGAAACAGTCAAGAAGGCTTCTGGTGTCAAGGGTGAGCACACGAAGCTCCTGTTTGACGCTTGGGTGTTCCCAGCAACTCTGCTAGAATTCCAGTTTCCCAAGGGGGTGGAGATGCACATCCATCTTGATGCAGAAGAGGAGGAAAGTGACGATTTCACGGCCAACTGTGACCAAATGGCCGTCTTGATGACAGCCGATCTTGCCAATGTCGGCGATGAAAAGAAATGGAGCACATCACCTGCAGAGGTGCTGCATGAAGTCTTCGGCCTCGTGGTGGAGAATGCTGGATCTTTTCACAAGGGCTTTCCAGAGTACCGCCGGATGGGCGTCTTTAATGTTATGCGTGACATGCAAATGGAAGTTGACTCCATCGAGATAGATGAGGGTGCCGCAACACCCTTCTTCGAGCAGATGTACGCGTCCCGGTGCACGATTGCCCTAGTTTGAGGGGAGAGACTGCGCTCACTGAAGGAAAATGGGAATTCAGTGACTAGATGGTAGAAATAGATGGTGAGGCAACGAGAAGCCTACAGCTGCGCTGGGCCGAGGATTACAGTAGGTATGATCGTTTAGCGGGGAGGTACTTGGTAGCTAGAGTCGACTGCTAGAGAGCCGCTTTAGGTCCCCGATCGCAACTCAGGCCACTATTATTCGGTATGTGTTCCTGGGGTGCTTGCTCATGGAGTACTCCGTAAGGCTCAGTCCAAGCTCGGGTTAAAGCGGCCGTCGTTCACCTCTAGGATCGAACCGTACGTGGCGAATAGGTTGTTGGTTCTCGAGTAATCTAGGTACATATATACATATATTTCAGAACGAGACCCCGATTCCGTTCCGTTCGGCTCTGATGAACTTACCTAGATACCCCGGTGTGGTGACTCGACGGCCCGCGGGCGCATGGAATTAATTGTAGCCTTTCAAATGCCTAGATCCCTGGTCGTGGTCGTGATCATGGTCCTGATCGATCGTCTTTCACAGCGTCAGGTATTGTGCTATTTCTACTTCTCCTTCTCCTTCTTTGGCATTTATTCAGCGGTCGCACAGATGGTCAGATGGTATGTACATCGGTCAGAGAGATAGAGCACTACATGAACCGAGAACTGGTCTGGGTTGCATTTTCTCTTCTTTTCTTTTTCCTTTCGTCCCCGTAGATGATGCGATCCAAAACCCGATGAATCCTCTTCAAACACACAATCACGTTTTTCTTTTCTCTTCTCTCTTTTCTCTTCCTTTTCTTTTCTTTGAGTTTCGGTTCTTTCGGAGACTGTCTTGTCTAGCCAACTTCCCCACCAAGGCGCCTGGTTGCTGGCTGCTTGGGTCAGGTGAGGTTAAGCCAGATCAGGCCACGCCAGGCCATGCCAGGCCAGAGCACTCCCTACGCCACCACGCCGGACTGACGTAGCGTCTCAATCTCCCCGTCCTCCATGCGGAGCAGATCCCGTAGGACCGCGTCGGTGTGTTCGCCCAGCGTCGGGGGTGCGGTCCTGGCCCCCGCAGCGCTCTCCGAATACTTGACCGGATGGCTGACGACCTGGATCTTGCCGCAGGCTTGGTGGTCGAGCTCGGTGACCATGCCGCGGGCGCGGACGTGGTCGTGGTCGAGGGTGTCCTTGACGTCGTTGATGGCGGCGTAGGGCATGCCGCTGCCCTCGAGCACGGCCAGCCACTCCTTGGTGGTCTTGGTCCTGGTGATCTGCTCGATCATGTCCTCGAGCACGTCGCGGTTCTGGACCCGCACGTCGTTGGTGACGAAGCGCGCGTCGCTCTTCCACTCGGGCCGCCCCACCTTGTCGCAGATGATCCCGAAGAGGCGGTCGTTGCCGCCCCCCAGCATGATGTCCCCGTCGAGCGTCTTGAACCCCTTGTACGGGACAATGCTCGGGTGCGCCGTGCCCCAGCGCCCGCCGTCCCGCTCCCCGGATATCAGCACCGAGCTGGCAATGTTGGCCAGCGTCGCGACCTGACAGTCCGCCAGGGCCACGTCCAGATGCTGCCCCTGGTCCGTCCTCTGTCGAGCCAAGAGAGACGCCATGATCGCGTTGCAGGTGTACAGGCCCGTGGTGAGGTCGGTGACCGCAACCCCGACTTTCACGGGAGACCCATTCCTTTCGCCGGTGATGTGCATGAGCCCCATTTCCGCTTCGACCATGACGTCGTAGCCGGCCCGAGGACTGTAGGGGCCGTACTGGCCGTAGCCAGTGATGGAGGCATAGATTAGACTGTTTCGTCGGACAGAGGGTTAGCGGGCTCTGTTCGATAGGGTGAAGAGGGACGAGGGAGACAAATCCTTCTTAGTTGAAATGTCAGAAGAGACGCTCACCGAGGATTGATCTTCCGCATTGACTCGTAGTCTAGCTTGTACTTTTTCAACGCTCCTAACAGTGCCGCACGCAGTGGTTAGCTCAAGGCGCCCAAGCAGGAAGGGCAGTCTCAATCAATGTTTTTCAACATTTGTTCCCGGTTGTTTGCAAAAGTACAGCGGACACACCTGGAATGTAATTTTCCACCAACACATCCGACGTCTTGGCCAACTCGTGCAAGATTTTGATGCCTTCCGGGTGCTGGAAGGAGAGTCCGACCGATTTCTTGTTGCGATTGACCTGAGACCAGCAACGCCCTTTAGTGTCAGTACTCCGCGGCCGGAAGAAAATCACAATGGTAAGAGGCGTAATGATGATTGAGGCACTCACACCGATGAAATATGCACTCTCTCCAGGCTTGCCGCCTTTCGTAGCCGCTGTATCAGACAAATCCGAGTCAGTTGAGCATTTCTTGCGTTGGCTTTGAAAGCGTCGGATTGCTTTCGTGCCGGCTGAGCTTAATTACCATCTCCTTTATACTTTGCGTACGGCGGACCCCAGGCTCTCGTATCGTCGCCTCGGGTGGGATGCTCGATCTTGATGATTTCTGCACTGGAGGAGGTTGGAGAACTCTGTCAGTCAATGTACCATGCCGGAAGCAGGGCAGACATTTGGATTCTCGCGGGGAGGCGTTGGGAAGCGTGGTTTGAGGACCCAGGGTGACATAACGCGTACCTACCCTAAATCGCCCAGGATTTGCGTACAATAAGGCTGCAAAGTTCTCAAATGTCCAGCCAGTCAGTCTTTGATCCACGCTGACACAGTTCGTTGTATCCCGACAATACATAACCTCTAGACTCCTTGCCAGGGCGCCAACTGCTCAAGTGCGGGGAGGGACAAACAGGTACTCACGCCAGCCAATACTCGTGTCATGTCCAGCACGCGAACCCCCTCCAGCGGTGCTATCTTGCCAGTCTTTGTGCTCGTTGACGAATCCGTGACCGACGCGAAACGCCTCCGCGGCCTAAACGACATCTCGGGTTGTGCCCGAACCAGGTGGGTGCATCCATGGTTGCCGGCTAAGGCTCGTCGAAGAGCTCTGCTGGGGGCCATGTTGAGGTCGAGTTGTGGTACTGTAGGAGAGAGACGCAAAGAGGGCGGGCAATAGACGAAGAGTGAAGCAATTGAGAAATGGCAGTTGGGGAGGTTGATGGTTGATGGTTGCGGTTGACGGTTGACGGCGCCGTCGCCGAAAGACGCCGCCAAGCGCCGAGGCGATTCCCGCGAATTCGCCCATCGTCGCCGAGGTTGAGATGAGGCTTAGAAAACATCGCCCATAGCATCAATATATCGAGCCATCAGCAGAGGGTAGAGCATGTCCCGCACTGGGAGGAGCACATCATCAACGACGCCGACAATCATTACTTGACTCGAGGACTCTAATCACTTCATCTCGTTCGGCGGTCGTCATTCCGACTCACTCGCTCCTATCTCATTTCTCCTAACGTACAAGCTATAGTTACACACACAGATTGCGAGAGCTGCCACCAAGCCACTTCGCGACGCCCCCCCAATCGATAAAGACAGACATTTCAAGTTGCCAGGCGAAAGCCCGCAAGGTATCTTGGACAAAAGACCTCCCAGTATTTTTTCGAGTGATGGAAACGAGAGTACAAAACAAAGCACAAACAATAACAAAACCGAGAGCACTGCATAGGTGCAAAACGCAGAAGAGCAAACGCGCCGTCCCAAACAAAACGTCTTCCCAACAATCCCCATCGATTCCTTCGCCGTCCAGAGATCTCTAATTGATTCCATGTTATAGGTGTCGCAGCTCGCGCCGCATTGAAAGCCAGTCTTTTTGTTACCGTAAATCCAGGTCATCAGTAGGAAAAAGGAGATTTCGCACATTTCGAGCGAGAAGCCGGCGGTAGTCGATCAGCCTCCAGATGTTGAACGCTAGCATCCAAGACGAGGTGCTGACAGTGGGTGACCGAAGAGGTTGCCGAATTCCCAACCATGTGTGAAACAGAATATTCCAAGCAGTCCTGCTGTTTGTGAAGTCGTCGGGTCATGCCTTCTCTGGATTGGTCTCGGTAAGATCCAGGTCGTCGATGAAAGCCAACCGCTCATTGCGAGGTGAGACGCAGTCGTCACCTCCGTCAACCACAGAAGGGTGCATTAACGGCTCGCAGGTGCGTTCTTCTCCTTCGCTCGAAGGACGATCCGGGCGTCCATCGGGATCTTCCATCCAGAAGCTTTCCAGAGCTCCAGCGGCGCAGACAAGTCCGCCTGCCCACCACGCCAAACCGCTGCAACCAAGTTTCAGTCCAGCTGTGTGTACCAAGCCCGTCACAACGGGCCCAAAGGCACGAGCCAAGCACGCCATCGACGCAGCAGTGCCATTGACTCTTCCTAGTACTTTCTTGGAGTAAACGGCATTAGCAAGGAGAATTGCATTCGAGGGAAATGATATCGCTTGAAACGTGATTTTGGTCAGAAGAGCGGCATAGATGCCCGTTTTCTGCAAGTGTTCCGGAACAAGCACCAAATATGGCACCGCAAAGTACAGCAAAGGCCAGATAGTCAACGCTATCCGAGACGCATTGAGAGGACCAAAGCGTCGCGCCATGTAGGGGAAGATGAAAAATTGCGCAAAGATCGAATAGACGCCCTGAACCGCCATCATGAAACCGATAGCTCGGGTGTTCATGCCGAAGCCTCCCGAGAATCGGAACGGAAGAACGGGCTTCGACTGCATGCGTTCTTCGCTGAGAAAGGTGGGCATCAAGGCGTCAAATGAAACGCTGTGGCTGCAAAACATGTCAGCCAGAGTCAGAGGGCCAGGGAGAGGGAAGATGGCACATACTAAGCTAGGATCGCATAGGCAAAGATGATCACTTTCACCTGCCTACTGAAGGGTCTGGCCGGGCTGCGCATTTCTTTCTCGAGCGACATCTCCAAGTCCACCTCTTTCGTTGAGCGCAGCAACGGCGAGCTTTCCGTACTCCGGTAACCCGGGGGTGGATCGCAATGATCAAAGGGATCCGTCTGATTTCTGGGGGCAAACCAAGCTTTAATGCGCCGTGGTGAAAACATTTTCAAAAACTCGAGCCGTTGGAGGATCAGCATGAGCAACACAGGGCCGATGTCACGGTAACCCTTATCCCCGACATGTGTTTCTTCGAGGAACAGAATACCAACAGCAATACCGCAGAGGAGCACTGCAACGCAGACAAGGTTGGGTAACAAGAAAGGGAATTTGTCGAACAGACCGCCTCGGCGAAATCCAAGCGATTCACATGGCATGGCCAAAGCCCCGCCTATGGAGGGACCGATGATGGAGCCAATACTCCAGACCACTGGCATGATGGAATACGCGCGAGGCTGATGCTCCTTTTTCGTCACGAGCTCTGCTACAGTGGTCTGCAGCACTCCCACGTTGCCGTTCAGGACCCCGCCGATGGCTCTGGCAACTATGGCAAGCGGCAAATTCGGCGCAAACCCAAAGCATATCATGCTCAAGGCAGTCCCTGCAAGACCCATTATCAAGACGGGTTTGCGACCGACGTGGTCGCTAAGTTGGCCCCAAATGATTCCGGAACAAAACTCGGCAAAGGCGAAGGCCGTAATGAGCATTCCTGCATACACCGAGATCTGTGATTCATCTCGGGTGATGTTGAACGATTCAATCATACGATATGCATAGGGAAATATTGACATAAAGGCGATTGGTTCGCATAGGCGACATATTGCTGTCGGACGAGTTAGTGATTCGCAACAGCTTGCCAATTTGGGAGAGCCTGCGAGATGACGTACCCAGGACGCCCAATTGTCTGTACGGAAAACCACTGTCGACCTGTTTGGGCCCGCGTTGACTCGGGAACAGCTTGGTGAGAGGGTTCGGCATCGTCACCAAGGAATAAAAGGACTCGGTCGCGTGAGGGCGGGAAGGGAGGTGAACAAAGAAGAGGGTCATCTAGCAAACGGCGCGAGGAGGGCGGTCATAATAAGGGAAGGGAAATTTCCAGGAGACAAAGGATCGAGCAGACGATAGACAGGGCGGGCGGGGCACCCTCATCTTTCTTTTCTGGCGGAATGGTGCATCCGCCGCCGCGTGGAAGAGGCGGTGGACTGCCTGGAGCAGTTGGCACAGCACAGAACGCGGCAGCGAGCAGGAATTTGCGATGGAGACATTTTTGCGCAAAGCCAGTGGCCACCCGACAGCCACGGTTACACGGACGAGGGATTGCGGAAAGGAAAAGGTAATCAGAGCAAAAGTCTCTGACATCCGCGCCCGGTTGTCCACAGAAGGCGGTGTTGGGCAGCTCCAGTCAGAGCGCTAGAGCCTGAGCCGTACGTGCCGTCAGACCAGTTTGTAGTCACCCGAAATAAAATGCCCGCATTGACTGGGGTGGGAGATGATGCTTCTTCAAATCGGACGGTTCGAGCGAGTTGGGCAACTCGGGTTGAAAGTCAGGAAGGGCCGGGAAGTGGTGCGTGATACTCGGGGAAGCTGCGACCTTTGCCCAGGTGGGATGTTGTTAGATCCTGGCCAGGTGGACACTGGAGGGGGAACGGCACTGAATGGGGTCAAGGCCCGGGTGGTCGAAAAATGGAGAAAAAAAGAAAGGCCAGAAGCTGCTCTCCTTGGGCTCTTTTGGCTTTGCTCTGCCGTTTGGGCTCCAGAAAGTGGGTTTCAGGGCTGCCATGCGACGGTGGCGGTGTGGACCCAGGTTTGGCATCGTAACAGGGAGGCCAAAAGGCTCAGCCAAGCTCAGGTCGTTTTGGAGGGGAGAAAAAGGAAGGCGGAAAAGCAAACAGGCTTGGGTGATGTGGGCAAGGGGGGCGTTCAGAGAAGGCCGCCCCCCAGTGTCGATACGGAGTACTCGTTCAGCATGCAGCCAGTTGAGCGGCGGAGCCGGGCGTTGATCCAGGAAAATTTCGGCATCATGTACCAGGCCAGTAGAAATAAAAGCGCATCTGAGCCCAGGAACCGCGACAACGGTACCTTCGGGGCCTGGTGATTCGGAGGATCGATATGCATGGGCCTCACTCTGCCAGAGTGGAATTTACCCCTGACCAGAGCTTGAGTGGACCGAAGTGAGCCAGCTAGGAACCAAGTCCTGGTCTTCCGGAGGCCGGGGAGCCTGCTTACCGAAGAGTATATTACCTCTAGCGCTGGCACTTCGACCACTCGCCTAGCACTGGGCTGGACGCTAGACTGCCCCAGAAGCTTTTGCTTGTTCGCTCGCCCAGTGGCGAACAAGCCGGCTGGGAATCCTGCGCAGGCTCCAGTGCCCTGTACCGATTTATGTGACGAGGAGGCGCCACCGCTTGGGTACTGCTGCATCAGCAGCATGTCATCCTTCTCGTTTCAATGCACCTCGTGACCAACGTGCCGTCCAGGCCTGATCCAAGTCCCATCGTTATACTGGACTCTGAACCTTTGAGTCATCGGGTTTCCTTGTTTTCTCACCAATCGAACCTTTTGGCGACGTGGGATACAGAGGCGGTGAAAAAGGCGGTCATGCCCGACGGATTCGTGGATAAATCGATCCAGACTCGGCTGTAAGGGAAGGCCAGAGGTGTCAGGGTGTGCTGGGCCGGTGATTGGCGATCGAACAGTACTGCCGTGGGGTTTTAGAGTGAAGCGTACAGAGCAGGACATGTCATAGACTGGGGTCAGCTCTCAGGAGTTGGCAAGTAACCGTCGTACAGGAGCGGGTAGATGGGGGGGGGGGCGTCGTCTCGCTTTTCCAATCAAAGCTTTTCGAGTCGGTAGGGTAATGTGACTGCGCTCGACGTTGCCCCACCTGCTGTACTTGTACCCGAATTCCATGATGACGATGATGGTTTAATGGGTTCTGGTGGCCTCTCTGGGGGGGGCTCGGGCCAGCAGCCAACACGGGAAGATGTCTTGAGACTGGCGACGCACAGCAGCGGGGAGAGATGCAAAAATGACTCGACGTCTTTGACAAAAAGACCTGGAGAAACAAAGGCGGCCAAAGGATCCGGAAGATGAGCGGGCCAGTTTTCTCCTTCGTTCTCTAAACGATGGAGAGGGGGAGTGGACTGGGATAGGTTGGGAAAAAGGGAAAATGTCAGACATGTCCAAATGCACGGGGGCGGGTAAAAAGAAACAGACATGGGTCATAAGGTTCGCCGGTGAACGAGTTATTCTACGACGATTCGACTGTCGCTGACCAGACCAGGGCAGGGCAGGGCAGACGCACTGTCCAAGGCAGATTCTGGGCCAAAGCGCAGGTGAAAGATAGGTCAAGGGTGAAGGGAGAGTGAAAAGAAGGCAAGGGATGGGCAACGGAGAAACATGGACATTGGATGAGATGTGTTGCGTCGCGACAAGGGATCAGAAGTAGCAGGGAGCAGCACGGCAGCATGGGTACCCTTCTCCTTTCTGTCGTTCGCTTAGCAGACTTCGAATCGAACAAGCAACCAGCCGGTACCGTGTCATTGGAAGGGCACCACTCACCCTAGAGAACAGAGTTGGGGCCTACCATTGCAGCTGAACGGGGGGGAGCAAACGTAGCGAGAAGTGCCAGCGGCCGCGGTACTAGGGAACGGAGAAGCCAGCTAGCTACTGGTCCTGGCGAGCTGGGCCGCTGGGAAGCTGGGAAGCTGGCAAGCTGGCAAGCTGGCAAGCAAGGGGTCCGGAAGAGGGAGGAGGAGGGGGAAGGGGGGTGAGGGGCGACGAACGTTGATGGGTGGGTGATGGCGGGTGATGGAACTGAACCTTTCACGCAATTGACTTTGGGAAGTGAAATTCGCGAGTTTCAGCGGAAGCTGAACCCCAATCCCCCGGGGAAGATTCACGCAGCGCTGCTCTGTTTGACTTGGCGTAGCCCCTGATTCATTTTCCAGAACGACGCCACCGGAGCCTCCACCGATGCTGCCCCCAAGCTGACTCGCCAGCAGTCCAGGACTCAGGAGGAGCCAGGTGGAAGAAAGTTGCGGAGGATTGATGAGGCAAGAGCTGGGAAACAGACCACCTCGATCATTCTCCAATGGAATTTCTCCTGAGTTTCCGGAGCTGTGGTTCAGATGTCAACGATGGTTCAAAGTTTACAGAGTACGGAGTACTTACCAGCCATCTACTGTAGGTATTCGCAGGTTCCTCCTGTAACTTGGTAGGTGGGTGAAAGCTAGGCAGGCCGGTAAAGTACCTGCTGAACCTTAGTTAGTCCGAGTCACACCTCCTCGTACTCGTAGGTCTGCTTAAACGCGGCAGCCCAGGCAACGATTGGGGGGTGGAAGAATGCAAGGTTTCAGGCGGCGAGGCGGCGACTTAGGCATACCACCCAGGGTACCGGGGCACCTTCAAGTGGGCTCCGGATCCATGTCGCTTACCTAGGTAGCTACCCTATTCCATCATCCATGGGGCATCAATGACATACGAGCACCTCGTACCATCGATGACGCGGAAAATCTTGGATCCGTTCTGTCATGCCTCTAGCTACTTGCCGCTGCTGCCACCCATTCCTCTATTTTTGGGACCATGCTGAAGGGAATTGTCCTTTGCGTAACGGTACCCAGCCTTTTCATAGGTTCGAATGGCTCTGACACGAGCAACCCCCGCGCCCTCGGCGTGCTGCAGCTTTGTCTGCTCGAAGTCCCAAAGGGAGCACTGATCGGGTCAACATGTCATCCAAGAGAGGCCAGAAGCGTCTCATCAAACCACCTGCAAGTGGCCCTTTCTGTACAATGTTGCGCACATGATGTGTGTGTGCGTGTGCCCGTCGTCCTGCCACTCGGCCATGACACCTCCTGTCACTCGCCCAAAAGAGCCAGTTCCGTTGGAAGAACAACAAAGTCTGCTGGTTGTGGCATCATCGCCGTGCCCCGGAAAAATAAGACCTAAAACCTGGGAGCAGAAGGGCTTTGTCATGACACAGGAATATTGCTTGCAGCTAAACTAGCTCTGCCTCACTACGTGGCGAGGTAGTACAATTGCCCACATGAAAGATGCCGGAGAAAAATCCTCCTCAGATTATGCACCCTGCAGACTACGGCGACTGTGGGCAGGGGCCCTAGAGCATGCACAATGTCGTATCTGATTTTCGGATTGCACAAAGGACCGCACAGAGACTTCCGTGCCTCGCCTTGCGTCGGAGAGCCTCGTTCAGAAAAGAACCCCATCCTCAATATGCAAGGCGCCACCTGACGTCTCTTTCTCCCTTGCAGAGTTGGGCAATAATGGTATCTTCAACCATCGCAACAACCGTCACTTACCGGTTGCACGACGCATCCTCCCTCTGGTGCCAGCACATTCCCTGCCTGTCACCAACCCCTCAACCGGTGAGGGGATTACTTGTTCTGGTCGTCCACAGTCAAAGGAACAGGGTCGGAGCGGGTAAACGGCTCGCAATCGCCGTGGTTGGCCTCGGTCAGGGAGACGCATTTGCTTTGTGTAACCTGTCACCTCGCCTCCGACAATCAATCAGAAATGTTCAAACCTACCGAGAATGAATCATGCGCAACTCGCCCAGGTGGGCAAAGCGACCCGAAGGCCAGGCAAGTAGCGGTCAGATTAAGTTGCATCGTCTCCGATGGACACGACGTTCTGCGTCGGTCAACCCCCTCCCCAGAGTGCTCTTTCATCCCAAATCTAGACCATCGGATCCTGCATGGGCTAGATCCACCAAGGTACTTTGGTCAGAAATGGAGCCTTGCAAGTGTTTCGTGCATTCCTGTAACTCTGCATGCGGTGGATGGTATGTGTCACGCTCCCATTCGGTCTGTTAAACTCTTGCAGTTCTTTTGTCTTACTGAAACTTCAAGAACCGCCGGAACAGCCGACTTCTGGGATACTGATCGCCTGGTCCGCTCTGACCCGCCTGTGCCCAACATTCTTGCTTCAACGTGATGCAGTTCGACAACGTTAGCAGTTTCGACGCAACCCACTCCGTCTGCGCACTACCGGAAAAGCTGCGATTCATGACATTGTGGGGGAAATAGTGGACCACTCGGCGGTATGCCTGTCCAGCGAAGCAGACAAGCATGACCCTTCATAAACAGGGCGTCGGTGGCGATCTCTCTGGGATTAAACCGGTCACCTGCTTCGTTTCATGGGCGTCTTCCTTGTTTTCGTTGCTATAGCGGAGTTGACTCCCTGGTCCTCGGGGCATGAGAAGTAGCCGCAGATTGGACACATGAAAATTCGTTTTGGTGTCCGAGACATCACTGCGCCTTGCGACGGTGGAAAGTCCGGCGTGGAGATGCAACCCGGGAATCGGTAGGAAGCTGAGACGGACATTCTTGTTGCAGACCAAGGCGTTGGCAGCTTGGAACATGACTCCGGTGCAAAAGAGCGAGATGTGTCGATCAGTGGCACCCCTACCAACGCAGGACCGCCAAGTCCTACTCGATGTGAGCAACTGGGGAAATTCTTCCTTCTCTGTCACGGACGCCATGAATCCCACTGAAAGACCAACAGCTTATCAAATGCCATTTATGGGCTCAAGGTTGGAAATGATAGCCATCGAGGTTGTCAAATCGTCTGGTGCTGTGCGACGCTCAGGCGGAGGGCTTGGCTTTTGTCTGTGCTGAACAGGAATTACACTTGAATGACTTGGATTGGCAATTGACGCCTGTTGAGGACACGATGTCTGTCGTCATACAACTTGAGTGCGTGGCCATATTGTGTATGGCCAGACTCTCAATGCTTTGAGCAAGATGTTTTGTCATACGGCACGTTGTTGCAACTGCCACGGTATGCATCTGCCACTCTCGGATTGCATGGTGATTTTGCAGGTTAGATCCCGGCACTGACCTTTCAGCAGGCATTGATAGGATCGAAAAGGCTCCTTGAAGTCCGTGTCCAGATGACCAGCGTTCGCGGATGGCTTAATGGACGCTTGTCTGCACGGTTTCTGCACTTCTTTTTTCTCCCCAAGTAACGCATCTTCACCAAATCCGATGTGAGTCAATCCAGAGTCGTGCACAGCTCACATATTGTGGGATCTGCTTCAAGAGCGAGACGAACAACACCGGCGACGCCTGAATCTCCGTGCCACGAGTCCGTCATATGCTGGTTCGCCCAACAGAGTGTCCCTCATGGAGAAAGAAATGTACCTGATATCACTGTTTCTGTCCTGGTCTCCTGCGAGTTCCCTGTTCAGCAAAAAGCACGAACAAGATCTCTGACTCATTGCGTTGTTCATGTGTGATGAAGTGGGCAAGAGAACCCTTTTTGATCTCACCCACATTGCATAGGCACTCCCACAGACGTCTCTCCTCGTCGGTGCTGCCGCGCTCGTAGGGAAAAAAGAGGGTCTTGGGTGATGTAGGAGCATTTCATATCCGTCTCCGCGCTGGCATCATTCGAGAAGGCAACGATAGTTCTGGTCCTCACAGCTATAGCGCCATGACTGTGCTTGTTATGTATTCCAATCCAGATCAGCGATTCGCGAATGTAACCGCGGCAGTTTATCTGCCAAGCCGTGGGCAACGCAGCGACGTGATTTGCTGAAAGGCCATCTCGAGATAAGCCAGCCCAGCGCAGGCAAAGGTCATTTGCCCGCTCTAGGTCGCCATGCTTTTTCTCCAACCAGCCACTGAGATCCTCAGTGATATGCGAGACTCGACGCTGCCCTCAGGCAAAAAAAGGGCTCCGCCATGGCCATCCACACGCCGCGCGAGGCTGACCTGTCCTGCTTGAGTCGACTTTGCCTGCTGTCTCCGTAGCACTGGATAGTGCACTCTCTCAAACTACTGGCAGAAGATGTCAGTGTCCTTCTCTGGTTCATGACATGCCCTCATCCGCCACCTCTCCTCAGAGCGCCGGCCAAAAGCGAGCGTATCCCGCTGACGAACCCCTCCTCCAACCAGCACAGGATGTTGCGGTGGCGGCCTCAACCAACTCCCCTCCTCCCCTCTCAGCTGCTTCGGCCACCTCGGCCTTTAGAAATGTCTCGGCCTGCAACCGCTGTCGCATCAGGAAGAATCGTTGCGATCAACGTCTCCCTGCCTGCTCCACTTGCGAAAAGGCCAATGTCCGCTGCGTAGGCTACGACCCTATCACCAAGCGGGAGATTCCTCGAAGCTATGTCTACTATCTCGAGACGCGGCTGGCATATTTCGAGCAGCAGCTTAAGGCGCATGCGATTCCTTACAATGCCGCCGAGGTGTACAATGCAGAGTCCAAGGAGCTGGGCGACCCCGTCCAATCGCCGGGCAGCGCAAAGAGTTCTTGGATAGGACCGCAATCCCCGAGTAATGGCTCGCCGCGAGCCATCAAAAACGAGGATTGGGACAAGAAGCAAGAAGATGCCGATAAGCTGAACAAGCTGGTGTCGAACATTGGCATGGTCTCGGTGCAAGGAGCTTCTGATGCCAGATACCTGGGGTCTACATCTGGGATATCGTTCGCTCGCGTCGTGCTGGCTGCTGTCAAGAGTTCGGTCTCTTGCAACAACTCAGAGCGAGCTGGTGTCCGACCTAGTCGTCCGTTGCCTAATATGGCCACTTCGGGCGGAAGCTCCATGAGAGATTCGTACTTTGGCCTACAGACCAAACCCACCATCAAAGAAGCTCCGTTCCCAGACCGACCATTGGGTGAGAAGCTGGTCAATTTGTACTTTGAGCATGCCAATCCCCAGATCCCGATCCTCCATCGAGGCGAGTTCATGGATTTGTTTGACCGCACATACTCGATCGATCCTTCGAAGCGCACCAGCCGCGAACTATACTTACTCAACATTGTGTTTGCGATTGGCGCGGGCATAATCTGGGGATCGTCCGATCCCCAGCCAAATTCTCAACAAGGGGACTATGCCCACAAACGGGCCAGGCTTGCCATGCAACAAGCCCAGCCCGAGGAATATCATGCTTCCGCGATTGTCAATCTTGGGTCATATCTGGCTGCCAGTTCATCCCTGGAAGCCGCTGAACGTCCCAATGGTGATTTGGAGGAGCTTCAAGCTGTTCTGCTACTGTGCAGTTTTGCCTTGCTTAGGCCTGTGGCCCCTGGACTCTGGTATATTGTGGGCGTTGCGATGAGGCTGGCCGTTGATCTCGGTCTGCACTATGAAGATGGAACTGGCATCGACAACAATATCGAAGGCCACCAGGGTCCGCCGACCACGATGGATATGAAGCCACCAGTGCCAGTTGACGCGAAAGAAAAGGGACGACGAGAATGGATCCGCGACTTGCGCAGGCGACTTTGGTGGTGTACCTACACCTTTGACCGCCTAGTCAGCACTTGCGTGGGGAGACCTTTTGGAATCACAGACCAGGTCGTAACCACTGAATTCCCCTCCCTACTTGATGACAAGTACATCACCAGAGCTGGATTTCTGCAGCCGGCCTCACCAGACGAACCTACCTATAAATGGGTCTCCCACCACTATTTCCGCCTGCGGCTCTTACAATCTGAGATCCTGCAAGTCCTCCAACATCAGCAAGCTCAGCAAGCTCGCCTGAACGGCACCAATCGCCGCAACCAGTTCATGCACACCAAGCTGCCGTCTCCTTTTCTGATCAAATTCGACTCATTCCGTTCCTGGCGACGAGACATTGATCAGCGACTATATGATTGGAAAGAATCAGCACCGGAGCCGTCGGAGACCGGTGTGAGTTTCTCGGTGCAATTCTTGGAGCTCAATTACTGGCAAGCCGTCATTATGCTCTACCGGCAGAGCCTCAGTGTTCCGGCACCTCTGGCAAACGAGCTCAGCCCGACCGAGGACGTATCAAGCCCGTCAAGCATCAGACTGGAGGAAAAAGAGGATGAAGATCTGGTGTTTTTGAAATGCGCCGAAGCTGGTCAAAAGACGTTGAAACTCTACAGGCAACTTCACCGACTGCGCCTCGTCAATTACACGTATCTCGCGACGCACCATCTATTCATGGCCGGCATCTCCTTCTTGTATGCTGTTTGGCATTCTCCGGCAGTTAGAGCGCGCTTGGTAAGAGTCTTCCCACCTCCCCGTTTACATCTTATGCTAAAAACTCATCTCTTAGACACTGGATGATTTCGACTTCACAGTCCTCGCTGCAACGTCTGTCCTAGGCGATCTCATGGAGAAATGCCCACCAGCAGAAGCCTGCCGCGACGCTTTTGAGCGAATGAGCAAAGCCACTGTTCAAATGTGCATGTCTACACCTGGATTTGGCTTCTCGATGGAACCGCGGGGAGAATATCAATCACGACAACAACTCGCCCGACAATCCAGCATGCAGAGCCAGTCCGCACAATCTCAGACCCAACCCATGCCCATGCAAATCGACTCTTACCCTTCTTCAACGACCTCAAATGCACCTCGCATTGCTCCTAAACCAATGACTAAACGACCACCGCCTAAATTTGATATGGATCTCCGCGAGCTGTTCCCCGATGACCTCGAACCGAGTACCCGACCCTCTTTCTCCTTCCCTCAGCCACTCCAAGGCCTCCAGCAACAGAGATCACCACAAGCGTCCATGGCAATGGGGCTGCCGCCCTTGCAACAGCAACCACAACATTCCCCTCGTCAGCAACAAATGTCCCCTGCCTCTAGTATCAACTCGCAAATCAACAACGGTCTCGGAATGGCCACATCCAACAACCCTTTGCTCTTCAACCAAACTCCTGCCTCACAGCAACCCCAGACGCAGCAGCAGCAGCAACAACAACCATTCTACATGCAAAACACGTACAATCCCGACTTCATGTCCAGCTTACCAGGCATGGACTTCCTGAGCACCGCTATCACCGGGGGTGGCGACGGCGAATTCAATCTGGACGTGGGTGGTGGGCTGGATCTGGGCTTTGGCATGACGGGATTGGATTTCCAACATGACTGGAGCGATGGTCAGGGTCAATATGACTTGTTCGAGGGCTTTTTCTTCGGGAATGGCTACAGTGGGAACGGGTACGGTGGTGGGAATGGGAATAATGGTGGTTCAGGTGGTGCTGCGGCCAGTTAGTCCTTTGGTGTCTGGGCGAGACGTGCTGCAAGGTGATTAGGTTGATTTTAATGCCATTCAATCCAATGCAAGCTCAATCGACGTTGATTACCCAGAACCAGTTTTGGAGACTCGCAAACAATCATTTTTATTCCTTTGCATTCCTAGTCTCCCGCGCCGCCCTTCTTCCTCCTCGTCCTATATCATTCCTTGTCACCCTCCTCCTCCGCGTGGCACTCGCCGCCCTTGTTCATCTCCATATAGAGACTTCAAGCACTGGAGATCGAATCGTCGATTGGCAACGGACTACAGGCCGGCCTCTGGGGGTGTACACGCCGACATTCCAATCCCGGGCTTCATCGCGGGCAATCTCTGTCCCTGCTGTTTCCCCCTACCGACGAAGTAGATCGTACAGGAGGGATGGAGAGTGGTGTTGCGTCATTGTTCGGTGGAACAACCGCCTTCTCGAAGGTCCCTTGCGACTGTGATCCTGGTCGCAACTGTTTGTTGTGGTATGTTGCCCCATTAGGTCCGGAGCTGGCGATCTCGGGCTGCTGGGTGAGGAGGAGGAGCATATAGGCAGGCACTGTCTCTGGCTCATTGGGTGCTGGGGGTGCTGTGCGAAGGACCATCTCACAGTGGTCGAGCATGCTAGGTCCCGGTCATGCAGCGCAGGTCGCAGTTGCGGCGAACAAGGCTGGTCGCATGAAGTGACGGGTCGGCATCAACCCGAACTGCACCCACTCTAGACTAGCTTCATATGAGTTTGATGAGGGTCACGGGGTAATCTGTCGTTGGCGGACAGCGCGGTCTGTGCTGAGCACCCAACCCGGCTCATCCAAATCCTTCGAAGACGTCTTCTTGGTGGCTGTCCTTCGTTTGCTGGCGCCGGAGCTTCTCAATCATCCGTGCAGTCTCGGCTTCATATTGCTTCTCGTCTTCCGTCATCTTTGCCTTCCTGTCGTGTTGTCTTCTCGCTTCCTTCTTGGATCGCCTGACCTCCTTGTTTGCCTTGCGCTCGAGCTTCTCGGACCATGCCACTGTGCCCTTCTTCCGCTTCTTGGAGTCGGTCTCCTTGCCACCTCCCCGGTCATCCTCTGGACCCTCTTCGAGCATCTGTTTCCGATGCTTCTCCCGCTGCTTGTCCTTGTACCCATAGCTGTCCCAATCAAGATCAGGCCCCTGGTAGGGCTGTAGCTTGGTATTCTTGAGCTCGGCGATCTTGGGCATTTTCAACAGACCCCAGGCAGCTGCGTGATCGTTCCAATCAATTCCACCCAAGCTGAAGATAGATTTTGCTTCGTGCTTCGAATAGCTTCTGACCCAGCTGACGAATGCCCTCTGCCCTTTGTCGTGCAGCGCTCGATCCGTCAGGACAATTTTTCGGAACTTCTCCTCGGCCACGAGGCAGTCGTCCGCCATGTCGGAAGTACCAGGTTCGGTCAAGGGCTCAATGGGGGTATGGCGGACTTTTAGAAATTCCACATAGTCTTGCTCGTGAGGGAGTAGAAGGACGACACTGAGACCTTTGCGACCCGCGCGACCCGCTCGCCCGCATCGATGCAGAAAGACCTTAGGATCTGATGGCGGGTCAATCTGTACCACCAAATCCACGGAAGGGATATCCAAACCCCTGGCGGCTACATCGGTAGTCAGAAGTACAGAGGGAGAGCCCGAGTCTGTGAAGCGGATGAAGTTCTTCTCCCGCACATTTGCTGGATGCTTACCATGCAAAGGCACAAGCACTGCCTCTGATGGCATGATTGATGGTAGCAGGGTCTGGAAGTAGTCCACCGCGGCACAAGTGGACAAGTACACGATTGTCCGGAGCGGCATTGGGTCGAGGTGTCTCAGTAGAGCCGCTAAGAATGGAAATCTCTGAGTAGCTCTGGTCACCACATAGGTCATCTTGAGACTCGCAGGGGTCCGCTTGTCTTCCACGCCATTTGCGCCCTTCACTTTGACCTCAATCTTCACAGGATTCCGTAGTCCCACACGAATCAATTGATCTAGTGCCTCGCTCACACTTGCGCTGAAGAGACCTGTCCTCCGCTCCTTGGGCAGAAGATTGAGAATCTTGGTCAGCTCGTCCTTGAATCCATGGTCGAGCAGTCGGTCGGCCTCGTCAAGCACAAGCATTTCGAACGAGGACTTCGGATAATGGACATCTCTTGAGGTCATGATGTCGACAAGGCGACCTGGTGTCGCAACTAACACATTCGGAGAAGTCTTGAGGAATTTACTCAGGTCTTGTGCTGGGCTGGTATACCCGCCCACGAGCAGCTGCGGGACAACCTTCAGTGTTGACGGGGCAAAGGACTCTGCCCTATTGTTTGCATCAGAGTCAACTGGCTCATCCAACGGTTCGAGGGCCGCAGCGGAGGGAGGGTGGAATCTCAGTAAAGAAACCAAGACGCTGTATATCTGTGTGGCCAATTCTCTGGTGGGAGAAACGATGATGGCACCCACATGGTGTCTCTTGATCGGCTCTTCCAGTCTTAACAACTTTTCCACCACCGGTATAAGATATGCCAACGTCTTTCCGCTACCCGTGACCGCTTCAACTACGACGTCTTTGTAGGCCATGAAGAGGGGAATGGTCGAGGCTTGGACTGGGGTCATGCGAGTGAAATTCATGGCGGCCACTGCATCGAGGATCCATGGCGATAACGGAGGGTTGAGAGCATCCCACGTCCTAGAGGATTTCCCTCTGGAGGGAGCTATGCCCCTGTCTGGCGCCATGTAGTGTCAGTGGAATTGTAGATTGCGAGGAGAGAGCACGCAGAAGGTCAACCAACACAAGGCGCAGGAGAAAAAGACGTCGATCGGGAATTCTTCGGTCCATTATTTTTTTCTAACCCTCATCCTGGGTATCGATAAGAGAAATCCCGCCGTTCTAAAGTAGATATATACTCTAGCTTTCAAGTTTACGCCAACGCCAAAATCTCCTTTTCAATCGCCTCCCCAAAACTCTTCGTGTTCCCCTTCCCTCCCATGTCCGCTGTAATGACGGCCTCGTCTGCTCGAGAGAGCACGTTCTCGACCGCTTTCAGCATTGCCGCTGCAGCCTCCTTGAAGCCGAAGTGTTCCAGCATCATCTGACCGGCCCAGATCATTCCTACGGGATTGGCGATGCCCTTTCCTGCGATATCTGGCGCACTCCCATGTACGGGCTCGAACAGGCTTGGGAATTCACCCGTTGGATTGATGTTTCCTGACGGGGCTATGCCTATTGTCCCCGTGCAGGCTGGGCCCAGGTCTGAGAGAATGTCTCCAAAAAGATTGCTCCCGACTATCACGTCAAAGATCTGAGGCCTTTGGACAAAGTGTGCCGTCAAGATGTCGATATGGTATTTGTCGACATTCACTTCGGGGTATGACTTGGCCATATTCTCGACCCTGGTATCCCAATAAGGCATTGTGATGCTTATGCCGTTACTCTTGGTTGCACTCGTCAGGTGTTTCTTCGGCCTACTCTGAGCCAATTCGAAAGCATATTTCAGCACTCTGTCGACTCCAGTTCGGGTCATCACTGTCTCTTGGATGACTGTTTCTCGGTCGGTGCCCTCGAAGATCTTTCCCCCAATACTACTGTACTCTCCCTCAGTGTTCTCTCGAACGATCCAGAAGTCGATATCTCCTGGTTTGCGCCCTGCAAGTGGACAGCGCACTCCTGGCATTAAGCGCGCAGGCCGCAAGTTGATATACTGGTCAAACTCGCGCCGAAACTTCAGGAGGCTACCCCATAAACTGACGTGGTCGGGGACTTGGTCTGGCATGCCTACTGCTCCGAAGTAGATGGCGTCGAACTTGGACAAGGTGGAATTCCAGTCCTTTGGAAGCATGTCACCGTGTTTCTTGTAATAGTCGCAGCTTGCGAAGTCGAATTCCTCAAATTCAAGTTCCAGGTTAAAAGCTTTCGCCGCTGCTTGCAGACATCGTACGCCGTACGGCATGACTTCTGTGCCGATTCCGTCCCCAGGAATGACCGCGATTTTCAGTTTCTTTTGTTGAATCATGGTGACAATCAATTGCTCCAACACAGACGTCTGACAGAATATGCAGCTGCTTGTAAAGTGAAGGGGACGTCAATGCGAAAGGATATATACCTATATACCTAATAACATCACTGTTGGGGTAAAAATTTCCCCGACTATCTTTTGGCCGATCCTGGTCAACCACTGCGAAATCGGAGTTTCTACCAAGGGAAGTATCGTTGTTTCTGCACCAATTGACTGACAACAGTTGTTTCGGGTTTCATAGGACATGTATAATTCGGGTCTTCCCGCTTGCTCAGGCAATCTGGGTAGTCTGCCTGCCTCGCCGCGAGAACTGTTCACCGGCCACACAAGGCTTCGGTCTTATGCAGACCCATCATAGGGGCAACATTTCAGTGACCCTACAAGCTTATATCTAATGATTTTCTACCTCTATGAATGTGGCGAAAGCTAGATGAGAGCTCAAAGGAAAACATTGCTACCAAACTACCTTTTCGTTGTTAAAGGCCCAAGACGGGAATGTCTCTTATATAAGCAAGGCTGGTCCCCCTCATTGATGCACCTCAGCTCCGGTCGCGGGAGAGATAGCAAGATACTCTGCTTTACAGGTTCATTTGCTCGTCTTCACTTCGAATTGTGACGTCGTACTCGAGCTCGAGCCGACAACGGAAGCAAGGAGCAGTTCTCATCTTCCTCGTTCGCTGCACGTCCAACCAATCTTGGACCACATCCCTACTATTACGTTGTCCTAGACACAGAAAAGCCGTCTTGGAAAAGGTCCGCTTGGACTTGATGCTGACTTTGAACTAACGTCGAAGAGAATGAGCCGTGTCCTTGAAGGCGCATAGATGGCGAAGACTGTTGTAGGGCCTCGTGGTGCAAATGCCACAGTATCTGACCTATCTCCTTATCCTTCTTGCCTGCCTGAATGTGGCTAGCATCCTATGTCATGAATATGGTGTTTTTAATTAGGGGAATCCGCGCGTCAACCAGTGAATGGCTGCTGCATGCTGTCAAGAATGGGATGATCTCTGGGATTACTGAGTGGAATGTGTTGTGATCTTCCGGAATTCTTGTGCCATGACCCTCCCAAGCCAGCCTTCCGAGGCACGTCCTTAACCAAACAAGTTGTCCTGAGATCATATGCAGCTCCCGCAATGATTTCAGAGAAGAGTTCGGAGTGTCCAGGCTCAGATGGAATCCAGACTGCTGCAACCGTCGATACCAACGTGTATTCTGTGTTCACTGGTCCATCTCGACGCGCCGTCACCGTGTTGCTTGGGTTTGCGACTCTCACGTCTCCCCTGACGGCGACGATATATCTACCTCTGCTCCCGCTCCTCTCGACACACTTCGACGTCTCCCCCCAGAAGATCAACTTGACTATAACAATATTCATCATCTTCCAAGCGCTGTCTCCTCTAATCGTGTCCACTTTTGCAGACACTTGCGGGCGTCGGCCTTTATTTTTGGCGTCGTTCACCATCTACACCCTAGCATCACTAGGGCTTGCGCTCAACCCCTCCAGCTATGCGGCATTGCTGGTCCTTCGCGCTCTGCAGAGCCTGGGATCCAGTGCCGTGCTGAGCATCTGCTACGGTGTCGTCTCAGACATATGCATGCCTAGTGAAAGGGGGGAAATGCTGGGACCGGTGTTGGCAGCAGCTAATCTGGGGACCGCAATTGGGCCCATTGTGGGTGGCTGGATTGCACGGAGCTCAGGGAGTGTGTGGTGGGCATTCTGGGCCTTGGTGATTTTTGGTGCCCTGATGGTGCTTACACTTGGACTGTTTCTCCCCGAGACCGCGAGAACCGTGGTTGGTAATGGATCGGTTGAGGATCAGGTATGGAATCGGCCCTTGATTGACCTCACGAAGCCAGTGGGTTTGCGGCCTGGCCAGAGCAACGAACAACCCACAAGGCCACCAACGAGAAGCGTGAAATTCCGCAGCCCGCTCATGTCGATCAGGATCATGGCGTATCCTGATACAGCACTCGTTTTGTGGCTCGTGGGGACCCTCTACGCCTTGTGGTACACGGTACAGGCATCCATCCCATACACATATGGGCGACACCCTTACAACTTCAACGAGCTGCAGATTGGCCTAGCATATCTCCCTGGGTCGGCAGGGGTCATCTTCTGTATGTATATTACCGGCAAGGCGATGGACCACAACCACCGACTTGTTGCGAGACAAGCGGGCTTAGTGGTGGACAAGGCCAAGGCAGAGGACCTTGTCGGGTTCCCGATCGAGCGGGCGAGAAGTAGAGGGTGTATCTGGCTCTTGCTCGCGAGTCTAGGCATCAGCACTGGGTACGGCTGGGCCATCCAAGAGCACGTCCATGTGGCCGTGCCCTTGGCTTTCCAATTTGCCATGGGGTTTTTGGCCACGTGGATCGTCAACTGCTTCAACACGCTTCTTGTTGATGGATTCCCGAAGATGCCCAGCACTGCTGCTGCCGCCGGAAACACAATCAGGTGTGCAATGAGCGCTGCCGCAGTGGCGGCCATGCAGCCGCTTTTCGAAGGTGTGGGGAGAGGCTGGTTCTTTACTCTAGCCGGCGTGCTGAGCGGTCTCGGCGGAATAGTAGCCGTCTGGGCTTTGAATGAAAGAGGGATGTACTGGCGAAACAAGAGAGATGAGACACAAGAAAAGACTGATAAAGGTCACATCACACCATCGAAGAGCACTGGGATATTATTGGTGAAAGTTCGTATTTCGGATTCGCATTAGAAACTGCTTGCAGATCAACTATCCATGGAGAAGAGATTGGAATTGCGCAGTCGGAATTTAGAAATTCTCAGCTCTGTACTGGATTTCGTGGGCGATCTAATTGGATCAATAGACTCTGTCTAGCAGTGTCCTGTCTGCTACCTTTACGGCCTCAATCCTTCTCTGTTCTCAGGTAGAGACGCCTTTCTTTTCCCCCATCCGTATCTCCTTTCCGATCCCTTCACTCGCCCTTTGCTGCGTACTGGCTGCGTAAGACGAGCTTCACAACATTCTCGATATTCGTCGGAGTCTCAACGACTATGACACGCCCTCCACCCTGGTTGCTGTTTCCACCGCCCCCGACGCCGGGAGTGCGTTGAATATGGTCCACCTGGCTCTTGATATCCTGAAGAGCTACCGACATACCCTCAAGCGTACGAATGAGCTTGCTCAGGAGGTCCGGGACGTCTTGGGGTGTGAACGCCGGAGAAACTGCTGGTCTTTCGGCCTCATTCTCGTTCTCGTCCGAAAGATTCTCGCCTTCAGCTACTGGAGTACTCGCCGGGCTCTGGTGTGAGCAAGTCGAAGAATCGGGTGTCGCCACTGGGGTGTCCTCTCGAGATGTCTCGGCCTTGATTCTGTGGTCGTCGGCTTCCGGGGAGGGACCAGGCGTGGATTCCATGGCCGGGCTGCCGGAGGATGAACAGCCTCCAGGGCAAGTCTCCCAGTCCACCGGCACTCGCATCTCGTTCATCTCGCCGCAGTCCCCCGGTTGCTTCTCGGCGTCCTGCGTGATGACGACGCATTCCTCGACGTAGCTCGTGAAAATTTCCAAGATCTTCCCGCACTCGCAGTATCTTCCGGGGATGACGGTGTTACACATGTTGAGTCTTGTCCTTCTTGGAGGAAAAGCAAGTTGGGTATGGCGCTGAGCTAATTTTCTGGACTTGCCGATTGTAACGGTGGTTTTGTATGCTTGCTGAGGTACGCTGGAGAGAGAATTCCCAATTCTGTGTCTTGTAAAAAGATGAGCTTTGAAAAATCGACGAGACCGAGAAAAAGGGGACTATATTGGAACAAAGGCAGTTGTAGTTGTATGTTTGCACTGCCTTGGCTCGCATGTCCCTTGTTCACCTTGTTAAATAGGCGCCACTGCCACATTCACAGAAGGCGTTTCAGAGGACTGCCTCATACTATCACTTCCCTTTGTTGACGGTCTCAAGACGCTGTCATCGACCACGACCACTTTTGGAGTCAAGGTCTTTGTTCTTGCCAACCTCCCCCCGCTTCCGATCTGAAACATTCAGCCTTGCCGACGCAACGACATAGACTGAGAGGTTGAATCCATCTTCCAGTTGGGACGCACCACACTTGGCTAGGTGCCTCTGTCGGCTTCATCCTAGGTGGTGGTTGGCCAGGATCATATCAAACCATGATGCCTTAGATGTATGACTGGTTTTGTGTCTCGGGGATTGACGTATGAGTGTCCCGCCGTGTGGAAATCCTTGCGACTTGCCAAGTCAGACAAAGGCTAGACAAGCGCAGTTTCAAAAAGCTTGTTCTTGGGTCAAGGCTAAATAAAAACAACAGAAAGGCCATAACATTGAGATGTGGAAATGGATTTTGGAGAAGGCCATTGTCGGCATCAACTATCGCACTACCGCAGCCGTCAGATATGGGGTCTCCGCACATTCTCATCCTTCTCCACTCCATTTCACTGTAGCCATTCGCAGAGCCTGGCCCGGAGAATGCGATACGGAGAGCGCGATCGGAGAAGCCGAGGGATGAAGGTTGGAGCAGGAGGTTTCGAGGACCTGCCTATGTCCCGATGGCAGTCATGCACCATGGTCGGCTCGGGTCGTTGAACGAGGTCAGCATCTCACGCCGGCTCACGCAATCAACCCATATATTTCGACGCCTTGATCTGCTTCCCCCAGCTTGGAGTTTCTGTACACTCCGACCACGCGTCAATAGGAACAGCTAGATTGCAATCGTTACCAGGCCCTTAAGAGTAAGAATAGTCGGAGGATCGACCAAAATCAAGATGCCAGCTGCGACCGATAACAAGGTGGAAACGCCATGTCACAGGCAATACTTCTACGTTGGGGGAGTCTACGAGGAGGACAAAAGCCCGACTTATGGCGGGCATATCATGAAAAACCAGACCTATGTCGAATGCTTGACGCCACTAGGCGGAGCCACGAGAGAATACCCTCTAGTCTTCGTCCATGGAGGTGGCCAAAGTGGTTTGGTATGGACATCTCTCTCGCGGCGAGCGTGGGTGAGAGGCTAACATCAGGCTAGAACTGGCTGCATACACCCGACGGTCGAAAGGGCTGGGCTTCCTACTTTCTTGACCAGGGCTACACGGTCTACCTGGTAGACACGGCATCAAGAGGCAGATCGGCGCCGTCTCTTGTACAGAAGCACGTCCATTACCCCACGAATTTTGTAGAAGACTATTTCACCGCTCCGAAAGCAGCGGCAAAGTGGCCGCAGGCGCGCTTGCACACCCAATGGCCCGGCGTGAGTCGAACGCTCGTTGAAAGCGATGCCTCGTGTCCTTTTCTGCTGACCTCCGAGCGTTAGACAGGCCGGCGAGGTGATCCAGTCTTTGACCAGTTTTACGCCTCCACGTTGCCCAGCATGAGTGACTTGGTTACCTACCAGCAGGCTCAAAAGGCAGGAATAGCTGCTCTACTCGAACGGATCGGCCGCCAGAGCATCCTAATCATACATTCGCAGGGTGCTCTTGGTGGATGGCTCGCCGCGGATTCTTGTCCCGCCCTTGTCAAAGCCATCATTGCTGTCGAGCCGAATGGACCACCCTTTTTAGGGTCTCATCCACGCCCTGACTCCCCGGCCCGGAGGTGGGGTCTGGCCGATGTCCCCTTGGTGTTTTCGCCGCCGATAACAGATCCTTCGGAGCTGCGCCTTGTCACCATTCCGGCGACCCAAGATGGTCGATCCCCGATCGTGTTGCAGGATCAGAGTGAAGGGCGGGTGGTGCACAAGCTCCAGAATCTCCAGCACATACCGGTCCTGGTGGAAGTTGGCGAGGCCAGCTACCATGCCGAATACGACCATGCTACCGTGGCGTTTCTGCGACAGGCCGGGGTCTCGTGTGATTTTATCCGGCTTGAGGAACTGGGGATCAGGGGCAACGGGCACATGCAAATGCTGGAATTGAACAACCTGGACATCGCACGAGTACTGCAAAAGTGGATAGAAGGCAAGTTCCCCAACGGCAAGGCTTCACTCTAGGCAAGGACATCTCGGATAGACACAGTTATAGGAATGAATTCGGTGGGGTCCAGCTATAGCATAGCCACCATTCAGCACTAGCTTTGTCACCCTATGTGCATGAAGTGGCCAGCGCTCAGGTCTCGGGACTTTAGAAAGACTCAATCTACGTTTTCAGCAGTTGCATATATTCCTATGTTTGGTACATTCCAAAACATCAGGTGGAACGGGGATCGTGTCGACAGGGCAACCCTACAAACGTCGTGCACGGATCAATCGACTTGGTCATTCAGCTAGAATGGTACCTCCCAGGCATATTCTCAGACACTAGAAATGTGTATTGTTTTGCTATCAGAAGATCGTTGTCCAAGGGAGCAGCATAATGACTGCGAGAGTTGATAAAAATCGAACATGCATCCCCGAACTTTCCCACTTGCCTGGAAGTACTGGAGTCACCTCCACTTCGAAAGCACGCGCTATTGTGGCTGGATTGAGGGATTTACCTCCGGAAAGCTATATTCAATATGTCGATCCTAACGTGGCGGCCAGTGAGTATCCTGTTCTTCGAGGACTCGAGCGTATCTTGACTTTGAAGACTTCCCACCAGGGTCGAGGGTCAAGGGTATCTTTGCCCATGGATCCGCCTATTGGACGAGGACGGCAGCAATTCAAACCGTGCAAGCCGATGGTAGCCCCCTAGACTTCTTTCTCAAAGTAAAGTCTACCAGCCGCCCGGATACCTCCCTCTAACGGTGTGAGTCCAGATTACCAAAACCACGGTCGGGAAGATCAGTCTCCAAGGGGAATATGCATCGATGTTTGCAATCTCGCGGGCCGTTCCGGACCTTGTCCCGGTGCCAATTGCAGCTGGAACGTACGCAACCGACGGCAATGTCCACTTCTTCCTCTCCAGATTCGTCGGCATGACTAGCGACGTGCCGGATACGAGAGTATTGCCTGTGAGGATTGCCGAGATGCATCTCAAGGGAGCTTCTCCGACTGGCAAGTATGGATTCGCGGTGCCCACCAGCATGGGCGCTTGTGTCCAGCAGAATACCTGGACAAGCTCCTGGGAGAAGTGCTTTACCGTGTTGATGAACGCCATGTTCGAGTTTGAACAAGATATGCATGGCCACGGTGAGGAGATGCGGCAATTGCACCACGTGGTCCTAGGGAAGGTGATTCCCCGGCTCTTACGGCCTCTGGAAACAGGAGGGAGAGATATCAAACCCAGGATGGTGCATGGAGACTTGTGGGACGGCAACACCTCTGTTGATGCGACGACTGGAAAGCCAGTCATCTTCGACGCTAGTGGAATGTACGCCCATAATGAATGTAGGACACCGCACGCGATATGGGGCCCCAACTTGCTGACGGTTTCAGACGAACTAGGAGCATGGAACTTGTCCCGCCATCGAATATATCGCTCCTATATCGAGGAATATCGAAACCACTTCCCGGCTTCACCTCCCGCGGAGGATTTCGAGGATCGCTTGATCCTTTACCGGCTTCGATTTAACTGGACTTCCTCTGCCTGCTATTTGGATGGCATGCATTTCAGACAGCTGTAAGATGATGTCGATTAGTCGTATATATTCGTTTGCTGACGGCGATGGAAGTGCAATCGAAGATATGCGTTACCTGACGACGAAGTACAAGGACGGTTATCAAGGATCTCAGCATAGGAAGCCAGAGTCTGGATAGAGTCTGCATCACATGTGCTGGGGAGAGGGATTGCGATAGGTGATCTTGGATTATGAGATTCAGGAAGAACTCACGATTGCCCATCACACGGTGTCACAAGGACGGTGCAGGAGATGTGTCCAAGTTCATAGCCTCATGGTGATCTTCGGTCCGCCTCAGCAGTAATTCTTAATGGACTGTCCACCTCAAGCCCAGGTACAGGCTTCTGATCCCTGTTCGGCTGACACTCCCTCGGAAGGGATCCAAAAAAAGCAAAAACAATCAACAATCAGGATTCCCACCTGGTCACCCACGGTAGTACTAACTGATCGGCATTTGGCTTAAGTACGGCTGAGCGAACGGGAAGCCCTGTTTTCCAAATCCTGTGGTCGATTGCGGGAGACAGTATGACTTTATAAAATATAAAGAGACCATATACGGAGTACCTTGTATGATGAGATTGGTGGAAGTCAGCGCTCGTCGTCCACCTATCTCAATACGGGATACTCCATCATCTCAAGTGGTGGATAGGCCTGTGAATCCAAGAGTCGCCGTATTTTGCAGACAGAGAAATTACCAAGTGTCATTGAGATAGCTAAGCCTTTCAGCGAATGCTCTGATGTGATGATATGTACCGAGTACCGCACTACGTACTAAAGCCCAAAGGAGTATTTAGTGATGGCATGATAACACAAGCAGCACAAGTAGCTGAAGGCAAACGGGATGACGATTGCGCCGAGTTCCTTGATAAGCGAGCCCTGGGCAGCCCGGGCCGAGCAATTGCTAGGCTGGCAGTGGCTGGAGGCGCCTGGAGGCGCCTGGGAATTGGGAACCACGAGGAGAGTGTGGCTTATGCACTGCTTCACAAGCCCAATCAGCGGGACACAGTGGCTTGCTTTGTTCGTGGCATCCTGGCATCCTGGCATGTGCCCCATCATGTCCCCCCTTCCACATCCAGTTTTCTTTATCCCAAATCCAGGGCACAAGATCCCATCCATGCGCACCGCCCTTCCGCCTCATCGTCGGATTGCAGGTTAACGGCCAGGTTGGAGAGATATTGTGCAACGCAGGCCCTCCCACCTCTTCCTCACTATGCGGCCAATTTGATTGCTTTGCTCGACGCTGTCCTCCACAATCTTCCCTCTCTCTCCAGTCGCTGCCGGTGCGCAGGCTGGAAGAAATTTCCAATCTCACTCCTGCTGCCCGCCGGCGTCCTCCCTACCACCCTCGAACCTCGTCGGCCAGCCTGGAATCCTCCAGATGTCCTACCCATATCCTATCCCTCCCACTCCGAGAGTTATCTCGCCCTCCCCTACCCCTTCCGAGTCCTCCGAGCGCCAGGACTCCTATTTCGCTCCCGTCACACGATCGGCCGCCAAAGCCCAGCGCCAACGGTCCCCTCAACCAGATCCCATAAACGAAGAGAAGGATGGCTCTGGCTCCGACTCGAGCTTGGAGAAACGGGCCAGAGCGCGCTCCAGGAGTCCCGTCTTGACCACCACCACCCGCCACATGAACGGCTCGGCAAATGCCAGCAAGAGGAGACGCATGAGCGGCCTGACTTCGATAAAGCCAGTCGCTAAATCAGAGCCTCTAACAAATGGCACGATCCCGTACCCACAGTCAAATGGCCATCTTTCACCCTACGACCGAGTCAAGAAATCCTGGCGAGAATTCTCTCGCTCCCCTTCACCGCTCGGTTTGATCCCGCTCCACCGCCATTACCGAACTTTGATCCACAAGCATGAAATCCCCCGGAAGGTCCTGCACGTCTCGATTGGGTTCTTCACCTTACGATTATACATGACAGGTGTGCAGACCTGGGCTATAACACCATGGCTGCTGGGTGCCCTTGCCATTATCGCTCCGACCGACGTCCTCCGACACCACTCTGAACGATTTAATAGATTCTACATCTCAGTGCTGGGCGCTCTGATGCGTGAGACCGAGGTGGACGGATACAACGGCGTTATTTGGTATTTGGTTGGCGCATACGTCGCGTTGCGATTCTTTCCGAAAGATATCGGCGTCATGTCGATCCTTCTGTTGTCTTGGTGCGATACTGCCGCCAGCACCTTTGGTCGGCTGTATGGACGTTATACTATCCGTCTGCGGAAAGGCAAGTCTCTGGCAGGCTCCCTTGCCGCTTTCCTCATCGGTGTCCTCGTCGCCCTCTTCTTCTGGGGCTACCTGGCTCCAAGAACCGGCCCGTTCGCCGACGACCCTATCGACCCATACATGTTCCAAAACCGCCTGACCCTCCCTGCAAAAGTGAAGGAATTTCTAGGCTGGGAGCCGGATCAGGGAGTCATTGTCGGTAACGCTGCGCTCGCAGTCATGAGTATTTGCACCGGGATTATCGCCAGTGTCAGCGAGTTTATAGATCTATGGGGATGGGATGACAATCTGACGATTCCACTCCTCAGCAGTGCTGGCCTTTGGTTGTTTTTGAGCGCTTTTGGATAATCCAGTTTTTACGCCGCGGCGGGACAGTGGCGCATGGATAGGAGAATTTTCTCTTCTCAAGGCGGTTCTTGTCGGCCTATTACGAAGAAAATAATTGAATATAATGACGGCCTCACGCAGAGTTCTGTGCTCTTTGATTGCTAGACGAATCCAGTCGCCTGTCCACGTTGTTCAATACGACGTTTTGGGCGACATGGCGGCGTTTTGGATGCTGCCTTCATGTCCTCAGTCCACGAGCTCCAGGTGTTTTCGGACCATGACTCTCATCCGCTCTAAGTAGTGGCATCAGAGACAGACCGCAGATCATGTCGGAGATTTGTGATGAGGAACCTGTCTTAAGACTGAAGCCAAGATACAGATCGAGGCCACAGCCTGCTAAAGATTGGACTTGTACCAGAGAAGGCTACACAATCTTCATCAAAATGTCCGCAGGCTGTGTCCTCAAGGTACACCAGCTATTCTCTGACAGACAAGCGTGTTCACCGGCCTCGAGAGACATCATCAGACTCCAGTTGATTACGGACAGGGCGAATCCTCACAAAGAGCAGCGCAATTGAAGGAGACATTACTTGCCCGAGGACTGCCGGTATTCATGTCCAATGCTTTTTGGGGAAGCCTCTGACACTTTCGAGACGCCCGTGTGATTCAATAAAAGACCCTCGGCGACATCGTGAATGCCTGGTGAGTGGTTTTCCACAAGCCTCACTCGAAGAATTCTTGCAGAAAAGGCCCCCAATGTCTTGAGCTTCGGGTAGTTTGCTGCGGCGCTGCAGTCTCTCCAAAGCATTGTGCATCGATTCCCAGGGTGCCATATTTGAACCCTGACCCCCCCGACGAGACGAGAGAGTGGACATGAATAAGTTCACATGTTCCGCAAGGTGGCGGGAAATGGCAATGCAATCAATCAAAGAGAAGAGTTCATCGGTCAATACCTGACCTTGAGAATTCCTGGGCCAAAGACATACTGCCCAGTCCCATGCTGGCGAGTCCCGCAATGCATGGCTCCCTGTCAAACCAGGCTGGCATCGGTGCACATGTCTTCTACCAGTCGTGCCACCGTGACCTACCAGATACACGAAGCCAGCTTAGCCAAAGTCGGATGCAATGAATCTAACAGCTCAGGACGACCGATCACTTCGCTGCAGAAGTCGAAATATCCGGGTCTATTAAATCAGGTTGACGGCGAGATAGCGAGAGAAATCTACTCTATCACAGATGGTGTCTGTTCCAAACGATTAGAGGTTCGATATCTCACTCGCGAAGAGATCATCCGTGTATTGGTATAGATCTTCGATAGAGACAGGACTCCCGACTGACACTCAGAGAACTCGCAATGCATCCTTATTCGACACATCAGATGATTCTTCTCCCACATATCTGGTAGTTGAGACTGATGCTTTGTCCTCCGTCTCCATGGTCCCTCCGACCTGGGATGCTTGGCATATGTCTCCACCCACGAGGCTGAACCCCTTGTCCCGTTATGCTTCGAGGCTTCAATCGAACCAGCAAGGGGCCATGGACAGGAGGTATCGTCCAATGATTTTGGCGCTGTTGACATCTTGGTCCTTTTGCGGCGGTCGATCGATCACTACAAGCCATGGCGACCTCGGATAACCTCTTTCTGACCGACTTTGGCCGGCGATCTTTGGAGAATTCGCCCTCTGGCATTCGTGCTATTTCCCCGCAACATCAGCGACCCCGAAGTCTGCGGAGACAAAGGCGACACCACGTACTCCTCTTCGGACTTCGCTATCTAGGGTTGTAAATTATGCCGTACGACTGTATATACGTAAATCACCACGAGAAGGAGCAAAAGAATCCCACCTTTCTTTACGGTGCTGATTGACGATAGTCTTTCACGGTTATGGCCAAAATGGCTTCCGGCGCCTCGATCGCAATGAAAGCGATCGGCAGACACACGACAGTTCGATCAATCTCCCGAACCCTTGTAAGGCCAACAGCATCTTCGCTTCTACACTCGACCACAAGCCAGGCAACTCGCGCAATCTCAACGTCCCGCACAACCCCAGCAGCGGTGGCGGCCCAACAACACATGACCACGCCGAAAGACCCGCCCAACTTCTCTCCGGAATTCACGTACGGCGCGTACCAAGAGACGGGCACCCGGCCGGTCAAGCGCATCCGGTACCCCAAGTTCCAGTCGCCGGAGAGCGAGCGGGCGTTCCGCAAGCTGCACCACGCCGCGGCGCTGCGCTGGCTGGGGGCCCAGGGGTACAACAACGAGGGCGCGGGGGGCCACGTCACGGTGCGCGACCCGATCCTGCCGGACCACTTCTGGATCAACCCGCACGGCAAGTCGTTCGCGCACATGACGCCCGCGGACCTCGTCCTGATGAACCCCGAGGGCGAGGTCGTCGAGGGCGGCAACATGCACAGCGTCAACCCCGCCGGGTGGGTGATCCACAGCGCCGTCCACGAGGCCCGGCCCGACGTCGTCGCCGCCGTGCACTGCCACAGCGTGCCCAGCAAGGCTTTTTCCGCCCTGGGCTGTTATTTGGAGCCTATCAACCAGGATGCGTGCCGGTGAGTGTTGCCAATCCCGGCCGGCGTTCAAAGAATGAGGAAAGAGAGTGGGTAGCAGAGCCGGACCGGAGTGGGAACGGGCTCTCATGGACCCGGTTCTCCCCTCCCGGCCTCAAGGGAGATCGGAATATCAGCCAAGCATACGGCTAACATCAGGGTGTGTCACGTCAGATTCTACAAAGACCACGGCATCTACTCTGGCTTCGGCGGGATCGCCTTTGTAAGCATCTCCCCGTTGGACCCCCTCGCGCAGTGGAAAGAAAGACTCGTAAATTCCCCTCTTGACGGGGCCATTCATTTTCCCTCACCATTTCAAACCCTTTTCCTTCCGTTTGTCTACAAATTCTCCACCCATCCTTTTTGCCTCGAGCTAACCGTCCACCCTTCAACGCGAGCAGAAAGCGGACGAGGGCCACCACATCGCCGCGGCGCTGGGCAACACCAAGGGCGTGATCCTCCAGAACCACGGCCACCTGACGGTGGCCAAGACGGTCGACGGCGCCGCGTTCCTCTTCGGCGCCATGGACCGCTGCATCCAGGCCCAGCTGCTCGCCGATGCCGCGTGCGCGGGCCGCGGCACCCAGACGATCAAGGTCGCGCACGACGAGGCCGAGTACTCGCGCAACGTGTACAACGACGAGATGGTGTATATCATGTTCCAGTCCGCGTGAGTTTTCCCCCCTCCCACACAAGAACGATCCCCTGCCTTCGCGTTATGAGCAGGACGTGCGCTGGTCCTCAGGAGTCTCCTAACCCAGGGAGCAATCTTGCTAATTTTGGGTTGTCTTGGACCCGTTTGTAGGTTCGAAGACGTGGTCAAGGCCTCGAACGGGGAACTGCCGATGCATGTGCAGGGAGAACTCCCCCGGGACTGATGATGGCTGAAGGCGATACCTGTCTCTTTCACTTGGGGTTGACCTGCGCCTTATGTGAACTAGATCTCAGAGTTACATGCGCTCTTGCATGTCAACGCCGTAGTGTTTCAGCCCTCTAATCACCTTGAGAAATCTTCAAGGCCGGCTGGGCCAAACTGTGTTCGTCACTCTAGTGCAGCAAAATGCCGGCACAGACTTGAGCTTCTACCGTTCTAGTGGTTCCAGATTGTACTACTAGAGTCCCATCTTAGTGCGCGGATACTCTGGTGACTGGTCTGAGTGATCTCTCAAAGCCACTTCGTGCTTCCAATGCATTCGCCGAGTGATATCGGAGTTACTTTGCTAGACTTGCAAGGGGTCCACGATTCCTGATCGACTGCCGGGCAGAGCCAGCGATGTTCTCCAGCGCACTGTGATACCTAATTCAAGTTGAATGGGCCCAAGGGTGATATTGAGTAGACTGCATTTGCTTCTCCTTTCATAATTCCAGGCACATATGCTTCACCTATCATGCGGAATAAGTTCTCCGCCTTCGGTCTAAGAACGAAGGGTGTCCTAAAGCCATAGAAGACGCAAATCCTATCACCGCGTAATGAGGTGTCGGGGACAACGGCAATATTTGACAAGGTGGAGGCCAGCACTCGGTATTCCATCGCCGCCGTAATAAGAGGGATGACAATGCCGGTTTCCTGGACTCGTGGATCAGGCCTTGTTGGACCTTGTGCTCGCGTTTGCCGGCCCTAGGCTAAAGCGCAAGCTCGATAGCCGGTTGCTGGCCGTCACCAAGCAAATGGAGTGTTTCTAAACTCATCGCAACTCAATTCGAATTGGCCGCGACTGCCGAAGCCACATTTCTCGCGAGTACGCTCCAATTCCCGTCAAAGCGCGCCGCACTGTCACTTATTGGCACTGATATCGCACCCATGTTAGACGGATCGAAAATTGCCTCTTCCCGCCCACTCAGGGGTAGAAAAGAAGCGGTCGGGTAAAGAGGTAAATCCACTGTATTAGCAGAGGCACCAAGGCAGAGGCGGCCGGGCCCCTTCATACCTCGCGCAACGGTGATTTCTCCAAAACAGGGAATGGCGATCTTGATCTGGCACTCTTCTCCACGATCGGACCCGGACTGAGGACATGAGCCGAACTGTTCGTCCATATTGTTCCCTTTCGCACCTAACAATACGTCCAGAACTACCACCGCTTGCTTAGCCACGACGCTCTTGCGGTTATCCCTGGATTCTCGTCGGAGGATATCGGCAACGTCGGCGATGGATTTCCAATCTCGTTCGTCCTGCCGATCGGAAGCATGTTCCCTGTCCGATTCTTCATTGCTTCCCGTCTTCTGGTCTAGTAGATGCAAGATGAGCAACACGGCCATTGTGAAGGCCTGGAAATCTAGCATGGTGCATAAATATGGGTCGAGCCGCAAGCCGATGCGGAGGTATTTGTAAGCGACAAGAGCCTGGCGCGATGCTCTCGTAGCGGCTGCATATGAATACTGGCACACCCCTTTGTCTCGCTTGCCGATACACTTCAGCATTAGCGGCAGGTGGAGGAGTGCCTGAATGAAATGCATGAGGAAATATGCTTCAATGCGCTCAAAAGCCTCCTGGATGTAGGGGTCCGAGGATCTCGAATCAGCCTCCCACCGAAAATAGTTCATGTTGCCCATGACCTCTTTCAGCTCTTGATCTATTTTCAGAGTTCGAAGCAGGGAATCAGAGTCGTCTAGCGGTTGCTGGTTC